CTGCACGCGGCGGTACCGACGAAACTAGCGCCGGCACACGTGCAACAAGAACACCTGCGAGCGCTGTGAGCCATAACGTCATTGTCTGGCTCACTGACGCGCGCCGCGTTATTGTTGGTTGTGGCGTGGACTTCCAGTGTACACAGCCAGGAGTGCCCGGAATTGTGGCGGCGCTTTCGTGACAGCTGCTATTTCATGGGCGAAACTATCCCGAGTATGTATTGTATAGGTATACCGTACAGGCCGTATATGCCCGTGACTTTTGAGGATTGTTTTCTAACTCTTTATATATGTGATATAACTGCAGTTTTTTGGGTGCTATATATGCCGGTGACCTTTGCGGATCTTTTCCGTAATAGCTTTTTTGTACGTGATTGTCCTAAAAATTTTGTTTTTATCATTAATTAATATCTTTATTATATTGCAGAGGGAGTTACTACGAGACGGCCGCCTTCTGCCGCGGTCTGGGCAAACGGGCGACGGGCGGGGACGCGACGTTATCTGGCGGAGATCAACAGCATGGACGAGTCTGAATTCCTTAAAGCTGCCGGTAGACTCGATAAAATGCATAAGCACCGGAAACGATTATCCATTACTAAATACTGGGATTGAACGCTCTTATTTGGAAACTTTAATGATAAAATTATGATAAAATTTGTATTGTGTATACAGTGAAGAACACTGGGTCCCTGGATTGGGCTGATCCGGTCGAATCATAGCAGCGACAAGTTTATGCTGCCCACCACGCTGACGTAAACCGGCGACGCCATGTTCGACGATTGTAAGCAACAGCAGCGTGCCGTTGCTTGATTAACACAATGATCCACAGATTATACGCTAGTTTCCATCTAAGAATTATAAATAAAAATGAAGAGCAAGTAACTGCAAATAAATTAAACCCGTATGTAAATCGGATTAGAAAATGGGACAGATATGGACCTCCTGGGCCTTGACAACATAAGGATGGGCGACAACTGCGTGGGCTTCGACCGGCACGGGAACGGTTTCGGATACTGGAACTGCTCGCTGGCCGTCACGCCGCTCTAGCGAGATGAAGCTGGCCAGCGTCCCGTCGCCGCTCAACGGCACCGTCCGCACGCCTTCCATTTTTCTCCATTTGTATTAATAAATAAAAACAAATGGATAAATATTAATATTTTTATATTAATATTTATTATTACAGCAATAGACTGCCATTGTACATTCCTTAGTGTCAACTATTTCCCCAACAATTAGGAATACTGCCATTACTTTTAATTTTTGACAGTTGTTAAAAATTAATCGACAGAAATTAACATTAATCCTCCATTCGCCGTTGCAGGTGTGCTTGAGGCCGTGGAGTCGGCGTTCGGTGTGGCAAGTGCGGCCAATTAACAAGGGAGTACGGTGACGCTTACGGAGCGTTCTTGGGAAATTTTGCCGACTGCAAGGGTAGCGCGTTGCTGCCGCTCTGCGAGATCGGCCGGGAGTGAAGTGCTTCTAATCAGCAGCCGGCACTCGTGACCTTTACCATATAACCATGCATTCTAGAGAGCACCGTCATTATTCATCCGTACTTTCGTTTTTTCTGGGTTTCTTTACATAAACTGTGGAGTATTAAAAACTATTCGCCTTGCTGTTCGATCGAAAACCAGTCTGGTTTTTAACCCCAGTTGTTCAACGTGTTTTGTTCCATCGCACCGTCATCTGTATAATTGATGGAATTGATTTTGATTTGATGGAACTTCTTAAGACGATAACATGTACATCTTATGTGCAAATAATGCTGGCTGGTGAACAAAATAAAGTTTGCATATTCAGCAGATTATTGTAATGATTAACCTACCATATTGCAATCATTGACAATATTCACACATTTCATTTTATTCGGATTTTATTCAAGTGTAAAAGCTCCTGTATATCTGTATAACTACATATCTGTATAACTATATTTTTTGCCTTATTGGAACTATTAAAAATAGTCAACAAAACCCAAGAAAACCTAAAATCATAAATCATAAAGAAATCATAGATCCTAAAATATCTGTGGAAGCTAAGCGCGAAAAATTTGTTTGCGACGAATTATCCGCGATTAGCTGGCTTGTGTCGAATTGTGACAAAGTATATTGTCCCAACCACGTCAACTACGGAGTTGACGAAACGTGGCAGTTTTTATACTGGTCAACTGCCGCAGCACTGGCCGTAGGCCAGTGTTGTGGGAGTTGACCAGTATAAAAACTGCTCTTGAGTATACCAGTATAAAAACTTGAGTATACTTGACCAGTATAAAAACTGCAAAACAGCTCTTGAGTGGCGACTGGCGAGTAGCGACACTGTTTCTTTCAAATTGTTTGCGTTCCTAGGTAGGTACACTATATACTTTTCCGAGGTAAATGGACTGGAAAACATTGCACAGGAACCAGTCTAGGCTTCGCCTTCGCGCATCTTGTGGTTCACGCCGACTTTATTCGATTTTCAATAATTATTTTAGTATTACATCTATATTTCGCCGAAACAGCATCTGTACAACGCAATAGCGCAATAGCATGCATGCATTTTATACAAAAATCAATTTGTGATTTTCTCATACCACTTTTAATTCTCTCAAATGAATTCAGGATTCTCTAAACCTCAACCTGATGATTCTCGATAGTGGTGGCAGCTCGGTCACTTAACGGGCTCGATGCAATGGATAGTAGTGGCAGCTCGGTCATTCATTCGCCTAACGGGTTCTGTGTACTGGGCAGAGCCGGCAGCTCGGTCACTCGTTCACCTAATGGGCTTGGTACACTAGACAGTGTCGGTAGCTCGGTTGCCGCTCACCTAAATGGGACTGCGTACTGGACAGTAGATGCAGCGGTCACTCGTTCACCTAACGGGCTCGGTTACCCGGTAACCTAACGGGCTCGGTATACTAGACAGTGCCCGTAGCTCGGTTACTGCTCACCTAACGGGCTCTGCGCACTGGACAGTATGCCCCTACTGTCCAGCTCGGTCATGCGTCACCTAACGGGCCCGGTTACCCGCTCACCTAACGGGCTCGGCATACTTTACAGTGCCGGTAGTTCGGTTGTCGCTAACCTAAATGGCACTGCGTACTGGACAGTAGAGGCAGCTCGGTCACTCGATAACCTAACGGGTTCGGTACACTGAACCATGCCCGTATCTCGGTCACTTGTTCACCTAACGGGCTCGCTTACCTGCTCACCTAACGGGCTTGGTACACTGAACCGTGCCCATAGCTCGGTCACTTGTTCACCTAACGGGCTATGTCATTGGACAGTATCGGTCGCTCGGTTACCCGCTCTTTTCGAACCTCACTGTCACTCAGTTGACCTTACTGTTACTCACTGGAGAGTTGTGATTATTCGGTTACTCCATAACTTAGCGGGCTCGATGTCAACTGGACGGACTCATGATCACTAACCTACCGGGCTGTGTTGAAAGGACATTAGCGGTGGTTCGGTCACATCGTTCACACGGACTCTGTGCACTGAGCTGTAGTGGTAGCTCTGTTACTCTCTAACCTAACGTGCTCTGTTAACCTGACAGTCGCGTGACAGTTGCTCACTCACCTAACGGGCTGCGTTTACTGGAGAGCCGGGATGCTTCGGTTACTCAACTAACCTAGCGGGGTTATGTTGACTGAACAACAGTGGTAGTCAATTCGGTGCGCTGAACAACGGTTTTAGTTCAGTCAATCACTAACTTTACGGGCTTGTGCACTGGACAGTGGTGGCAGTTTGGTCACTCACGTACCGAACGGGATCTGTTCACTGGACAGTGGTGGTGGTTCGGTCTATGACGGATTGAACAGAAAATCATTTCTGCTCGACAGTTGTTTAGCTCGGTTACTCGCACACTTGGCGAGTAGTGGGTGCAGTGGTGGTGTAGTGATAACCGCTCGGCCAGCACTCGTCCAGAAATTCTCCTCGATGACAACGCTATAGTCTTTTAGTCATTCTTGTCCTTACAATGGTCTACTAAATAAATCCATTCTAATAATTTATTAAGTAGAAATGACCTTAAATTTTAATTTTATTTTAGTTGGTTTGCGTGGCAACATAGCCTGGTACAAATGTCACGATATTAATTATTATTAATTTAGCTGCATTTGGTGAAGGTAGTCGAAACTCTCCCACTTTGGCGTTTGAAGCGGGAGAGGTTTCGAAAGAAATGAATACTATCTGGCCGGGTTTTTGACTACGGGCTTTCAGAATATAAAGTTGGTTTTGATCAGTCATTTCTGGTTTGCCGGCCCTGGTGTATCCCATTCGTGGCAATATAGATCTGAATCTGGATACATGCTTCTTTGGCCGTTCCGTTATTCATAGGGGAAACCCAACGTGTGGCAGTGTGCAGTAAAAATTAGCTAATTTGCTCCACCATAATTTCATTCGCATCCGGCTGCGCCTTGGCTTCCAGGCCGTGTGTAACCTCCCAACGTATGCCAAATTTACGGTAGAAATTAGTCAAATGGCTCCACAATAGGCTGCGTTATGTTGTCTTGATCTTAGTAATTTTCCTACTGGCTAGTCTTTCTCGTAGTTGTTTTTCGATCTTGTCATGTTTTCAACTTTTTCTGAATTTTCTATGTTCGAAATTGAGAACTCGAGTATATAGTACTGCTGGTCGGAAGCCGGAAGATTGACAGCTTCGCAGTATCGTGTGGACTATGCCAACGTATGCCAAATTTAAGGTAGAAATTAGTCAAATGGCTTCACCATAATTTCATTCGCATCCGGCTGCGCCTTGGCTTCCCGTCTCTGTGTAACCCTCGCAGCACTTTGCATACAAACCTGCACGGAATTTCGGCGTAGCTATATATATACACGAGTACATTAGTCATCAGATTTCGTCGGTACCGCCGGGTGCACGTGGCGCGTTTTTGGCGAAAGCTCATGCAACAAAAACACCTGCGAGCGCTGTGATCAATACACATCCCGTTATAACAAACTGATGTACGCAGCGTTGAATAAACTATCGCCGACATATAAGAGATCGCCGCGGAAAAACAAATTTGTGCATTTTGCCGGTACAACGTTTCTATCCAACGCTGTACTGCATTGTCTGGTAAAAAATGCTGCAGCGCGCTGCGTTATTGTTGGTGCTGGCATGGACGTCCGGCGTACACTGCCAGGACTGTCCGGAAGCGTGGCGCCGCTTCCGCGACAGCTGCTACTTCATGGGCGAAGACTATCCCGGGTGGGTACACTGTACAGGCCGTATATACCCGTGATCTTTGAGGATTTTTGTATAATTCTTTATACATTCTTATTGTTATACCATTTCATTGTTTTCATATACATATTGTAAGCCGCGTCCGTATACCCGGTGACCTTTCAAGGTTTTTTATATGCGTATGTGAATAATTAGATTTTATATATTATTGTGTACTGTTTTTGTGAGCATCCCTTATCTAATGATGCAGAGGAAGCTACTACGAGACGGCGGCCTTCTGCCGCGGTCTAGGCCAAACGGTCGACGGACGGGAGGCGGCGTATCTGGCGGAGATCAACAGCATGGACGAGTTCGAATTCCTTGAAGCTGCCGGTACGATCCATACTCGTATCTGTATGCACCTAAAACCACTAGTCTACTTTTTGTAATAGTGACATTTATTGATGAATAAAGTAACTGGATGGCCTTACCAATTATGAAATAATTTGTATTCATGAAATACTCGTGCTTAACAATATGAAGGTGTGTGGTGGCGTGTATTGCACAGTGAAGAACACATCGTATAACACGGGCCCCTGGATTGGGCTGATCCGGTCGAATCACAGCAGTGACAAGTTCATGCTGCCCACAACGCTGACGGAAACCGGCGACGCGATGTTCGACGAATGTACGTACGAGCAGCGTAACGTTAATAAATAATAATTAGAACGCTGTTCCGCATAGTATACGGTAGAGTTTGCATATACAATACGTATGAATTATCAGTATAAAAATGCATAGAAAGTTTAGAAATACAAAAATAAACGGTACAGTGCATTAATCAGATTTTGAAATGGGACTTCCAGATATGGAGCTGCTGGGCCTGGGCAACATCCGGATGGGCGACAACTGTGTGGGCTTCGACCGGCACGGCAACGGCTTCGGCTACTGGAACTGCTCGCTGGCCGGCACGCCGCTCTGCGAGATGAAGCTGGCCAGCGTCCCGCCGCCGCTCAACGGCACCGTCCGCACGCCGGCCGCCACGGTGGCCAGTTCCGTTTATACGATGGCCAAACAGACGGCGGCGCTGCGCGAGGGTTGTCCGCAACTGCCGGGATGGACGCGGCTCGGCAAGAACTGCTACTTCCTAGCCAACGACTTCATGAGGTACATAATTCGGTATTAACTGCGCCTTAATAGTTAAAGGTCATCCATCGCCTGCTTATATATGCACAGAAGACGCGCTAATAAAATATTTATAAATACGTATGAAAATATTATTTATATTATTAATTAAAAATAATAATTAAAAACGATAATTATGATTGTTAATTTTTTAGTGTCAACTATTTCCAAGCGACCGCCTTCTGCCAGGGCTTCGGTCGTAACGCGCATCTGGCGGAGGTGAAGAGCGCCAACGAACGAGACGCCATCGTCGATAACAGTAAGCTGATTGTTCAGCGCAGCGGCATCAGTGCACTAGTGGGACAGTGTTGCATGGATACTTGTTAATGTCTATGGTGTGGGGGGGTGGGACCCTGGAATATCAAGTCATTACAATCTGAAAATTGTGTCATCCTGCGAAACTGCGGCATCTTGCGAAACTGCGGCATCCTGCGAGACTGCGATAGGCCGCAAAACTGCAGTAGCCTACGAAACTGCGGCATCCTGTGAAACTGATACAGGTTGCGAATGTGTGATGTGCTGACAAATTTGCCAGCGGAAAACATTTTCTACATATAATAACACCCGTTCCAGTTATATGTAGGTTTTCGCTAGCGAGCTTACTATTGTTAATCTTTATGTTTTAACCTTTAAATAATATCCATGTTTTGAATTCTGGTAACAGCATGAAGCAATTTTAACGGTACGACTCGTTTTCGTTACGACTAGTAACATAAGCGTAAATGTGTAGTTATTAAACTTAATGCGAGTGCACAGTATTAGGAATCGATGGTCAATAGATGTTTACTCCCATCGGATATTCATCGTCGGGCGCAACTCGTTTGGTGCCGCGTTCAGTTGAAGCTTTGCGGTTGTAAGGATTTTGATTTTTTAGTTGCTCAATTATTTCCGAGAGTTCACGTTTCTTGGATGGTGGTAATGCAAAGTCCGCGTTGTAGGCACTTTCGTAAACCGTGAAAATCAGCCCGGCAGCGATCAAAATCTGCTTGTCAATTTCAGCAGGGGGGCATTTATACAGAACGTTTCCTTCTTTGCCGTTGGACATGACAAAACTTTTTATAATGCCCAGACCGTCCTCTTGCATTTGTAGCGCCGCATTAGAAAACTCGGTTTCTGTCAGCCTCACAAATGCTTTTCTGGATCCGTATGTGTCATTATGTATACGACATGTTGTAAATTCGCCCGGTGTAAGAACAAGAGAGAAATTTGTGGGTTTAGCACATGTTGCCGGCCTGATGTTTTCGTATTCATTGAAGGCACCTCCGCTGATATCAGCAAAATTGTATGACTTTTGCACTGTTTCCAATGGTACTTTATCGGGAATAATGATTGCCTTGATAGTAAGCATACTCTGATAGGACGAGCTCAATATGTGGGACAGCATTGAAACTTTTTGAATGTTGTCCTCCAACTTCGAAACAAAATCCGATCTATCCATAGATGACTCACCGTTGGCAATTTTCTGGTTGTGTAGAATGCGCATCCGTTTTACATCCGAAGATATTTTCGCAATAAATTCGAAAGCTTCTTCCGAATAAGTGAGTAATAAGCCAGGATGTTTGTCCAAATATTCATACAATTTAATAAACATTTCTTTCAAGTCAACCACCGGCTTTGGCAGACGCTGTTTTGCTTCTCTGCTTTCCGGAATATCAGTAACGATGTTATCGACTGCAGTGACCAGCAACCGGTCTTCCAAGCCGTTTCCGGCTGTCCAAGATTTAAGAATATTACAGAATGGCTGCGGATGCAAACTACCGAAAAACGCAGACGAACTGCGAGGCAGCTTCAACGATCCTGCTGTTTTATACGACACGTTTAAGCTTTGTCCTCCCAAACTTTGTTCATCAGGCTTGCTGCGTTTTCCTCTGCCAATGTTAGTGTACCGAGTGTTCCCGCTATTTCGTCAGCTATGACAGAACCAAATCCTTTGGTGTCGGCAAGAAATGTACGATAAGCTAAAACAAAGTTATAGTTTGTGAAAGTGCGTTCGTTAGTGTAGAAGTGTGTGTGTAAACAGTGGCGTGTTTAAACTGTACAAAATTAAAATTAATGGTGTACAAAATTAAAAGAAATATTGTGATGAATAATAATTATTGTATATGGATAATTATTGTATATGTCCATTTATAAACACAAATCTGTTACCTCCAAATGTATGCGGATTATCATAGAACTTCTTGTTCTTTTTTTGTGAAATTGCATCCAGAAAGTCTGTACAGTAGTCCTGCAAAGCTGTGCTTTTTCCTCCCCGGATTGCAAACAATAAGCAAGTTAATGGCTGGGCATTGTTTCTTGTAGTTCTCTGTGATTTGCAACAGAACTTTCTCTGCGGAAATTGTTGCTGTTGTAGCCAACAACGAACCATAAACAGCCATCTCTTTTGTTCTGTTGGTCTGAGCATGGTAGATTATGCAGTTCAATAAATCACCAGACACGTAGTCTTCAACCTGGTGGCTAAAATTCTTAATGCAGACTTCCTGCACGAACTTAGCCTCATGTTTCGATACGGCGGACAACTTTCCTTTCAATGAAGAGTTCATTTTCAGTTAACGAGTAGTTGCTGGTGTAGTTAAGAAAACTAATTAACCTTTTCCAGTGCTGTATTAATTATAACCTACTTTTAACAAATGCACGTTGGTGTGCATTGGTACAATAGGTCGCAGCTGCCGCAGCGGCTTTCGCCTTGGATATAGTAATTTGGCTATTAATAAATACAGAATACTTTGTAAAATCCTAACAACAACAACAACAACAAGTACTATTAGTAGTACTAAGTACATCGGTACTATCAGTATTATGTACCACCAGTACTACGTATTACAGTAAGCTGTATGCTAATCGGATACGACTCACTGAAAAAAAAGGTGGCAAGTTGACTCGACAACACTGTATCAGTACCACAAATTTATGATATGTACCACAAAGTGTTATCAGTACTACATAGCATTAGTGTGTTCTTTACATAACTGACTGCATAGCAACAAAACCATGCGTTTCCAGTTATTATCTTACCATTTATATACAGTATTTATATTGTTTGAAGTTGCTTTCTTTACTATACACAGGGTAAGCGTGTAAATGTGTATTGGAAAGGTCAGGCCTGAATTTATGGACTGTTACGAGATACGGCAGTAGTGTCTACGACAGTAGTCGTGGTAGCGGAGAGTGGTGGTACAGAGAAATACTTTACTACACGTACTACAAATTATCGTTAATACTGTACTACAGAGAACTACTTTACTACAGATTATTACGGAGTATTTGCGTTTTGTAAACAGCCCTTACTGTGTTTTGACTCTATTATATTATTTTTTATACTTTACGAAATCTAGTTGCCTTGATACAACGATCTAACAAAAAAAAATTTACAATACATAGAAACGAGTACTACATAGGAGAGTTCACAGGTATTATGTTTTACTAGCCTAAAAGTAACTAAAGTAAAGTTATCAACATAAAGAAGCACTTCACCATTCTTCATATAACTCATCCATGCAGATTATTATCGAGGGAAATATTGGATGCGGGAAAACAGATCTCATAAAATATCTGGGAGCAGACTGCCGTATTCAAGTAATTTAATTTGTCTGTAATTTTTTATCTGTAAATCTAATATTGTTCATTACTTTTAAGGCTTTTGAAGAACCAGTTGAAATTTGGAAAACGAAAGACAACCGAAATTTGCTGGTTAACCTGCAGACAAATAATTAGTAGATAAATATGTAATTCAGTTCGCTCACATATATTTTCAGGATCTAATGTACAAAGATCCACGCAAATACGGCTTTGACTTTCAAAAGCTGGTTATGCAAAGCATGATGGACCGCCAAAAAAATCTTGCCACCGAAACAATTACTGTATTTGAAAGATCAATTTTCAGTGCGCGTTACGTTTTTACTGAAAGTCTGCGCTCGAGGTACAACACATTTGAAAGTATTGTAGTAAGCATACTTATTTTAAACACCTACTTTACGTTTTTAAGCGAACTGCTGGAGAATGTGGAGTACGAAAAGCTTGACGAACTATTTCAAAATTACTCGGCTAAACACCTGCCAGTGACAATGATTATTTATCTCAAAGCTTCGGTTGAAACTTTGCAACAACGAATTCTTTGCCGCGGACGAGAAGAAGAAAGTTGCATCACAAAGGTCACTCAAATTTTAGTAGCTTCATCGAACTGCACAGCAATTTAATTGGAAGTTTATAAAAGGTCATATTATATGAATGTCCATTTTAGGCGTATCTTACAAAGCTTAATGAACTTTACGATACATGGCTCAGTGGAAAGTGCTTTCCGGTTCCCAGTATTATTATGGTAATTCAATAACAATATTAATCGAAATGCTATGCTATAGTAATGAACTTTACGATACATGGCTCAGTGGAAAGTGCTTTCCGGTTCCCAGTATTATTATGGTAATTCAATAACAATATTAATCGAAATGCTATAGTCCAAATACGAAATCATAGTTAATATCGTCATAGAGAATACGAAAATCATAATTATTATCATAATTATGCAGACCTGCGGTGGTGCGCACTGCACGTCAATAACAAATCGGACTAAAACCTATACTTTGGAATTATAGACTATGAATGCCGAAATTCCACAAGCACAATTATATGCTGATATCAAGGAGCAGATTTTCCGCCTCATTTAATAAGTACGTACATTATCTCTATCCTACATTAACGTAACCGCTAGACTACGCTACACGTACAGTAACTACATTATCATAGCCACTGCAAATACGTAGTTTTTCTTCGTACGATACACAGATCAGCTGCATATTGTACATACAGCAGAAGCTGATTAAGCTGTTGCGCTGTGACAATTCAATGATGTTATAAAATACTTAATAAATTCGAGTACTACACTACATTTGTCTGCTTATCTTTCCGCAAAGACAAATAACCATGTTGTGGTACTCTAAGTTGCAACATGCGATTCATCATCTTAAAGATGGCGAACACGTATTTGCCGAACAAATTCTGACCAGCGGATGCAGAAAGTTTCTTGTTTGTACGCAAGCTGAGATGTATTCATTACTTTTATCACGAAATCCGTCCGAACGATCTTTTATGAAATTCTTTTACCTGGCTATTACTGCAAGTTTTATATGGATATCGAGCTTGTTTACCCGCAGACAATTAAATGCAGATTACTGCTTACTTTACTGAAACAAATCATCGAATACATCGGATTGAAAAGAAGTCGCACAAAGTTATTGTGCTTGACGCTACTACTGATCGCAAAGAAAGCTATCATTTAATTTGGCCTGCCATTTTAGCAGCTGGAAATCAAGAACACAAAAGTTTAGCGAACGAACTTAAAGCTGATCTTTTAAATATCACATACATCGACTGCGTGGATTTATCTGTTTACAGTCGAAATCAAAATTTCCGCATGTTCATGTGCAACAAGAAAGGCGCGACCAATAATTTTGTACTCCATAACCTTACGACAGAATGTGGACAAATCAAATGTAATTATTTGATTTTTATGCAGTCTTTGATTTGTGGCAGTAGATATCAGGGCAATCAAAACACACACGACTTACATTTTGATGCAGTCAGTGCGCTTGGACAAGCGAATTTTTCATCTGATATTTGTAAGGCTTTTATTCAGATATTAATCAAATGGTCAGAAAACTATCGTAATCTACTGCTCGGTTCGATGCAGTTTTCAAAAAAACATGATGTGTTGCTTTGTATTACTCGCGGACAACAGCATTGCCTTATTGCCAAAAAGAGGCATAAACACAACAATGTTTATTTTGTGCACGTGGATGGAAGCACATCCCTGCAATTTCGTTGTACTGACTCTGTTTGCAAATCTGCTTCCTGTGGAAAATTTGCAACATACACAATCACAATGTTGGAACGTCAAGTCATGGAATTGATACATTCTTCGTTTCAAGTATCAACTGCTTTGCCTAACGTAAGCTTTAAACATTGCAATACGTGCATTTTGTACATTTAGTAATGCTTGTAGTACTACTGTATTCATATAAGTACTTATCGCTGCACTCAAATATCTTCCCTTGTAACCTTGACAATTAGTTCTTAAAGGTCACTCAACAAATTATAGAATTCTTGATGATCTACATGAAATTTATGCTAGTGGAAGTGTTTCATGAAGTGTTTCAAGTGTGTTTCAAGTGAAGTGTTATGAAGTGTTTCAAGCACCATATCTTTGGTTGGAAAAATATACTTATAGAATGAAGCTGCCAAAATGAATATTTCTCTCGAGGATATCAATCTACCAGATGAAGAAGACATATCGTGCACGGCTTTGCCTTCTAACCAGACGCCTGTCATACAGGTTTATTCTCGTAATAAATATATTCATTAGAATACTCGTAAGAAAAACACCTTCATACTAAAATTATGTGTATTTGCAGCAAATCATAAACGGGGACGTATTACAAAGCGATCTGGTCATCGTACGCCATAAACGGCACATTAACGGAACATGGCTGTTAACAATACAGGACGCATTTAATTTAACATCGAGTGCGGAAGCAATATTGATAATATTTATTTACTGATTTTCGTATTTTTGATAATATTTACACAGACATGTTTTCTGCAGATGTCCAGATCGACAGAAGTCTAAATACTTTAATCGAAGCAGCAGTTCTTCCCAAAGTCGCAAAACTGATAAACGTCAGCGTGATTCACACTTCACCGGAGTAAGATAACAATAAACTTCTATAACAAATTTACAATCCTTTAATAACTGTTCTGTTCAGAAACTATAATAACGGCCGCTATAATTTTCTAGAAAATTTCTGTTCATTCAAAGTTTCCAACTACTCGATACCGCCGCAGACAGAATTCAAAAAAATGGTAGATGAATGGGAACCGATTGGCATTAAACGAGAAAACTTTCGCACGTCGAAAGAAATGTTGATTATCGAACTGAATCTGGAATCAGCCAAGTAATGCTGTCGGTCTGCACCATGACAATACACTTAACCGACTGCTGTTAAAACATAACATTAATTAGTATCACTATTATTATCAATGCAGAAATTACTTTGAAATTATTAATAAAATTAAGAATTATTGTTTTTTGTTTAGAACATAGCACGATCCACAATATAGATTGGAGATAACTGACTAAATATTTTTATTGCTAGCTGTACGATCGATGGGGTCATCTCAAATGTAAAAGGACCCACGAAATGGTTCAAAGACGGAAAGGCTGGAGAGTTCCTCTCCTTCGATATAGCAGACCAAAGTGCTAAAATTCGCGGTGTTATGTTCCAGGACACAATCGCAGACTATTCGCAATTTTCAAAGAAGGCAATAAGCTACGGATTATCAATCCTCGGATTTTGGAAAAAAATCTCGATTTTGCTACATCGGATTATGAAACTAATTTTGAGCTACATATACGTCGTACAACAATTGTACAAAACTCAGTTAAACGATTAAAGTTTTGCTAGTATGCAACTTGTACATATTTACTTGTGCATATTTATTGACATACGTACGTGCTATGTGTACATAATGCTTCACGTATTCACTATCCACGCATGCGTGTTGTCTGTACAGTATGCAGGCAACAGACAGTACAGTATGTACAGACACATAAGAAAATAAGAAAATAAGCAAATAAGCAAATAAGAAAATAAGAAAACTAGAAAACAAGAAAACAAGAAAATAAGAAAATAACTGTACGTATAAAATATTCACGTATTCACTATTAACGCATGCGTGTTGTGTGCAGTGTGTACAGTATGCACAATACAGATACTTCGTAATCGTACTGTACTATAGCGCAAAAACACAAAAGAAAATAACTGTACGTATAAAATTTATCGTACAAAAAGTTAGGCCAGCATCGTTATCGTACAAAATCGTATTCCTACTTTACTGATTATATTTATTATTAACCTTATTCCTCACTCCATCGGATTCGCTAGTACAAAGATATTTCTTTTATTTACGATCTTTCTTTTATTTATTTACTCATCATTCGAAACGTCCAGTTCATGATTACAGTATTCCACAATATGCTTCATAATATTATCGAAACCATCATGATTTGCGTCATACTTCTTTCTCCATAAAAATTCACAAATATACGAATCGGCCATCTTATCCGTAGTTCCATTTGATGGCAAAGAATCTTTCAGCCATCGCCACATGTTCTCTACGCGATTTGTACATGCGCCGGTAGTCGGGTCCACGAAATTCTCAGAATGATTCACTGTTAGGTGATCATACCCCATTTCTTCAATGCGGCAATATGCCCGCCACTTATCACTCATAATTAGTGTGCCTTCCAAAACATGTGCTTGTAGAATTGGCAGTAATGTTTCAGCAGCCCTGTCATTGACAAAACAATAAAAGCATCTTTTGTTTCTCTGCAAATACCCCGAACGCCCATTGCTGTTTTCTTTCGTTTGACAAGAGTCTTCCACGATTGTATTTTTCTTTTAAAAATTAACGATTCGTCAATCTCGACTGTCATTCCAATGCCACCAATTTTCGCAACCGACAAATCCTTAATTATTTTTGCTTCACATACATTTCGCAGCATGAATGACACCTGGACGACAGTGTGTTCGCTAAAATTAAAATGGAAACACAATTTTCGTTGGTTAAAATTTCATGAGCCCAAAAGTACATCAACTGAACTGCTTTATGAAGTGGAAGATGTGATTCTTCAAAAAAAGTGCCAGTCTTCGCAGAATACTTGCTGTAAGGTGGCTGACTACACCGAAATGTCCATGGGAAGAGTGAACGATCACTTCTACGTGTAATGCGTAGTATTTCTTCACTATGAGCAGGACATACAATTTCCGATCTCAAAAGACCGTGCTCGATGCAAAACTCGAAGGCTTTTTGATCGCAATCATCGATTAAATTCAAAAATTCTTTCAATTTTAACGCCATTTTGCTTTAAAAAGTACCATACGAAAAAAATGCATACGCGAAAGTTCAAAGCCAGTGGCATCATATCAATTTCAATATCAAGACCTAGCAACACCATATAAATACATTTTGCATCGCCGCAGTACCACCGTCCCGCAGCGCCGCAGTCCCGCAGCGCCGCAGTCCCGCAAACCGCAGTCCCGCAACCGCAAGTTCTGCAACGCCGCAGACCGCAGCCCTGCATATACGCAGCCCGGCATTCCCGCAGCGCCGCACACCGCAGTCCAGCATACAAGCAGGCCCGCAGTATGCAGCCCAGCATATACGCAGCTCGGCATTTCCACAGCGCCGCATACCGCAGCCCAGCATACAAGCAGGCCCGCAGTATGGAGCCTCGTATCCCGGCATGCTTGCATTCTAGCATTCTCGGCCCACTTCATTTCAGGCCCACTTGTACATTATTACCAGCGCAGCATTAACTGTAAAATTAAACGTTGTCCCTCGACATTTTAATCTACTCGCAGAATTGTACGATCATATTTCCACATGCCCACAGAAAATTTGTAATGAATTATACTTATATATGTAGTTTCTTTATATTCTTTTATCTGTCATGATATATAATTATCTAATTATATTTATATCGTACTCTGTACTTATATTTACAATTATTTTTATATGTAATTAGCTATGAATTTTGCAGTGCTGAGCGCCAGTTCCACCACGGACCGGGTCTGGCTGAGCCTGCTGCGCACGCCCCGCTTCTCCAAGAAGCCCATCCTGCCGGCATCCCTCCGCAGCCTCGACGCCACCGCCGATCCCCTCTTCCAACAAAGTACGCTCTTCCCCAACAATTAAGAATACTGCTGTTATCTTTGCTTTTAAAAAAATTATCTGCAGACGTTAACATTGATTCTCCATTCCCCGCATTGCAGGTGTGCGTGAGGCCGGGGAGTGGGCGTTGGACGGGGCCCGGTGCGGCCAGTTGGCGCGGGAGTACGGCGACGCGTACGGTGCGTTCCTGGTGACCTTTGGTGATTGCAAGGACAGCGTGGCGCTGCCGCTCTGCGAGATCGGCCTGGAGTAACCGCTTCCATTCTGGAGCCGGCACTCGTGACCTTTACCATATAACAATACGTATATTCGCATCATCATTTAGGTGTTTATCCGTTCTGTCTTTTTTTCTGGGTTTCTTTACATAAATTGTAGAAAGATAAAAATCATTCGCCATTTAAGAGCTGCCTGGATTTTAATTAACGTCAGTTTTTCAGCGTGCTTTAATGCATCGCACAGTCAGCGATATTTTGTTGGAATTTTGTTTTTCTGAAGACGTATTATTATTCTGCTGACATGTAAATCTTATGTGCAAACAATGCTGGTTGTGGTCATCCGTTTTGTTACTGCTGTTATTGAACTGTTGTTTTTTCGGTTTCATTAATAATTTCTATATCCCGTTTACGTTAAATTGGGATGAAATGGAGTATTGGCGTGAACATACTAACTGTAAATGTTGAAACTCATCGTTTTGTGTTTGGGAATTTGGGATTATTCGCGGGAACTGATGATGAGTTGAGAAGTTAGGAAATCTTCCACACAATGTCCACCAAGTATGCTTTAGTAACAATTTTTTAAAAATTCTCAATCGGGATCGTTCTCTAACGACAAGCGGTACCATGCATAAATAATATCGTTGATAAATGCAAATAACTTCTGTAACATAATTAAGGAACTAAATTTTGGGAGCAGGGGCATCTACGCCCAGTTGTCAACTTCCAGTCGGTTCGCATTTTGACGAGATAACACGGGCATTTTCCCCTGTGGTCTCTCCCATGTCCTGCGAAACGGTGTTGCAGGTTTATAAATTATTCAGTAAATTCCGGTTGTTACATGTACATACAGATGCACCATTTTACGATGAAAAATGCATTACGTTTAGGAGTACAGATGCACGTATGTGCTGGAAGACTTTTATTTATCTGTTTCTGGAAGAATTCTGACACCAATACCTTGGGATGAATGCTGGATTCCATGAACCTATCAGGCGTATGCCGCGTATCTCTAAGGAAAAGGAAGGCGTCTCGTCCATACGCGATCGCTGCTGCCCAGCAGAATAGCTGTAAACATGAAAAGCAGCCTGTAGTACGCGACGATACAGTTGATTTTAGTACAAGTTTTCATTCTGCCGGCAAATTTCTGTGATGGCTCTTAAGGGGGACTAATTTATAGCAGGTCCTCGATTTTATGAATCACCCATTTTCTAAACTTAGTGTGTCCTTATACAACAAACATTTCTCCATCTGAAACAAGTTAGATATCGGAGATCGGATAAGTCGTTTAATTCTTATGCATTTTAATGCGAAGGCTGTCATAAAAATTTGGAACTGGCGCAGCTGATAAATCAACAGCGCGCGACTGATTGTCTGTCTGTTTCCTGTCGGGCAGTCAGACGAGCGGTGGTATTATTGGGCGGCTGGCGGTCAAGCCAAACTGACCGCAGCACCTTTAGCGAAGTCCAGTGAGACTGAGTGAGTTGATCAAAAGAGCACGCACTACACAGTCAGGCACACCTGCTCATCAGCCTTTTGTTCTGCCGACCAGCCTGACGGCACAGTGATCTAAACCACGATTGCACGAACAATATGATGTACACAAAGCTTTTGGAAATGATGTTTGAAATTATATAAGACACATAAGTTTGCCAAAAAGTTTGTTTTTCTGCGCTTAAGATATAAGACAAATTTTTGTTGATAATTTTGTCCCAGATTACGCCAGATAGCACTAACAGTTATACCAGGAAAGTGTTTTAAATAAACTTTAAGAAATGCAATCAAAATTGAATACAACATAATACAAAATATTACTTTGTACCGTGGTTCAAGATACCTTTGGAGATATAAAATTAAAATTAAGGAAGTCCATAAATACAGCGCAGTCCTAATATTGTACCTGAATACAAAGCTTGATAATTAAAGACTACTTAATGATGTAAAAGATACTAGTACTTTAGATTCAGTTTCGACTTTCGAGGAATACCAACTTGCCAAGCAGTCGTTTGCGTTATTGTTTATCTTTTCAACGAAAGTGACGAAACGGCTAATTCTGGGTTATCAGGCTTATAAATGCATTACAGTGGTCACTGGTCAGCTTTCCTTTGTCAGCCATCGGTCTGGTCCGGTCTGGACACACCGGGCTGGAAGGCGCAGACACTGGACACAAGCAGACTGCGCAAGCAGCAAAACAAAGAGCAAATGGCTGAATGCGCTGCTATTTAGCTTGACCAGCGCGTTCCAGTATCGATAGACAGGCAAGCACTTTACATGCTTCTTCTGAAAAGTACAGTTTTTTGCCTTTCTCGTTTGTACTCCTCTCACACTACGTAAACAATCAATAAACGTCGTACACCACTGTGTAGCCAATTCTCTCCTCTAAAAACGTAAGAGATTGGTTTTTGGCGACCTGTTTCTGGATTTTGTAAAAGTGTGCTGTTAAGTCGGTGAAGTGATGAAAATGGTATCTTCCACCACTTTAAAATTCAATCTGCTTGTGGTCGCCGAAATCCGCTTTCTTACGTTTGTGGAGGACAGTATGCTACACCAGCTGAGGCAATTTTTGGCATGATTAGGTAATGTTTGTAAAACAAGTATATTAAAATGTGTGTTTTTCTACTTTATAAATTTTAAAGTTTAAAATACATCATTTTAAATTTTGTTTTAGTGGATGCGATAAAGTAAAAATCATGCTACTTGATAGCACCTTCACTTATGGCACAACTGTTGTCATAGAGTTAGTGGTTTAACTGAAAGTGAAGGACTTTTAGGTAATTATTATAAATTAGTCCCCCTTAAGTTATTATGCTTCACTGGGAGTGGGACCAGGGCTTCAAGGTCAAAGAAGGTTTTGGTTCTTAGGTTGACTACAGCGACATAAGCCGCTACAACGTCATAAATTAATATGGATTTTACAATGATTGCTTTACAGCAGAATACGGAATATTAAACTAACCGCACATATCCTTCTGTTGGTCAACGCATCGGCAAAAGCCATCATAATAGCTCCAGAGAACAACATGCAGTGCACTTCGAATAGGGAGCACATTATTTCCTGGAAAAATAAGCAATTAATATATATTTATAAAAAGATCAACATATACATACTTGCAATTGTATATTTTGCGCTTAACGTGCACTAACAAAATTATTTGAGCGGAACTGTATTTACAACGCATGAGTGCGGGCGGTTACAGGTTAACTTACAGTAGTACACTTGTATTTGGTACAGGGAGAAACGAAATTTTTACGACTTGGAATTGGCACAGTTTTGCAGTAATAATAGAATTAGAATTAATATATATGAATACAGTGTACGTACGCAGTCCGTACATTGTACATGTATCAGCAGATTCAATGAACTTATATACTGTACTTTATTATACTGGAAGTTCTGAATATAAGTAGAAATCTGTAAATCGCGTGACGGCGTTACAGCGCGCGATTGGAATAGCCTTACGATGGTATTCCAAGGAACGGCATGGAATGTATCAACAAGATGAAAAAGATGTGCAATGAGCAGTGCCAGGGTAGCAACGAATGCGATGGCAGTGGCAATACTGGTCCACAATGCCGAGTAAACATCCGCCATAAACCAAGGGTTTTGTGGTGAGCCGCAGAGGGACGCAACAAATGCACTGAACGTGCACACCTGCATCCACAAAAAATTCACGTTTCGCTGCACATAAACACACGCAAGAATTTATACAAAAACTGATCGACACGAACTGTATACCGGATTGATTAGCTTTATGGATATGTCTTTTGCAGAAAGTTTCAAGAAGATCGGGTAATAACCAGACTTTTGGTACACAACAATGCATTTAAACTTTTCGCCCATTTTAGTACGCCATATCTCGGCAACCGGATGTTGCACGCGCAAACGGTTTTCAGGATAATGTATACAAATCATTTAGCTTTAGAATGACATAAAGTATTACAAAAACGTGGTTCGGAGTGCGCGAAAGCGAAAGTTTTAGTGTATGTATCCCATTTTCGACACAAAGTACCGAGCCATTTCCCCTAAATTAGATCATGTACAATATTGTGCGTATCTGTACACAGTACAGTAGCGTACCATTTCCGTAATTTTCAGGAGTCCGGATAACGTCCGGAGATACTAAAAGATGAGCAAGCATAATAAACTGCCTCGGATAGCGCATTAAAAAATATTGCAACCAATCCTTACGTTAAAGTTTTAGCGTGAACGATGCTGCTGGATTTGACAGGCGATTCCGGCACGTCCGATTTTCCAGATTGATAATGCAAGCATCCGGAAGGCAGCGAAGTATATTTGCCGGATAAAGCGATCGCGATGTTGTGATGATAAAGCAAAAATTCCTTGGTCTCCATGTTCCACAAACGTTGCTGGATAGTATGACCAACCGAAAAGGATGCAGTTGCAAACTGCAGAGTAAAATAATCACTGAAAATTATTAGTAAACAAATCCGTCTTAAAAGTTACAACATAATCCGATTTCATCCCGTTTGTTAATACAGAACACTTATTTAATACTCAATGATCCGTAGTCTCCGTAGAATTCAAATTATTCAATATTAAACCAATGTAAAGAAGTATGCTCAGTACGACTTGCTGCTACTGCTGCTGCTGGAACCTTAGTGAACGCTTAAGTCTTGCTGCGGTAGAAATGCCAGCTAATGTACAGTACGTTGTAGAATAATTAATCGTAAAACCACTACGTTCAATACATCGTACAAGGCGATCGGTGCATGATTTTTTTAGCACGCCACGATCATGCTCCGATCAGGCATTGCGTTCGTCACCGTACTCCGTACGCAGAAAAATTACGAGTACATGTACTGTACATAAGGGCCCCATTATTTCTTTAGGCTCTTCAAATTGTCGCACCGGCTTACGGAAAATGTATTAATTTTTGCACGTTTTGTAAAGTGCTGCCAGTGTGGTACTCGTACTAAGTGCGTACGGATACCGTTAGTAGTTTGTATTTCGTTGCACTGTGTGTATAATACTAGTACTATTGTAGCTTTTTCTAATTTCCCTACAAATTAACAGTAGACGTACCGAATCTATCGAAACAAAGAGAACCTTTCGTTGTCGGATCGCTAGCTGTTATCATATTTCTAGTTATTCTGTGGCTTATATATATATATATATATACATATATCAAGGAAATAGATCTATATTATGATCGGCCGCCCCGTGGAACTTGGCTAGAAAAAACCGCCAACCAAATTAAAAAACCGATTTCACCATTAAACTCAGCATGTCCCAAAAGGGTCCCACATGCATTTTGTTTTCAAAAATATCTGCTCTGGACCGTCGCTCGGATGCCGGTACGAGCGTATTCCTATTTACCTGCATAGTTCCTTTACATATTAGGTAGAAAGCGAAATCGCACTTCGTCCACTCGGTGGTAGAAAACAGGCAATGTCTAACCATAGTTTGCGAAAACTAAACTTTGCGACTAAAGTTTTAGACTAAAGTTTGCGAAAACTTTCGCTTTTTAAAGTTAGAAAGCGAAAGTTTACTGACCGTGAGTTTTCCTATGCAATGAAAAACTCACTGACCGGACCGGCATAATTATGAGAACAAAGTTCTTGAGCTTTCGAATGAACAGAACCGCACAAGGGTTACACTATCCACTAACCAGACCTACTGTGTTACAGGAAATATACTGACCGTCGATCAGGCCTGTAGAGTGAACGGAAGCTAAAGTTTTAGGGAAGGGATATTATCTTAGTGTTAGTGGCGTGGACCAGATAAGAGCAGAACCGTTATCAGTGTCCTACACAACGCTAATGCACCAGCTGTAAACTAACAGAACTGTGCAGAAGCTGCCATGTCTAGATAAAGGGAACGGTCGCCATTGTCCGAGATCCTCAATTTACCACCGGCCTTACCTCCCCTTACCACAAACAGTGTGACCGCGAGGGCTGGTTTTTATTTTGTTGGTGGCTATTGCCAATACACAAAAAATGTTAACTACCTAGTACCGGGTAGAACGACATCCCGGGTAAATTAGATGCTTAATATCTCTGGCAAAAAATTTTTTTGGGAACAGTTATCCGGAAACAATCGATATTCAGAAAGAGCCAACCCAAAGGCCATATCAGTGCTTAGGTATCACTAATTAGGGCTGCTGTGTAAACGGAAATTACAGGACCCTCTATTGCTGTTACTAATGTTCAGTGAGTAGGACAACGTAATCTCTGTTGCTCGTTATCACTACATACTTCTTGCTGCCGACTGAATCAAAAATCAAAAAATTATCAAAAAATCGAAAAATTCACACTACTAGAGTACGAGTACTGTATCTACCGACCAAGCCTACTGATTACTGAACAAAGGATATTATTGTCCTCGATCAAAATTGGTTTCCATATAAATATTTTACATATTTTCCAATTATTTTTCATCCTACGATAATTGCGACATAAGCTATCTCATTCCAAGTTTAATCTGTACAAATTTTGTAGTGTTGAGTGGTCAGCAAGGCTGAAGCTTCGGCACGGTCCGCGTCTGGTTGAGCCTGCTGCGCGCGCCCCACCTCTCCAAAAAGTATATTCTGCCGGCGTCCCGGCCAGCATACACGCCACCACCGATCCCCTCTTCCCGGAAAGTATGTCCTTCGCGAAATTATACGTTCCTGGTGTTGTTTATAAGTATCGGCATAATGAGATGCAGTAAAAATAGCAACGAAATGTGCATAGCTAGCACATACAGCTATAAGCAAGAGGGGCTCCATCAGTGCCAGTAAACTGCGGCGGCTGGTATACAAGCCGCAACAAGTCCCACATGTTGCTGGACATGGCGCTGATGTTCAAGCTCGCCGATGTGGCGCCTGGGAATTACAGATCCACATGCACAGCTGGCCCAACAGCAGCCACCAGCTTCCGTTAACGGAAAATAATGAATGATCTTTACAGTATCACTCGGCCCCACGTCACCGTCTATTCTACTTGGACTTGTCCTGTGAGGCTAGTAGGTAATCCTCACGCTTAAGGAAAATGGCCCGGTACATAGTCTCAAAAATGGATGGATACACTAAGACTTTCGCTTTCGCGCACTTCGAATCCCTTTTTTCTAGTACTTTATGTCATTCTAAAGATAAATGGTTTGTATACATTATTCTGAAAACCGTTTAAACGCGCGTAACATCCAGTTGCCGAGATGTAGCAGAATAAATTGGGGAAAAGTTTAAATGCATTGTTGTGTATGTAGCAAAAGTCTCGTTATTACCCGATCTTCTTGAAACCTTGCTCTAAAAAACACATGGCCATGAAGTCGAAAGTGAACCAATTTCAGCTTCTTGGCACTTTGCCATAATTTTGAAATAAATTTTAAAACTTATGAAATTCATTTTAAAATTGGAAAAAAATGCTATGAATGTTGATATTGGTTCACTCTCGATTTTATTGCCATGTGTTTCCGGGCCGTTTTCCTTAACAGCGGCCCAAACCTGTTGCTGCCACGATTCTATATTTAAATTATTCCTGTACCGTCACATCCGGTTACAGTTACAACAAGTTAGGCAATCCAGTTAACGCAGCATTTCGACCTCGATTGTGACGCGGTGACGCGACGTCACCTCAAAGCGAGTGGCCTCAGGCCTGCTTTAGTTTGCTTCGTGAACACCTTCGAAAAGAAGACGGTTCGTGGGGCGGAATACGTGAGAACAGACCCAGACTGCGCATGCTACATTTTAATCAAAGCGCCCAGTCGGCTGGCACAGTCACGAGCATAAACCAGAGTTTGCACGAACGAACACTGCCTTAGGGGACTGCGGGAGATCTGATAGCAGAGCAACCCTGTAGATTGGTCCGGAGAATTAGTCATTATCTCAGCTGCCTTTACTCGAGCACTTTAGGGATCTGCGAGATCTGCCTAGAGTGATCACTCATTAGCCACCGGCATCCGTGACCTTTACCATATAATCACGCTTTCTACTCCAGAACGCCATCGACCGTTGTATTGTTTTGGATATCATAGTTAATTTTGCTTGTACCATTATTAATTTTGTTTAATTTCTTTTCTTTACTAGAGATACTCCACGAAGTAATTATATTATCAATTGAGACGTAGTACACGTGCATTTCACAAGTTAATACTGTACGAGTATAAGATCGCTCGACAATGAGACTTCCGGTACACCTTGTGCGTTGAAACTTTTGGAATTTCATTTCATCCATAACTCGCGAACCGAGTGTTGCGCGCGCAAACGGGTTTCACACCAATGTCTGCAAATTATTCGTCGGCGGAATGCTTAAGGGAAGTGGCCCGGTACATGGTACCAAATTCGTGTACATGCACGGAAACTTTCACTTTAGCGCACTCCCAAACATATTTTTGTTTCGGTTTATGGTATTCTGTGGCCAGATGAATTGTATACACTGGCGTGAAAACCGTTTGTGCGCGCAACATCCGGTTCAAGAGTTATGGCTGTAAGAAAATTCCAAAAAGTTTAAATGCATTCAGGTGTACCAAAAGTCTCATTATGGACCGATTTCCTTCAAATTTTGCACGTAAATGGACATGACCCTGAAGATCGTTCTTACACCGATCCAGTCTTCCATGATTTTTTTTCAATTTTAAAATGAATTTTGAAATTTTTGAAATTCATTTTAAAATTTGAGAAAAATGTTAGAACAGTGGATCGGTGTAAAAACGTTCTTCGTGGTTATGCGCATTTACGTGCAAAATTTGAGGGAGATCGGTCCATAATGAGACTTTTGGTACACCTGAATGCATTTAAACTTTTTGGAATTTTGTAACAGCAATAACTCTTGAACCGGATGTTGCGCGCACATACGGTTTTCTCGCCAGCGTATACAAATCATCTGGCTACAGAATGCTGTGAATCGAAACAAAAATGTGTATGGGAGTGCGCGAAAGTGAAAGTTTCCGTGCATGTACACGAATTTGGTACCATGTACCGGGCCACTTCCCTTAATAAAACGGCGGAAAAAAGTATCTGGGATGGCGCAAAGGGTACAGTTTTCGAGAATGTACACGAATCAGGATATTTAGGTCCGCGCCATGTACCGGGTCACTTCCCGTACGTATAATGCTTGGTCCCATTCCCATAATCGCGTCGTTCGCGGTTTTTTAACTACAGCATATGCACCGTCGCGCGCAATTGCCTAACGGTTTTACCGTTTATCGAACTCTGTTGTACGTGGTGGGAGCGGCAGCGTTGCTTATCTTTCCCGTGGGATGAATCATTGCCCCTACTGGAACTACTTTTATTCAAATAAAACAGACTGCAAGTGTTGTCGCAGTTATATGTCCTGTTCTACGGCCCGAACACTCTTTCGGATAAGAAACAAAAATTGTTCGTAGAAGTACGTACTTATGATAGCTTATCATTATGACATCGTATGACCGTGAAATGCACAAATACGTTCACAAACTTGTTTATGCGGTATCATATATATGGACTGTAAACTTACCGATACATAGTCTGCGCTTTTTCGATAACACCGTTAATGCTGGAAAGATTAAAATAGTAGTTGAAAATAGCCAGTTTCATAACGTTCAAGCAGTTTATTCTGGTTTTTAAGCTGAATTGTATTGAATTAGGGTAAGAAGGTTTTGTGCCGGATATCTAACAGCAGAGCTTATTCAATGGATGACAATCCTGAAGTCATTTTCTTGGGAGATAGCTTGATTAACCGCCTACAGTATGCTCCGGTAAGCCTGAGACGCACCTGTGGCGCACATAATTCTTTCTCACGGAAGTGGTGATAATTGGTATTAGCGAGCTAATCAAAACACTTTCCAGTTTTGTGTTGGGTGGTGAATGTAAGAAGTGAAATGTTACAGATATGGTCCAAGTTCGTATCGTCCTTTCGCTGTTTAAATTTGGGGATGGATGGACTGACTGTGGAGGAACTACTGCAGGGAGTTGTCAGTGGAGAATTGCGGCCATAGATAATTTCCATGCCAAGGTACACATTTTTAATTCGAGCGAAGCGCAAACATGTACAGAATCGTGTTTGTGTTATTTTGGCTCCAGTGCGGTATTTATGCTATCAGCCGGTGAACGACGAACTCAAATTGGTGGAACGTACACTTATACGGGTCTAATTCGTACTTGGTTATTCTTAGGTTATTCTTTGGTTTTTTAGGTTTCTTAGGTTTTCTTAGGTTTTCTTAGGTTATTCTTAGGCTTTCTTAGGTTATCTTTAGGTTTCTTAGGTTTTTCTGATGAGAATGACGGCAAAATATGACTGTATGTTCACCTGATGGACACTACGAAATTCTTTAGGCGATCGTTCTTCTGATCGGAACGAATAATATCCAGAACACTCCGGATCACATTGCCGGTATGATCGAGAAGATCATCCAAGCGCTTCGCGATCGTCAGCCGTCCACGCAAATATTTGTGATTGTAAGCTGCTTTTTCCGCTCTACAACGCGCTACATTTTAACCAGTGTTGTAAGCTAAATTCCTACTTTAAACTTTAAAGCATAGGTTAAAATAGTGTGTATTATTACACAGTTTGTGTATTATTAAATGTGTTCTGTGTATTATTAACTTCTCGAATGTGCAAGATTAAAAAAGTAGAAATCCGTTGAGAAAACGTTAGAGGGGTCTGTCAAATATAAAATTTGAATTAAAATGTGTATTTCAAATGGAATTTCTTAATTTTTAGGGCAACATCTGCCGTCGGCTTCGCGCTTCGCGCGAAACTAGTATCATTAAACGTCCCACTTGGATACAGTGGTAATCGCGCACTAAATATTCCATAAAAATCCCTCTCACCAGTAATAATTCGCGACGGTCCTAATTGAAATTTAGAACATGGGTCAGGTTTTCTGTTTTCTGTACGAGTACCTTGGGAATAAATCAATTGAAAACAACCTCTATGAACAGCAATAACCGGTTCATTTAACGAGAATCGGTGTTGACCTGCAAATTTACGTACGTGTATTACACGTTGCTCAAGATATCTCCTCGTTGTTTTATTGCCGTTAGTAAAGTGAAACTTGGCACAAATTAAAACTCCAGCAAAATAGTATTCCATGCGTCTTTCATGAAAATAGCTCGTCGGCTTCGCGCGAAAAGATTCTTTATCCATAGCTGCTTAATAAGAAATTCAACTTACCCCACCCCGAGTTCCCAGGGGCAGTCCCCCTGGGGGTATGGGGGAGTGTGTATTTTTAAATTTCTACCCTACTATTTTAATCTCTGCTTTAAAGACCTGGTTATCACGTATCTGATAAAAAATTAATTTGAAAGGTCTTGTTAATTTTCGTTATCAGTAATATGTGCTTGGTTTAGGAATTATTTCCGAAAGGCCCGGGACCGTCCGTATACAGGGAGAAGAATAAAGCAGTGAATGAGCTCCTACGGGAACGACTGAAGGAAGAGACCAACATCCGTGTGATCAACTTGGATCCCGGATTTGTGGATGGGAACGGCCAGATCAGCCGGACTGATTTGCCGGACTATTTGCATTTCTCGCATATTGCCTATGAAAAAGCATTCTCTCCGCTCTTTGTGCTGCTAGACGAAGCTGTTCGAAACCAAGCACGAAACGATAGCATACATTGCCATACAATATAAGTGCATTGCTATTCCGCCAGGTGTTTTGTACTATTTCCATTGAATTTGTGGTGAACTGCTTTTGTTATAATCTGATGCACACTGCTTCTGCTTTCATGTTCGCATCATCGCATGTGATCCGTTCTGTTGCTGCTTGTCTTAACCTTTCTGTACAAATGTAAATTAAAAGGCGAAGCAACATTTTATTGATTGTTTTGTGAGAGATCAAAATACACTTAACCCGTTACTAACTGGCCGCATCGAAATCAGACAGGCTGGGAGAGTACTAATTCCTCCGATCGACGGATACCGATCCCGTCTCTACTACACTGTTCTGCACTGCTCTCGAAGTAGTGGTCCGTGGTCAGCGTCTGAAAGATTTTAACGACACGGTCAGCTGCAGCACGTTAATTCTCTGGCCGCAGTTTTCCTCCGACAAAAAATCAGTGGTCGCTGATCCAGGTTCTCTAAGGAGGCAATCCTGCTGACCAATAAATTCCTGATCGCGAAGTCCGTAAAACGTGCTTCACGATTTGCTGCCCACGGTCTGGCTGACCGCTCTGTTCTGATCTAAAAAACATTTACCCGACCTGTTTCCTGAGACGTGTCGCAGTATAGAGTTCTCCTGTAAGCGCATCTGTGCTACACCTGTGCAGGTCGACGATGACCTTTACGTGTTACCTATGTGTCCCTATAACGATTAGGCAACGCACCCGTAATACAGTGATCTTTATTCAATATAACCCAATGCCCACAATAACATTGCTAATGCTAGGTAATCCAGGTGTAGCCTGGGAGTCGACTGAGAGTCTGCTGGTAGACTGCTGTCAGACTACTGTCTGGTACGGTGTGGAGGGGTGCTTTATATATGGTCCTGGTCCGGATGGGCTCGGCTGCCATGGGTGGGGCTGGTGTGGCGACAAGCCAATGACAGAGTGCATGACGGCATGACGATTTAATATGCGGTCAGCGTGATGCCATATGACCGCGCAGGAATGTGCAGGGCATACCTGCACGTAGACTTCCGGTGACTAATGGTCGTGCGGTGCGACTAGTGACGATGTCGTCACAGACGTTACATCGATAAGCTAACGCCGGGTTTTTGAGCGGCTTCCTTCTGACCACCGCCTGCTTCAGCCTTCTGGTATGGAGCTTGGCGGCTTGGCGCAACCCATAAATCTGCATTCTACGCTGTATTCATGCGCCTATGATTTCTCGACAAGCTGGTGCATAGACGAGTACATTAGTAAGCAGATTTTGCTGGTACCGCCGCGTGCAGTGGCGCGTCTTAGACGAAAGCTAGCGCCAGCACAAGCCCAACAAATGCACCCGCGAGCGGTGCGAGTCACACTTCAGCGGTTGTTTCTTATGACTGTGTATATCGGCGATTGCTATCGCCGCGGAAAACGCTTAGTACATCAGTTTATCGCGTTTATTAAGCCATCGTGTACATACAAGAAACCGCCGCTGAAATCCGATTTGTGCATTTTGCCGGTGCAAGTTTCTCATATAAAAAGACCATACAGTTCAAAGGTCATTCATACATTTACTGCCGCTATTCGCGTGCTAGTGTACAACTGAGCTAAGCATTATCACATTGTAAAATCAGCGTCAAACTTATTTATTCTCGTGAACATTGCGCATTCTTTAACGGCTGGCATTAGCCCATACACCTACAAAAGGGTGCAAATGTAGACGATATTATCGCTGGACTGAAAGCTCTTCAAAAGGAGCAGTTGCAAGAAATATGCACTGCATTGCAGATCAGATGTACAGATACATCATACAACCGCGTTTAACGAAACGCTAAAAATGGGATACATACACTAAAACTTTCGCTTGCGCGCACTTCAAATCACTATTAATTTTTGTAATAACTTATATCATTCTAAAGCTATATGATTTGTATACATTGGCTGAAAACCGTTTCCGTGCGCAACATCCGGTTGTCGAGATATCGTGTACTGAAATGGGTGAAAAGTTTAAATGCATTGTTGTGTACCAAAAATCTGGTTATTATCCGATCTTCCTGAAAGTTTGCTGTAAAAGAGCGTATCTTTTTGTAGCGGGACATTTCCCTTAATGGTCGTTTCTGTATACCATCACGATAGATACTTATTCGTTCAATCATCACTTCAGCATAGCGCTGAGAAATAAGCATAGAAAACCGACGTCTTGGGACACGAACAACCAGGGTACGTCAAGATAGTTCACAACAATTGCATGAACACTTGTAAACCGGTCAACGCAACGGTATACATAGGTGACTGTACGTCACATAACAGTAGGTTAGTCAAGAGAGTCAGCCATCATCTCAGCTACCATCACGCGAGCAGTTTTGGGATCTGTCTGGAGAGACGGTTGTTGATTAGCAGCCGGCATCCGTGACCTTTACCATGTAATCACACCTCCTAGAGCGCGCCATCGATCCGTTGTATTTTTTCTGGGAATTAGTTGTTAATTTTGTTGTACCATAATGGAATGATAAAACATCAACAACCTTTTATTGCAGTTCGCGGTCCGACTGGCGCCCGCAAAACATTAATCGTTCACAAAGGTCATTTATGCGAGCGAATATTCAGCCGTATTTGTTGGTTTATTTTCTTTACAAGAAATATTATAATCATACTCGTTTTACCTTGTGCAGCATATGTGCGCAAATAGTGATGGTATGTAAAACACAAATAGTAAAGTGGCTTGTTCGCCATATTTATTCAGTAATCAACTTGAATCCCGTCACTTCAATAATCGGGCATCATTGGTTATCATCTATTCTCGGAATTAAATGGGCTAAAATTCTACAACAGTTTTTAAAACCAGACTGTGCGCTGTGTATTAAGAATTTAAGGTAACCGCCAACTACATGACAATAACCACATTCCGCCCGTTTTGCCCGCCTGTCGCCGTGCCAGCCGCCCCGGCGGTACTGACCACGGCGTCGTTTTTCCGCACCACCACCGGCTGCGGCTGTTCCGCGGCCGTCACGCCCTCTTCCGGCGTCACCGCGCTATCCAGCGCCTCGGCGCTCTTTCGCAGTCCCCACACCTTGATTTTCCCCGGTGCCACCCCCGATCCCGCCCTCCGGCGGCCGGCGACCACCGCCGCCGCCGTCGCCCCGCTCCCGACGAAGTCGCACTGTCCCGGATTGCTCCGGCAGTCGACAATCCGTGCCAGGATGCTCTGGACCAGCGCCATGGCGAAGCTCATACTGGCCGGCGGCATCTCCGCCAGGTTCATATTCAACGCCGACTGCAGGAGGCTCTGCCACAGGGGATCGACGGCGGAGGTCTTGGAGAAGCTCGAATAGGCGTCCAGCCCGCTTTTGAGGTTATTCGTGGCTTGGGAAAGCGACGGCGGGAGACCCCCGACTAACAGGATGGCGTCCAGGATTCCGGAGAGGTTCCGGACGTTGGTCGGGGAGAGTTGCGGACGCGCGGTGAAGGCCACGCGGAAGGTGTGCAGTTTCTGGACCAGGCTGCGCGGGACGCTGCTGTTGCGCAGGGCGGTCTCAAATTTGGTCAGCTGGGTCGCCAGAGTGGGGAGCTCGATGATGGGGATCCCGGAGGTCGGGACGGAGGTGTTGGAGGTCTCCTCGGTGGTCACCGCGTCCACAGAGGCTTCGGTGGTCGTTGTCTCCGGGTCGGGGGACGCCGCGATCGGCTCCTCCGTCGTGGTCAGGGCGTCGGAGAGCCAGGCGGAGGGTCGCTTGCGCCCCGGGCGACTGGGGACGCTGGCCGTCGGGGCTTTCCAGTGCAGCCGCGAAAACAGCTCCCCCATCGACGCCTGCTCCGGGTTGGGCTCGGCGGCCATCGTGTCGAAGAGGATATCGGTCGAGCCGGCGTTGGAGGGGGTCGACGCCCAACCGGAAGTCCCGGAAGCGGCTCCCACCTGCATAAACTGCATTTATAAACCGCTTCGTTAAAAAAAAAACAGCAAAGTCGCACCATATCGCCACTTCCGGGGGACGCCCGGGGATACGCGTAGTCCGCCTCGGGAACGGGATACGGCGGGGGTCCCGCGGGGTACGCCGGCGGTTCGGGCAGCGGTGGTCCCGGGAGGAGGTACCGACTAGCCGCGGCCGGGGACAGCGGGTAATAGGGGCCCGGGGGCGGTGGCAGCACCGCCGTGGACGCCGGGACGGTGTATCCCGGACGCTGGGCGTTCAGCGCCGTGGAGGCGGCGGAGTAGGCTTGATTAGACGCCCCGGTGTACAGCGCCAAGGGCGGCGGGTAGTTCTGGTTGGCGTAGCTCAGCGCCGGGTCGGGCAGGGAGCGGTATTCCCACTGCGGAGCGTTGAAGCTGTAGTAGTAACTCGGGAAGCCGCTGTTGGAAGGGGGCGGGGCGCCGCCGTACTGGGAATACTGGGAGGGGTAGCTGGGTGCCGGGTATGTGCAGCGGGATTTTGGTATATTTAACAGGAACATTAGGAGGTAACGGGCGTCGACGGCGCTGATTAGCGCCATAATAAAATCAATAAATATCAATTAATACAAGCGGCCGAATAATAATTAATATAAGCCGCAAAAAAACATAAGCGGCCGATTAATAATATTAAAATAAGCTGCAAAATAAATGGCTGATTATTAATGAATTTAAACCGGCAAAAAATACAAGCGGCCGATTTAATTAAGTAATCATCCTGGAAAATGAATAAATCCCGTGTATAAATTCTGGATAAATATTCCGTGTACGAATCATTGAAAATTGGATTAAAGTGAATTGTTTTAAAATATTGAGGAATAATCCGTTATATCGATCAGCAAAACAAATGCATAATAAAATAATTTTTTTGCGGTAATAAATGAACTGTAAAAAATGCCGGTACGGATGTAATGCACAACGCGAATATCGTCGAAAATCTTTAATTGATGAATGTGAGGCGAAAAGCGAAAGCCGATTTCCTGATGAATCGGATACAAGCGCTGACAGCATAAATGCCTGCCGGCGACGCGGTGAAAGCGAGCACATCGCGACGATTAATCGCCGTAATCACTGGGTGGGTCGTTTACCCATTTAGCGAAAATCATCCGCAATCAAACGCCGGTCAAACCGGCACATCAATCGCGCTGACACACATCACAAATTCAGCAAAAAATCCGAAAATAAATCGAAAAAATCAGACCAATCCCGGGACGCGGTATAAGAACGTCCCGTCTTCATCATAGAAACTGTCGCCCCGACGGTACGTCGCCCCCGGGGCCTTTCTCCCCTCCGGGATGACAATCCTCCCAGTTTCCTCCTTCCCGGATTTTTCGGGATTTTTCCGGAATTTCTGGATGCGGCGGTGGGGCGTTTCGACCTCGACGTCCTTCCGGCGCTCCTCCCGCGCGGCGTCCACCTCCGGGTGGGGCTCGCGCTGCTGGAACCACGCGCGGTACGCGGCGCCCACCTCCGGGCTGCGGGTCTCCAGCTTCCGCAGCATCTTCCCGGTGAAGTCCGCGTGGGAGGTGGCGCGCTGGTGGCGGGAGGCGGCGGCGCGACGCACGCGGATGTCCGGGACGGAGGGGTCCATCAGCGCGTCGCCCAGGGCCGGGTCGTGGGTCAGGGTGACGCCCTGGAAGCGGTGCGGCCGGATGTAGCCGGCGTCTACTGGCTGGTACTCCGGGGCGCGCTGCGTCTCGGAGCGCAGCTGCGCCTGCACACCAAAAACATATTAAATTATTATCTGTTGAAAAATCACTGAATTATTATTTTTAAAACGTTAAAAAATTATTGTTAAGTACAAAAACCATGTTAAAAGAGTAAAATAAATTCCAATTCCAAACCGCAGAAAAAACTATAAATCATTATAAAATAAAAATCACCCATGCCTGAAAAATCCAGGAATTGAAAAACCCATAAATCATTAACCATACAAAATTGAAGAAATAAATTACAAAGAAAAATGCTGTTGGAAATAGAATTTTTAACGTACAATGGTAAGCAGTTCAATAAAAGCAGTTCCAGTGCGAACAAAAAATACGAACAATCAAACACAGAAAAAAAAATCATATAAAACTGGAATTAAAATACGAGATAAATACAAATAAAAATGCCATATTAAAATTACATAAAACTGCAAACAACTGTATACTGATAACTGACAGGACATAATATTATTAAATAAAATGTAGATACAAATTCAAGGAAGTGTTTTGTGTGGCTAAAAATTGTCGCAACATGAATTTAGGGAATCGCAGAGAAATGAGTCAAACAAATACAATTTAACCACATATCAATACAATAGACGAAACGATACAGAAAACAAAGTAAGCAAACAATTACAATAAAACGTAGTGATAACGAATAAAAGTGTCGAAAAATCGTCGAACGATAAACAAGCATAAAGTCTTACAGAATCAACTGAATGTTCTCATTAACGTACCGAAATGGACTGTAACGCGCGCGGATCCTCCCGAACCGTCACACTACCGCTCTTCGCGAGCAGCTCCTTCCCGACGAGCACCTCCACATCCGGTCTAACCACCTCCTTCCGCTTCCTCTCCTCCATCACCGTCTTCAGCAGCCTACTCACCGGCCCGTCCACCGGGGGCGGGGGCACGTACCGCTCCACCACCGGGGGCAGCGGGAGCGCCGCGTTGCCGCTGAAATGCGCCTTCCGCAGCGTCCCGGCCCGGAACTGCTCCATCTGCTCCGCCGACACCCACTCCCGCCACTTCTTCCCGGTTTTTAACGCCTTCCAGCGCTGCGCGACACGGGCGTCCTCCGCGGCGTCGGATTCGGGGCGGGAGAAGCGGCGCGGCGGGAGGGAGAGGAGGCGCTGCAGATCCGTGGGGGAGATGGGGAAGGAGTCGGATAGACGCTCCACGGAGAACTCCTGCGGGTCCTGTTTGTGGAGAAAACGGATTTGTTCGCGGGCGGCGATGGTTAACAGGCAGGGGTGGCGCGGGCGGAGGGACATGAGGTATTTGTAGCGCTGCCGGCTGCGGAACACGTCCGCCGGGTCTCTGAACAATTTCAACAACACCACGTTAATCCCAGCAATTTACCGCTTTTTATCCCGGAAAATTGGAAAATTTTTTATTTAAAAATTAAAATAACCGCTTTCAATAAGTTAACTGCCTTCTTTTCCCGGGAAAATAAGAAAACCTGATTATAAGTAAAATCAAAATAATCATCATAAAAAATTGATGTTATTTTTTTACTGCTCCTTATCCCGGATAAAAACTTAAAAAAATATTTATTATACTTAGAAATAACAAAATTCACACTGCTCACAAAATACACTGCTTTTTAATCCGCAGGGAGAATAAAACAATTCCAAAATTAAAACCACAATAATCACTTTAAAAATAGTTTGACAATAAATTGTGTAATTAAAATCACAAGACTCGCTTCCACTAATAACAGTAATTCTTTTTTATTCAGGACAAAAAAGATGGATAATTAAAACTAAAATAATCAGTGTGACAAACTAACAGCCTTTTCTCGAAAGAAAAATCAAAAACACTAACTTTTTGATTTTTAACAGTAAAGTACTACACCAGTCAAATAAACAACTGCAAATACAACACTCCAGTGTTATATTTGCAACCCATCGGCATTGATTTCTGCAGCTCCATCGGCATTGATTTCTTCAAGCGATTCGGGTTGATTTTAGTACTGTTGTAACAACAGTATTAAAATCAACCCGAATCGCTTGAAGAAATCAATGCCGATGAGTGGATTAATCGTAATTCATAAGGGATGTACCGGGTGGATCGTTCATCGATCAGCTGGCCCGGGTATCCCTCCGGATGGATCTGCTCCATCAGGCCCTCCTGCAGATACTCCCCGAATTCCGCCGGTGACGGTTGCACTGCCAAGCAGACAAACCGAGATCAACCATCTCAATACTACACTGTCAAACCAAAATCACAAGATGTTCAAGAGAAGCGAGCACGGCCGTACAGCGTGGATCGTGGATGCGATGGCTCATCCGGCTGACATCGTACCAGCCCTCGCGGTGGGCACGCGAGCCGGACGCGGCGCGGGGATAGTGACGGACGAGAAGGCGCTGCAGCGGAGGAAAGGAAAGCGGAGGCCTGGCTCGCGGAAAACAACGAGCCACGCTCATCAGCGCAGACTCCATCGCGGAGAAAGAAACACCAGTGCAGGTACAGAGGGACGGAATAACAGGATCGCCGATCAATGTTTTACACTGCTTATTTATTTATTATCCACGGGAACTGTAGAAAACTGAAAACCCATCATTTATAATCCAGAAAATAACGAAATATGTTATAAGATATTAAAGATAATAAGAATCAAGAATGATGAAAAATGCAACGAACGAACAGTGAATTTCGTTGTCAGAATTAATTTTACACTAACGTAACCATCTTGACCTATGGTGGTTATCACGGCGACACCACCACTTCCGCTTGTGCAGCTGAATTTCATGTCAGAACCTGCACCATTTGCGTTGTTTGCCTTTTTTATTCGGTTTCTAATTTTTTGAATCGAATTTCTCGAACTCACCGGGCTGATTTGGATCTCCGAATTTGGATAAACATCCCTACTGTGTGAGAAATAATTTGCTGGATTATTTGTATCCACGGACTGCTTGTTCTAGCGTGCGATCTGCGCTGTGTTTGCAGTTTGCATTTGGCAAACCGATCTCTTGAGTGAAAATGGGGATTCTGGAGAAGATCAGCGATATCGAAGCGGAGATCAGTCGCACGCAGAAGAATAAAGGTAGAGATGGCTGTCGATCTGCTGCCACTAAACACGAAATTACGCACTACGCTATCTACTAACTGCACAGTGATATTGAGTGCAAACGACTGACTACGATTTTTGACAGCGACGGAGTACCACCTGGGTCTGCTCAAAGCCAAACTAGCCAAATATCGTCAGCAGCTGCTGGAGGGCGGCGGCGGCAAGAAGGAGAAGGTAGGGGACTTTGTCCTTCATTTTTCCATCCATTGCAAACCACGGGGAAATGGCTGCGCAGGGTGAGGGCTTCGATGTGATGAAGAGCGGGGATGCGCGTGTGGCGCTCATCGGATTCCCGGTACGTGCCTGTTTCTTCCTGTTCGTTCATGTTTTCTTCATGCTGGTGTGTTGCAGTCGGTGGGCAAATCTTCCCTCCTCTCCACCGTTACGAAGACGGCGTCGGAGTGCGCTTCCTACGAGTTCACCACGCTTACCTGCATTCCTGGCGTCATCGACGTAAGTCGCAAGCAAAAAATTCAAAATTCAGGTTATGTAGCTGTGCGTGATGGGCGGTTGGACTGTGCGCTGACTGATTTCGATACGGATTTTGATTTACGGGGAGCGACTTAGTGCTTGTAGCTGCGCAGTGTGGGCGGTTGCCCTGTACTCTGTATTATCACACCAGATTCGTGACTGCGCACCACGGGCGGTTGAGCTGTGCGCCGTGATTTTGTTCGAATTTTAGCAACGATTTTAGTTTAGAAATGAAAATTAATTTTAATCGAATATTAACAATTGCAGGCGCTGACACACTACATCACAGTTAGAATTTAAAAATTTCTATTTATCACGACCCAGCGTTCGTAACTGCGCGCTACGGGCGGTTGTGCTCTACGCTGTCCATATTGGCTTGATAATTAGGATTTTAACCGCTACCGGCGAATAAATAATGGAAATGGCTATAGGCACCCCCTTTCACCCCCGTTATCTATAGGCACCCCCTTTCGCACCCACTTAGACTATAGGCACCCCTTTTCGATTAACTAATTCCTGCACCCCGTTGCACACGAAAACAACACATGACCAAGGACGATAAAGTGGAACTAGACAAAAGAAAAGAAGAGGGATGGTCAATCATGTACTAGCCAAAATCCTAAGAAAGATGCCGGGCGAATATTAAAATCGTGGTGTCCGATGCCCCAAAAGGTCACAAAAACTACCATCATAACCCTCAGAAATGCAAGAATATTTATCAAATCAGCCAAACCGGCACATTGTCGGCTGGAGTGCTTAGTATCTGTACAAATTTTATGTGAATGACCTAAAAAAGATCGTCAAAAAAATCTTCAAAAAAATCTTTGTAAACCATGAAACCTGCTAGAAAATCTTTGTCAGGCTTGTGGGAAAAAAGTGAAAACAGGAAACAAGTGCGTATAGTCCGCGAGAAAAACGGGGTGCTAGATTTATGTAATAGAAAAGGGGTGCCTATAGTACAACAGGGTGCAAAAGGAGGTGCCTATAGCAAACGGGGGTGAAAGGGGTGCCTGTAGTCTCACCCATAAATAATTTCGTTTTCAAATAAAAATTGAATTTTTATTCAGTTTATTGAGTGGATGTTGTAGTACAAGGGCGCCAACATCCAGCTGCTAGATCTGCCGGGGATCATCGAGGGCGCCGCGCACGGCAAGGGTCGCGGGCGGCAGGTGATCGCCGTGGCGCGCACCGCCGACATGGTGGTCATGATGCTGGACGCCTTGAAGGGCGAGGTGCAAAAGTGAGCAATCCGTTATTTTTTCCTGCTTTTTTTCTTTTGCTTTCTTAGGTTTCTTTTCAGCTTGTTTATGATTTCTTCTTGAAGTTGTATTTTTTTATATCATTTTTCTTGTGATTAGGCGACTGCTGGAGGCAGAGTTGGAGTCGGTGGGACTGCGGTTGAACAAGAAGAAACCCAAGATCTACTTCAAGATCCAGAAGAGCGGCGGCATCAAGTTCAACGCCACGTGTACGCTGACGCGCATCGACGAGAAGATGGTGCAACTGATTCTGCACGAGTACAAGATCTTCAACGCCGAGGTGGTCTTCCGCGAGGACTGCTCGGCCGATGAGTTTATCGATGTGATTGACGGCAACCGGAAGTACCTGCCCTGCCTATACGTATGCATTAATTTCTATTTTCTCACCTCTGGAATTTATTCTGATTTAAATTAGAATTTAAATTTAATGAAAATTTAGTTTAATGATTTTAGTTAAGTTTAATTAGCAATTAAATTGCAGAAAAAAATGAATTACTGATCTTGTAGGTGTATAATAAAATCGATAATATTTCCCTGGAGGAAGTAGACCGTTTGGCGCATCTGCCGAACTCCGTCGTCATCAGGTAAATAAATAGTGGAATTTTAGCATTTTCGGTTATGATATTCAATTGGCTGTGTGTAGTGTGCAGATGCAGCTGAATCTGGACTATCTGCTGGAGATGATGTGGCTGTATTTGAGTATGATGCGCATCTACACCAAGAAGCCCGGAAGTAAGTGCGCCGAGGCGTTGTTCACCCGGCTGTCGTTGGAGTTAATTTCAAAATATATGAAATTTACTGAATTTCAAATCATTTGAGTACGAGTAATGTCGTTAAATGTTTTTCTTTTTTTGCCGAAATCAAATCCATGGCTGATTTGTTGTTGGTTAAACAGAGCACCCGGATTTCTCGGATGCCATTATCCTGCGCCGCGGCGCCACGGTGGAGCACGTGGTACGTTGTGTTGAGGGTTGTTATTTTCCTTCACAATTCTTCTCTTAATTTTTATGCATTTACTTTTGGCTGTGTTTTTACCCAGTGAATTTCTTCAGTTTTTTGCAAAATTGTGTTGTTTGCAGTGTCACGCGGTGCACCGGACGCTGGCCGAGCAGGTCAAGTACGCCTTGGTGTGGGTGAGTGAAAGAATTGCCATATTGTATCGTGGCACATTATGAGCCGGTTGTAATTTAGGGAACGAGCACGAAATACTCGCCGCAGCGCGTCGGTCTGCAGCACCGCATGGACGACGAGGACGTCATCCAGGTCATCAAGAAGTAGCCAGCCCGGAAGCGTCCTCCTCCCGTCCGTCTTCCCGGCATCCCGTCTTTCGTCGTATCCACTGTGTGTGTTTGTCAACTTGTGTGCCTCCAGGTCATTTTTGTATTTTCATCCAGTTAATTTCTTGTGTAATTCGCCCTTTGTACTGACCAGAAACGCATTGACTATTAAACTGCACAACCGAGGTTAAGGAGAAACGTTTCTGAACAATTGTGAGCAGGGAATCGATCCCGCTGTGACTCAGCGCTGTGTCGATATATAGCGCGAAACAAGGCGGGTGCACGGTGACCGTCGGCGTCATTTCCGGCCGGATGAGTCAAGAGCGACAACCCGGCCCGGGTATCGCTGCTGCTGTTATCTCGGCAACGTCGGCACTGTATTGATTGTCGATACGCGATACACTCGCTAGCCGGCACTCATCAACAGCAGACAAACAGCGCGATGACAATCATTGCCACCGATACTGCACTGTACACTCACTGACAATTGCCGGAAAAATGCGATTGTTTGGACTGGCGCTGGTGTATGTTGGTGCGCCTGTTCAAGGTCTTGTTCAGTACAGTCATATACACTGCCGCGGCCGTTGCGTAATGTACACTGTATAGTGTACACGTATGTATGTATATCAGCATAGCAGTATGCATATGGAATGCGCGCTGTTGCCGGCTGATACTGTGACGGTCTATTTGGGATGGCACGATGGTGGCTAGCGTCCTCTCTCCGGAGAGAGACACCACTTTGACAGCGCGTGCATGCGTCGGTTGTGCGTGAGGTTGGAGAGAGAGGAGAGGCCGTGGCGACCGGCTGCTTATTACTTATGTAGAATCCATTAGCCGATGATTTCATCTGCGCATGTGATGCGAATTATCCAGACTTTGATCAACTTCTCCATGCGTCAGAATTCGATCAATCCGATTCGAATATAGACGGGATTCTCGTTGATCCCGACATATATATATACCAGTTTTACTCATCCTGGAAACCCAGGAATTCGGCTACAACTTGTGCAATAAATTGCGACGGGATAATAATTACGGAAATTTTGAATTTATTTTTGGTGATGGAGAGTGAGGCGATCAATATGCAGCGTGTTTCTACGGGTGGATGTGGTGTAACGGCCACTTCCGGTGGGGAGAGCGGTGACCAGCGCGTAGCCACGCTGGAGCGGATGCTGCGGCAGGAGCGCGAGTTCTCCGCGCAGCTGTTAGAGCGGCTGCGCGGACTGGACGAGGAGGTGGAGCTGAATTGGCGCACGCAGTGCAAACGCTGTACCTGCGGCGTGTTTACCACCGGCATCGCGGATCTGCCCGATGAGATGCTGCTGCGCATCTTCTCCTATTTGGACGCTATCACCCAGCTGCGACTGCGCCAGTACGTGCAGTTTGTTAAACTGATTTAATTTTTTTAAAACAATTTTTTTGTAATATTTGGAGAATTTATGATCGTTTATATCCACGTAGTGCGAAAACATTTCCCCGGTTGTTTATTGAAATTCTGCGGAATTTTTTTAACCTTTTTGTGTTCGGTATCCGATTCATTTGAAAATTTAGCATTTGATTTTTTCGATTTAGTTATTGAAGCATCCTTCATTCTGGGATTTTTTACAGAATGCTTTTATTTTTTATTATATTGTGTTTTTATTTTTTATTGTATTTTCTGAGTTTATTTGCTGAAATAATGTATTACTAATATATTACTAATAATGAATCTTTTGGTGTGCGATATTTATATGTCGTCCTTATGACGCAAAATTATATTTTTGGTTTATTTATTGACATATGGTTAGTTATCAGAATAGTGGGTATTTTTCTCTAACATATGTTATTGTCTTATGTTTTCAGTTTAATTATGGAAATATTGACAGTTTTTCGAATTTTGTTTTCGATTTATTTTTGTAATTTGGAAAAATAATTTTTGAGTTATTTATTCAAGCATTTCTAATCGTTTTGAATTTTTACAAATTTCGTTGAGTTTTTTTTTATTATTTCTTGAATTAATTTTAATGTTAAATTTGTAGGGTGAGCCGGCGGTGGAACGATCTACTGCAGACGAAAGCCCTGAGCAAATCCATCACCGTCGACTTGATCCAAATCCCGCCGCTGGCCAGCCGCCCGCAGCTGCAGATGCTGTCGCTGCTGCTCCCGCCCGGGCCGCGCCTCCACATCCGCGGCATCCCCAAACGCCTCCTGGACATGCACATCGCCGAGCCCCGCGAATTCCAGCTACTGTGGAGCAGCCAGATCCTGGAGCACTTGATCAAATCGCGCTCGGCCACCTTCACCACGCTGCGCCACCTGACGCTGTCGCACTGCTTCCTGCGGCTGAGCTGGCTGGTCAACCGCCTGCCGGCGTCGCTGGAGACGCTCAGACTGATTAAATGCGCCGTCATGCAGCCAGCCACCCCGGGGATCCGCTACGGACTGGCCACGCCGTGCTCCGTGGTGGTGCAGCGCGGCGAGGTGCAGTTGGAGGGGGTCAAGGGCATCGGGCGGTGGCGGCGGCTGTGGGAGTTGCTGGACGAGCGTGTCGTGCCGTTGGACGAGGAGGAGACGGAGCGGTTGAAGGCCAATCTGCAGCGGCTGCCGCGGAAGGAGGCGCTGGCCGCCATCTTCGTTCTGCGAGCGTGAGTGGCGTGTACAACTCTTCTGTCTTGAAAAAACAATTAAGTACAATTTTATTTATTTTTTAATTTTTTTTTGAAATTAAAATTGGCTTGAATATATTTTATCCATTTTTAATTTGATCTGAATTTAACTGAGATTTAATTTCCTTTTAGTAACCTGATTTGATTGAAATTTCATTCAGAATAGTTGGTATTTATTTTAAATTTAATTTAGAGGAAATCCACAGTTTAATCCCAATTTAGCTTAGTGGAAGCTGTATTTAATGCAACAGAAATTTAATTTGATCCCGATTGATATTTGGTTTTATTCCGATTTTTAATTTAATGTGATTCAGGTTTCGTTTAATTGAATTTCCTTTTTTTATATTTTAATCCAGTGTTATTTATCCGCTGTCTGAATTTATTTTATTTATTAAATTTAGGTTTTATTTAACTGGCGTAATTTAATATTGATTTAATTCGAACTGAATGCAGTTAATTCATATTTAATTTTTTTATTGAATTCAGAATACATTTTTGAAATGTAATTTAACGATTTAAGTGGCGGTTGCAGGAAGGAGCCGCTGTACCGCGACTTCGCCGAGGACATCCACCTGCCGGCGGTCAACGTGGCGACACTGCGGCCCAGCACGCAGCACGAATTATGCCGCATGCTGCTCGACTGCAGCGACGTCCACTTTGACGTCGCCGACTCCGTTTGAAAAATCGATCAAAATGTGTGATGGAGCCACGTCATTAACCGGCAGCTGTTGATTTAATCAACTTATTTTTTTGTTCCTCTATCCTGCAAATACTGTGTGTGCAACGTCCTTATCAGAAATTCACAAATATTCGTATTAATCTCGCCTCTTCAAGTTCCTATGTTTTTTTCTGTAGCTGAGAAATTAAACGGCCTACGTAAAATAAAACGCATAAAAATCCGTATTAAAACACTAATAACAGCGTGGTGAAATAGTGTCCAATGGCCGTCCGCCCCAGGCGTGCGGCCACTTGTAAAATATTTGCCAGCCACCACGGAGCGGCAGTTACATGGCACTGTCCAGAATTAAATCAGTCAAATCGAAACACGAATTTTTTCGGAAATTTTCTTCGGGAGTTTTTCTGCGGTTTTCAGTTTTCTTGTCTGTCTTTGTCTCTTCCCTTTTTCTCTTCCTTTTTTTCTGACGTTTCACAGTCCCCAAGTAGAACATAACAGCGAGAATCCTGCGTGTCTAATTCTTAACCAGCAATCACGTTTCAGCAGGAACGCTGAATTTTATACACAGGCAGCGCGTGGTACAGGGTAATTGAGCGGTCCGCCGTGTTTGGGGTTTCGGTTCTCTCGGTTCTCCCGTTGACGCTTGATGCTGTCGGGACGCGGGCGGTTGTTTACCGCGTGGAATTATCTATCAGGATCATTTTCCCGTCGGAATATGTCGCAGACACTCGCTCTCCCTGCCTCCACGCTCCAGGAAGAAGAGCCCCAAGAAATCAACGTACTTGACAGTAGTACAGGCACCCCCTCAGTTATCGTCACACGCAAACGCCACCCCAGTCCCGCTCCGCATCCGCCGCCGCGCAAACGCCGCGGGAAGGCCACGGCGGACGTGGTGGACCTGGAGAACATCCGCCATATCAACTACTATTTCGAGAATGGACTGCGCAAGGTGGCCCCGTACTACTTCACCTTCACGGCGCACGCCAAAGAGCGCTGGTTCGGCCGGACGTTGGGCGACGTCTTCGCTACTGAGTTCTTCGCTGTGAATGAGGAAGTGGTGCACGCACGGCTGGAGTCGCCGACGCTCTTCGCCAACGGCGTCAAAGTCACCAAGGAACATCGGATTAAAAGTTGGTTTTTATTGCGTAATGCGTGTCCTAATTTTTATCGGTTTTATCCTAATTTTTCCGAATTTTTGCGATTTTTAAAATGAATTCAATTGAATTTTTCAAATTAAAGTTGCGATTTTATTTTCTGAATTAAATTAAAATTTGATATAATTTTGCAAATTTAAATTGGTTATCATTCTTATGTAATTAATTAAATTAAAATCGGAATTTTTTAGTAAAATAATATTTTAATTTTTGCTTGTATGAGCATACATTAGCCGAATTTCCTACTAACAGTCAGCTGGATTGTATTCAGTTAATAAATCGGCATTTACGCAGCATACTGATTTCTAATTTTCGAAATAAATCACAAATTCATGAATAAATTAATGAAACGATAGAAAAGTGAATGGAATAAATCCTGGATTGTTGCAGACGGTGATTTCATCGCGCACTACATGCACCGGCACGAGATGCCGGTGTCGGCGCAGCCTATCCGCATTATCGCCGAAACGGCGGAGCTGCTGGTGGTGGACAAGCCGGCGTCCATCCCGGCGCACCCCTGCGGCCGCTTCCGCCTCAACACCCTCATGTACATCCTGGCCAAGGAGAAGGGCCTCAACAACCTCCGACTGGTGAGATGCATTTCCCATCCAGCACAATCGATTTCTAATTTTTTTCCCTCTTTCTCTGATTTTTTCCAATTTTTTTTATTTATTTATTTTCCCTAATTTCTTTTTTTCTGATTTGTTACCCGTTTCTTCCTTAGTTCTTTTCCATGATTTCCTAACGTTCTTCCTTCGTCCCTAATTTCTTTCCCTTTTACATGATTTTTAAAGCCTTACGAATGTTAAATAATTTTCAAAATAATTCTGGCTAAATTGCTGGTAATATTATTAATTATTAATATCAGTCAACTGCAAATAATTCATTTAGATAATTACTTTATTTCCAAACAGTTATTACTTTGTATAATATTTTTAATTCAACACATATAAATTATCCGGGTAATTATGGTTAACGCAGCCTGATAAATGCGGATAAATTCCTAACAAATTCCAGTGAAATAATTATTATTTGTTAGAAATTTATCGGGTAATTCCTGATAAATGTGGATAAATTCCTAACAAATTCCAATGAAATAATTATTATTTGTTAGAAATTTATTGGGTAATTCTTATTAAATGTGGATAAATTCCTAATAAATGTGAATAAATTCCTGAAAATATGGATAAATTCCTAACAAACGTGGATAAATTCCTGAAAAATATTAAAAAATAGTTATTAGTAATAAAAAATTTTTCTGAATAATTCTCCACAAAATTTACATCCGCCGCGTGTTTCAGATCAACCGGCTGGACCGGCTGACCTCCGGCCTGATGATCCTAGCCAAGACCCCCGCGGCGTCCCTGCGGCTCTCCCTGCTCCTGCGCGACCACTCCATCCGCAAAACGTACCTCGCCCGCGTCCGCGGCGCCTTCCCTTCGACCCCCCTGACCTGCCAGGCCCCCATCGAGACCGTCAACCCCCGCGCGGCCCTCAACCGCGTCGTCGCCGGCTCCCCGCGCTTCTGCAGCACCCACTTCCGGCGGCTATCCCACGACCCGGTCAGCGACACCTCCCTGGTGCAGTGCGAACCCTTAACGGGGCGGACGCACCAGATCCGGGTGCACCTGCAGCATCTGGGACACCCCATCCCCAATGATCCCATGTACGGACCCGACGCCCCGCTTTTTGGGGAACACGGGGAGGTGCCGGGGGAGGAGGACGCGGAGGACCTCGAGCGGGATGAGGGGCTCAAGGGGGTCAAGTACGCGAGGAGGGAGCGGTTGCCGGAGACGGAGTGGGCGGACGCGGAGTGTCCCGAGTGCTGGATTGAGTTCGTCGACCCGCCGGCGGACCTCCGGATTGATTTGCACGCCTGGAAGTACGCCGGGCCGGGGTTCGAGTACCAGACGGAGCTGCCCGAGTGGGCCGCGTCCTTATTAACCGCGGAAGCCGCTCCCGAGGCGGGCGGTGTGGCGACAGACGCTGTTTAATTAATTGCGAATTTTTGTGTGATTTTTTTTGGCGATTAAATGGAAAATAAAATACCAGTAAATTCCTCCGCGTGTTTAAAGAATTATTCGCACAATTATTTACCGTTCAAAATCCTTCACAAATAATTAAAAGACTCCAGTGTTTAAATAAACAACAAATTCACCACCAAACGAACGCCTGGAACATTTTTTTATTGAATAATTTTAAATAAATCCAATTTATTTTTATGTATACATCACCCGCAGGCGGGCGGCTTTGCGGCAGACGCCAGTTAACTAATTGCGATTTTTGTGTGATTTTTTCTGGATATTTTCGGCGATTAAAGGGAAAATAAAATACCGATAAATTCTTCCGCATTTAAAGAATTTCGCAAAATTATTTGCCGTCTAAAATCCTTCACAAATAGTTAGAAAACTCCAGAGTTTAAATAAATAATAAATTTACACCAAAGGCTGCCTTGAACATTTATTACTGAATATTTGCAGATAAATTTCTTTTTTTTTTATTTTATATACAACGCCCGCAGGCGGGCGCCGTAATGGCAGGGGCTATTAATTATTTATCAATTTTGTGTTGTTTTTTTTGCAGTTGTCGGCGATGCTTCTGTATGTTTGTTATGTTATTCCCAGAAAATTAATTATCCGTCTAAAATCATCACAAACATTTAAGAAGGCTCCAGCGGTAAAATCAATAACAAATTCAACAAACAAACGAAAGACCGGAAAAACAAGTGTCGTTTATTAAAAAAAAATCATTTATTGCCGGCATTTTTTGCTGAATTAATCCTGCGCGGCGATAAGCTCGAACCACTGGCGCAGCGCGTCGCACAGCGTGTTGGGCAGTTGGCGGACGCTGCGTAAAACCAGATAAAAAGGGAACGGGAAGCACTGCATGTAGTTGCGCAACTCCACGCGCTGCGTCGGCAGTCCCTTGTCGTGCAGGATGACCTGCTTATGATCCACGATCGAACCACCATTCTACACCCAAAACACCAATCATCATAACAAAAATGCTCAGAATAAATTTTAAAAAATTTAATTTCAGTACAATCACCAGAAATAACGCCACAGGAATGAATAACAATAATTTTAATCCTAAATATTATAGTGATAATAATAATAAATTATTAATAGAAAAAAATAATAACAGAAACTAAATAAAAAATAACTGCAGTTAATAAATCCTAAATAATCATTTTATTCTTAAATATAGTGATAATAATAGTATTAAATTAATAACAGTAAAAAATAATAATAAAATTTAAATAAATAATAACAGTAATTAATATCAAACATAAGGTAATATATAATCAATAATAACAGCAATTATTATTAAATATTAATAACACAATTTCCTGAATACTAATAATAATAGTAAAAAATAATGATGAAAAATATACTGGTAATTTTACTAAATATTATAAAGTGAAGAAATAATGTTGAATAAATAAGAACAAATGAAGATGCGTTGGCTGACCGGTTGGGTGTCGTCGGGCGCGGGATTGTCGAGGATGAGGAAGACGACGAAGACGCCGGCGCTGACGACGCTGCGCACGGCGCGCTCAATCCGCTCGTCGCCGTCCTGGAAGACGCCGCGGCCGTCCGACACGATCAGCAGCAGCTGCGCCACACTCGACACCGTCAGCAGTCGCGTCCGCGCCTCCTGGAACACCCCCGCCACCGACTCCAACATCTGCACGCAATAAAAAAATATTAATTCACAAATAAATAGGAAAATACGCGGAAAAATACCACAAATAAACCAGAAAATACATAAATCAATTCCAAAATAAATCCAAAATAATTAAAATAATGTAACCGAATTAAAAAAAATAACTGGGTTAATTTTATAAAAGAAACCATGAAATAATAAACAAATAATAACTGTAAAATGAACAAAAAAATCGGCGGAAAAATACCAAAAATAAATTAGAAAATACTTACACAAATCAACTCCAAAATAAATCCAAAATAATTAAATTAATTTTACCGAGTTAAACAACAATAGTTGGTTCGATTTTATAAAACAAATCACAGAATATAATAAACAAATATTAATTTGCAAATAGATAAAAAAATCAAAAATACGCGGAATAATACCACAAATAAATTAGAAAATATTAAATTAATTCAAAATTAAATCAAAAATAATAAAATAATTTTACCGGATTAAAGAAAAATGACTGGATTAAATTAACACAAGAAATCACAGAATGCAGTGCTTACCAGCGGGACATTGGTGCGTTTCTGCGCGAAGGTGAAGCGGCAGAGCATGGCCGCGGCGTCCTCGCTGCTGCCGCCGGCGCCCCCGCCCAGGGGCTGCAGCATCTCCACGCCCTGTCCGAAACGGCACACGCCCACCTCGCCCACCTGCAGGAGGGACAGCGCCTGCCGGATCACCGCCACCGACTCGAACGCCAACTGCAACACGCACAATAAATTCAAAAAAGATACACGAAAAATTCCCAATAAATTCACAGATAAATCACAATAAATACAATTATTCATTGCAAAATTTCCATTTAAAAAACAACTTTTAAAAAAATATAGAACTCTTTTTAAATTTAATACACACGATATCTGGAAACTAAAAACCAATTTTAAAAAAATAAAAAAAAATTGACAGAGCGGCAAAAAATGCAGTTAATTCAGAAAATTTCCAACCATTTTTCCAAAATTCAGAGACCTAAAAGAAATCCATTCAGAAAATTGCAAATTAATTGTTAAAAAATTGTAAAAAATCCAAAGTTGAAAAAATATCCCTGCTGACCTCTTTGGTGCGGTTGTCGGCCATGCTGGCCGAATCATCGACGGCCAGCAGCACCTGGTACTGGCGCTGACTGGGTAGACTGCGCCGCAGCCAGATCTTGTCCTTGCGAAATTCACTGGCGACGTAGGCGATCACGCGCCGCATATTCAGTCGTTTTCCACTTCGATAATCGCCGCTGCAAGACAAAAACAAATAATTCTTCTTTCAAAAAACAGTCAAAAATATTTTTAAAAATATTTTCAACAGTCACGAATAATTTTAAAAATATTTTCAACAGTCAAAACTATTATTAAAAACATTTTTACCAGTCAAAAAATTAATATTTAATAATATTTTCGGCATTTAAAAATATTTTTCACCCACCGCATTTTGGCTTTTTTCGTCGGCTCCAGCACCAGTCGCAGCTGCTCGCATAATTCGTACGCCAGACCGGCCGTCAACGCTTCGTATTTCCGCCACAATTCCATGCCGGTTTGACGCTGTTCGGCGCTTAAAATTGCTTGCGGTGAATTTATTAAGGCGCTGGTCTGCTCGGCTAATTCTTTTCGCAATTTCTCCGCTTCCTCCTAAAATAATACCTTTTTATTTACATAAATAGTATTTTGAATTTTTGATTGTATTTATAATTTTTTTAAATTTCTTTATTTTGGACTAATGGCTTAATTATTTTTTTGCTGATTTTTCTGCTTCAGTTATATTTTTGATTTATTTTATTCGTTTATTTATTGAAATATTTTTTGTTAAATAATTTATGAAATACCTGTTTCAAATTTTAATTTTTATTTAAAAGTTAAAATATTTCAGTTTTTAAAATAACTGCGCAATTATTTTATTTTATTGCGGACCTCGGTGAGGATGTGGCGTTGAAGGTACTCGCGCTGCGTGTGGAAGAAGGACTCGGCCGGCTGCTCGGCGCCGGTGGTCCGCACAAACTCCCCGTCCGTCTCCACGCGCTCCCCCTCACCCATTAATTCCGCGGCTTTTTCCCGGGAATTTTTCTCCTTTTTCCCGGCGGATTTCAGCTTCTCCGCCTCCTTCAGCGGCGCCTCATTCTACATTCAAAAATTAAATAAAAATTAATAACAAATAAAACCCAAAATAAAAAAGCAAGTAAAATATGTAAAATAAATCGAAATAAAATAATAAATATAAGCAGGCATACCGTCGACGTTTCTTCGTCCTCATCTTCCATAGTTTCCTCCGGGACGTCCTCCTCGTCGTCCCCGTCCAGCTGCATCCCGTCCAGTTTCTGCTGCAGCGCCTCGTCGCGACTGCCGACATCGACGGCCTGCGCGTCGAATTGCTCGCTTTCGGAGGCGACGTGTTCGTACGCATCGGCCTCCGCTTGCTCTTTCAGCTGAAACATCACCATCAACAATTAAATTAACTGCCGATTTAACTGCTCATTTATTACATTATTATTACATTAGTATCTGGACAATTTCATCAGCACCTCATAATGAACTGATTATAAAATGATAATTTAATTCCAATATTTATTTTTTTAATTTTATTCGAGTCATTACTATAGTTAATTTAGTAATTTAATACTTTAATAAATTACTGCAAGGATCTGAATTAATATTTAAAATAATCAGGTAATTATTCAAAAAAAATAAATTGCAAAATTTATATTTTTTAATTAAATTAAAATTTAATTGAAAAAATTCGACAACCGTCGCACCTCGTCGACGGCGGTGCCGCTGTTCTCCACGATGCGCCGGCGTTTGCGCGCCGCTTGGCTGGGATCGCCCAGCGTCCGTTTTTCCGGCTCCGCGGATTTTTTCTTCGGCTGATTTTTCTTCTTTTTGACACCCGCCGGTGTCGATTGGGCGCCACGCGGACCCTTTTCGCGTCCCGACGCGTCCAGCGCCGCGCCCTGCGTCCCGGCTTCATTCTCCTGAATATTCACACTCATTTTCTTAACAATTCGCCGCCAAATAATCAGTTATTTTAAAATAATTTAATTCCCGTTTAATTAATGATAATTCAATATTTAATTAACACATGATTTCCTGGTTTATTCTAAAAACGAAAATAACAAGTAATCCTGTCATTTTAATTGAATTCCATTTAAGAAGTCAAAACTATTAACAATCTAATTATTTCATAATTTCCAAACTATTTTATAAACAGTAAAATAATTAGAAATAAATAGGAATCACAATAATAAAATGGGTAATAATTCAATATGAAATTTCGAAATAATAATTAATCACATACGGCGTCGTTATCCAGCTCGGCTTCGTTGAGATTCTCCTTGGGAAAATCGAGGAGCGACTGGCCGTGTCCCTCAGTGCCGGTCTCAGTGCTCTGCGCTTCATTATTGTCGGCGGCGCTCGCGGGCGGCTGCATATTCCGCTCTTCCTCCATTTCCGCGATTTTCTCCTCAATTTCCGCGACACCGGGCAATTCTTCATCCGGCGCGGCTTCCGGCGCATCCGGAACCGTTTCTCCATCCTCCGGGAGTTTTTCTTCCTCCCCATCCATATCTAAAAAAATCTCCACTAAATAAAACAAATTAAAAAATTTTAATACAAATACATAAATCAATCCACCATTTATTTAAGAAAAAAATTGATATTCAACAAATAATCAAGAATTTACATAAAAAAATAGCTGCGTACCGTCATCCTCGGGATTTTCATCAACACTCTCCGGCATGAGATCTTCCGTCGGTTTCTCGTCATTTTGGACGTCCTGCTCGTTCATTTCTTGATCAGCGGTCGGCTCCGCTTCCGTTTCCATCGGTGAATTATCTTCCTGTTGTTGTTCTTCGCCTTGGACGAGATTGTCGTCTTTGGCAACCAATTCCTGCTGATCGGCTTGCGCCTGGCCTTTCCCGTCCGTCTCCTTTTTATCCTGACAAAACCCCGCCATGATTAAATTATTCTGAAAATTTTTTTTGTAATTTTTTTATTTATTTACATATTTACAGAGGAAATCAGAAAATATTCCTAATTTTTATTCGTGAATTTCTTCCCTTTTTCCTGTTGATTATTTTGCAGTTTTTTTCTCGTACATATTACCCATCAGCGCAACTACATAATATGTACAGATGAACAAAATGATCTGAATATACAGCCCTGCTCAGCCAAGTTGGGGCAGTTTTGTTAAATAATTTATAAATTATCTGCATACACTGTTTTGTTTCTTGTTTGCAGTTTTCTAGTGTAACTTTTTACTGCGAATTCGATTATTTCAAAAGCGGTACCCTTCGGTGTGCCAGTAGGGAGCCGAGCACTGGTTAAGGGGGTGGGGTAGTGGTCACTATTAGGGTGCTTAGAACTGTCCCTCTGAAGGGCACACCAACAGATATATTTACGAGGGGTTTCTGGAAACTGTTCAGTAAACCAAAGGCTGTCAGCTATGAGGCAACAAAAAAAGTCTAGCGCAATCGGTGCTCGAGCTGTCCACGAAAGAAGGTGCACCTCCCATAGACTTCTATGTTAAGAAGTACCTGTTGAAGAATGCGGTTGCCAAGCGCACAGACCTAGGTAACTTCAAGTTGATTTTATCCATGGGTGAAACATGGATCATATTAAAGGATTTTTATGTTACGGCGGCCATAAATTGCCCGGACGGAGAAACAGGATGACCGGATGAACAGAAGAAAAGATCAGGAAAGCGGTAGCAAAAAATACTTATGGTTGCCCTTACAGTGTCTCGTAACGGAATGTCTCGGGCTTATTGTACGAGCAGTAAAGTTTTTATTGACGCTCAGGGCTTCCCCGACAAGATTTCACCGAAAATGGTTACCCAAAGCATCCCGTGGCTGCACGGCAAGCGTGCAACAGAGGTCAACCCCCAATTCAAAGGTGCTTGCAGACATTCTGCTAAGGTCACCCAGGCTTGGCCGAAATCGGCTGATGTATGGTATTCTCCGCAAGAGCATTGAATGAGCAACAGCTCACAGTTATTGCCTTTGGTAAACGACGTCATCAAAATTTGTAAAGAAATTTTAAACACGACTACTGCTACCAAGTTGGGTGGGTTGAGCCGCTTTTTTCCTCTGGCCTACACTGATTATGACCTCACTATAATTCGGCAAGCGTTCTCAAAGTAAAACCCTTAAGTGCAAAGGACGTCGGATACCCACGGCAACTAAGAAAAAATTAAATAAGAAAGTATTTTATGACGGCTGACCCATGCTAATTTTTTGAAAAAACTGCCCCAACTTGGCTGAGCAGGGCTGTAGTTTAGATTTTCTTAATAATTACTTCACAACATGACCTTTGTAGTTATCAACGAAGCATTATTGTATAATTGTTATTATTAAATTATGTAACGACGAAAATTAAGCTACAGGCATACCGAATAAATATACTTTGAACGCGTATGAAGAATAAAAAAAAATGAAAAACAAGGTAAAAAGACCAAGAAAAATAAAACCAACAAAGGCTGAAAATAAAGAATAAACAACAAGACGAAATGCAGATGATAAGCAAAAAGAAACCAAAACAACATGAAATTTTCAACACTAACAACAGCAACATTAAACGACAATTTTAACAGCATTAAATTAAAAAATTTCGGTAAATCGAGCTACTGTAAAAAAGGTGAATAATCAAGATTCTACAGGTATTATAATCTAGAAAATCCATTCCACCACTTCAATAATGACCGTAATTTGTATTAGCTCGGAGATCAACAGCACGTGCCATTACACTACAACACTCTATGACATTCCATCGTTCTCAGCCGGTCCCCGCTGAACAGCGCACACAACAGTACTACAATTTTCGCGAATATCTTGTAATTATTTCTATATTCGTCTAATTATTATGTACCATTACCTTCGTTTCGTCGTCTTCCTCCTCGGCGTCGGCATCGTCCCGCCACACCTCCTCATCCAGATTGTCAATATTATCCTCGTCATCGCCCAGATCGCCCATCTGCTGATCCAGCTTATCCTCATCTTTTTCATCGCCTTCGTCGTCTTCTGCGCAACCAGGAGAATTTATTCTTGCTGTATAATTTTTTATTAAAGCGATTTTTAATTTTTTACCGTTGATTTCGTCCTGTTCTTCGCGCTGCACATCGTCCATCTCCGCGTCGAAATCCTCGCTCATCTCGACTCCGTGCTCCTCTTCCGCCGGGGCGTTCGACGGCACTTCCGGTTCTTTTTTCTCGCCAGCGACGTGACTGTCTTCCAGCTAAATTCAAATTAATAATAATGATTATAAAATTATTTAAAAATTATTATGATTCAGAATTTATAGATTTTTAACATATAAACCAGAAATTCAAATTTAAAAAGAAATCTATTTGTACAGAAAAAACGATAAAAAAGCAGAGTACTGAAAATAAAATTTACATGAAACCAAAACCATTTTGAAAAAAAAATTAGAAAATTAGGAAAAAATCTCAAATTACATCCAACCAAAACAATCTTGAAATACGTTTTAAAAAAAAAAACAGAAAATTAAAAAATTAGGAATCAAACTTAGCCGAAAAATTATTTTAAAAAACTGGAAAATTCGTATCAAAATGTTTCTGGTTCATTCTGAAATTTACCTGTAATTTAAACAATTGCAAATAAATCTAATTAAATCAGAAACATTTTAAAACAATTAAAAAATCCAAATCTAAGAAAAAAAATCAAGAGATAATTAATAGGCCCGAACCTGGTCTTCGGATTCGATTTCCTGGCTGACATCCTTCGTGCCCTCGCCCTCTCCGAGCCCGGCCTGCTCCGTCTCCTCAAATTTCTCGCCTTTCCCGTCGCCCTCCTCTTCCTCCGGGACTTCCCCACTGCCGAATCCCTAAAAATAATTTTTCGAAAATTAATTTAAAATAATTAATCCGATTTAACGCGGTTGCCGCGCACCTGCGTGGCAATCTGGCCGAAGAGTTCCAGTAAATGCAAGAGCAGCCGCGACGTGCCGGCCATCAAGGCGAAGGCGTCGCGCAGCACGGCGCCGGCCAGCACGCTGTAATTATTCACCACGACATCCGCCAGTGCAATGTGCTGGGTTAATGCGGTATCCCATACGGAGCGGTTGGCGCCGGTGACGAAATTATCCAACCGCTGTCCAACCTAACCAACAATTTTATCTCAATTTATTTCCAATTTAATTAATTTAACTGCGATTTATTTACAATTTATTTACGATTTATTTCTCATTATTTTTAAATTTCAACTGCTGTTTAATTTGAGTTTAATTCCAACCTAAATGCAATTTACTTTCCGTTTGCTTTCAGCTTAATGTCGATTTAATTTCGAATTAATTTCGATTAAATGGCAAATTAATGTGGCGTTAATACAGTCGATGTCAATTTAATTCAAATTTAATTTTAATTAAATAATCATTTACTGCTTACCCGGGCAATATTCAGTAAATTCTGCCAGTGTCCGATGTTCGCGGTTAAGACGCCAATATTTAATCCTTCCTCCGAATTATCGCCGAGTTTCGTGGTGGGCAGCATATTCTGGACGCCCTTCAGCGCGGCGACGATCAGCTTTCCCAGCGGATCCGCCCACTGCTCCGCGCCCCCGGCCGACGGATTCCCGCAGGATAATTCCGCCGAAAAGTCATCCAGATCCTGCAGCAATGCCGCTCCGTGGGGAAAGCAGCCTAATTTCTGGTGGAGCGACGAAAAAGCTTGACGGAGACCGGGAAGATCGGCGCGGAGGGCCTGGATCAGCGCCCATTCCGTCGGACCGCCCAGCGGCGGCAGTGTGGATAAATGCTGGACAATCACGCTGCGATGTGCGTCCACAGTCAAGAAAATATTCTACAAACAACCGGCATAATCAAATGATTCGCAATTAAATGCAAATTAATCAGCAAATTATTGCAAATAAATCGGCAATTAATTCCAGTTAAATTTATTAACTTATCAATTAAATCTGTAATTACGTGTAAACAAATTATTTATTATTCACAAATAAATCGGCAATTAATTCCAGTAAAAATTTTTAATTTCCAATAAACCCGTAATTAAGTGGAAACAAATCATGCATTATTAGCAAATAAATTGGCAATTAAATCAATTAATTACAGTATTTGCAATTAAATCTGGAATTAATTGCAGTGAATTTATTTAAAATTATTCTTGATTGATTCCTGTCAGATATGTGCAGTGTATACACATGACCTTTTGCATAGCAACATAGAAGTTGCCTGTCATTGTTGTGCTTTGCTGACATTCAGTCAGCGACCTGCGAGTTCGATAATAAATATACATTTATTATCACGTCACGACAAACTGGCGTGAAGGACACGAGACCTCACGCGGTCTAATTTCCCTACACACCTCATAATGTCTCTCACGACATCGACATCGCCTGCTTCGCCATCAGTCCCCACGACATCCAGCGAGAAGGCTGGATCAGGGCTGATCAAGTTTGAACCCGCGAAGATGACATGGCGATGGTGGCAATTCCAATATCAGAATTTTGTGAAACTGCGCAAGGTCACCGACCTGGGCGAGAATTCGCTGCTGATTTTCGAACCGGCTGCGCGCGCAAGGGCTATTTTCGGCTGCGGATTTTCCCTGCGGACGTGCTAGAAAAGAATATGTCCGCTACTTTCCTCAACGGAATTTTGAGCGACACCACACGGCAACACCTCCAGTCCCAAACGTACAACACGTTGGAGAAAGCACTGGAGATTTGTGAAGAATATGAGCTGCGCAAGTCCAACAGGAAAGGTCAGACAGCGCCGGATGTGGCGCGCGTCGACAATGCCCGGAGTGGCGGTGGCGGCACCAGCAGAGGACGCGGTCGTGGACGCGGCGGCATGCAGAACCGTAGCAGCCGTCCTGACCGAAAGCCAGCTCCGCGAGAGATGCGTGCGATGGATGTGGCTCCATGCAGCACGAGAGGTCACAGTGCTGGGCGAAAGATCTTGCCTGCAAAAGCTGCGGTAAAAAAGGGCACATCGCGAAGGTGTGTCGGAGCGGAAAGCAACCTGCAGCGCAGCAACGAAGAGATGGGCGGCGGACATTCCTGGTGGAGGAGGAATTCGACGTCCTGTCGGTAGACACGACGGGTGGACGATCCATCCACGTACCACTCAAGCTGAACGGCGTGCCCGTGTCACCCGTACTGGACACCGGATCCAGTGTGACCATCTTTACGGCCGACACGTGGCGATCAATCGGATCCCCGAAGCTGTCACCGTATACGAACACTTTACGGAGCTTCACGGGGCACACGCTGAAGGTTATTGGTACTGCGACCGTGGAAGTCACCCACGCACGCACTCGCAAGGCACTGCCGATTGTGGTTGTGGCGACAGGGGGAAACGTGCTGGGTAGGGACTGGATCCGCCTTGGACCTCAGCCGACTGAGTCTGCGGGACCTGCAGTCGACCATGGTGTTCACAGTTTCCGGCACACTGGAGGTGGAACAGCTGCTGAAGAAGCACAGTGCTGTTTTCCGTGACGAACTGGGCCATTGCAAACATTACAAGGCTCACCTGCACTTGAAGCCAGGCGCGACGCCTGTGTTCCGGAAAGCTCGACCAGTCCCATTTGCCTTCCGCGAAGCACTGGAGCGCGACCTGGATCGCCTGGTGGAGAGGGGCATCCTTACACCAGTGGAACGGGCCGACTGGGCAGCTCCAGTGGTGACGGCGCAGAAACGGGCTGGAGACATCCGCACCTGTGCCGACCTTAGCACGGGACTCAACGACGCTCTCGACGTCCAGCAGTACCCGCTGCCGACGCCCGATGAGCTGTTCGCGAAACTGAACGGAGGGAAGCAATTCAGTACGTTGGACCTGGCGGAAGCGTACGCCCAGGTGGAGCTAGATGAAGAAAGCAAGAGCCTGGTGGTAATAAACACGCACAAGGGGTTGTTCCGGTACAACCGACTCCCCTTCGGTGTCGCCTGCGGTCCTTCCGTGTTCCAGCAGATCATGGAGAGCGTCCTCCAGGGATGCGAGGAGTCGCCATTTACCTCGACGACATCATTGTCACCGGGGCGACGGAAGAGGAGCACCTCCGAAACCTGGAGAAAGTCCTCCAACGCCTGGAAGAGCACGGTTTCACGCTGAAGCGCAGCAAATGCTTCTTCCTTCAGGACTCCGTGGAGTACCTGGGGTTCGTGGTGGACCACCGTGGTCGCCACATTTCCCAGGACCGCGTCAAGGCACTCCGCGACATGGCCCGTCCGACCAACATCAGCGAACTCCGAGCGTTCCTGGGTCTGGTCAACCATTACGGGAAGTTCGTTCGCGACCTGTCCGGGAAGTGTGCGCCGTTCCACAACCTCCTCAAGGCCGGAGTCCCCTGGTCCTGGTCCAAGGACTGCGAAACGCAGTTCCTGTCCTTAAAGGAGCAGATTGTTCGCGCGACGTTCCTGGTTCATTACGACCCGCGGATGCCGCTGGTCCTCGCCGCGGACGCGTCGCAATACGGCGTTGGCGCCGTGATCTGTCACCGTTTCCCGGACGGAACGGAACGGCCAATCGCACACGCCTCGAAGACGCTCACAGCCGCCGAGAAGAACTATGGCCAGATAGAAAAAGAGGCCCTGGCACTGGTGTTTGGGTGCCGGAAGTTCCATCAATATATCGCTGGGCGCGAGTTCACTTTGTGCACTGACCACAAACCGCTGCTCAGTGTGTTTGGTCAACGGAAAGGAGTGCCGGTGGTGACTGCAAACCGCCTCCAACGGTGGGCGCTGATGCTGATGGGATATTCGTTCAGCATCGAATACCGCCGCACCGAGGAGTTTGGCCAAGCTGACGGACTGAGCCGCCTACCACTGCATTCGACGCAGCTGGATGGCCTGCCCGGCCTGGGGATGGACAGTGTGGTCAACGCTGTCCACGTCGACAACGTGTCGCGTTTTCCGGTGTCGGTGGAAGCGATTGCCGAAGAAACGGCCAGAGATCCGGAACTGTCCACCGTGTATGGATACGTCATGAACGGCTGGCCGTCGACGGTTGATGCCCTAGCGCGTCCCTACAAGCGACTTGAGCATGAGCTCGTCACCATCAACGGCTGCGTATGCTGGGGATCCCGGACCGTCGTGCCATCGAAACACCGGCAGCAGATCCTGGAATACCTTCATGGCGCCCACATGGGGGCGGGGAAGATGAAGGGTGAAGCGCGAGGATACTGCTGGTGGCCTAACATGGACAAGGACATCGAACGAATGTCCAGTGAATGCCAAATCTGCACTGAACGCGCGAAGGAAACGGCCAAAGTCCCGCTGGCGCAGTGGGAAGTGCCGCATGCACCTTGGAAGCGGCTCCATATGGACTTCGCCGGTCCATTTCACGGCACAATGCTGCTGGTGATTGTGGACGCCATGTCGAAGTGGCCGGAGGTGGTCCAGATGAAACACGCCACGTCCGACGGCGTTCTGGAGGCCCTCCTGAACCTGTTCAGCCGTTACGGAGCCTGCACCGAAATCGTCACCGATAACGGTACGCAGTTCACCTCGCAAGAGTTTGCCGATTTCTGCACGGTTCACGGCATCCGACATCTTCGGACACCACCTGGCCACCCACAGTCGAACGGCCAGGCGGAGCGCTACGTTCAAACTTTTAAGGACGGAATCAGCAAGCTGATGGCCGACCGGAAGCCATTGCCCACAGCTCTGCGGGAATTCCTGTTCCGGTACCGCAACGCGCCACAGGCCACAACTGGCAAGTCGCCAGCGGAACTGTTTCTGAGCCGCAAACTGCGTGGTCAGCTGGACTTGCTGGTGCCGGTGCTGATGACAACAATAGAGCGTAACCGGAAGCGTTACCAGCAAAATTTCGACCAACGGACACAGGAGAAGCATTTCCAAGTTGGCGATTACGTAATGGTACGTGATTACCGTCCGAATCGCGCAGTTGACTGGCAGCGTGGACAGCTGGTCAGACGTGAAGGTACCCGCATCTGGGTTGTCCTGGTCAACGGAATTGACCTGCGAAGGCACGAAAATCAGATGCGACCGAGGCATTGGCTGCACCCAGACGAGCGTGCACTACCGAATCCGCCAGCTGCACTTGTCGCACCTGTCGCACCGAAGACACCGGATGTACCGAAAGTACCAGTCGCATCGCCAGTGCAGACGGCTGCACTGCCTAACGATGCCTTTCCGGAAGCGGTCACAAAGCAGGATGCTGGTGGACAGATCGCTACTGGTAAAGCACCTGAACTTACATTACCGAATGTTGATAGCGCCAAACCAGTGAAGCCAGCGAATGTGAAGAATGCTAAGAAAACGCCACGCGTTCCTGAAGCGATAACTGATACCAGTTCTCAACTGAAGCCACCGGAACCAGAAGTGCGACGAAGCGGAAGAGACAGAAAAGAACCGGATCGACTAATCGCGGATCCGAAATTCGGGCGCTAGCTTTGTTTTGGCTTTAGTTGAGTGGGTCTCCCCACTGGGGGAGGTGTCAGATATGTGCAGTGTATACACATGACCTTTTGCATAGCAACATAGAAGTTGCCTGTCATTGTTGTGCTTTGCTGACATTCAGTCAGCGACCTGCGAGTTCGATAATAAATATACATTTATTATCACGTCACGACATTCCGAAATTAATTTATCTACATACCTTCAACAGCTGCTCAGCTGCATTCCACTGCTCCGTGTTTTTCTCCATAATAAGTGGCCGCTCGCTGTTGTTAGTGTACAACAAATCCAGAACGGCGGCGTTCGTCTGCTTTTCGGGAACGGCGTCCAATATCAGTCGGTACTGCTTGGCCGCCACTTGCATTTGGCACACGACGTTCTGCGCTTTTTTCTGCACAAAAATTACAAAATTTCATAATCATTATTTTATTAATTAATCTATGGAAATTTTTCAAATTTTAATCGTTAATTAAATGTATTTATTGCACCATTAATTTATCAACGACGTTTTTTCACTAAAATTATCTCAGGCGATTTATTTTGCGATTTTTTAATAGATTGTAATTTATAATTAAATCATTTTTAAATCGAAATTAAATGGAAATTTAATGTAATTAAACCTCATTTAAACGGAAATTAAATTAAAATAAAACAGGAATTAAATGGGAGTTAAAAGAAAATTAAATCCAAATTAAATTCACTCGTACCAATAACTGGAGACAATCCCTTCCCACGATCACTGGCCACGCCGGATCGACAGCCGGCCGCGTCGCTCCCCGCAAAAACCCGCCCAGCGGCGTTAGTTTCCCGGCCAACTCCGCCGCCGTCCGCGCCTGCTGCAGAATGAGCGCGTGCAGATGCTGCACGAGACCCTTCATCAAGCCGGCTTCACCAGCAATTCCCTGCACAAATACAAATAATTAAAAAATAAATTCCTCATTAAAATGAACACCGAACTGTTTCAAAAATTATAAGAAAAGACGTACTTGAAATGGCTTCTCTAGTTGACGTTGAAAGACGGCCATTTGCGCCAGCACCCGCTGGAACAGCTGCAGACAGGCGTCGCGCGGAGCGGTTAATGATGCGTCTACACTGACGCCGCTCAGGGCGCCGGTGAAATCCTCCAGGCTTTTCTGGATACCGCTGCCTTTCCGCCACGACGCACCTGCACGATGCGGCGATATTAGTGTATATGAAATTTATTTATACATTTTCAAACTAATTTTACAAAATCAGGAATTAAATAATTTAAATTTTCCAAATTAAAAATTAATTTTAGAGAGAATATTCGAAGGCATACGTATTTCGCAACGATGCATGCATAAGTTCGATTGTAAAAATAGAAAACTGAATTTAAAAACGTAATTCATTTTGCAAATTAAAAGTTAATTTAAGAGGGAATAATTAACAAAAATATTCCGCAACGATGCACTGCACGACGCCGCGCCATCCGGCTCCGGGAATAATAAATGTATTAATTTTCAGAATTAAGACAGCGATGTTCATCATGTGGCGTTGTCATTAAGGAATTATTATAATTTAATTTTAACAATTTAAATTAAATTTTTACCGATTACAGTGGGAATAATTCACATGTAAAAATTACCTTGAGGGATTTTTTTTAAAAAAAATGTTGACCTACCGATTTCCTGCAGCTGCTTCTTGACATCGGTGTAGGCCAAGCGACGCCGCTGAATCAGCGCTTTCAACGCGGCTTTTTTCTTCTCCACCGGCATTTCGGTCGGCAGCGCCGGCTCATCCAGTTCCTTCCAGCGCACTGCCGCTTCGTCTACAAATGTCCACATTTTAAAAATTAAGTAACCAAATTAGCTGACATTAATTGCCTTAACTATTTATCTTGTGAAATTATTGAGAACAAATTACCAAATTTTACGTTTACGAACGAAATTAGCAATAATTACGAGTATTACTCATCACCATAATTTAAATGACGAATTAATTTAAAAAATACCCGAAAAATCTTTGAAGACTATACCAAGCAGATTTTTTTTCGCAAAAAAATTAATGGTAAAAAAAACGTGGAATTTATGTTTTCACCTCCGATGGCGGCAACCGCCGCGGCGGCAGTCTGCAGCGGCAGTTTTCGGCAAATGCGCCGCACCAGCACCGCGCTGCGCTGTGTCAATGCCGGCAAATTGGCGATTTTAACGAACAGCGTCGGCGGAACATCCGCGGCGGAAGTTGTCTTCAGTCCACGCAAAACCACGTTCAAATCGGGCGCAACAAACACCGGGAAATTCCCACTGGGCTTCACCAGACTGACGCGTTCATCCAGCACATTCTACACACGAAAAAATCATAAAAAAATTCTGCAATTTTGTTTTGATTTATTTTAAAATTAATTTTAAATAAATTTATTTCCAGGAAATAATATTCAAATGCTACAACGATAATTCATATTTTTTTGTAATTAAAACGCGCTTACCGCAAACTGGCGCATGAGATCCATGACCTTCCGGTGGGACTTTTTCACCGTCTGCTCCAGACTGAAATAATTCATATCGCTCCATCTGGCAATCTTCACGAAATTCTTCAATTCTTTCTCAATGGCGGCGCGTCGGCTGCTCACCAGCTGCTCCACATCACCGGAAAATTGCCCGTAAAATCCGCGAATATTCCGCAACACGCAGCACACCACATCTACGATCGTTAAAATCAATAAAAAAATTATTTGACAAGAAACTCGCAAAATAAAAACATCGAAAAATGCAAAATTTAAAATAACAACATAAAATAAACCAAAAACATATAGAGAAAATTTATTAAGGAAACTATGGAAAACACTTTACGGTAGAATCTTGAAAGAAATATTTATTTCAATAACAAGTAAAAAAAAACACTTCGAAAATACAATTTATTTATTAAAAGAAAAAAACTTATTGTAGGAATATACAACAAATCAGAAAGAAAATAAATAAAACATTAAAAAAATACAGAATTTGAAATTTCTGTACAAAAATAATATGAAAACTGATTGAAAAACTGCAAAAAATAACAAATAAAATAAAAATAAGGAAAATAAACAGAATAAAATTTATCTCCGGCTTTATTTTTAAACTATTTTTTTTTTCATTCAACGCACCTCTGCCGGCGGTATTCCCGCCCCTCGGCAACCGCGCAAAATGCCGCTCCATCGTCTCCAACATCCCCAACCCGGCGCCGAACGTCCCCAGACTCCCCGCCTCCATCCAGCGCTGCAGCGCCGCCACCAACGCCGGCAACGGCTCCATCTGTCCCTGCGCCAGCAACTGGTGCACGGAGGTGAAGAGATGCAGCCACCACCCGGAGGCGGTGCGGGCGGCGTCGCGCTGCACGGCGTCCAACGCCGTGGCCCACTGCGCCAACTCCAGCCGGCGCCAGTCCAGCACCAGCCGGCTGATCTGCTCCAACTGCGGCTGCAGACTGACGCCGCTGTGCGCCTTGGCTTCCCAGTGCTGGCAGCGGTCCACAAGGAGCTCCAGACCGGCTAGGAATTTGGCCACGGGTTCCGTCACCGGGAACGAGAGGATGCGCTGGATTACCACGGAGGCCTGGGAAAATAGACAATTTTTATTGTGATTATTTAATTTATTCATCGAATTTATTTTCAGGAAAGTAAAGCATTTCGGACATTTATTCTATATTTATCTGAATTTGTTTTTAAATAGCGAATGATTTTTTTAAAATTTAGTTAAATTCAGGATTTATTTAGATATTAAATTGAGGACAATTTGAAGCATTTTAGTAATTTTTCTGAATTTATGCAATTTTTGATCTAAATAACGGATCGTTTTTCTAATATAATTAAATTTAGGATTTAATTAAATTTGATTGGATTTAATTTAATTTAACTAAGTTTTAATTCCTGATAATTCAGAAAAAATTAAAAAGATCAAAAATACCTCAAGAAGAACAGGATGTGATGGCCATTCATTCAACAATTCCGCCACTCGCGTCTCCACATCCCGCAACACCGGCAAACACTTCCGAGACTCCGGGATATTCTCCCCGCGATAAAAATCCCTTTTCCCGCCATCACTTCCCTCCGCATCATCCAGATTCCGACAAACCGTCCGAATTTCCACCAAAATTCCCAGAAAATCCACCGAAAATTCCACATCCCCGGCGGCTTGTTTTTCCACCAGAAATCCCATCTCCAGCCCCTCCGCGCACAAAATTCTCATCAATTCCGGCGTGGGAACATCCACAGTCTCGTTAACAACCGCGGCATGCAATGCAATCAATTCACTGCGTAAATTTTCCGTCAAAATTATCCGATTTTCCGCAGCAATTTCCGGTTGATTATTTCCCGCTGTTTCCGCATCGGATTTTTTATAAACATCGGCAAAAACATTTTGATACGTCGGGAAGACCGTCTCCCCGGCGAAGGTGTACAGCGTCTCTTTTTCCACGGCTTCCCGCTTTTTCTGCTCCTCAATTTCGCTCCAGATCAACGCGAAACGCCGCATCACGGCGTCCGTTAATTTATTCGCGATTAAACTGGAACCGGATATTTTTTGATGGAGTTGGATTAAACGGAGGATAAAACGGATTAATTTTAACTCGGTGGTGACCATTTCACCGGGAGAATGCCGGAAAATTCGGAGGATGTCGAATCGGGATGTCCAGAGGCGTTTTGCCAGGGAAATAAAATCGGGGGAAGACAGCGGTGAAAGATTTTGTTTTGTCTGGCGAACGGTGTCCGAAATTCCGCTTTCTTGCAGGAAAATGTCTTCTCGCAGGTCGTGGAATATTAACCGCCATCCGTGAATAAACTGCAGTTATTTTATAATTTAATTACACAATAATTTACAATTTTTTTATTCATTTCTCTTTGTTTCTTTTATTAAACTTACTAAATTAAAATATCAGTTTTAAAGTTTTATAGAACCGAAAATCAAGAATTTAATCACAAAATAAAAGAATAACTTACTGAAAAAATTATTTTGATTTTTGTTTAAAAAAATCTTAAAAAATACATTTTCTTTAAATTTTTCTACAAAAGCCAAGCCCGAATTTATTCACAAAATTGAAAATAATTTATTGATAAACATACTATTACTTGTGTACAAATTAAATTTCAAAAAAAAATATTTTTGGAAATTTTTTCTCCAACAGACGAGCGAAAATTTATTTACAAAATAAAATGGTATTTCATGCATGTTTATTTTTTACAATTTACTCCCGAAAAATTATTTTTCAAATAATCGTAAAATGTCATACCTGGTGAAGACTGGAGAGAAACGGGAGGAGAATATCGCGATAGACCAAATACTTGCGTTTCAGCTCGTCCACAACCGCGACCACACTGAGCAACCAGCTACCCAGCTGATCGACGACTGGTTTCCTCTTCGAGGCATCTTTCTCCGCTAACGCGCGGGACAGTTCAATTCCGGTCTTCAAGCAGTTCTCACGGACGTAACCCGCATCTTGCACCATCGCAAAATACTGCCAAAAAAAACATTTTATTAATAGAAAAATTATAAAATAATTTAAAAATAAATTAAAACTGGTAAAAATCGCAAGAGGAAAAATGCACATACGGTGGAATTCCCGGGCCGGTAGACTTCCGGTAGCGCTTGCAGTTTGGCTAATTTCTGCCGGCAGAATGCCAGGTGGGCGTGATACGGCTGACTGAGCAGCGGGTCGTAATTTTCGGGATCGGCGGAGCCGTATAAACGCGTGAAATAACCTTCCACCACGTGCAGACTCGTTTGGCAATCATCCTCCTAATAGCACACGTACTTAACAATCACGCAATCTCGAAACAAATTAATATTTTACAGTTACCAAAAACCGGGCAGAATTATCCACAATTTAAAAACATTATTAATATTTTTATTTGTTCAACAACCTTTGAAACATTAATTCCTTTTTTTAAAAATTTCTATTCATAGGCACTTTTCTCATTTAAAAGAAATTCATTCGATTTTTGCTTCCTCAAAATTTGATTTTTTTTAAACTTGAAAAATTCATATTAATAAAAATACGCGCAAGTTTTCTGCTCGTTTTAGGAAGAATACTTAAAATTAAGTTGTTACTTATTACTGGAATAGAAAGTACTTCACACAATTATAGCAAATTTATCGGCTTTTTGTGTTTCTTGAAGATTTTAAAAAAATTAATCGATTACTTCGCAATTTCGCTTAATAAAAATTAATAAAACAATTATTTGTATTATTTGTACTAGTCCATTATTAATTTATTTGTACAGAAAAACCTTGTAAAGATCGATGTTTAATTTCTTTAAATAATTTTTATAAGCACCAACCTGTTGCGCGAGACACTGCCGTTTAACCCGTACTTTCTGCACGGGATCCACGGTGGGCGGGGAGAACACCTTCATCCCGCAAATTCCCAACGCGATCCAATCCGCCGGCTCGCTGCGCCGCTCATTCTCCCCCACCAACATCTCCACACAAACCAAAACATTTTCCTCCAACTTCCCGGCGTCTCCTTCAAAATTCCCGTTATTAGCCAGAATTTTCCATAATTCTTGCGGACGGGTCGCTTCCGTCCGCAATCGGGCGTTCCAGAAATTCAGGAAAAAATCAGTTTGCTCTTTTTCCGATAACTTCAACTGCCGGCATTGCAGCTTTCTCCAAAAAACACTGCGCAACTCCCCAAATCGCTGTACCACACCGTCCACATCTTTCAACGCAACCGTGACCTTTTCCGAATTCCCGAAAATGAATTTTTTGACGATTTCGTGTAAAATGCGATTTTCCGTTGGTAAAGAAAATTCCTCGGTGAAAATTTCACCCGCCACGTTTTTTCCAACATCAAATTCCACGGATTTCATAGATAAATCAAACACCGAATAAACTACCATTTCGCGAACCGCATCCGGAAAAAACCGGCAATTTTCCGTGATTTTTTCCATAAAATCGCCGACATTTCCGCTGATTGTTTTTTTAACAAAAACCGCGGATAAATCCATGTTAAAAATCAACCGGAAGTCGGAGACACCTTCGCTGTCGCCAATCTCCAGGGATTTTTTCAAAATACTCCAGGTTTTTTCGTTCTCCAGTGAATCCGCGGAAAACCGGCATTCCGATAAAATTCGATGCTTCGAAAATTCATTTTCCGTAGCGAAAGGTCGGACGGTATCGAAACACCGTCGAAAACGAATCCGCTCTTTATCCTGCGTAATCTGCAACTGCGTGTTTAATTTCCCGGCAGATTTTTCGATAATTTCATCGATCGGGTGGATATTTTTCACAAACAGCATCCAGATTAAACTGAGCAAACTGCGATCCAGCGGACGCTGTAATAAAATCGCCAAACTGCGCAACCACATTCCCGCGACGAAACTTTCCACTCCGAGAGCACCACGCTGAATTTCTTGATGCGTAAATTGTTGGACGATGGAAAAATGTTCAAGGACGTCGCGCTGGAGGCTGGATAGGGAGAAATCGGGAGCGGCCGTGCTGGATGTGCGGAAAATCCAGGATACCAGCCAGCGACGGGCTTCCGGTCGCTCCGGCCAATTTTCCATCTCCTAAATTTAGGAAAAATATTTCACTTAATATATTTTATTTAATTTTTCGTTTCCCTTAAAAAATATTCGAAAAATAAATTTACAATTGTTTTTTTCCTGTTTGACTTGCAAATTATTTTTATTTCAAAATATTTTCGAAACCAAAACGAGCTGAATTTACCAAAAAAATAAAAAAAACTTATTTTAAAATTAAAAAAATTAAAAACGTATTTTCAAAAAAAATAAAAAAATAATTTTAAAAATTAAAAACTGCATTTTTTGATAATTATTCAAGTAATTTTGGAATTCATAAAAAAAACGACTGAACAAAAAGCAACTAATTGACCGCTGAAAAATATCGATTTTATTATTTGTATTAATATTTATTTAATTTCTTCATTTCCAATACAGAAAAATATTCGGAAAATAAATTTACCATTTGTTTTCCATTTCTGACTTGCAAATCATTTGTATTTCAAATCATTTGTTATTTTCGAAACCAAAACGGGCTAAATTTCTCAAAAAAATAAAAAAAATACAAAACTTAATTTAAAAATAAAAAATCGAAAACTTGACCGCTGAAAAATATCGATTTTATTATTATAATCAGGAAATTAACCGTTAAAATTTTATTTCTTATGATTTCGATTGGAATTTCAAGTTACCATTTGCTGCATCGGAAACAGCACACCGCTGGTGGATAAAAATTCCTCCGCGCTGATTTTTCTTAGACGCGCTTCCGTTGATGAAGCGGTGAGGAAGAAAATCTCCAGGCACGTCGCCAACACAATCGGCTGCGCGTCTTTCCGGTGCGATTGTCGGGTAATAAATTCCACAACGTGTCGGTGGCGCAGCGTGTTGGTCTGCGCCGGATGGGACACAACATCCCGGACAACGACCGGAAACGGTGGATGGATCAATACCGGCGCCGGATCGCCATTCGCCAACAATGCCACTTGCTGTACACATAATACTCAAAATTAGAAAAATTAAAACCAATCAAAAATACAAATCAATTATTAAGCTTACAGAACTTTTAAAAAAATCAAAACTGATATATAAAAATTTATAAAGCCAATAAAACCGGCAAAATTACACACCATCCAAATTTATAAAAATTTTAAAACCGGCAAGACAAAAAATAAGAAATAAAAAAAATTTAAAACTAGATACAAACTGAAACATACAGAGTCTTTCAAAACCAAAAGAATAAGAAACTTATAAACTGAAAATGTTAAAAAAAGAGATAGCCAAAAAAAAAACATAAAATGCATGAACTGACAAATTTCGGTAATTTATATATTTATAAAGCCAAAAAAACCGGCAAAATTACACACCATACAAATTTATAAAATTTTTAAAACCGTCAAGAAATAAAAGCAAATTAAAAAATAAAAAATTTAAAATACTGACAAGAAATAAAAGTGGGGAATATTTTAAAAATAGATACAAACTGAAACATACAAGTTTTTCGAAACCAAAAGAATAAGAAACTTATAAACTGAAAATGTTAAAAAAAGAGATAGCCAAAAAAAAACATAAAATGCATGAACTGACAAATTTCGGTAATTTATAAATTTATAAAGCCAAAAAAACCGGCAAAATTACACACCATACAAATTTATAAAATTTTTAAAACCGTCAAGAAATAAAAGCAAATTAAAAAATAAAAAATTTAAAATACTGACAAGAAATAAAAGTGGGGAATATTTTAAAAATAGATACAAACTGAAACATACAAGTTTTTCGAAACCAAAAGAATAAGAAACTTATAAACTGAAAATGTTAAAAAAAGAGATAGCCAAAAAAAAACATGAAATGCATGAACTGACAAATTTCGGTAATTTATCCAAGAAAAGCCGCGACAACATAATTACCGTATCGTTTGCGAGCGGATGTGGCGATGCAACCACACTGGAGACGGCTTTGGATAGGGCGGCGTCCAGTCGTTCGCCACTGCGCCGTCGCATCATCGTTTCTTCCACCACGTCGCGCAACGCCGCCACGGATAAATCTATAAACAATTATGCACAAATGATTAAAAACATATCTGAAAATGTAACAAATTAAACATTTCAGTGGACAGAATTTCTGCAATTTAGAGAAACCTACCTTTCGACGGGATCTGATGGTGCAGGCCCTTTAAGACGACACCGATGTCGTTCAGCGGTACGCCCAGCTGCACCGCCAGCGCTTCTTCATCGCGCTGATTCAGCAGCGCCGGGACGAAGATCTCGATGACGCGATTACGCATCGCGCGGGATAATTCACCGTACTTTCGATCCATCACCAGGAACAACCTAAATTATTATGCGATTAATAGAAAATTTAACAAAAAAGACACAAGCCATAAAAAACAATAGAAAAAAATGTGCGAAAAATGACAATAAAATAACGGAGGATAAGGAGAACAAAATTATTAAAAAGAAAGCATAATATGTACAAGCAATATGAATAAATCTGTAAAAAAAACAATAGTTTACAAAAAAAGCAAAAGTAATAAAAATACAATAAAAAAAAAGGCACAAGCCATACTAAAATTATGAAAAAACAAAATAAATACATTTGTTGCAATATTTACACAATTATGTACGGACCGGAAGTTGGGATGTGGTTTGATGCAGGGCACCGCGTCGCCCACCGTGCCGCATTCCGACAGCAGCAGCTCCCCGTGGGGCTCCAGCACCGAGTTCAGCCGGTCCAAAACCGCCGCGCTGCAAAATAATTTTTTTAAAAATTTTCTAAAAATTTCGCCAACACTAAGCGAAGGAGAAAAACGTACCTGCACAGATTGGCGCCGTCGAGGAGCAGCCAGCCGCCGTCGCGGATGGCCCGCACCACCACACTGTCGCGCCATTCGAAGCGCCCGGCGGAGGCGGCCGACGCCTGGCTGACCTGCTGGAAGCCGCCCAGTAATTCCGTGGCGTCCAGGGCGCTGTTCAGATACATCGTCTCCAATCGCTGTCCACATAACGCCGCCAGCAAATGCACCGCCGCCGCTTTGCCTACACCCGCTCCGCCCACCTGCAAATAATGTCAGGCATTCTGCCGCAAATTCTGGGAATTTTTTACGATTTTCAAAAGCATTATTTTAGTTTAATTTGTTAATATTTTTAAATAATTCATTTAACGTTATTTTTCAATGCTGGATATCTGTTACTATTTTTAAATCATTGATTTCCAATTGTTCAAATTGAAATTTATTGCTAACTTATCTGAAATTTATTAATCTGTTTCTTTAACCTTTTTTTACTATTTATAATTATAACTTGAGGTCATGCTTTTACAAAACTCACGAGAAGGGAGACAAAGTTGTGTTTAATGCAGAAAGCCAATTTCTCCAGCAGCGCCGACTGCGACTGCAGCAGCTGCAAATCCAGGACAGAGTCCGCGATGGTAAACGTTTTCCGGTCCAACGACACGACGCCCAGATGGAGGGATGATTCCGTGATCTCGCAGCGCAGAAACTGCCGCGCCGGCACCGACCCGCTGGTTACGGATATTCCCAGAATCTCTTCCGCCAGTTGCCATATCTGCGCAAATCATATAGGTACGTATGTAATACATCATTTAATTATTATTATTTAACAGAAACACTATTTATTATTATTTACAGCATTTTAGCGCCAACCTTATCAGCTTTTTTTTAGTAATTTGAATTTCGAATTCAAGAAATTACCCATCATGTTTTTTTTTACAAATCCGCTCATTAATCAGTTTAAAATTAAATGTTTGAAATTGATTTGAACTGATTAGTGATTATATAAAATGAAAATTTTCGATTTCTAAAATAACTGTAATTTATTTAAAAATAAATTACTTAAATTTATTAATAAATCTTAAAACATATTCAAAATTAATATAAGAGTACCAGTTGTCGATCCTGCGTGGTGCGGAATCGAGCGGCATACAGCAAATCCACCAGCGCCGCCTGATAATTCCCACCATCATCCTTTTCCTCTCGCTCCAACAACAAATCACACCAGCGCATGACATCGCGCAGATTAAACTCCCACGGCCGCCCCTCCACCCCCAACCGCCCCGCCCCCACCGCCGCCTCCACCGCCGCATTAAACCCCAACATCCGCTCCACCGTGACCTTTTCCACGGCCGGATACATCCGACAACAAATCTCCAACAAATCCCCGTCGCTCAACGCCTCCATCAGCACCTGCGTGAAGCGATTCAAGAAGGACTGCGGGAGGCCCTTGCGGCCGGCGCCCTGGGCCAGGGGTTCTGGCAGGCGAAGATGCGGGTGGTGGTCGTGTCGACGGTGAAGGTGCGGTTCAGTTCGGGGATGAAGACGGTCCCGCGGTGGTCCAGACAGGCGTTGAGACCCTCCAGGACGGACTGGGAGGCCAGGTTGAGTTCGTCTAGAAGGATCCAGCTGCCGCGTTTGAGGCCCTGGAGGAAGGGGCCGTCGCGCCACGCGAATAAGCCCTCGCTGGCGTCGGAGCAGACCGGCATGTCGGCGCCGAATAACTCCGATATATCCTGTCCCAAAAATCAATTTTTATTTATTTAAGCAATTTTTAATTCATTTAATTGGGCGTAATTTACGTATTGCAATTTTAGACTTCCGAATATACACAATATACACAGAGAATTAACTGCAGGATATTCAATTCCTATCAATTATACACCTCGCGGAGAATTAATTACAATTAATTCGGATAATAATATGACATTTATTATATTTTATTTATGAATTTTTATCAGTTTGTTTCAATTTAAATTGGATTAAAATAGAAAAATGTGGCGGGCTTACGGTCTGCTCGGACAAATTAATCCGGACGACGTCGTAGCCGCAGGCGCGCGCCAAGGCGGTGACGATGCTGGTCTTGCCGATGCCGGGCGATCCCTCCAATAGGACGCCCTTCGTCACAGCCATCCCGCGAATAATCCGCAATAAATTCTTCTTCACGCTGTCCGCCTCGAAACTGTAACTGACCGGCACAGCGCGCACCGCATTCTATGAAATAAAACCGGTCTCTTTATAAATTTACCACCGCATACATTTTTATATGTATTTTCTTTATTTCGATATAAAGTTCATTTAAATTATTTTGTTAGAATTTATTTTTATTTCAGCGAAGCTTTTTCCGGTGTTTTATTTTTTATGAGGTTATTTGAGTTATTTTTGATTTTAGTTTTCTTTAAAAATTATACACGTACCGGGTTCTTTTTGACGACGAACGGCGCAACGCCAAAATACTCGTCTTTATCGACGAGTAATTCCCCAGATAAATCCAACGGAAGCGCGATTTCCAGTCCAGCAAAATACAGAGCGAAGAGATCAGTGTGGAATTGCGCGCCAATAAACTGCGCAATACTTTCGCTATCCATTCCACTATGTAGACTGTGGAAGACGGTGAGACATCCGTGATAATACGCCAGATGCGGCTGCCCGCTCAAGGACCGGCACAAACCCTCCGACGGGGCGGACACGAAAGAATTCATGAATTTTATCAGGCTCATCACGTCGCGCGTGCTCACCAACAACCTAAGAAATTTCATTAAATAACTAATTATTTGGTTAGTTTATTAACATTTATTCAATTTATTTCAGACGCTGCACGTTTCACGCTTTAAATTACATCATTTTCAAAATCAAACCGGGCTTCCAGTATTCAATACGACTTGAACGAAAAAATTTTACTTTTTGGAAATTATACAAATAATTTTAGATGGAGAAATTGAATACGCTAAAAAATTGCCGATTTAATAAAATATAGTGAAAATTAATCACTGCTGAAAATCATGATACATCATTAATCATAAATATCAAATTCATTTGATTTGTTGTTTTATAACAATATTATTCGAAAACAGAGTTTGAAAATTCCCTTTTTGATTTTCAAATTTTTAACTGCAAATCAGCAACTATTAATGTTAAATTAACTTGATTTCGGGGAAGAAATACATATTCAGGACATTAGCACTAACCTGTTATTTTGCTGCACCATCCACTCGATAAATTCACAAATCGCCGTAATAAAAACCCCGCGCAATGTTCCCGCACCCGGCCACAAATTCTGCTCCATGACCAGTCGCAAATCATCCGGAACGTTCAAATTCCGACACCAGATCTCGGTGAACCGATTCCGCAGCGCCGGCGACAGTTCCTTCTTCCCGAAATCCCCGCCGGGGTTCATGGTGGCCACCAGGCGGAACCCTTCCACCGCGCGCACCTCGCTGACATCCAGCCGCCCGCCCGCGGCGGCGGCGGCGCCCTTCTCCGTCAACACCAGGCTCCGCTCCGGCTCCAGGACCGAATTGAGACGCTCCAGAACCGCGTCGTCGGCCAGGGAGATCTCGTCCAAGAGGAACACGGCGCCCTGTGTCATGGCGGCCACCAACGGGCCGTCGTTCCACTCGAAGAGTTTCCCGGAGGCGGCGGGATGGCGGGCGGGACGGAGACCGCCCAGGAAGTCGGCGGTCTCCGTGTTCATGTGGCAGTTGACGGAAAGGAGCTGTAGTCGCTGAAGTTCCGCGTATAACTGGCAAACCGTGGTTTTTCCGCAGCTAATTAACCGGGAATAATAAATTTCGTAACGAAGAAATGTATATAAAAATTAACTAAATTATTTTCGTCGGTTTGCTTATTTATTTTTTAGTTTATTTCCGCGTATAACTGGCACACGGTGGTTTTTCCGCAGCTAAATAACCGGGAATAAATAAATTTAATAAACGAAAAAATGTATATAAAAAAATAAAAAATAATTTTCGGCGGTTTGCCTATTTAATTTTAATTTTGCTTTCTAATTTGCTAATTTTTTTTAATTTTTTCGTCTGCCGAGGTGTTTGCTTATTCATTCTTAGAACACAAAGAAGCAGAATAAAAATTATAAAAATAAATTACCATACGAAAAATTAAACAGATGAAAATGCGAACAAATTTGGAAAAACGTAACAAAAATCTAAATAAAAGAAATATTTTTTAAAAACAATTTTCTGATTTTGTTCGTCCACAGATATGGTTGATTGTTTACTTTTTAAAACACAGAGAAGCTGAATAAATATTATACAACTAAATAACTTTTTGAAACATTAAAACGGGAATAAATTTGGAAAACTGCAAACAAAAATCCAAAAATAAAGAAATATTTTTTAAAAAACATTTCTGGTTTTTTTCTTCTACAGATACGCTTGCTTATTTATTTCTTATACACAAAGAGCTTGAGTAAATATTTTAAAAGTAAATAACTATATGAAACAATAAACGGGTAAAAATGGGAATACACCTGGAAAAACGCAAACAGAAATCTAAAATTAAAGGAATATTTTTCTAAAAAATTACGTATATAAAACAGTAATTTGTGGACGAACCCGGTGTCGCCGACGAGCAGGACCGCCTCGCCGTACTGCAGCGCCGTGCCGGCCAGCACCACCAAGCGCTGCCAGTTGGACGTCCACACCAAATGCCGCAATTCCTCCGAATGGGAATTTTTAAAGTTTTGCGCGACCGCTTGACTGGTGATGGAACTGGGCTGGTGATCAAATGAGCCGAATAACTGCTCCAAATTAATGCCGACTTTAAATTCCTTCTCCACGACACTCTTCACCACGTCCGCTTCATCGCTGCGCCGCACCCGCCCCGCCAGTAACAAAAAACCTAAAATTGGAAGGTCACTGAATTAAATTCTAAAAAAATTACCAAAACAGAAAAACTAAAGAAAAATGCTTTTTAAAAATACTTAATGAATAATTTCATTAATTCAATGAAATTAAATTATACAGCAATGTTGCTGAAAAAAGAGAACCAATAATTTAAGAAAATGGAAAAATAATTTTAAAAAATCATAATCAATAGTCCAGTTAATTAGGTTAAAATAAACCGTGCTCACCGTGTTCAGCCAGATGTTGCGACCAATCGTAGAATTTATTTTCCGTGGGAGCCGTCGCGGTGCGGTAGCGTTCTGCCCAGCGGAAAAGATCGCGCAGTGTAATAAAGCCCTGCTTTCCCGCGAAAATTCCACTGTTCTTCCGCAACGCCTAAACACAACACAGTGCAAAGAATTATTTAATTAATGCAAAATAAAAATTATAATTTTGCAAAAACATTAAAGCCAGTAATTATTATTTAAAACAAATTTAAACTAAATCCAATTAAATTCTGCATAGATCTAAAATAAATCCAAGTATTATTTAGGATAAATTTAAAATAAATCCAATTAAATTTGGAATAAATTTAAAATAAGTCCACGTATTTATTTGGGACAAATTAAATATAAATCAGTTTACCTGTAGGTCGACCATTACGGAAATCATCTTCTTGGCATAGGCTTCCGGCAGATCGCAGCGCTGCTGCAGGATCTTCTCCAGTTCTTCACGCGGAATTTCGTCAAAATGCATCTCGATGAAGCGGTTACGGAAGGCACGCGACAGCGCCTACACAGCAAATTTTTAAAATTCACCGAGAATTTTTTTCCGGCTAAAAAGACTCACTTTGCGACCACCGTAATAGCCGGGCGGATTCTGCGTGGCAAACAGCATAAAGTGCGGATGCGCGCGGATTATTTGCTGCGTCTCCGTGATGAACAGCTCACGATTGGCATCCAACAACTGCAATAACAGAAAAATATTCCATATTATTTTAACTTAATTTAATATTACTTTTAATATCCATTGTAATTTTAAAATTTAAATTAATTCCAATTTATTTTATTAATAATTTTTATTTTCATTAATTTTTTTCAGTTTTAATTCATTATTAATTTTAAATTTTAAACCGAAATTCGTACATAATTTTTCTGGATGATTTACCCGATTTAGTGCTTCGAGAACGTCGGACGGCGCCAGATTCAATTCATCCAAAATAATCCAGTAGCCTTTCCGCACGGCGTCCACCAGAATTCCTAATTACAGGACAATTACTTTTCTGCACGGCGCAGTAAGTGGTTAAAATGCCGACCTTCGCAGAAGACCAGTTTGCCGTCCTCGTTGGGCTGGTAGGAGCCGAGGTAGTCCTGCAGGTCGGTGTGCTCGTGGTTGTTGAGGCGCACGCAGCGGTTGCCGGTGGCCCGCGCCAGCCACGTGATCAGGCTCGTCTTCCCGATGGACGTCTCGCCTTGCAGCAGCACCGGCACTTGTCTAAACACATACACCAGCGCGTAATTAAATTTTATAAAAATTAATAGACAATTAAAACGAAATTCCACCGTTAATTCAAAAATTCACCCCATTAAATTACAATTAAAATTATACGCTTAATTTAAAATATCACCCAAATTAAATTACAAGTAAAAGTAACTTCCACGGTTAATTTATGTATTACTCAAATTAATTTGCGATAAAATTCTAGAATCCAAATTAAAATACTGACAATAAAATTATACGGCTGAACTTCATCAATTAAATCAGAATTAAAATACAGGGTAAAATCCACACATTAAATTATAAATACGCAGATTAACACGGGTTAATTACTTCAAATTACTTACCAAAAAAATTAAATTTAATTCTACAAAAATTGAAAAACAAATCCGGGAACTCACCCAGCGGAGACGGCGCGCGCCACTTCCGTCAGATTGCTCTTGACGGTCTCGGTGAGGATGTATTGCTTATCCAGCTCGGGCTTCAGCTGGCCGCACGCAATCCAGTATCCCTCGATCTGCTCATAGCGGCCCGCCGTGGGGCGGGGCGCGCGCAGCGATAAATCCGGGTGTTTCAATCCCGCTTCACCGAACAAATGCTCGGCGATGGTTTTCTTCATTAGGCTCTGCGATTCGCGGCTCAACTGCGTCAGGTAACTCAGACAAAATCCCTGCCAAAACCACGGCAATTAATTTCGGCATTAATTAAAACGAATTTAATTCAAACAACTTACTTCATATAACGATCGAACCACTTTTCCCATCGGATTCTTCACGGCGAACTTCAGGGCTTGCGTAAACGTTCGCAGACTGCAATGGAAAAATCACTGCAATTTTGTGTAAATTTTCCAGCCATTAAAAATGTTTTCACGCTAATTTTCCCCTGCATTATTAGACAGTTTTTCAACGATCAATATTACTTCTGTTCCAATTTTTCTGTAATCATTAGAAATTTTTCCAGTAATTAATATTATTTTTACCATAATTTTCTCCACTTGTTTCCAGCAGCTAATATTATTTTCATTCTAATTTTCTCCAATTATCAGATAATTTCCCAGCAATAAATACTATTTTTATTTTAATTTTCTCCAATTATCAGATAATTTCCCAGCAATAAATACTATTTTTATTTTAGTTTTCTCCAATTATTACCAGCAGAAGTTATTATTATTTCTATTCCAATTTTCTCCAATAATCAGATAATTCTGCCGCAATTATTATTGTTTTCATTGTGATTTTTCTCCGGTTAATTACTAAATAATTTGCCCAACCTGTAGTGGGGTTTGTGGCTGACGCCGTCGACCATCTTGGTTTCGGCCAGCGTCTTCAGGATAAAAAACAGCTCCACCACCTTCTCCAGCAGCTCAACGTTCAACGCCAACGGCTGCAGATACGCCACGACGATCTGCCGGACTTCCCCGCGATCCGACAGATCGCCGCAGTAAATCTCCGTGAAGCGACTGCGGACGGCCGCCGGCAGATCGCGCTTCCCCAGATCCGTGGCCGGGTTCATGCAGGCAAACAGGCGGAAGTCGGGATGCCGAGGGATGGGCGTGTCATCCCTAAAAAAATTAACAGAAAAATAATGGAAAATAAAATAAAATTAAAATAAATGAAATTATACAACAGAAGAAAAACAGAAAAATAACAGCACTGCAAACATTTTGTTAAAAAATAAAACTAATTTTAAATATTTAAAGTATGTAGATGAAACCGTAAGACAAAATAAAGAATAAAATATATTAAGAATAAATCACGGTAAAATTGGATAAAAATGCAAAGAATAAATTAAAATAAACCAATAACCGAATTAAATGAATGAAATTATTTGCCTAAATAATATTAATTAAAATAAAATCGGCACACAAATAAAAATGGCAATGACGAATAAAATTAGAGAAAAAGCGCAGTACCCGCGATCCGTGAGGAGGAAAGACGTCTGCGTGTTGTCGATAAAATGGCTGAGACTGGCCAGCAGTTCCGGCGTGGCCAGGTTGATTTCATCCAGCAGCACCCAGTCGCCGCTGCGGTAACTCGTCACCAGCGTTCCCTGCATAAACCACTTAATCAGAATTTCCAACCAAATTTTTACTGCAAATATTTTTAATTTTATTGTAATTATTTTCACTTTTATTGTGGTTGTTTTTTAATTTTCGTTGTAATTATTTTCAGTTTTATTATAATTATTTTAAATTGTTATTGCAGTTGTGGTCTATAATAAACAGTGTTATAAATACCGCAGAATTAGTGTACCTCTAAGAATGTAAAGAGGAGACTCTTCTTCGCCACGGCCAACTGCCGTTCCACAATGGACAATTTGTCAGCAAAATCCTCCATAAACCAACCAGCTTGTCATCGGTGTTCTTCCGTTTGAAAAAACTACTGACGATATGCCGCATCGCTGTGGCCAGCAAAGTCCAGTCCTTCTGTAGGAAAGCTTTCTACAAAATTTGAAACAAAATAAAAAAAATCGACAAGCAGCAGTTGATCAAATCAGAAACGTGACGCTCCCGCGCGACTGCTGAAAATGGACGGTCATGCAAAAAAAATCAAGATACCGGTTGTAAGACACACTGAAGAATATTTTTTAAATTAAAATACAAAAAAAGTATAATTAACTACAATTTTGTTTGAAAATATATTTTTCAACTTATTTTAAATTATTCTACAAATCAAAAATATCCGTGTAAACTGATTCCCGGTCTGTACCTGGGCTCTCTCGATGAAAACCGCGTTCTGCTGGAGGGAAAACGTTCGCGTGAAGAGATCCAAAAATACGGCATGCAGCTCGGCAAAGACACGCCCCATTTCCATGGGTTTGTACCCGCCCAGGAGATCCGTCAGTTCCGCCTGCTGGCTCAAATTAATCACGTGCAACTTCCGGCCTACATTAACCAAAACCAGCGCTCAGACATCGAAAATTTAAAAAAACGAAAATTTAAAAGTTAGAATTCGAAAAAAAAATAAAAACAGCTTCTACTACTTAAAAATATTCTGGAAAGCAGCCGCAATTTTTAAAAATATCATGAAAAATGGAAAAAGAAATTCTTCGTTGAATTTACAAATATTCTGGAAAATAAGAGTGATTTTGCAGAATATCCAGAAAACATAATTGGACATTTTCACGGGCTTACCGAGCTTTTCCGCGAGATACTGCACGCAGGTGGTCTTGCCGGTCCCCCGTCTCCCCGACCAGCAGCATGGCCTCGTTGTGCGCCACACCCATGCACAAACTCTCCAGCAAACGGCACGCCGACGGATGCAGCGAGAAGACCGGTCGACTATGGAGAAACACTGTTTCCGCGCTCGACTGTTCCTCATTTAAAGCAGCCTTCGCAAGAGAAACTCGTCCGACACGAAAATCAACTGCGCTGCTGTCAACCACCACCGGCTGCCGCTTGCCGAGATTGTAGTCCACCTGCTCATAAAAAAATAAGAAAACAACATTTAAAAAACCAAAAATAAATATTGGAAAAAAATGTAAAAGGTTGAAAATGGAAAAAATATTTTTAAAGATACATAATACCAAAAAATGAAATATTAGCGTAGAATAAAAATTGTCGCGGTGCTGCCAACGTACATCACTGGTCGGTAATCCCAGAAAGACACCCAACTGCCGCGCCAAGGCCAGACGCGCCTCTTTTCCCGGAATAAAGGCCACGAAACAATCACAGACGTCCTGCAGAAGAATTTCCGCTTCGGCGCGGGAATTGGACGATAAATAGGAGGAGATTCGTCGACAGGATTTCAAGAAATCTCTACAAATCAATTTGACCGATAAAACTATCCTGCATCGCTCAAAAAGATAGAAAACTGTAATATTATTTGGACAAAAAATGACAACAGAAACTTAACTGCTTAAAAATACAGTATCGTGCATAAAAAAAGAATAAAAAAATACAAAAAAAGTTAACACTGAAATTTAGACAAAATAAATTAATACAAATAAAAATAGGCTGTCAAAAATGCATAAATAAATTTTACTGGCAAGTAATAAAATTAAAAAAGTAACTCTTCATATGACGGCAGCGCTAAAGAAATCAGTATAAAGATCATAAGAAAATAAACAGAAAAAAAGCAATGCTGAAAACAATTTACAAACTTTAATTTTTACTGATATGAAATAATCCTAACTAATAAATATTTCCGACCTGAGCGAGATCAGGCGATGAGCAACACAGCGGCGCGCATCCATATCAGCGATTTCCGCGGCATTCGTCACCGTGCTGAAGATGCGCAGCAGTTCCGGGAGAAACGTCTGCATGGACGGCGACGGAAACAACCGGCGACTGATCTAAAATCAGAGAAAATTATTTTCCAAAAAATACACCATATCAAAAATAATAACCACCATTAAAATTCCATCGGAGGGAAGCTTCTCCAAATAAATCCGCTTGAAATGGCTGAACAAGGTCGGATCGACGTGTGACTGCTGGATGGACGGATCGTGCGTCCTGCGACCAGCAAAAAAAATCAACAATAAAAATCAACCACATAAAATCAGTAAAAAAATAGAAAATACCGTAAAGTGGCGAATATTCGAAATCCATCGCCTGCTTGTATCGTGGAACCGATCTCCGGGATATTCAGGGTGCCGGTCTGGATGAGCGGCAGTAAGACCGAGACGACGTCCATCGGCGCGCTGTCCAAATCGTCGAGAATCACCCAGCACGAATTCATTACAACCTACGCATCCACAACACGAAACCTCACTTTTCTCGTATAACACTGTCCGCAATACAAAAATGGAAATGAATTCAAAAATAACAACCGGTAAACGCGATTGACAAAGAAATAATGGTAATAAAAATAAATGGTTAAATAGACCGCAAAAATTATAAAAAATAACAATAAACAAAATATTAAATAACGGTATAAAAATAATTATAATTTAGTAAAAGTTAGGAAAAATAGCAACCAGAAATAACTGCCAACAAAATAAAACAAAATATTCCAAAATAATCAAGTGGTTAAATAAAAATGCACAAAATAAAAACAATTTAAAAAAACAAGCATTTATTCGCAAATTACAAAAAAATAACAACCAGAAAATAATTGACAAGAAAATAATAATAAAATAGAAAATTCCAAAACAGCGGTTGAAAACTTAAATAGACAGCAAATCACTGACCATAAAAAGAAACAAAATTAAAAAAATGTTTAAAAAATTTAACTACGAGGTGGTTGAAAAAACACAAAAACTAACTGACAGCAAAAACCATTCGAAAAATGCACACTGAGCATTCCTTACTCGGGCTAAAATCCCCGGAACCCATTTGAATTCCCCTCCGATCTCCGTGCAATGATAGGAACCCAGCAGCGCCTGCAAGAAACCAACGCGATCAGACGCGATTCCCTGTTTCTCGAAATGCGCGTGTACTGACGCGGCCATCGGCGTCCTTGCACAGCTGGATCGTCACCACATCCCTGCTTAGTCTGCGGCCGTGGCGGACGGCCAGGTGGTGCAGGAGCGCGGATTTGCCGCCGCCCGTCGGTCCGCAGAGGAGCACGGGTTTCCCGTGCTGGATGAAGAGCTCGGCGCTGGCGATCGGCTCGGCGTAACTGGACGGCACAATGTAGCTGGAGCAGGCCTGCAGAATAAAATGGATTGGCAGGCGCCTGATTTGTTCCTAAAAAGGAATTTACGCTCAAAGTCATACGACTTACATCTGGCGAACTGTCAGTGTCAGCTGCTGCTTCGACAGCTTCCATGGCTGCGAAACACGCCACTTCAGGCGACAGCGACTAGCACTCAATCCAACAACAAACCGGAGAAGTACCCTCGCATGAGTTCAACGGGGAATCGCGGCGTCAGTACTGGGCACCATTGGATGGAGTGGATAAGCTTACAGATATCGATAAGAATTAAGATTACTTATAATACTTACAGATAGTGTATCGATAAGATATCATACAGATACAGATATTCCGGGCTTTGCGTTGCTACTTGTATGCTACACAACTAAGGACCCATCAATACAAGTTACGCCATGGCCGAACCCACAATGCGGCGATTCGCTGCCGCGCAAATTAGATATGTGCTTGTGTGAGGGCGGTGCCAAAAATGCATACTCGTAAGAGCCTTACGCGTATGTATGTAACTCCACCCCCTAGCATGCATACGAGGATGCACGCAGTCAAACCGACAGTAAATTTTTTCAGCGAGACCAACCGACAACCACGCACACAAACAGATTATTTCTTCACATAACAGCCACCCCGCGAAAGGGAGCTATCGTTTGCACTGTATGCGTGATACAGGTGACAGTCACCCGTGGATGGTTGGTAGTCGCTTGAACTATATGCACGGTTGTCGGTTGGTCTCGCTGAAAAAATTTACTGTCGGTTTGACTGCGTGCATCCTCGTACATACACGAAACTGATCGAACTGCCAGTGTATCTCGAAATTTCAAACGCTCGTCTTTCCTTTACTTCTCAACAAAACTTCCCAATCGATATATCAAAAGATAGAGAATTAATTTTCAAACTTTTTGGTATGTAGCAAGTGGAAATGTATGGCAAATCAAGCAAATTATAACTGTTTTCGTTTCTCATAGACTTAGCACAGGATGCAAGCAACGCCTCCTCGCACGCTCGCACGGGCCTATGCTTTGTTTACGAGAAACCAAAACAGCCATAACTTTCTTGATTTGCCATAGATTTCCACTTGCTATATACCGAAAAGTTTGAAAATTAATTCTCTATCTTTTGATATATCGATTGGGACGTTCTGCTGAGAGGCAAACGAAAGAAAAGTGCTGCAAGTTTTGGGGATTGACTGGCAGTCAGGTCGGCTACTTGTATGTTTATGAGCGAGCTGGTCACAGCATCACGCGTGCCGCACGCCAGCTCGTTTTAAGCCATACGCACAAACCAATTTCGACGGCCGGAAGTCTTACTTCTATAGATGGGTGCTAACTTATGTTACATACAAGTTGCAACGCAAAGCCCCTATTACCGTAGACAGCATACAGCATACTTACCGATTCTCTGCAATACTTACCAGTTACTTACCACGCCGAGCGCGAGCAATACTGTACTGAGACTGTTACCGGTTACGCATTCCATTCTCACTCGAAAATGTTACGTACCACTGGAAACGGAATCGATGTGTGGAATTCAACTTATCCTATATGAAAGAACTGGCAATGACCGCGGGGCATATAGATGACCGCGGCGCGCTACGCCTACGCACCGCGGTATCCACGAAGGTTGCGTTAACGCATTTACTATTTTGGCTCGGTTACGTTACAACGATTCGTCTTTTCTATAGTTTGTTAATTTAGTTGGTTGCATTCGTTCAGTTAGTTGGATTGGGTTTGGTCCGACGGGTAGATGAACATAGCCGGCCTATTTGGCCTCGATCCACGCTACCCGGAGCCTGGTTTCCAAACTACTGCCGCACTCAAGTGAAGTTGACGCTGACGACCACATCGCACTTTGGAGGCTCTCCTCGAAAGCAGACATCTGCAACGTGCATGGGATACGCCGTACAGTTTAGCCGAGCAGGCAACTTTGTTATACGAGGCAACTGACGCCACTAGGCACTAACAAAGCATGTTTGCTAGCGACTTCAACACCGGAGTCAGGTGTTTGGACACACGCTCTTCCCTCGTCCTCAATTGGAAACTTATTGGACGACGAATCCTTCCGCATCGCCAATGCTATTCGACTTGGCGCACCTGCATCTTCTGAACACCAGTGCAGGTGCGGTGCCGAAGTCAATGCCGATGGCTTTCATGGATTGAGTTGCAAATTCTCTGCTGGAAGACGGGCACGGCACGACTGCATAAACGATATCCTGCGACGCGCTCTGGTCGCGGCAGGCATCCCGGCGCGAAGGAACCTAGAGGTGTGCACTACGAAAACGACACACGCCCAGACGGAAACACTACTTTCCCCTAGACGAGAGGGCTGTGTTTAGCCTGGGATGTAACCTGCGTGGACACCATCGCGCGCTCTTATTTGGATTACAGTGCACACCAGCTTAAAGGCCGGAGCGGCAGCCGACCTGGCAGAAGCTAAAAAAGAGCAAAAATATAGTTTCCTGTCAGGACGATATGAGTTCGCTGCTGTTGGATTCGAAACTTTTGGTAGTTTTGGTTTATCAGCCAAGAAACTGGTTAAAGAAGCCGGGAGAGGGTTGAGTTACAAACAGGCGAGATTCGCAGCCACGAGTTTTTCAAGCAGAACATTTCTTTAGCTATTCAAAGAGGAAACGCCGCTTCTGTTATTGGTACGGTGAAAAGTGTTGTTGTGTTTAAGTGTAACTGAATCTTGATATTGTTATCGCTCTATTGGAAATTAAAGAACAAACTCCTTGGGTTAGGTCATTTAGTTCAATTAGGTTTAGGTTGGGTTCAGTCGGTTTGCTTAAAGGAAAGCACGCGCACGCAGCGTAACGTTACCTTGCAAGAGTAAGCGGCATAACGTTACCACACGAGGGAAGCGAGGAAATAAAAGCACAAGGCAATAAGCGGACTACGTAACCACAGATTATAAGGGGCGTAGCGCAAACAGGCGAGAGTAAGCGGCAAAGCGTAACAACGCGAGAGTAGCGGCGAAACGTGACCACTCAAGAGTAAGCGGCTCAACGCAACCAAAAGAAAGTAACTGCTGTAATGATACCACGCGAGAGTAAGCACGGAAACGAAAGCGCTCGGAAGTAAGCTGCGTAACGAAAGCACGCGAAGCTAAGGAACGTAACGTAACCACGCGAGAGTAAACGGCGTAACAAAAACGCAAAAAAGTAAGCTTCTTGACGATCTTACAAGAGAGTAAGCGGCGTAACGCAATCACAAGAAGGTAACCGGCGCAACGTTGCCACGCGAGAGTAAGCAATGTAACGTAACCACGCGAGAGTAGTCGGCGTAACGTAAGCGCGCGAGCTAACCGTCGCAACGTAAGCACGCGACAGTAGGTGGCGTACCTTGACCACAAAAGAGAGAGCGACTTAACATAATCACGAGAGAGTGAACGGCGTAACGTAAGTTACGTAACAAAGCCAGACTAAGTGGGTAAACTGAAACAAGCAAAAGTTAACAGCGTAGCGCCGTAACCAAATTACGTGAAAGTAAACGGTGTAATGTTAATACGCGATACCATGAAACGTACAAACGTGAGAGTAACAGCGGACAACCACGACAACGCGGGAGTAAGTAGCGTAAACGGCATAACGTAAGCACGCGAAACCAGGAGCGTGTCGTAGGTCCGCGAGAGTAAGCGGCTTGGCGGCGCAACGAAAGCAGACTAGAGTAAAAAGCGTAAAGTTACCACGCCAGACTAAGCAGCTTTGCGTTACCACGCGAGGGTGAGCAGCGTAGCTTTACCGTGCGAGCCTAAGCGGCGGAACTGAAACAGGCAAGGTTTTGCGGAGTAACGTTCCCGCATAAGAATAAACGGCATAAAGCACTATGCGCGAGTAATTGGCGTAACGTTTTCACGCGAAAGTAAGCGGCGTAACGTAAGCAGGCGAGGGTTTCTCGGCGTAACGTCACCACGTGATAGAAATAGGTTAAAGTTACTACGTTAGAACGACCAGACGTTACCACGCGAGCATAAGCGGCTTAACGAAAACCAGCAGAATTTTGCGCCGTAACGTTACCACGCAAGCGTGAGCGTCGTAACGTAAGCATGTGAGACGCAACAACTTAACGTCACTCAGAAGTAAGCAGATTTAAGTTACCACGCCAGGGTGAGCAGTGTATCGTAAGCAAGCAAGAACAAGCGGCGTGGGTTAGGTTAGGTTCTTTTGGTTCAATAATATTTATTTTTAATTCGGCTGGTTCACTAAAGTTTCGGTTGGGTTCAGCTGGTTCATTAAGTATTTGGTTAGGTTCAGCTGGCTTATTTAAGTTTCGGTTGGGTTTCGTGAGCGATTTTGGTTAAGTAAGCTTTTTTATTTTAATTATTAGTTTTATTTAGTAAGCCTTTTTTTTACCTTTAAGATCAGTTCGCTTAGTTAGTCGACTTAGTTGGTTCATTTTGTTTAAAAAATGATATCAGCAGGTTCACTTTGACTTTGTTTAGTAAGGTGGTTCAATGAGTTCACGTACTTATTCCGGCTTAGTGAGTTGGTTCAGTAGGTTCATTTTGTTTTGTAAGTGTATTCAGCAGGTTTGCTATGCTTAGAGAGTTTGTTCAGTAGGTTCACTTTGTTCAGCAAGAGTTTTGATTCGGACCACTTAAAGCGATTTGTAGACCGGGGCGTTAAGCACAGAGAGCTCTGGCTTAATAGTTAAGATGTTACGTAACGCGCTTTTGAGGCAACAGACAGCTCTGCTGTGGAGCGTCACGATCCACAGTTCTATACTCTGCTACAAATGAGCGTGTAGTGACACTGTAGTCTTGACGAAGGCTTAACTGCAGCATCTCGCGCATCGCGCTGGGTGTAAATTACTGAATATGGATAAGTTCAGACAGATATCTCTATCTATTTTATCTGTTTTTAAATTTTGTGTTTTATGATTTTGGTTTTATGATGAATGGAGGGATGCTCAGAAGCTGATCCAAGCATCGGCGTCGCTCGCGACATTAAAGTAATCGCGTTGGCACAACTGACTTTTCAGGTAGGTATTACGAGTACGTTCACTACACCGTTCACTTAAGGGCATTACGTGGAACGATTTTTGAAACCGCTTTTGCACAACTGCTTTGCTGTTTTCACCTTTCCAAGCGGGAAAATGCCACAGGAACCTATTGAATTCCACGATTTCAGGGATGTTTCTAGATCCGTAATTAACCTCCGTGATTATCAGTTTTTTGTAGTTATTTATTTAGAACGAATAACTTTTTTGTACCATTTAACAATTATGTTGCTAGACAATACTTGCTTCCACGCCGTTTGTCAAATAAAATTTTCGTGCACAGTTATAACATTAATGCAAGAATAATTTGCTATAATATTAATTAGAGCAGCGAACGATACTATTAGAATGCTAGATCACCTAAAGGCTAGATATGTGATGAAACAGTCATGTGCTGTGCACAGTGCGCGCAGTGTGAAATATGCAGTCCTCCGGCAGTCTGTCTCCGGCCCATTTCCACATTGCGTTCGAAGTTCGAACTGCGAAGTTCAACCTAAAAAATGGAAATGATGATTGCACACGCCAGAGCAACCGCAGACGGACGGCAGCTGCAGAGAAACATGCACAGAAAAAATTTGCTGTTGTCGTGTCATACGAGAAAACATCGCTGTGCTGCAGTAGCCACGTGCGCTTCGGTGAAAGTTCGGCTACAACATTCGGTAATGCCGCAGATTTTTATCTAAACGCGCCTGGAATTTATCCTGTAGACGCTGTATTGTGGCATCTACATTGCTAGACAATGCTACTGTTAAGTGTAAAGCGCAGCGGACTTTTTTAAGTACGGTATTTGAACAACCAATGAGCGTCCTCGCAGCGGTGCCGCCCCCACGCAGCGCAGTCTTAATGGCAAGTGTGACGTAAAATTAGTGTAACAGACAAGCGTACCTGCGGTCCTGCGCTCGGCAGGTGACTTGGCGAGCAAAACAATTTTAGGAAACTTCATTATTAAAACTTTATTAATAAAACTAAATAATTAAATAAACAATTTATAAAACTTTATTAATAAAATTTCTGTAATGAAGTTCCCGTGTCAGTACGATTAGAGCTGGTGCGATCAAGTAAGTTGTTTATAAATAAATAAATTCAGTGTTGTATTACAGTACTGTGAGGTTACTGTTTGCTGTCGCGTACTTTGGCTTTACTTTACTGTTACTGTTTGCGCTAAACTTTACTGTGTACTTACTGTTTACTGGTCGCATGAAAATTTACTTTACTAAGTAAACCAGTAATACTCAGTTTAAATATTTTTTTTATTAAAGAAAGATCTTGATAAAAAAAATTTTGATCAAAAATCTTGATCAAGGAAAGCTGTTTGGAAAGTTAAACGGTGCACGGCACGAGTGCAAAATGTGCACTGCACAAATTTGCACATCAGTCTTGCGCATCTGGATTTTAACAATAACGACAGAAACGACGTGACAAACAGACAAATTTCGCACGAAGCGCGAAGGTAACAAGCAGTTTTCGGTTAAAATCTCAATAAATTCCAATAAAAATTGTTGTACTGAAATACTCAAGTGTACTCGATTTCCGTTACTGTTTACTTACTTTTTACTGTCAGCACAAAATCTTTACTTAGTTTTCCTGTTATACTGTTCTCGAAACTTTATTGTTCGTTTAATTTTCATATTAGGCTATTATTTAATACTGAGTAATTCGTTTTACTTTACTGTTTACTAAGTAAAACAACCCTGGACTTTTTTATTATAGAAGTAAAATTTTCTACACACTTACCGGTAACCAGGTGATCGTCCGCACTGGTGGTCAAGCATCCACCATAAGTGGCCGCGCTGAAGAACGGAGTTCTTCAGTTTTTCCTCCGTCTCCAGGAGCGTCTTTCTGCTCCGGTTTAGCCGTGGCCTTAGATCCGCCACATTCCTTCTTTAGCAGTAAGACGACCAATAGGACGACCAATAGGATGACTGCGACAGTTAAACCAAAAATTATGGCATAGAATGCATATTCCCGATATTCGGTCACGCCCTGAGTCGGCGGTGGACACGTACAATTCCCGTTGGGCGTACCAGTACCAAGACGTACTTTGTCCATATTGAAAACTGCTGTTTATAAACAACTGTAAAAATGGTTAAATTTCACAGAATAAATTCAAGAAGATCCCAGCAAAGATTTAGCGCACTGATATCCCTGTTCAAAATCAAGATTAAACCCCAAGCGATTTGGTTTAAAAGCGGTTCCGCATCGTTCGGTGCAGCGGAGTAGTGAGCATTCGGTTTGGGGGAAACGCAATGACTACTGGCTTTGGAAGTGCCACGCTCTCAGACCCTAGGCTAGAAACTTCGTTTTGGTGGGGGCACAGCCCCGTGGCTACAGATCTCTCTACGCTACTGGTTCGGGGTGACTTTGAAAAAATTCTTGGAGGCTTTTTCGTGTCGGCACTGTTGTTCCCAATTTAGTTGTACACACACAGCCAACTCACGGTGCGGCAAACGATGAATGTGATTATGTGACATATTTGGCGCGTACACCCGCTCAATTTGCAATGTATCCTACGTTTCATTAGCAGTACAGTAAGATAACAGTGTGAGATCAACAGAAATTCTAATGGTGGCGGAAGTGAATGATGTTTGAATATTTTGATAATTTGTTATTTTCATCATACTTTTAGATTGTTTTTATTTTGTTTCTTATTCTAATTTTCACTTTTTGCGGCCTGTTTAACCGCGGTCTTGTGAATTTTTTGATTTGTCGCTACCTTATTGCCAACCATTTGGTTGTTCCTTTTATTGTAATTTTTTGAATAGTTTTTTACTGTTGTTTCTTTATGTTATTTTATTTTTTTTATCATATTTATTTATATTTATTTATTTATTATTTTTATTTTATTTATTTATATTTGTTATTTTATTTTATATTTTTATTATTTTTGTTTTTTTATCAGTTATTTTTGTTTACAGTTAATGTTATTTTTCTAAATAATTATTTTAAATAATTAGAAAATTTGTGGTATAATTATAATACTCAATAAGCTTGTAATTAAAATGTTATTGTGTGTTTTCATTATGTTGTAGTTTCTCGATTTTTTTTGCATGGCCGTTCATTTTCAAACAAGCCAACGAGAGTTTGATGCGTGCCATTGCGTGGGTTAATAAGTAAGGTGTTACAGTGTTAATAATCGATTTTTTTATAATGAGATTTTTTTTTAAATTCATTTTCATTGTGAATTTGTGATTATTAAATTATGGTCTCTTTTTATAGAAGAGGGCCTTCTTTTTACATTCTTAGAAGTAAACAATTTTTTTAATTTTTATAACACAGTCATACTATTGAAATTAATGCTACGATCAAAATGGAAATAAATTAATAATCACAAATTCACAATGAAAATGAATTTTAAAAAACCAATCTCATTATTTTTATCATAAATAAAATAAGTACGAGTAAACTGAATATATGAGAAAATTATGGCAATAAAGTTGGAAGTAACCGCAATAAAAATCCGTTTTGAATTCTCATTAATTTCTTTAGACTAATTAGGCATAGCAGGAATGAAGGTCTGTTATATCTGTATATATGTAGGTTCTGTTTTACGCAGGGAACTTTAGTGACACGTCCCCGCAGCGGCGAATGGGTGCTGCTGGATGAAATCAATTTGGCCACGCCCGAGCTGCTGGCCCGCCTCAGCCATATATTTTATCGACAACACGCAGACGTCCTTCCTCCTCACCGATCGCGGGTATTTATCCTCTTTCCCAGTTGTTTAAATTTTTCTTACTTCTTTTCCTCGGTTTATTTCCATATAGAAGCATTTGGAAATGAATGTTTGCAGCGATGACACGCCCATTCCTCGGCATCCCGACTTCCGCCTGTTGGCCTGCATGAACCCGGCGACGGATCTGGGGAAGCGCGATCTGCCGGCGGCCGTCCGCAGCCGTTTCACGGAGATCTACTGCGGCGATCTGTCGGATCGCGGGGAAGTCCGGCAGATCGTCGTGGCGTATCTGCAGCCGTTGGCGCTGAACGTGGAGCTGCTGGAAAAGGTCGTCGAGCTGTTTTTTATTCTCAAGACGCTGGCCGAAACCAAGATGGTCGACGGCGTCAGCCACAAACCACACTACAGGTTGGAGAAATTATTTAATTAATTGAAGAAAAATTACAGTGAAAATAGTCATATTAATTCCGGGAAAATTATCTAATAATTTGGGAAAAAAATAGTTTAGTTTGGGATTATTTAACAATTTGAGAAAAAAGCAAAATAGAAACAACAATAATTGCTGGAAAATTATCTGATAATTGAGGAAACGTAGATTAACTTAGTATTAAATTGTTGGGAAATTATCTGATAATTTGAGAACAATTCGATTAAAATTTTATTAACTGCTGGAAAATTCCAAAAAAACGCAATGATTTTTCCATTGCAGTCTCCGAACGTTCACGCAGGCCCTGAAGTTTGCCGTGAAGAATCCGATGGGAAAAGTGGTTCGATCGTTGTACGAAGTGGGTTGATTACAAAATTTTTTAATTTTAATTAATCCAAAAATTAATTGCCGTGGTTTTGGCAGGGATTTTGTCTGAGTTACCTGACGCAGTTGAGCCGGGAATCGCAGAGTCTGATGAAGAAAACCATCGCCGAGCATTTGTTCGGCGAAGCGGGATTGAAGCATCCGGATTTGTCGCTGCGCGCGCCCCGCCCCACGGCAGGGCGCTATGAGCGGATCGAGGGATACTGGATCGCTTGCGGCCAGCTGGAGCCGGTGCGGGACGAGAAACACATCCTCACCGAGACCGTCAAGAGCAATCTGACGGAAGTGGCGCGCGCCGTTTCCGCAGGGTGAGCTCCGGGATTTGTTTTAAATTTTTGTATAATTAAATTCAATTTTTGGTGATTCGCTGGTGTAAATAACCCCTGCTGATTTATTTATAAGCAAATATTCACAACTAATTAAATATTTAATAATGTTTATATTTTATTTCTAGTTAAATATGTGGATTGTAATTGTGAAAATTTAGGAAGTATGACCGTATACATATTTTTGTTTTCATTAGTTAATTAGAATTTAATTTTGGGTGCAGGGTGGGATTTAATTTTAATCGTAATTTAATTCGGGTACTATTGTAAATTAACCGGGCAGTTGAATTTCAGTTGTAATTTAATTTTAATGACATTTGTTTAATGAAATTAAATTAACCGTGGACGTTACTTTCCCTCGTAATTTAATTTGGGCAATATTTTAAATTAAGCGTATAATTTAATTGTAATTTAATGGCGGTAATTTTTTCAATTAAACGGGGAATTTCGTTTTAATTGTCAATTAATTTTTATAAAATTTAATTACGCGCGGGTGTGTGTTTAGACAAGTGCCGGTGCTGCTGCAAGGCGAGACGTCCATCGGGAAGACGAGCCTGATCACGTGGCTGGCGCGGGCTACCGGCAACCGCTGCGTGCGCCTCAACAACCACGAGCACACCGACCTGCAGGACTACCTCGGCTCCTACCAGCCCAACGAAGACGGCAAACTGGTCTTCTGCGAAGGTCGGCATTTAACCAATTATTAGGCCATGCAGAAAAATAACTGTCCTGTAAATAGGAATTCTGGTGGACGCCGTGCGCAAATTATTATTAAGGCTATACTGGATTATCCTCGATGAACTGAATTTGGCGCCCGGTAACTACGGTCAGTACGGTGGTCACAAACGTTACAAAGATAAGCCTTCGCGGTCACACTACTTAAAATGATGCGAATATAAACAGTTCAATATAAATGTATTGTAAATGCTCAGATTACAATGAATAAATGTCAGCCGCGGTACCAACGCTAAGAATTTATTTATTAACCAGAAATGGGAATTAATAACCGCCGCCGGCACAACTGCGTTTAATTCTTGGAAGACACTGATACCCACAACCTCGTCGATTGGAGCACCCACTCGTGCAGCTCTCGGTGTGGCCGGAAGAAGCACTCCAACGGTCCTTCGTCGGCCAGTGTGACACCCAAAATCTCGACTGTATCGCGAATCACATTTCCGGGGCTGTTGGGCGGCTCGTTGCGGTTGGATGCCGCGTCATTCGGTATCAGCTGGAACAGGCCCGTTCTGGGCAGGAGGGCCCCGTACGGCGCTTCCGTGGGACCGTGGATGATCCGGCCGTTGCGGCGCCAGATGATGTGGTTGTCCATGTTCACGCGGATGCTCTCGGGGAGCGGGAACCGGATACTGCACATCACTTTGACGTGGTCGCCCTCCGTGGCGGTCAGATAGTCAGCGGCCGGCGCAAAGACCTCGTCGCGGCGCGTGACCAGCGGCAGCAGCAGGAAGCTCTGTAGGACGCGGGGGCGGGGCGAGTAGGTGTGGCCGGGCGGGGTGGTGATGCAGTGCAATGAGCCGCCGGAGCGCAGGGTGACGTTGAGGACCTGCAGGATGAGGGCGTTGTCCACCTGGGTAAAGCGGTATCGCTGTCCCGTGGTGTCCTCCTCCGGCAGCGGCCGCAGCTGTCCCGCCTGGAAGACGGTGCGGTCCTGGTGCAGCCAGGAGACGGCCAGCCAGTCCACTCCGGCGGGAACGATGCAGCGGAACGTGGCGTCCTCCCCCAAACGCGGCCGATGCGCCACTTTGTCCGTCACGTCTGGGCTTGGAGGCAACCGCGTTAGTGTGATCCGGTCGTCCAGCCGGTTGTTCCGCAGTGCTTCTTCCAGCATGTCGTTCACTAACACGGGAGCGATTTACTTACAGAGATACGAGGGACGTCCTGATAGCTAGTATGCAGATATATAAAATATATATATATATATATATATATAATTATATTGTATATAGAAATACAATAAAGTACAGAATTCATCTTCAACCAAACCGTCCAAACGCACGTAAGGTAATAAAGTGATTTGAACATAGTGCAGACTGATGAAGAAAAAATAAAATAATATATTATAATGCGATACGGTTTTTCGATACTAACAGTTGGCTGACGGCGATGTTTTATGTGGTTTCGGAAATCCCGGACATCCTGCACACAAATGCAGATGCAAGAGCAACAAAAATCTACATGTTGACCACAGGCAGCCACAGAGTTTTCTCCATGTGGACACAGACATCGTATACATATGAAATTTTATCTGCACAAATAAGTATCAATTGTCAGTACGGATAATTATTATGGTTTGGAAATCCAAATCCACTCAGCTGCACTAATTGTTACCAAGGCAGCCAAAACCGAAATTTCAAATTTTGCATTGCAATGGAACCGGATGTATCGCGAGAGCGGTAGTATTTTAATTTCTCATATATGCCCGTAGGAGTGGGTTTCAAATTCTAAGCGAATCTGGCTTTGGTATGGTTGCTTAACCGCACGAGGCGGCAGGGTGGCTGAATGCAGTGTCTACTGTCTAGTTCTACAGAGTACAGTCACAGTACAGTGAACAAATCGTACCACTGTTACGGTAACAGATGCTAACCATGGTAAGATGCGGTACGCGAAGCACCGTCCTGCCGTGCTACGGTACTGTACTCTAGAGCCCTGCAACGGACTGGGAAATCCGATCCACTCCGAACCCACTCCGATTTTCGGACCGGATTGGACGGATTTCAATCTGGAAAATTCGGAGTCGGAGTGGTTTCGGAGTTTTTGTGCACCTGTTCGGACCGGGTTCGGATGCAATCGAGACTCCGAATAATCCGTAATTAAATAAATATTATTAATTAATTTTGATTGAATTTCACCGGCCTTCAAAACAAAAATTTTCGTCAGCGTCGCGCTTCGCGCGATGCTTCCATTTGCGCTTAATTAATTTGCACCGAAGTATCTGCTTTTGTTTAGTAGACTTGACGTGTGGGAGTAGGATCACACGCCGGATGTACGTACGGATGCTGACTGTCCGCCTTCCACCTGCAACATAACGGATAATCTAGTCAATCTCCACTGTGATTTGCTGTTCTCTTCTACTAGCGGTGTATATGATGTCATAACGCAGAGTCTATATAAGTTTGAGTTGTCACTAATATCGGTAGCAGTCGCTGAATTGACTTCTAGAGACTGTTTCTAATTACGATTTCCTAGCGTTGTGAACTGTGGTGTGAATTGGATAAAGAGGCAGCAATACTTGTTCCTACGGAAGTGCATAGTCGTTCACGGATTATCGCTTAGTACACAGGTTTGCTCGTGACACAATCGTCCTAGCTCTTGCCGATCCTCACAGGACTTACGACCGGAAGTTGTAGTTGGAGTATTCCTGCTTAGGGATTCCTGAGTTCCCGTGTTCCTGAGTCGTCCGTCGTTTCCACCATAGTTTATCTGTTACAGTTTGAGATGAGAGTTGCCTACCGATTGAGCATTACAGGCGTGGAAGAGTAAAGATTGTTCATGGAGCCCTAAACGGCGTGAACGCTTATACACGACAGACTGTTGTTAATTCTCTTTAATTTCCTTTTATTAATTCTCCTGACACTTTTGAATATTTAGAGTGTTTTGCGATTGTTATGATGTCGTTGTTTGTTATCGCCTTATCAAATAATTTTAGTATAACTACTACAGTACGTTAAATGGACCACATGTGTTGTGCAGCTCAGTCAGTTTCACTAGGCACCGGCTTCCCATTTTTATTTGCAGCGTTTGTAATTGGATTAATCCTGGAGATTAGGATAACAGTAATATTATATACGTTTAACTAAACTTACTCTAAGGTCCTAAAGAATACATGAAACTACCAATTATTTTAGTTCCGGAGTCCGGACGTGTAGAAACATCCCTTCCTTTAATTTTCTCTCCCTTTTTTTGACCCAGGCTAATATGTGGGTAATCCGTGGGATGAACCGTATACAACAAAAAGATCTGATACAGATTCCCGACAGTGAGGATAGATAACTAACCTCCCCAGATGCTTCGACACTGTAGTGCTAAAAAACTAAATTTATCTAAAACATTCTTGTATATGTAAATCCTCCAGCGTACCCTTTATTATGCCCAAGAAAATTGTACTTCTGAATTCTGAAGTCTTTTTGCTACCGAAAACATGGCATAAAAAGTTTTTTAATGTAGGGATGTGTAATAAAATCGAGTAATACGTATTCTTTTCGAAAATTTTTCGGATCGGATCGGAGTGGGTTCGGATTGGCCAAAAATATTTTCGGATCGGATTGGTCGGAGTACGATTTTTAGAATTCGGAGTCGGACTGGGTTCGGATAAAATTTTTTAAGTTCGGATCGGACTGGACGCAGTTTCGTACTCCGTTGCAGGGCACTACTGTACTCGTTTGTTTTGGAGGAGTTTTATTAGCATTCTGCGTTAAACTGGTTCCTAACTTCCTGTTGCTAGCAGCAGCAGTTGCGTCGCCACTAAAATTGAGCGTATTTCCACTGATACGATCTCTTACATTGGACGGAATCTGCAACATACGATTGATCCGTATACGATGTGTTTTGATTTTGTGTTGTAAATTGTCATTGTTGCAAAATGACGCTGCAGTCCACTACATCGACCCTGAGCCGGGTGCACACCACCCAGGGCATCGAGGATGTCTTCCAGTGGACGCGGGACGGGAATGCGTTTAATCTGCGTGTGTGGCTGGACGATACCGAGCACGACATGAATGTGGGGTAAGTGCGACAGCTAATCGGTGCGCATCCGCGTCGTTTCCCTGTACTTTGTATGAGCAGTGTCTAGCGGTGTACGGGGACAGTGTGGTCGGGGGCGTTTTGTTATGGTTGAGTTAATTTATGGACAACCGTTTAGCCAAATATGGGCATGCAGCATGCTGCTTGTTGTTATTGCTTGCGGTGAGCTTGCGGTCTGTTCCTTTGACTGAGAAAATAGAAAATCGACCTGGACAGTAAGATTTTGTGGTGTCGAATTAAAACGTGGCAAAATGAGATCGTGTGCTCGAAATTACGTTCTTGTTCGCTGTACTTTCAGCGTAAAAAGCTATGCAGTTCACGTTTAGAAAGTAGTTGTACTTCTGCGATTTTAAATTTTAATAATTTTAATTATCCATTATTATCTTTTTAATTTTTGTTATTTGGTTTTTATCATTATTTTATTGCTCATATGATTTTAATTAATATTTGTAATTTAAATTGTTGGAAGTTTTTATTTTCGATTAATGTTTTTTATTCATTTTATTTTAATCGTCTAATATTTTTATTTATTATCATTTTCACTGTCCATTATGATTAGATATTGCCGATTATTATAAAGGCATATTAAATAGTATTGTACTAAAAGGGATATTAAATGAGTAGGTGTGAAAGTCTATGTTATTTATTTTTTGATTAGAATTTAACGGATTTATTGGAACAGAAAATAAACTTTCGGTCGGAAGGTATTGTTCAATGCGACGCTGAATGTTTTCATTTATTTTTGTGCAGCGATGATCACGGGTTCAGTCTGCTGCACTGGGCGGCCAAGGAGGGCCACGCCAACGTGGTGGACATGCTGTTGTCGCGCGGCGCCCGCGTCAACCAGACGAACATGGGCGACGACACGCCGCTGCACCTGGCCGCCAGCCACGGCCACCGCGAGATCGTCCAGAAGGTAGGCGAACCAACGCGGTCTTTTTTCTCTAACCAGCTGCTAAGGCGAGTGATTCGCTGTTGACAGCTGCTGCGCAACAAGGCCGACGTCAACTTCGTCAACGAGCACGGCAACACCGCGCTGCACTACGCCTGCTTCTTCGGCTTCGACCAGATCGCCGAGGTGGGTGTCGCTCGCGCTTCACACAGCCCTATTTTGTATGCAATAATTTTTATTTATTTAATCTCTTAATTTTTATTTGTATATTTATTAATTTATTACTTATTTGTGATTATTGTCTTGTGACGTTATAATTGTCCATACGGTATTGTATATTTTATTTATTTTATTTATGCAGTCAAATATTGGTCTTCACGAGCAAAATATGTGAGAAATCGTAGAACAGTGAGTCGGAGAGTTTGTGTATGATCGATAAATTCTCCTTTGACTTTGGCTGTCATTTCATAAAAGCTGATTTTGATTAAAAAGCGTTCATTATGAAAATTTTAAATATTTTTATCGTTTTATTTTAGTGGTTATTCGTAATGTTTTATTAATATTACATTTTAGTGTTTATTTTTATTATTTATGTTTTTGTTATTTTCTTCTTATTTTGTAATTTTATTCTATTATTATTGTTAGCTGTTTGTTTTAGGATTTAATTCAGCACGGTGCGCTGGTATCCGTCAGCAACAAATACGGCGACATCCCCCTGGACAAATGCCGGCGGGCCGAATTCCGGGATCACCTGGAAAGTGCGTAGATCATTTTTTGTTGATTTACCGACTATTTAAATGATTTTTTTATTTGTAAATGAATTTAAATGATTATAAATGAATTTAAATGAATTTAAATGACAGTGATGGTTTGCAGACTTTGCGCAGCAGTTGGGCGTGGATATGCGTAAGATTCCCTACAAGGACCAATCGTCCATGGCGACAAAACTGCGCACCAGTGCGTTCTCTTACCCAAAACCGATTTTCGGAGGTTATTTAATCGGGAATTGCGCGCTTCGCAGACGACGATCGACCGCACGCCTGCCCATCGCAGTACGCCATCACCGGCATTGAAATCCAAATTGAAAAATAGATTTGTAGAAATTATTTTCTTTTAAACGAAAAAATAAATAAAATGGTGAAAAGTATTGCTATTACAGTATTTTATTTTCAGTAGTTATTCCAGTTGTATTTAATTGCATCAGGATTAAGCGTCAAACCGCTTCAGAATCTTGTAGCTCCGTTTAATTTTGAAATAACTGGATTCGCAGCACTGTACGAATTTAAAGATTTGCCGCTTGCAAAATTATTATGTACCGGTTTTGTCTGTATGAATTTTGAAATATTTTTTATCGTTTTTTTAAGTAGCTGTTTCTGCATAATATTTATAATAAAATCAGACATGCAGTTAGCATCCGCGCCAGTAATTGCCACATAGACGGAATTGCACTGGAAATAATGTGGATATTATTCGAATTACAGATATTATTTTAATTATGCGGATATTATCTGAGTTATGTTATTTTAATTACAATTAATATTATTTTGATTATGCGGATATTATGTGAATTATGTTATTTTAATTACAATTAATATTATTTTAATTATGGTGATATTATTTGAATTATTATTGTTTGAATTATGTTTGGTTGTAACTAGGTGTCGTGGTGGACCAGCAGCAGGCCATCCGCTTCGCCCTGGACATTGCGCGCGGCATGGGCTTCCTGCACTCCCTCAACCCCATGGTCAAGCGCTTCTTCCTCAACAGCAAACACGTCATGGTAACGCTGGTACCTTCCGAGCCCGATTTGTTCCGATTTAATTTGATTTATCCGCCGTGCAGATCGACGAGGACCTGAGCGGACGGCTGAGCATGGCGGACGCCAAGTTCTCCTTCCAGGAGAAGGCCAAGCTCTTCCACCCGGCCTGGGTGGCCCCCGAGGCGCTGCAGCGCCGCCCGGAGGAGAGCAACGTCCGTGCCGCCGACATGTGGAGCTTCGCCGTCGTGCTGTGGGAACTGCAGACGCGCCAAGTCCCGTTTGCCGATCTGGAGCCCATGGAGATCGGCATGAAGGTCCGTGGGTTGCTTCTTGTCCCTTTTTAACCATTTTTCTAACCCGAATAATTAATTTGTATTTTTTTTAATTGTTGTTGATTTATTGTATTAATCATTAATTGATCGATTTTTTCCGTTTTAATGTTATTTCATTTAGTTCATTTATCGATTTAATTTTCGTATGGCGGTCGATTTTCCCAGTTCAATTGGCTTTTTTATCTAATTTAGAACTTCAGCGTAATTTAGTTTATTGCAATCTTTTTCTTGTTTATCGGTCGACTTTTTCCGGGTTAATATATTAATATTCAATTTTATTTTAGTTTAATAAGTCAGCTTAATTTACAATTTGTCTATTAGTTATCCTCGGTTTAATTTAATTTTTCTGTAGTTAATTATTCGATTTAAATTTGCCGATTTTCTGCAGTTTAGTTTTGCCAAACTTGTTTAGTTTTTGAAGTCAAGTTAAATTAGGTCTACCAATAGCTGTTGACCAGTTTAATTTAATTCGTACTCCGTTTAATTGATTATGTAAATCTCAGATTAAATTTTGAATTAAATTTTAATTGTAAATATTGGCTTAGGTGGCGTACGAGGGTCTGCGGCTGCCGCAGCCGCCCGGCGTGTCCAACCACATGGCGCGGCTGATCGGCATCTGCATGAACGAGAACCCGGGCAAGCGGCCGTCCTTCGAGATGGTCCTGCCCATCCTGGAGAAGATGCAGCGCTGAACACTAAACAGCAAGCGAAGGCTCAATCAAGCAGCTTCCTTCCGGTGGCTCCTCACCGCGCTCTTCCTGGTGCCTCCCTGCATTTTTCTGCTTCTTGTCACGTGTACTGTACACGCCGTGGTTTGTGCCGTGTTCTGCTCCGAGACTGTGCCGCTGTTTTTAATGATTGTAATTTTTATCCTTGTAGAACCGCAGCTGATGCGTGCGTCTTCCTTAAACACTGTCTTGTGCATAATTAAGCGCGTGCGTACTGCGTGCCGAGTAAGAGTAAGTCACTAATTTTGTACCGTTCTATATTTGCCAGATTATTCTTCACACTGTACACTGGTTTTATCGGGATGTGATCCTGTTTGTTGAAGGTTACTGTAATAAAACGTTGAGTTGAAATCGCCGTTGCAGACGGTTCCCACTCCATACAAGTCCTTCAGATAAAATTATTTCCAAAATTATTTCAGATAAAATTATTATTAAACTGGGCTTCCAGCATTTCAAGCGGTTTGAAACGAAAAGTTTGCTTAATTTTTTTACACCTTTAATACAGAAAACTAAGAAAATAAATGCCCATTAATCAAATCAGTTGCTGATTTAAGGGAAGTGGCCCGGTACATGGTGCCAAATTCGTGTACATACACCAAAACTTTCACTTTCGCGCACTCCCAAACACATTTTTTTTCGTTTTACGACATTCTGTAGCCAGATGATTTGTATACATTGGCGTGCTAACCGTTTGTGCGCGCAACATCCGGTTCGGGAGCGTTAGAAAAGAGTGTGACTGTTAGAAAATTCCAAAAAGTTTAAATGCATCGAAGTGTATCAAAAGCCTCGTTATGAACCGATCTCATACTGTAGAACGAATTTAGTCTGAAGATCGTTTTTATACCGAACCAGATTTGCAGGATTTTTAATAAATTTTCGAAATAGTTTTTAAAATGTTTGAAATTTATTTTAAAATGCGAAAAAAATGCCGGAACCGTGGTTTCGTGTAAAAACAATCTTCATGTTTTTCTATATATATATGTGTGCGTTTACCTGCGGAATTTAAAGAAGATCGGTCCATAATGAGACTTTTGGTGCGCCCGAATGCATTTAAACGTTGTTAAATTTTCTAACAGCCATAACTCCCGAAGCGGATGTTGCGCGCACAAACGGTTTTCACGCCAGTGTATACAAATCTTCTGGCTACAGAATGTCATCAAACAAAGCAGAAAAGTGTTTTGGAGTGCGCAAAAGTGAAAGGTTTCCTACCGGTACGCAAATTTAATAGCATGTACCGGTGTAAGCCCGAACCGGAAAGAAGCGTGATTACCGGCGTGCGAATTGCAGCTGACTCGTTGACGAGCGCACTGGGCATTATACGGCGCAGCAGGAAGTTTGCTGTATAAAGCCTAATACATAGAAAATATTGTGATTAATTGGTGCCGCTCAGCGCTGCGACATTCTGCATTCACGCAGCTTCATCCGGTCTTGATTGATGCCGGTGATGTAACACAACGCCAGCTGTACACAACTTCCGCTCACTGACGTTATGCAGGCTGTGCAGCTGCTCCCGATCGATACATCGTACATTTAGCTAAACCAACCAACGTACGTTCCACAACGAACGCGTTGCTGCGCAGCAAAACGCGGAATATATTTTGGAAACCAGCGCATCGCGGAAGCGTCTGCTTTGCAGCTGCCGCAGACGATTGCAGAAAGGAGCGGTCGTTGTGCGGTATCATGCCAGTGCAAGCGGCCGCCGGCTGGGGATTTTTGCTGATTTTTCAAAGACCCTTTGAGTGGTGCATTTCATGCGTATACGTGCCGGTGCAGGTACAAAGTGCAGCGGTTTTTATTGCTGTTTTTACGGCGCAAAGGCGGCCTATTTGGAGCGCGCGGCGATCGGATATCTGCGGGCAAATTGCGCTTAATCCCGGGTCTGATCTGCTTGCTGGATGATTGCGTGCGCGGTTAAAGTGGGGATTACACTGGATCGCGTTGCATTGATCGCGAGCGAGAATGTGCCGGCGCATTCGCGTAATTTGATACTATTTTTGATCTCCGCGTTCCGCCCGAGTGATTTCTCAGCGCCGTCTGGTTGTTATTTGCATCTGCGCGGAAGCCGTTGAAATTTTGTGTATTATACCGGTAAAAATGGCGGAGGAGCGTCGGCAGTCGCTGATGGAGCTGGCGCGGACCAGCGACGGCCGCCGCAGCATCGTCCACGACTCGGAGATGACCATGGACTTTTTGCTGACCAATCTGCAGACGCCGGCCCACCGCCTGCCGGGCCGCTATCAGGCGCTGCTGTTTGCGGCGCTTAATTCGTGCATGGTAAGCCGATACGGACAGATAACATACTCAATAAAATGTATCACGCTCGATTAACGCGGCATTTTTTCGTTGCTTTTGCATCCGTCGGCTTCCAAACCACGCTTTCCAGTTTATTATGGCTTCTTGCAATCTGTTCATAGTTTTTATAATACAAATCATGCAGAGCATGTTCATTTTCTGTGACGAAAATCAAAAAGGAAAAGAAGGGGAATTCTCCAAATAAAATATTATGATAAACTAGACATTACGCTGCCGCACCGGGCGGTGGCATTTGCGTCAACTACCGGAAGTTGCTGAATTTCTTTCATTTAAAATGTTCAGCTTGGAGGTTTTCGTAAAATGTAATTTATGTCAGACAGAAAAATGGTTTCCACACAAATACAGGTTATTTTGAAGGAAATTGCTCGTGTGTGTTGAGAGCGATGCTTCTGGAAGCCGTCGAAATGTGTTGGCAATATTAACCGCGCCGGTTGTCTGTACATAATAGTTCATCGTGGTCTTCAACGACCTGTGCACCATCTTCTACGCCATGGAGCCCTCGCACTCCCTCTGCACACCGGACGCCCCGGCCCTCTACTCCCTCCCCGACAACGCCAGCGTCCTCTTCGTCAACGCCTCGCGCTGGATGCACATCAACCAGACGGCCGACGATCCGGCGGGCTGTGCGGCGTTCAACGCGCTGCCGCCCGCGGAGGTGCAGCACTGCGACCGCACCATGCGGCATCATTTCGACCTGTCGCCCAAGATCACGACGCTAGTTAGCGATGTACGGCTCATCCGTTAAACTGGAAACGTAAATTAAATTTAATTTAGAAATGCTCGAATTTAATTTAACAAATCTAATTTTAAATTGATGTAAAATATTTAAATCGTTGAATATACAGTACTTGCATCAACAAATTTTTTATTATTTAATTTTTATTAATAATATATTTAATCGCATTAAAATTTATTTTTTAATTTCTAAATTGATTTATATTTCTCTTTATTTTTTTGGCAAATCAGGTGGTGAAAAATAAATTGTTGGTGATTGAAATTTAATTTTTGGGGCCTTTTTAGTGGAATTTAATTTGCGGGCGGTTGTGGCGCGTGAACGCGGCGACGACGGTGTACTTTGTGGGCGTGATGACGGGCAGCATCGCCTTCGGCTACCTGGCCGACCGCTTCGGCCGGCGCAACTGCATCACGGCCTGCTACATCGGCTACCTCCCGCTGGCGGTGACGCTGACCTTTGTCCCGTACTACTGGTTGTTTCTCATCATGCGCTATTTTCTGGGTTTCTTCGTGCAAGTAAGTAATTTATTCCTTAAACCGGCGAAACAGCTACACATTAGTCTGTTTAATAATCTATAAATTATATATTGATTATATGTTTTACACAATAATTTTAGAAAAACAAACTATTTACATGTTAATCTGATTTATTTATTATAAAACTTAATCTGAATAAATGTACTATTTAAATAAATTTTTTACATAATTATTTTTTTTTAAATAAATATCAAAAAAAATTAAACAGAAGTCTTAATTAATAAAATTATAATTTAACAGGGACTGCAGAGCGTGTGTTTTGTGCTGCTGATGGAATACTGCCCGCCCCGATACCGCGAAGTCCTGGGCGGCGTCCAGGGATCGCTGAACAATTTCGGGATTATTGTGCTGAGCAGTATCGCCTATCTGGCCGGCCACTGGCGGACTATCCAGCTGTGTCTGGCGCTTTTGAGCGTCGTGGCGCTGGCCAAGCCACTGTACGTTCTCCCCATAAATGCATATACTGTAAATACAATTTATAAAAACATATAAACTGTTCTACGAATAATGCAGACAAATAAAAAATATAAAATGAAAAATAAAATATAGGTAAGCGAAAAACGTTTTAAAAAAATATATAAATTAAACAAATATTCGCATGTAAATACTAAATTGCTATATGCATTTACATAAATACATTTTATACAAACATAAATACAAAAAAAGCGAATAAAATAAAAAATGTAAGCTACAACAATTTAAAAAAATATAAACTAAATTTAAATAAAAGTATATGATAATAAAAATAGAAGAAACTGTGTGATCGATAGTGTGATGAAGGAGTCGCTGCGCTGGCTGATGGTGCACAACCGCACAGAGACGGCCAAGGACACGGCGCGCGCCATACTCAAGTGGAATAAACTGCCGGTCAGTCCGCAGCTGATGAGCGTGCTGGACCGCATCAGCGAGACGCTGCAGGCCGAACGCCGGGTGCAGTCCAACTACACCTGGGTCGACTGCTTCCGCACGCCCAAAATCCGCCTCTACACCATCGTGCAGTCCTTCCTGTGGTGCGTTGGGAAATTTAACTGAAATTAATTACGTTTTAAATTTAATATAAGAATTAACCGTAAATTGAGAATTTAATTCAGATTAATAAAAATTAATTTCAATTAACGTTACCGGTCGGGGTAAAATTGAAAGCCACGTTATTTCGGCAGGTTCACGACGTTGTTCGTGTATTACGGGATCTCCTTCTCCATCAGCAATCTCAGCGGCAGTCCCTACCTGAACGCCATCCTGGCGGCGGTGGCCGAATTGCCGGCTTGCGCCATCGCCGTGCTCGTCATGCGCCGGTAACAATTCTGGAATTTAATTGCTGCTGTCTAATTTTATTTCAGTAGAAATAGTTTCTAAAAGAAGTTATTGCTAAATTTTTAAAAGATTTTTTAGTAGTTTTTGCGACTAATTTTTAAAAAATAAGTCTGCTCTTTTTCGGAAATTTTCTTTCGCGTTTTTTTCATAAACATCTTTTTAAAACATTCGTTTAAATGTTCTTGAACAATGTTCTGCATATTTTTTGTTATTTTTTATTTAATGTTGTTTTTATTTATTTGTTCAAAAAAGTTGTTTATTAATATTGCGGAGATTTTGGTAACATTTTAAAAAAAAATTGGTTAGTTTTGTAAAAAGATTTGTTGGTTAATTTGTAAGTGGATTAAAATGTTTCTTTATTAATTGCGTAAAAGTAATGATTAATACGGCGTTGATACAGGTTCGGCCGGAAGCCGCCGCTCATGGCGTACTACGGCTTGTGCGGCGTCTTGTCGACCGCCGCCGGGCTGCTGTCCTTCGTGGGCGGCGACGCGGTGGCGACGGTGCGCACGGTGGTGATCCTGGCGGCGCGATTCTGCCTGGTGGGCAGCTACGCCGTCGTCTTCCTCTTCGGCAGCGAACTCTTCCCCACCGTCATCCGCAACACCGCCTTCGGCGTCTGCATCTGCTGCCACACCGCCGGCGGCGTCGTCTGCCCCCAGATCCTCCTCCTGGTCAGTTACCATAATATTCTCCTTATTAAAAATACCATCTAGGATGCTCCATGAATTTTTTAAATTAATTTAACAATTTTTTAGATTAATTATTTTTACTTTAAGGAAAATGGCCGGTACATGGTGTCAAAAATGGGATAGATACACTGCAACATTCGCTTTCGCGCACTCCGAAGCACTTTTTTGTAACACTTTATGTCGTTCTAAAGCTAAATGATTTGTATACATTGTTCTGAAAACCGTTTGCGCGCGCAACTTCCGGTTGCCGAGATATGGCGAACTTAAATGGGCGAAAAGTTTAAATGCATTGTTGTGTACCAAATGTTTGGTTATTACCCGATCTTCTTGAAACTTTGCTGTAAAAGACGCGTGACCTTAAAGTCGGATACTAAACTGATTTGTGTATATATGGGAAAATTTTTCTAATATTTTATTTGCCGTTTTCCTTGTTGGTTTGATTGGTGGTTTAATTGGTACAAGATAAAGTTGGTTGTGGTGGGCAGGGTCAGTTGGTGCACGAAGCGGTGCCGTTCCTGGTGTTCGGCGGCTGTTGTCTGCTCTCCGCCGGCCTGGTCACCACGCAGCCGGAAACGCTGCACCGTCCCATGCCCGACACCATCGAGCAGGTGGAGAACCCCGCGCCCCCCCCTCCTCCACCCCCATAACGTCCGCACCGCCTAGCGCTGGTCGGCTGGTCAGTGGCACTACGCCAGCTCCGCGTCTGTGATTTGTTCGCCTCTTTGCAGCAATTAAATCAATGCTCCACTCGTTTACGGTGTATTAAACATAACTGTGCAGTGGGAGCTGCTTGATGGGACACAGAAGTAGTTGCCGCTTTTGGTTTCTTGCCATTTATTCTTGCTATTAAATGTATTCTCGTTTTGAGTTGTATAAACGTTGTTTAAGAATAAATTATTTAAATAATAATAGAAAATTACAATAAATACACCTGATAATAAAATCATCAAGTTAACAACATTTTTCCAAGTATTTACAAATTACAACTACAGGTAGGAAGCTTTGAAAGACGCTGGATTTTAAAAAACTATCAAAAGTATCGCACACTGAATCTCCCAGTAGGAGATAATTTCCATAAAATGAACACGTGGAGGAATTGATAAAAAAATTAATATCGCATAAAGCATCACGGTTATTCACAAGTTGCATATACTGTATGTACTGTAGACTTTACTCATAGTCTCATACCATAGCCGAGGTCGGTCGTTAATAAAAAATTTCGTTGTTTCACTGTCACTTTATTTTTAGCGTAAGTTTATATCCCCATCGCGAGTATGCCGTTGTATTGCTTGAAAAGAATAGCTGGGAGGAGTAGAGTTACGATGCGATTATGGCGGTTATTCGATAGAAATGAATTTCACAGCTTATGTGTAATTAGCGAAGGTCAAGAAGCTGCGCGAGTTCGTTTAGCTGTACTGCTTATGATGATACAATGATTCTGCAGCATATTTCATAGCGTAATTACGGTAATCTATTTATTGCAACAATTACCGGCATTGCACTTATAATGTGCACTGTACACATGTTATTTCAATTAATTCATATACTGTACTGTAATAAAGTTCATCTACATTTAGCTTCACCATATTATGGTCCATATAGAAAAGATATATATGTATACTGCTTTTCAGTGATAATTCAATTAACAATTTAGCAGAAAATAATACCGGAATTTTTTAAATGTATTAATTGTATGGAGTGCATGTAATTTATTAGTTTTTATGTACAATTTTATATAACGTGACAGGTGTGCTGTGCTGTGTCATTTCACTTTTCAGACAACAGTGCCTACTTCCGAGAAGCGCTTAATTAAATATCGCTTGGCATAATTATTATTTTCCAGCGGGTGCAGTAGAGCTAACGTAATTGGCGATTACTTCATTTACTTGTATATATTGCGCTAACAAGAGTCCGATCAGTCATTAATTATCACGCTAATTATGTAAATACCGCAGTTCCATCAACAAGAACGCACTGTACATGTGCCGCTTACACAATTGCCTCGCTACCAGCACCATCTCCATTTCCGGTCACTTAGAGCTGTATATCGCCAGCTCAAGGCCTGTAGCGCGTGTTCTGTGTGTCGAATCAGCGATCCTCGTCATTTGCCTTTTGCAATAATAATCCAGCGAAAATTAAGTGTAAGAAATATACAGTGATATTAGTTTTGGGGAGCGATTTCGGAAAGGATTCTCTTGATTTCCGCCCATCGCAGCACGGACGCCGACGTCTATCTCAGCTGATAACTGGACTTTTCCGGACGATATAATTATAATTTTTATCTTTAGTGAAAGGACAGCATGTTGCTGCGAACGTCGTGGCTGATTGTCGTCATTCTCGGTGCGTATATAAATATATGACTACATACAGTATATGTCGACATTTGACCTTTCACTCCTTAATTATATAAGGTACTTCTATAAATATAGATATATGTTATATACAAGTATAAGATTATATATATAACTTATTATATATGTGACTATATATACGTAATCAGTTAATATACAGTATACGTCGACAGTATACAGCATATATCGACAGTTGACCTTTCCCTCGTTAGATAAGGTACTTGTATATAGATATAGGGGGAAAAATGTGTCTAGCCGAACCAATCCCTTGTACTTCTGATGTAAGCCAGCTGGTGGTTTACGTTGTGGCTTGACAGTGTTTTATGTAAAGCGCTGCCATTAAGATTGCAGGTACTGATAACAGGTAAGCAGCACTCGTACAACTGCAGGTAAACAGGCTAAAACTGTGTTATAGCCCGGACCTGCCTGGTGCGGCTAATACCACATGTACCGTCAATGCCGCACAGCCTTAATAGCGGCGCTGTACATAAAACGCTGTGCAGCCACAACGTAAACCACCAGCTGGCTTACATCAGAAGTACAAGGGATTGGTTCGGCTAGACACATTTTTCCCCTTATATATGTTATATACAAATATAAGATTATATATATATATAACTTACGAGGGAGATACCCGAACACGTCCGCGTCAGATCAGCATACACTTGGTACCATCAGAATCCTTAGAATTTCAGCTATTTTCTTCGAGAATCAAAACACCCCCAAATAAAGAACTCGAGTTTAGGGATCTCTGAGAAGCCAGCATAGATATGATGGCTGACTTCCATCGAAACGTCAGCAGGCGCCATACGCATTGTCCAGCCTAGATACGCCATGCGTTACGCACAGTCTGACTGCAATCTGTTGATTCTGTATTGGTTTTGTTGACGGCTGTCTCACCTATTTTGCCCTATCGCGCGCACAGCATCCGCGGTTGCATTGATCTCTATGCAGCTAGTCGATGCTGCTGCGCTTAATGAGTTAAAAAACTGCGATAGCTATCGATAAAGCGCTATTTAACTTCTCGCTGAAAGACGGTTGCGCAATCTCGCATCCGTACAGGCGCGTCGTATAGCTCTGTATGGCGTCTGCTGACGTTTCGATGGAAATCAGCCATCATATCTGTGCTGGCTTCTCAGGGATCCCTAAACTCGAGTTCTTTATCTGGGGGTATTTTGATTATCAAAGAAAATAGCTGAAATTCTAAGGATTCTAATGGTACCAAGTGTATACTGATCTGACGCGGACGTGTTCGGGTATCTCCCTCGTTATTATATATGTGAATATACATACATAATCAGTTAATATACAGTATATGTCGACAGTATACAGCATATATCGACAGTTGACCTTTCACTCGTTAGATAAGGTACTTGTATGTAGATATATGTTATATACAAGTATAAGATTATATATATAACTTGTTATGTATATAAATATATATACGTAATCAATTAATACATTAATATCTAATTATTTCATAGTAGCCGGCGTCCAGCTGGTCAACAGCTGGGATCCCGCCGGCAACCCCCCGCCGACAACGGCGCCCAGCGTCAACGGTAGCGCCAGCAGCGGCTTCTGTCCGGATTTTGTCTCGTGCGCCGTGGGCAGCATCGTCAACTGTCCGCTCGCCTGCGACGCCGTCAACAACCCGTGTAAACCGTCGCAGTTGTGCTGCACCGGCTTCTGCGGCTGCAAGATCTGTCGCGACCCCGTCGACGTGGCCCCGCCCAAACCGAAGGCCGGCAGTTGTCCGCCCAGCAAGCCGCAGCACGACTCAGGATCTAGTTGCGTGCAGAGGTGTGGCGGGGACAGTTTCTGCTCGGACAACCTCAAGTGCTGCGAGGACGGTTGTATCACGGAGTGCGTCATGCCGCTCGGGACACCGCAAGCCGCCTCATGAAGGCGGAGACATCCTTTCCCTTTTTTCTAACATTCCCGCTGATCCACCGTCGATTTGCGTCATACTATGCGTCGTCGGCTGATTTTCCATACAACTCACTAACATTTTTCTAGTAATTTATTCCTAATTTTTCTGGCAACAGTAATGCCGAGAAGAGTTCTATGGTGCGAGGAATTCAAAAAAAAAAAAATAAAAGGGAACAGATGCTAAGTATCGCTGCACTGCAAGGCGTCCAACAAATTGTCTCCTAAGCAAAGAAAATATGCCTTTACGGCCCTTATACGTTACTATTATATCGAAGACGTACTTTGCCAGTTTTTGCCAACTATCTATAATCACAAAGTACCAGCAGAACTCAATATTCAAATAAATTGTCACAATTTTACCGATTTAACCAGTTTTCTATACAGCAATTACTGTAATTAAGGAAATTGCTATGCCCAGATAATTATAACCAATTTCAAACTGTAATACCTAAGTAAAAATAATGAACAGCCAAAACACCAAACAAATTTTTATTTCGCTGATCAGCCAGTACACAAAAAAAGCCGGCGCAGATTTATACTACATAAAATTATTAAATTTTAAACGTTGAAAAAACATCCAAAATCGCTAGTGTTATTAAGGGAATTGTGGCCCGGTACATGGTACCAAAGTCGTACACAAGCACGAAATCTTTCACTTTCGCGCCCTCGACCAAACCCTTCTTTCTCTTGTTTTATGACATTCTGTAGCCAAATGATTTGTATACACTGGCGTGAAAACCGTTTGTGCGCGCAACATCCGGTTCGGGAGTTATGGCTCTTAGAGAAAATTCCAAAAAGTTTAAATGCATTCGGTGTACCAAAAGTCTCATTATGGACCGATATGTCCTTCGAATTTTGCATGTAAATACACGTGGCCACGAAGAATGTTCCTAGTACTTCCTACACCCATCCACTGTTCTAGCAGGTTTGGGATTGGGTTTGGTTTGGGATTTGAATATTTTAAAAGAAGGAAAAACATTAGACCAGCGGAAAATGCAAAACCTTAACAATTTTAATTCGGACGCAACAGCGTCACTCACACTGTGTACGAGTACAGTGCTACACAGTCGTCTTCTTTATGCCTGTGGCGAGCCGGACGGAGCAACCAGCTAGTGTGGGAAAGTATGGCGAGCCGATGATGGCAGGCTTGGCAGTTGGCAGCTGACGATGACTCGGTCACTCGGTCGTTTGGGTTTCGATTGGAATTTGGACGCGATCAGATCTCGAATCGCAGCAGCTCCTGTTCTTCTGCGATTGTTTTTTCGTTTTCGATTGAACTTTGGCCTAGAATGATTACCATGTCATCAAAAGTTGAGCAGAACCACTGACAACACGCTACTCCGTTGCCAGCCCACATTCAACGCCAACACAAGTTGTTACACAACTAGGGAGAAATTCAGTTTGTTGATGTCTGCAGTTCATTGCTCTTTCTCAGTTCCTTGCTTTCATCAGTCTGGATTGCTCTATTCCGATTTCACGGCAGCATTCGAACGCCTTTCCTGAATTATTTCCTCGTAAACCTTCACTGCGGACTGTTTGGCCATAATTTTAGCTAACTGCAGTTAAAATTCGTTGAAAACTTGAACGGAAAAATGAGCCGTGCTGATTAGTGTGGAAACCTACGGAAAAATGGAGGTGCCCCAATCGACCGACACTTCCAGCCCCCCGCACCCCCCGGGGGGCGTGGACCGCCGTCTCCCCATCCGCCTGCCCGCCGACTTCATCCGGCCCACCTCCGTGTTAGTCTGCCAGCCGCGCATCGAAGTATTCCCCGCGGAGACCGAGCAGCTGCTCCTGCGCATTCTGCAGCAGCGCCCCCTGGCCCCCGCCACCCCCTGCCATGCCCCCTTGGACAGCAGCAGCCCCGAGCGTTCCCCCACCCCCGAGGCGGTCGTCGTCCCCGCCACCCCCTCCCCCTCGGAAAATATCCCCGTTTCCCCCGAGGAGGACGAGGAGATGGAGTTGGAAGAGGAGGAAGTGGTGGAGGCACCGCCGATCGCCCCGCCCCCCGCCCGGGAGCCGGTGCGTCCCCGCTCGGCGGAACACACGCCGTATGTGTTCACTACACCGGAGCGTATGCGGCAGCTGATTGCCGCGTCGCTGCATGGCGCGATTCGCGAGCAGGCGCGGCGGGGTTGTTTGCTGCGTGGCGACAGACTGCAGCGGCTGGGGCGGTTGCCGTCAGCGCAGAGACGGGGGGAATGGAAATTCAGTCGGTGGATAATGTGTCGCACGGCCAACCGCCCGCGTTGTCGTCAGAAAAGCTGCCTCCACCAACGGAAGAAAATACAGCGCCCGGGGCGGTTGCCGCGAGCGCTGACAGCGCAGAAATGGAAATCTCTTCGTCGGCTGACTTGTCGCCTAGCCAACCGCCCTGTATTTCGTCAGATAGCCTGCCTAGTACCAGCGCTGTTATTTCTCAGCCGACGGATTTAAATGCGGCGCCCGGGGCGGTTGCCATGAGCACTGACAGCGTGGAAATGGAAATTGAATCACCTGCTGACTTGTCGCCCAGCCAGCCGCCCTGTGTTTCGCCAGATAATCTCTCCAGCACCAGCAGTGTTATTTCTCAATTGTCGGATATAAATGCCACCCCAGGTGCGGTTGCTGCTAGCGCTGACATCAGTGAGCCTACGCCAATGGAAATTGAATCACCGGCTGACTTGTCGCCGAGCCAACCGCCCTCGGTCTCACCATACAACCTGCCAAACTCCAGTGCTGTTATTTCTCCACTAGCGGACATAACTGCCGCCGCTGGTGCGGTTGCCACTAACATTGAAACCACGGAGGCCACCCCGATGGAAATCCACTCGCCGGCTGATTTGTCGCCCAGCCAGTCGCCCGCACCATCGCCAGTTGACTCCCTGTCGTCGCCGTATCAACTCCGCATTGACGTGCAATCCCCGGCTGATCTGTCGCCCAGCCAACCGCCCTCGCCGCGGCCAGATACTCCGCTCGCAACGGATCTGCCACCAGTGGAAATCGATGCATCGCTCGCCAGTAAAAATCAGCGAATCTCGCCGACCCCGAAGTTTTCTTCCCTGGATACGCCCCGTTCCCCGGATAAATCGGGGCGTTTCAATTTTCCACCAGCCGGAGCCGCGGCAACGCGTCCCAGTTGGCTGGCACTGGCCGCTCGGGGACCGCCTCCCCGGGTGGTCGCAAATCCGCCGCTGGGGCGCTTTTTTGAACGGCCGCGACCGCATCCGATCTTCTCCGCCGAAGACGCGACGACCACGGCGACCGGAAGTCCCGCGGTCGCGACCGGAAGTCCCGTGGCGGCGGAAACGGAGCGGCCGCCGCTGGCGCCCTCGCCGCAGTCCAGCGAGACCAGTGAAGGCCCGTCCGGCGACGAGAAAATGACTCCGGAAGTGGGAACCCCGCCGAAACCCGCCGCGCCGACGGGAACGGTCGAGGCCTTGCGCTTGATCCCCCTCCCGGCGGAGCCCCGCCACCCGGACCCGGGACCCTCCGCCCCGCTGCCCTGGAGCCGGGAGATGTTCGCCGCGGCCGCGCCGGAGAAGGCCGCCCCGGAACCCGCCGCGGCCATCCTGCAGCCGGTGCCCTGGGCGGTGGAGATCCCCGCGCCCGCCTCGCCCTCCCCGCATCCCGCCGACCCGCGGCTGACCGGCGTCCAGGGCTCCATCTTCTTCACGGAGCCGGCGCCCGTGCCGCCGCCCCCGCCGGCGTCTCCGTCGAAGCCGCCGGCGTCCCCGCCGAAGCCGCTGGAGGGGTTCTCGTTGAGCGATCTGGAGTTCCATAACCGTGTGCTGGATCATCTGTTGGCGCGGCACATCAGCCGCGGCGGCGCCGGCAAGTGGGAGATGAGCGAGTGGCCGGGACAGGCGCCGCGGTACAGTAACGATAAGGTCACGGCGTATTATGACGCGGCGCTGCTGCATGTCGCGCGGGTGCTGATCGGGGAGGTGCGCGAGCTGTTCACCCGGATTAACAATCAACCGGTAAGTTTTCTTATTTGATTATGCAAGTGTTCACTCAACTAGGTAAATAAGATTATTAATTCCAGATTTCCAGTAAATTAAAAAAATTTAGTATTTTAGTTACTTGACCTTTATAATTGGCAAGAAAATAAGTAAGAAAATACCGGTAATACAATTGGTAAAGAAATAATTTAGGAAGTACCGGTGATACTTTAAATTAATTAATTTTACATGGATTGTAAAGAAAAACGGAGTATTTTCCATTTAATAATTCATAATATATTTTCCATTTAACGTTTAATTGGATGGGGTATAAATTGTTAAGAAATAAGTAAGAACGCTGTTTAGCCGAACGTGCGAGCGGCGAAAACGGAGGACGACGTGGAGTTGCTGCTGGTGGAGGACAATCGGCACTCGCCGGATAAGCAGAACGGGGTGGCGCGTTTGCCGCGCATCCGCCTAACCGGTAATTATTATTATTATTGTTATTATTATTATTATTATTATTATTATTTCCAATTATTCACGCTGAATTTGCCGGTTGTGACAGGCTCCGCCCAGTCATTACGGCCCTTCAAACCCTACGACCTGGTGGTGCTGGGCGGCATCTTCCAGGCCGGCAGTGGGCCCTTCGCTAAACTGTGCCTGGGCTGTGTCGTGCTGGTCAGCGGCGGCGAGATGCATATACTGTTGTCCGGCCAGAGCGAGCCGTTGCCGCTGCAGCAGACCGTGCGGGTGCACCGGAAACTCACCAGTTTGAAGCTGGCGCAGTTCCAGACCAAGTAAGCAATTTTTACAATTCCACAATTTTTAAAAAATAGAATTGCTCATTCTGTTTTTATAAATTTATTTTACGAAATTTACAAAGTCAGATTTAAATTTACTAAATTTACAAAATAAATCTAAATGCAGGCTAAGTAAAATTAATACAAAAATTTAAAAATTCCATAAAAAAATTAGGAAATCTTAAAAATATTTAAAAAATCAAGTAAATTTGAAAAGGCATTATTTTACAGTAGCAGATTAAATTAACTTAACGTTAAGAAGTACGTTCAGCAAAATAAATCCAAAAACAAAAATAAATTCGAAAAGGATTATTATAACTGTGCGGTAAACAGGATAAAGCAAGTAAATTTTGAAAAGATTATTCACGTTATTGATTTAAAAAAAATTTGGTAGAGAAATAATTCGTAAATGGATTTAAAAATTTGGTTCAGAAATTTGCAAACTAAATTCGAATAAAAAATTGTTTTTTTGAAAATAAATTGTAAAAAACTGTGCTCGGTTAGGGGATTGTTCCGGTTGTGCAAGAGCGACCGCGTCGCCTGCCCCTTCCGCACCCCCATCGTGACCTTAGACCGCGAGGCCTTCCGGCCCCCGGCCGTCGACCCCGCCCAGCTGGACCGTGTCGGCGTCGTCCACGTAAGACAACGCAGTGTTTTTGCCGGTTGGGCTACTGTAGAGCGATAATAATAATAATAATAATAAATATGCGGTGTTGTACAGGCCCGTCTGAACCCGGAGCAGCGGCGCGCCGTCTGCTGGATCGTGCAGGCGGTGAAGGGGAAGGAGCCCCGGCTCTTGGTGGTGCAAGGCCAGCCGTGGACCGGGAAGCACCTCGTCCTCGTCACCGCGCTGTTCTTCCTCGGCCGGGCCTGTCCCGGCCGCAAAGCTCTGGTCGTCCTGCCCACCGAGGAGGCGGCGCTGCGGGCGGTCCGGCGGATCGCCAGTCTCTGGAAGACCATCATGGTAATTTTACACAAACAGCCAATCCCTTCACAAATTTAAAATAAATTTAAAAAATTAATTTTAAACCAATATTCAATTAAAAAAAACTAACCAATATTGAATTAAATAATATAATTAATAAAATAATTGATATTAAAATAAATAATAAATTTGCTAATAAATTAAATAAAAATGTACTGTAAATAAATGTAATAAAAATGTAATATAAATTGTCTTATTTGCAGAAAGACGGTGCGGCGTCGGCGCCGGTGGCGTTCTGGGAGAATCAGCGTTTCTGGGAGAAGAAGCACAACAAATTAGACGACGTGGCCGCGTTTTTGCTGAACCAGCGGCAGCACGGCGCCGCCGCCCGCGAGCGGCTGGCGCAGTGCCGCGTGCTGGTCACCTCTGTAGAGCAGGCGGTCAGTGCGGCGCTGCAGGATGCGCTGGATCCCGGCTCCCTGGCCTGCATCATCGTCTCCGAGGTGGGCCATAAATTAGCGCGTTATTCAACGCAGTGATACATTTATTATTCGTAATAATAATAATCAGGATAATTTAATTGGCAATTTATTTTAATTAATTGACAGTGTACTGGTTAATTTAATAATAAAATAATGATATCAAAAAGGTCAGGTCAGTTTCATGGGCATTTTAATTGAATTAATTGCCAGGTAATTAGTTAATTGCATTCTGATGGTAATAAGAATCAAGTTAATTTAATTGGTAATTTTTGCGTTAATTAAATGGCAGTTAATTGCTTAGTTTAGTTTGTAAGAAGAAAAATAATAATAATAATAATAATCGGGTAAATTTAATTGGCAATTTGTTGTAATTAATTGAGAGTGTACTGGTTAATTTAATAATAAAATAATGATATCAAAAAGGTCAGGTCAGTGTAATGGGCATTTTAATTGAATTAATTGCCCGTTAATTAGTTAATTGAATTCTGAGGGTAATAAGAATCAAGTTAATTTAATTGGTAATTTATTTTAATTAATTGGCAATTAATTGCTTAGTTTAGTTTGTAAAAATAAAATAATAGTAGTAATAATAATCCGGTCAAAATTGAATGTGCAGGCGGGGCGCATGAGCGAGCTGGACCTGGTGATGGCGCTGACGGCCTTCCCGGGGGTGCGGCACGCCGTGCTGCTGGGCTGCCCCTTCGAGATCCCGCTGCACTGCGAGGACGGCCGGGAGCTGCGCCGCGGCGGCCTGGACGAGTCCTTTTTGGCGCGGCTCTGGCGCCAACCGCCCAGCGTGACGGAAGCCATTCCGGCGTTAAATTGCCAGTATGTCAACGATCCGCAGATTGGCGGGTTTATTGGGCAGGAGTTCTATGCCGGCTGCACCGTCGACCGGTATTTATTGAAAAATTATTATTCACTACCCAATTACCATTTATTTTTATTTATTTTACGTATCGCTAAATTTATTATTAATATTTATTCTTTAATTTTCTCCTATTACGGATATTGTTTATTATCGTTATATTTTCTTTTTTTTGCTAATAAAAATGTATTATGATTATGTTTTTTATCAGTATTTATTGTTAATATTTTTTTAATAATATTTAATACTATGTTTTTATCATTTATTGCGAATAAAATTTATTTTAATCTTTACTATTATTTTATTATTATTAGGTTTCTTTAAATATTATTTATTGCTGGAAAAAATTGTTTTATTTTTTGGTGGATTAATTAATGTAATGGGTTGATTTGTTCCGACAGGCCGATGGAGCGGAAAGCCGGGGAGGCGCCGTGGCCGTTTGCCCCGCTGAAAATGCTGCTGCTGCCCAATGATGCCCGCGTCGACGAAGCGGCCTTCGTGGCGCAACTGGTCAAGCAGATATTGCTGCGAAATATTTCCGCCAGCAGTGTTAGTGTTTTAACACGCTCCTCGCGACAGTTGGTGGCGCTCGGGGAACATCTCAAGCGCACCGCACCCAGGTGGGCAATTACGGAGAAGCCTGCATTTAAAAAAGAAAAAAACCAGAGTACATAAAAAATACATAAAAGATATATTATACAGAAAAAAAAAGGAACCGAAAAATTGAAACATATTGTACCCATAAAAACCGAAAAATAGGAAACAGGACAAGGCAGAAATAAAAAAATATTAAAGAAAAATTGGGAAACTGTGTCGAAGTAGTGAAAAATATTGAGAAAAATGATGCGAAAATGTGTGAAAATATTGCAGTGATCCCGGGGTGAAGGTGCTGCCGGTGTGCGCCTTCCAGGGCTACCGCAGCCCGCTGGTGCTCTTCAGCGCCGCCGGGGAGGCGTGTTTGGCCGCCGCCGAGGACAAGGAGCGCCGGCGCTTGTTCGTGGCCATGTGCGGCGCGCTCCACACCCTCATCGTCGTCGCCAAGGCCAACACCATCCGGGTATGCTATATTCCACAGGAAAAATATTCCACAAAAATTAAAAAAATATATTTTAGCTATTTAGAGTTTTTGTGAATTTATTCGAAGGAAATATCGTATGGAATGTATTATCCAAAATCGTTTCTGTAAATAATGTACTGGTAAATTGAATATGTTGTTAATATTTATTCGAATAAAATATTCTATAAATATTTAGTATTTCGTCTACATAAATATGCGATATAAAAGTCAGTACAATTATTCAAAGTATTTATATGTAATTTAAAAGATACATAAATTCCGTTGGATAAATAATGTAAAAAAGTGATAATCATATTTTGCTGCACATAAATATTCAACATAGAAATAAACAGAGAAAACATATATATTTCTAAATAATTTGCTAAGGTTTCGTAGAAGTGTTTCTAACTATTTCTGAATATTTCTAAATAATTTTGAATATTTTTAAATAGTTCTAAAAGATTTCTAAATATCTCTGAATATTCTGAATAAGCAAATAAATGTGGAAATCTTCAGAAAAAATTGAGTTAAAATGTTTCAGCAGTTGCAAATATTTTTAAATGTCTTTGAATACAAAATTGTCCGAGAAGATTGTTTTAAATAATTGTTTTGCGTTTTTCGGACAGGATTCGGGCGTGTGGCTGCAGCTGGAGAAGTACGCCAAGGAGCGGCGCGTCTGCGTGGCGCTGAGCGGGACGGAGGAGGCCGGCGAGGTGCTGCGCCGGCACCTGCTGCCCGCGGCGGGCGCCGTGTCCGCGCAGCAGCCGGCCGGATAAATTTATGAACAGCCGCGTTAATCGGCATTTTTTTCGTTTTTTTTTCTTTATTAATTTTTTTCTCGGTTCAGCGGTCTCCGTTGTATGTATCTCTTGGTGCAAAATGTGACCGATGGTGTGTGTATGTGCGGTGGAAAAACGATTGCGGTGCTGCTTATTATTTGGTAGAATTTGTTGGAATGATTTTGCTCATGATTAATTTCTTCCTTTATTTTGCGCGGCCATGGTTGACTGGTTCTTTTCATATATAAAAAATTACAATAAAATTTTTACTAAGCAAAAAATATTGTCGCAAAATTGTAGCAAAATATCTGTAATATGTATCTGTTAATATTTTAATAATAAATCTATTTGTAATAAATATCTAATAATATTTTTTTTGACACGACGGTGGCAATTCTTATTTGTCCGCCATGTTTCGGGAAATGTCACTAGAGTGTACGAATGCACCGTTAAGAATTAATAGCCTACATACATATTATTTAACGAAGAAAACAACGATACAGAAAACTGCATGGTAAGCCTGTATTTCTCGCTGTACCATTACGTAGGAAATCAATTTGTGTGTAACTATATTATGTAGGCATGACATTAATTAGACTAATGCGAAACCAGCCTCTCAACGAACGCGAGCGAACAGAGACCCCCGCTGTGCGCCGTATAATTTTGTCGGTGGTCGCCGGTACAAAAGAGCGCCGTCGACAGTCTACCGGCCGCACAGTCGAACTTTTAAATAATATCATAATAATAATAACTGCCTAAAAGCATGGCGCACGCGTTTTGGGGATTGATTTTCTTCGCGGCACTGCGGCTGATCACGGCGCAGACGTACTCCGGGGCCGGCTGTCCCAGTTTCTACGGGAATATTGACCCCAACAACGAAGGTGAATATTTCTAACTATTTCTAAATATTTCTAAATATTTCTAACTATTTCTAAATATTTCTAAATATTTCTAAATATTTCTAAATATTTCTAAATATTTCTAAATATTTCTAAATATTTCTAAATATTTCTAAATATTTCTAAATATTTCTAAATATTTCTAAATATTTCTAAATATTTCTAAATATTTCTAAATATTTCTAAATATTTCTAAATATTTCTAAATATTTCTAAATATTTCTAAATATTTCTAAATATTTCTAAATATTTCTAAATATTTCTAAATAGGCTACGCGCAGAGTTGTCATCTGTATCATGGTGTGCCCTGAATATTGCAGCCTATTTGCGCGTGCTGACCCGCGGCCAGGCCTACTACGACAGCGCCACACACCAGATCAATATCCTACAGGGGAATTCCACGCCGACACCGGGCCCGTACCTGACAAAGATCATCAAGAAGGATTTTGCCAATCAGCGCCTGATCCTGCACGCCAACAACAAGAACTTCTCCATGACCGGACCGGAGTGCTTCGCGCAGAGTAAGGCCGACTTCGCCGCCATTGGCGACGTGGTCGCGTCGGAGAACGATACCATCCCGGAGAGCAACACCAACGGCGGCATCATGCTCGAGGGCGAACGTAAGTCCCGTGTATTATGGATACGCCATATGTATATGTAATGTCTCGTTGTAGTACATATAATATGTCTATACTTTCGTGCGTTGACCTCAAATTATATGCGTCTGCTTTCAGTACAGATACGAATGAATATAAATGTGCAGTGACCTTTATATATACGGGCACATATATACTCGTACGTACATATACGCGGATATAATAATTATACGCACGTATACCGCAGGTTTACTTTTATGTAAGTATGCATCACAGAATATATATATACATTAAGCAGTCCCATATATGTATGTGAATATTTAGTTTTATATAATTCTGCAAATTATTGCTTATAAATGTGTACATATTAAATTTATATAAAATATACAGGATTTATTCATAAAATGTATATACTTTTGTGTAAACACTTTTGTATCGAGTTTCCTATAATATTTTTAAATGTGACCTTTTGAGCTTTATATATGGCTGTGTTGCAGCGTACTACCACCACACCCTGCAGGCCAACGCGGCGGCCTTCAACCCGCTGGTGCGGCTGGGCCAGGCCAACGCCAACCATCCCAATCCCGGCAAGTACCTGCAGATCTGGATCACCGTGGCTAAAGGCATGTCCGACTTTACCGACTACGTCAACGGCAACGACTCGTCGATAGAAACGTGTATCAAGATGAACACCATGCTCGGCAACTGCTTCCTCGACTTCCTTCGCGAACCGGCTTTCTAACTCGTCCAAAACGTTTAGTATCGAACTTTTTCTGACGTCTGATACATTTTTTATTATGTTTGCTAAATAATTCTGTGTAGTAACGATCCGAAACAAATAAAGGAATTTTTCTACAGTCATTAACGTGGCGAAAGAACATAAATTATAATTAAAATCAGCAGCCAGTATTAGTGATAATTATATATACAATTATAACAATTAGTTAACCTCGAAATAAATGAGGCTAAGCGAACACCTCCCAGGTCAGTGGAAGCTGGTAGAGAATACACTTCTCCCGCACCGCGTCCTCCAACGGCCGCGGTCCGCACGTGAACACCCGCATCCCGGCCCGGCGTTCCTTCAACGTAACGCCGGCCTTCCGCGCCAGAATCTGGCCGAACAGGAGGTCCCACTCCGGACGCCCCTTCTGCACCGCCACTCCGCTGTCGGGCGGCAGCTTCCCGTTCTGCGTGACGAACACCTGTGCCACCAAGAACCGGCCGGGACAGGCGTCGGCATGCTCCCGCTGCACATACGCCCACTCCCGCCAAAGGTCACCGAACCACTGGAGGGCCTCCATCTCCCGGCACACCCAGATAAAGTCCACCTGCTCCAGGGGCAGCGGGCGGCCGGCGTACTGGAACGGACGGGAGGCGGTGTGCAACACCGGCGCGGTGTTCCCGCACCCGGGACACCGTTCCCGGGAGGTCAGGATTTTGTACTGGGAGAGCAGGCCCCGCAGGATGGACGCAAGGGGGTCACGCCGATGCCCCCGGCGACGAGGAGGGCGTGGCGCGTCCACCGGAGGTTGGTGGAGGAGCTGGCGTACGGGCCGTTGACGAGGACGGAGTGGCGGAGGGTCGGAGGGTGACCTTTGGGGTCCCGGGCGCCCAGGACCGGCGTCGGGGGGTCCATCTGGTCCAGTTCGAGGATGGCTACTTTGCTGGAGGAGGCGTGGAGCGATGCGGTGGACAGGGCGTCGTCGGCGTTCAGGGAGGAGGCTTGCAGGCGTTTCGGGAGCCGGCGCGTCCAGTTGCCGGCAGCCTTGACGTGGAAGGAGATCGTTTCTATATAATAAACGCATCTTTAATAATTTAATTTAATTTAATTTAATTTAATTTAATTTAATTTAATTTAATTTAATTTAATTTATTTTATTTTATTTTATTTTATTTTATTTATTGAAATAAAATTAATTATTTAATATTGTTTCATTTATTTTTGTAATTCAATTAAATTAGTTTCCCGGCACCTTTATTGTCAGGACTGCTGGTTAGAGTAAACGGATGCCAGGACAAGAGTCCCAGCGAGGGAATTCTAAGGAACACGTAGTCGCCGGGATTATAAGAAAAACATGATGGACGATTAAGGGTGATGCGCGCCACCTATCAAAAATAATCCACACTGTTTCCGGTGCAACGGTATTCTTTAAAAAGACGACCGAATATACCTGCGCCGGAAGTAGCGTAACGTGGCGGATGTGGACCGGCTGGCAAGCCCACCGGAACGCGTTGAAGTACACTCGAGCTTTTTCAGCTAGTAGTAACACACAGAACGCCACGAAGACCCGCCAGAAGATGGGCTCGTGGACGATGAGCGCCGCCCAGAAGACGAACTGCAGTTTGTGCGTCCAGTAGAAGAGGTCGTAGAAGCGGGAGTGCCGCACCGGCGGCAGCGAGCACACGAACATGACCAGCAGCGCCCCCACCATCACCCACCCGGAGATGTTCGTGGCGCCCAGGTACTCGGAGCCCACGGAGCCGGCTTTGAAGAGGTACGTCCACACCGTGCGGTTGCCCTTGATGGCGTCCGGCCGCTGGGCGGAGCGATCTGTAACACACCGGCTTCGGTTGTCTGCTCAACATTTGTGACGTACAAACAGCGAAATGGCATCGGCAGTTACGCTAACCAGTAAGCATAATCAGCTAGGGTCAGTGTTAAAGGTCATCGCATAATTACCGGCATCGCGCGTTAAATAAGGGCGGTGACAATCAATTAACTAAGCATTAACAAAAGCCGGTCAGAGAAATTACACGAATAAATAAAAATTTTAATGATTTAAAGTAAAACAAAAAATAAATGTAATTATGGAATAAAATAAATAAATCAAATAAAATAATGCTTTAGGCTTTAATCATCTGGGCTTTGGGGGGAGCGACAATAAAACAAAAATATATAATACCGGCTCCGGGTGCTAGCTCAACGGCTGTGACGTGCAAACAGCGAAAGTGCACCGGAAGCTACGCTAAGCATAATCAGCTAGATGCCTAGATTCACCGCCAAAGGTCACTTACAGAAATGCGCCACGAAGCACCCGACATGGATTACCACACACACCCCGGTGGTGTACGCCACGATCATATGAAACAGGATCCACGAATCAAAAGGGACGACGCGGGACAGCACGCTCCGGCGGAGGTAGCTGAGGATCCCGCGGTACGCCGGGAACAAGAGGAAGACGGCGGCGTTGACGCGGATGACGCTACCGAAGGCATAGGCCACCAGGTTGAAGACGCTGAAGGGCCGGCGCGCCCTGACGCGCTCATACTCCTCGTAGTACTCCAGGACGCCCATCCCGACCAGGAAGGCCTGGAAGAGGAAGAAGAGGAGCGTCCAGAGGATCTGCAGGCGGTAGAAGCGGATGCGCAGCAGCGCCGTCTGCAGGAGGGATTTGGGTTGGGGCGCCGCGAGGCGGAGGGTGTCCAGCCGGGAGGGACGCTTGCCGGCGTCCATGGGCGGTTGACCGGAAGTCGCCATTTTCATTAATACATCCGTTAAATGATAAATGAGATTTAACGCTCTCGAATTAATCCGTCATATATGTGCGGCGCCGGCAAATTGGCTGAATATTCTTCGTATGTATAAATATAAAAAAAAGAACCGGCATTCCTCAGCGCGTCCCAGCATAATAGGCCGGAATATTCATGCGGCCGACTGACGTGAGAATTTTTCCACCCGATTGATTTCACGGTCAGCCGGCACAATGGCCGCACAACGCGTGATCATTCTTCGGCCGGTATAATCATGGTCTTTCTGGTTTGCCAGAATGAGATAAATCAAGGGTGTAAAGCGGGGCTTTTGTCTGCAACAGATAAATTCAATGGGTGCAGGTTTTCGGTTAAAGTGAAGATTGGCAGGAATTCCCAGTTCATGCCAACGTCGGCGAAATTAATTTTCTGCTGAACGACGGTGCGGTGTGTTTGTTTACGGGAAACAATATTCAGAACGTGAGCAAGTGCATACTTGACGTGAGATTTTGACTGCGGCCTTAAGAACATTTGCGAAGTGCACGTTGCCGGTTCAGTGTGTATAAGCAAATTTGCCTCTGAGTAGTCGTTTCGCGGTAGGAAAATGTTTTTTTTTCTTACACCTAATTGGCTGCTACGTACCCCGCGGCAGTACGTACATGCTGATGCGGCTGCACTTGGCCGTTGAAAAGTAAACAGACGCCGACGAAAGTGCTTATTCCGGTTCTGGTAACGACTTCCTGCTGATGTTGTCCCATATATATGTTCGTATCTATGCGACGCCGGTGTAACAATGAGGTGCTGCGAAAATTCCACTGTCCCGTGCGCTGTTGTGACAGTTACATCCCGGAAGTGACCCGCTTCTGTTGTGTTGGATTGTTTTATTAATCTCTCCAGCCAGGTGTACGCAGTTCCGTTATTATTGTTCGTTAAACAGATGAGATGCCGTATACTGTATATGTCCAGACGCATCGAGGTCATCGCCTGGTTTCTTATACTCTGAATACGAAAGAATTGTGTGCTGATTTATTTCATAATCTGTAATTATGTTTTTATATGGAAGTACCAATACTGTATTACAAAGTGAATAACTGTAGTCGGCATACAATATATTGTATAACGTACGTAATATTACGGCATGGAAAAAACATAAGAATAACAGAAATGTGACAGTAATGAGCGAAAAACACGATTATTGCAGCAACGACAGAAGATTTATTACCACTTCCGGCGAGTTAACTACAGCTTCCGTAACACCGGACCGTACGTACATAATACTGTCTCCGTTACAGAGAAACAGGGATCTTCAACTACCTTTCAAAATTTGCATAGCTGGGGTAAAAACGTAGTAAGCAGTAACTGTTGTAAATACTTGTACGAGTACGACTTTAACATGATACCTCTCGGTATACATGATTAACTACAATAATTTAAATAGCGCTTACTGTACGTTACGTCCGGTAAAACGTATACTCAGTAGTTTACGAGTGGCGTACGATTTTGTATTTTGTTCTGTTAAGTAATTAATCTATACTTTAATGACCATACATTATAAAAATTTCACCTGAGAAACTGTCCACAATGTGAAAAGACACTAAGTCTTGGTAATTATGTTAACGATACGTGAGTACAATAACAACCACTTCCGGCTGGCTCACATTGCAACATTCAGGGCGCTGGCTGTATGGAAATTATTTTCGTCGCTGCTTGTTGTCACACAAGCTTAGGTTACAGTGGATCGTTTAAAAATTAAAACTATGGAAACACTGAAATTACACGTTTTTTGTATACGTAATTTTGAAGGTGTATGTTGTCATTTTTTGCCATAATGGGGCGCCGTCAAAGCGGAACAACGACAAAGAAGACACAAAAAACGAGAGCTGATAGCCTGATACGTAAGTGTGAGCGCCCGAGGGCGGCAAATACGGCGACAGTCGTCTGTCAAGTGTAGAATGGTATCGTTAGGGGTGTGCGTGTACTACTGCCCCGTACGGAATGCCTGCAAAAATCATTCTTGCAATTTTTGTCATTTTTCCATTTTTGTGGTGCTGTTTTTGTCCACCTTCGCTTGTTTTCCAGGAGTTTTCTCGGGATATGCTGATCGGATTATTTCGTGATTGACGTGATTATTTTAATCCCACGATGGAGATCCCGCTCCCTCCCGAATTGATGGACCCGGACCTGTCCACGGACAGCACGGGCAACGCCACCGTCAGCAGCGTCGGACTGTACACCAACGGCCGCTACAGCAACGCCGTCGCGGCCCCCGAGCCCCTGAACATGCCCTTCCACAACCAGCACAGCGAGTCCTCCGTCGTCTCCGCCTCGCCCACCTCCGACACCACCCGCACCTCCGCCTCGCTGGACCACAACCTCACCAACGACCGCGACCGGGACTCCACGTTCCTCAGCAGCGCCTCCACCCCCTCCTTCTCCCGCACCGCCTCGCAGTCGCCCCCCGCCCTCCCCCCGCCAGGGGTGGAGGGGGGCGGGACGCCGAACGCCGTGGTGAACAAGGATCCCGATGCCAATAAACCGCCCGAGTTGAAGAAACTGTGGAAGCCCGTTAGGACGAATCACACGGATTTCAACGCGTGGACCACTCTGCTGACCTACGTTGAGCTCCAGGTGAGGAAGATGTTTGGGTTTTTATCGTAGAATTTGTATTTTGAAATTTTTAATAATGTTGACAAACCCGTTGATGTTGACAAGGAATAATGTTGACAAGGAAATAACCCGTTAGCGATTGAGAAGTGGCTGATTTGTTTACAAAAAAATTGTGTGGTTAATAATTACAGCGATGTCTCGTAGTTCCCTGTAGCATTAGGTAGAGAACAGTATAGTGAATACAGAGACACAGTTAATCACTCTGAGTTTTGTAAAATCTGATGCTGTTTAAGTTGTAATATTGAGTGTGGTCTGGTGGTTTCCCTGTAGTTGTTACCTGAAGGCTGTAGCGTGGTACAGGAACGCGGTTGATTAGGCTGGATTTTGATAAGAAATAGTTTAAATTCAGTGGTTGTTAGTGGTTCCCTGTAATGTCTATCTGAACTCAGCAGTGCAGTACAGCGACACGGTTAGTTAAATGCAGTTTATTATTGGAATGTGTTTGATTTGCGTTGTGTTGTTGTTCAGGAGAATGTGGAGGCGATGCGGGAAGCGTACGACGGGTTCCTACTGCGCTACCCGTACTGCTACGGCTACTGGAAGAAATATCACGAGCTGGAGAAGCGCTTCGGCCAGGCGGAGCAAAGCGAACGGGTTTGTCCGCATTTTGTCGCATTTTTGCGTTTGCATCCGCACATTTCATTTGTGGTACTTGGTGTAGAGCGTGTATATGTTGCTTATATAGATTAGTTGCCATTGATCATGGGCTGGCTCGCTGTTCTGCAGCGTAATAGGAAATGAATGATTGTATATCACTCATGATTGCTGTCAGAGGCAGTATGCGCTTGGGTTATTCGTTGGTAACGCACCACCTCCCTCATTATTCTCTCATTCGCACCTAACCACGAATCGACAGCTGTGTTTTACCGTATTTTTTGCGGCAATGACAGGTGCTGGAGCAGGGCGTGACGGCCATTCCCTTGAGCATCGATTTATGGATGTATTATATCAATTTCGCCAAGGAACGCTATCGTGGCGTCGCCGGCGAAGGCCTCATCCGACAGTAAGTGATTTTTTTCCTTGACAGAAAAAAATTACCAGTCATCGGTAGTGTTTGGGAATTTTTTCTAATTTAACGCAATTTAATTTGAATTTTTTCAGTGAGAAAAATAATTATTCAACCAAAACTGCTGGAAAAAATTTATTAAAGATTTATGTAATATTCTTGTCGATAATTGATTTTTTTCGCAGACGAGTGGTTTCAAAAAATCGCCAAAAACTTGTTAATGACCAAAATTCTTGTTGTAATTTAAATAAATTTAAATGAAAGCTGTAATAGGCGAGGCGAATGGAGAAATTGCTGTTTTGTTAATAATCAGCGGGAAATGTGATGTTAATTTGTATGAAATAATTGCCATGTACGTTTAACCTTGTTTTCGTTTTTCTGTTTGTTGTAACTCTTTTTATTTAATAAAATTAAGCTCAGGTTATTTTAGACGAGGAAACTGAATTGAATGCTGTGCTGTAATTTATAACGAGAATCTTGGAACGAAAAAAAAATAAAATAAAAAATAAATGTTTTTAAAATAATTATTTTTTTGCATTTTTCTTCGCCTGCTTTACATAAAATCATTGCAAAAATGTGTACGAAATTGTTTGAATAAGCGAATTCTTGCGCCAGGTTGTTCGGACGCGCCGTGGAGGCCATGGGGCTGGACTTCAAATCGGACGAGCTGTGGGACGCGTACATCGAGTGGGAGGCCAGCATCGGGCAGCGGCGCAACGTCTTCACCATCTACGAGCGATTACTGCGCGTCCCGACGCTGCACTACCACCGCCACTTCGAAGAGTACGCCTTGCGCATTTCGCATCGTTTTCTGTGGGCTTTCTGTGGCTTATGCTGCTGATTTAGTCGGCGCGGTGTAGCTTGTGTTTTGTTGGTAGTTTGCTGCAAGTGTAGACGCGGCTAGGAAGCGGGCTGTGTCCTTCGCGGAGAGTGTAGAGCTGGCACCGGTACTGGCCATTTAATCATCACTTCGGCTTTGCAATGCACGCATTTTTCCACGTTTTTCATCACGTTTTTTTGCAGATTCCAGAAGCTGGTGATGGGCGCCGCGCCCGCCGAGGTCATGTCCAGTGAGGACCTGGATTTACTGCGTCCGCTCGTTCCCGAGGTGCGTCAGCTTCATTTTCACAGGAAAAGAAATGCAGGGATTTTCGGCGCGTGAGGCAATTGCAGCCGTTTTGATTTTTTGGCAATTTTCTCGGCATTTTTTTTAAAGGTTTTGAAATTTCCCGAATTCTTCATTCTTATTTTCGTCATGTTTCTGCAATAATTTTCGGCTGTTTCTGCAATAATTTTGATAAAAAATTAGGATAAAACTGGTCCTAGTTATGTATTATTATATTAGTCTTGTTATTTATCCTGATTTAATTAAATTTAAATAATTATTAGGATGAATTTTATTCGTTGTGAATTAGAATAAAATTTAAACGATGCGATTTATATTTAAAAATATTTTTATAATTATGAATTGAATTTATAATTTAACAAAAAATTCGTAAGTCAAATATTAGTTTTGTTTCACGATAATTTTCAAGCTGAACATTTTACATGATGGAAATTCAGGGACTTCCGGCTCTTGACGCAGTTGCAGCCGCCCGGTGTTGGTGTTAATGCCAATCAGTTTATCTTGATTTTTTTTGGACCAGTTCCCGTTCTTTTCCTTTTGATTTTTGCCACAAAAAATTAATTTTCTCTGTACTATTTGTATTAAAAAAAAATTGAAAATAAATTGCAAAAAACATGCAACGTTTTTTGGTACCAGTATCAATGCAAAATCAATCGAAAAATGCGGCGTGAATGGAATACCAAAAAAATATGAATAATAATATTTTTTTTTCAGGGAGAAGATCCCGACTCGTCGATGCGACAGATGATCATCGAGTCCCGCCGCCCGATATACAAACTGACGGAGGCGGAAGTGGCTAAACGCTGGAATTTCGAGAGCAACATCCGCCGGCCGTATTTCCATGTCAAACCGCTGGAAGCCAGCCAGCTGAAGAACTGGAGCGAGTATCTGGCCTTCGAGATGGAGGAGAAGCAGATGAACCGTATTGTCTTCCTTTTCGAGCGCTGCTTGGTGGCCTGTGCGCTGTACGAGGAGTTCTGGCGAAAGGTTAGGCTCTCACTGAATTTTAAACGCAAATAAATCAGAAAATATAAATTAATGGCTTTTTTAAATTTATTTTGATTTAATTTTCGTGGAATTAATAGTAACTAAATTAATTGCAGTATTTGACGTAGAAAATTAAACGGACTGCAGTCGGTGTGGGATGATTTTAACACCAAATAAATCAGAAGAAATTAATATAAATCAGTTAGTTGATTTTTTAAATTTATTGTGGTTTAATTTTCGTTGAATTAATGTTGATTAAATGCATTGCAGTATTTGACGTACTTGAAGAGTGAAAATCAAACGGATTATATTCGCTACGCCTACCAGCGCGTCTGCACGTACCACCTGTCTAACCGGGTGGGACTGCATCTGGAGTGGGCGGCGTTCGAGGAGGAAGAAGGTGGGCGGGATTTATTTTTAATTATTGCCGATTTAATTTTATATTGTAATTAATATTCGTCCATTACTTTGTATTTATCACTATTTATTTTTAATATAGGTTTTTGTTTATTTAAATTTCTACAGATGGTATTTATTGCTCTTCCTGGCATATCTATAATTTTATATTTTGGTTAATGTCGAATTTACCAAAAAAAAACTTATTTAATATTTTTTATTGATTTTTATTTTGATTTTCGCGATGTGTGTGCACAGGCAGCATGGATAACGCGGTGCTGGCGGTACAGAACGGTCTGAAACAGCTGCCGCAGAAGCCCATCCTGGCGCTGCGGCATGTGGGGATTCTGCGGCGCATGCAGAGCGACCCGGAGCAGGTGATGGCCGCCTTCGACAGCTACGTCAGCAGCGCGGAGGACGCCGGCCTGGTGGAGTTCTTCCTCGTCAAGGAGGCGCGCTACCAGCTCAAACTGAAGAACGACAAGGAGCGCGCCATGCAGATCCTGCGGTTGGGCCTCAAAAAGGACCCGGTAAGCGGCCAAGAATTTATATTTATTATTTAATTACCTATTTAATTGGATAATTATTTTATATGATTTTATTACCGGTTTATTGGAATTAATATTTTATTCCTGATATAATCAGGTAATTTTTTTATGTAATTTAATCAGCTGTGCATTTGAATGTAAATTGTTTCGTACTTAAAATTGGTATTTTTTATTTCTGATTTTGTTGCTGGTTTAATTAAATTATTATTTTTTTTGCTGATTTAATGAGGTAATTATTTTATTTAGTTGTGCTACTGGTTCAGTTTAATTATTGTTTTATTTGCTGATTTGATTAAAAAAAATTTTTATGGAAATTTATCACGCGTTTAATTTAATTAAAGTTTTATTACTGGTTATTATGATTTATTTTAATTTTTTCGTTATTATTGTAATTTTTTTAATTGATTTATGGCGTTGGGCAGACGAGTGTTGGTCTGCTGACGGCGCTGCTGGACTGCGAGCTGCAGCAGATGCCGCTGAATGTGCCGGCGCTGGTGGCGCTGTACGAGGAGATCCTGGCCATCCCGGAGCTGGGGCTGGAGCAGCGGATGCAGTTCCTGGAGCGGAAACTGCACAATCTGGAGGACTTCAGTCTGGATATCAAAGAGTGGGTGAAAATATATTTGTTAGCTGGGATTGGGGTTTGACGGTGTGTTTTTGCCGGCAGAATCCACGCGGCGCACCAGCAGTATTACGCGCTGTCCATGCAGTTGACGCGCGGGAAGAAGCGGGCTTTCGGGGAGGACGACGACGAGCTGACCGGGTCAGTCAATATTCTAAAATTATCTCCGATATATTGCGAATGTTAATGACATTTTTTTAAAAAATTGTTTAAGTTTTCATATTTAGTTTTTCTATTTAATAAATATTAGCATGTTCATTGTGGGTTTATTAGCAGTCAAGGGTTTTTTAATTTTTTCTTCTAGATTAATTTTGTATTGATTTCTTTATTTTTGTTGACTAATTATTGCTCTTAATAATATAACAAAGTAATGGAAATGTAATTTTGACTTATATAATTTGGTATTTATTTTGAAATAATTATTGGCAGTTTATTGTTGATTTATTTTAGGGAGAGCAGCGTGAAGAAGCCCTTCGAGGCGCCCTCCAGCCTCCCGACCACGCCCATGACGACCCCCGCGGTTGTGCCGCTGGCCAGTCCGCTCGGCTACCCCGCGGTGACCGTCGCCCCGCCCTCCTGGCCGCCCATGCTGGGCGTGCCGCCCCCCGCCGCACCCGTCATGGTCAGTCTCGAAAACTTGTTGTATAGCGACAGGAATGTTCTTCTGAATAATCTGCGAAATTTTCTGAATATTCTGCCAATTTTCCTGAATATTCTGCTAATTTTCATGAATATTCGGCTTATTTTTCTGAATATTAATTTATCCGAATATTTTGCTAATTTTTCTGAATATTCTGCTAATTTTTCTGAATATTTTACTAATTCTTCCGAATATTCTGCTAATTTTTCTGAATATTCTGCTAATTTTTCTGAATATTTTACTGATTCGAATATTCTGCTAATTTAACTGCATATTCTGGTAATTTTTATGGATATTTCGCTATTTTTCTAAATTATTTTCAAATTTTTCTGAATATTTTGTTGATTTTGATGATTATTTTTGTACGCGGTCGGTCAGCCGGCGATGACGTTCCCCGGGTATCCGCCCCCTACGGCCGGTGTCCCGGCCCCCCTCCCCACCTGGCCCCGGCCCCACCGCCTCCCTACGGCGTCCCGCTCCCCCCGCAGACGGCCGTCTCCTGGCACGCCTATTAATTGCGATTTTTGATCATTTTTCGCGGGTTTATTCGTTGCAGTGGGTCGATTAATTCCCTGAATGTTCGCTTGTTAGCGGTGTCTCGCTAATTTTGTTGATTTACGCGCTGATGGGCATTGCGCAACGGAATGGGCATTAAAGTGGCGGCTGATTATTTTGGTGCTGCGAATAAATCCGAATAGCGCCCGAATCACAATACACACTTGATGAAAAATAATAATAATAATAATAAAACGTTCGATTACTTCCACGTAAACACACATTAATCGATTTAAAGACAGAATATAGACGAATTTTGCCGGCATTTCGTCGCTTGCATAGATCGAAGTGTGTTTGGAGAATAGGTAGGGTGTTGGTGACCTTTACAGCATTGCGATGGGAGTAATTGGTTCTTTCGTGATGGAGCATTTCGGGACGTTGGCGTGGGTGGTGCCGGCGCTGCTGACCGTCGCCTGGTATATTTATTTATGGACGCGCCACGCCCGACTGCCGCCCGGACCGCTGCCGTATCCGGTCGTCGGGAATTTGTTCACGCTGCGGGCCAGCGAGAAGAGCTCGCATTTTAAACTGCTGGAGATGGGCAAGAAGTACAAGGGCATCTTTACGCTCTTCATTGGCGACCAGTAAGTGGGATTTATTGGGTAATAAATTGTAAAAAAATTTGGTGTCAAAAAATAAAATAATTAAAATATTAGGAAAATAATTTTATTAATATGTAATAAAAAAATCATTATGATATTTCTAAATGTATGCACAAAGGTCAAGTCATGCATGTCTCAGTATTTGCTATATACGCAGGAAACGGTAACAAAAATAAAAGGTTTATAATTGTGTAATAAATTGAACGTATGCATTGATTATGGCAATATAAATGTATGCACAAAGATTAAGCCATGCATGTCTCAGTACTTGTTATATACAAGGCGGTTTAATATAAATAAAAATAGAATTATTGGGCCAATAATTTCGAAAAAAATTCCCTTAATTCCGTAGTTTGCTGTTGATGTAAATAAAATAATCATGATAGTATGTCCGGCACGTTAATTATGGTATAGACCGACGGTGTGGCTGACCTCGTTCAAGCACTTCCGCGAGGCCTTCGTCCAGCGCGGCTGGGACTGCGCCGGCCGACCCCCGGAAATGATGATCCCGGGATTGTCCCGGGAGAACTACCCCACCCTGGCCTTCGCCGGTATCACGCCGGTGGACAAGGAAGTCCACAAATTCGTCCTAACCAGCTTAAAAAGCACCGGCTTCGTCGATCAGAAGATGCAGGAGCGCGTCATCGAGGAGGTGGGCTTCCTCGTCGAGGCCTTCCAACGGCACGACGGCGAGGCCTTCGACCCGCGCTCCTACCTCGCCAACGCCACCGCCAACAGCATCGCCTCCATCCTCTTCGGCCGGCGCTTCGACTACGACGACGAGGAGTTCCAGACCGTCATCCGCTCCTATTCGCGCTCCATTGACCTTTTCATGGACTCCAAGATGGACGAGGCCTTCCCGATCCTCAAGTGGATCCCCCGCAAGTCCCGGAAGGAGTGCATGGACGGGTTCTATCTGGTGACGGAGTTCATGCGGCAAAAGGTCAGGGAGAACGCGGAGACCTGGGTCAAGGGGATGGCCAGGAATTTCATGGATGTGTGGATGGACCGCCAGAGCGAGGTCAGGAGCGCGCTGGAGGGGGAGGCCTTCGCCATGGAGCGCCTGCCCATCGCCATGCTGGCGCTGTTTATCGCCGGATACGAGACCAGCACGCTGACGCTCACCTGGTGCGATTAACCATTTCGTTAGTGTCACTATAAAACAAAACAGATTTTATAACAGAAACACTTCCTCAATGCTATCCTGCTCGGAAATTGTGTCTGTACAATGTTTATGTACAGAACTTTATATAAAGGTCATGCGCATTTAATGCACATAATGTATATAATGTAATAAATGTATATAATATAATGTATATAATGTAATAAATTTATAGATATAATGTATACAATGTAATGTATTTATAATGTAAAATGTATATAAATAATATTTTATGTATTATATAAATTTTTGGTTGTATAATTATACAATCAAAAATTTACATAGCATATAAAATATTATTTACATACACTATAGAAATACGTGCATGCTTATATAAATATTTTTTAAGTTTTATATTTTTTGTGATGTGTTAAATGTGTAATAAATGAACATACATAATTTTTATATAATAATAATAATACATAATTATGTCTATATATACGTAGTATATGCGTACTTATTATACTGTGTAGGCTGTTGGCGATACTGCTGCGTAAACCGGATGTGCAGTACCGCATGCAGATGGAGATCGACGAGATGGTCGGCCGCAACACGCCCATCACGCTGGACTACCGCGACGACCTCCCGTACGTAACCACCGCGTTCTTCTTATAATTATACAAAGGTCACCGTTGCCCCTCGCTGTAGGTACACGGAAGCGGTGGTGCTGGAGACGATGCGCATGTTCCCCGGCGGTCCCATCGGCATCCCGCACTACACGGAGGTGGACACCACCATCGCCGGCTACGCCATCCCCAAAGGTCACTAGGTGGCGTGCTTATATAACGGAGGTCGGAGGTGGTGACCTTTACGGTGTTTCTAGGGACCCGTTTAGTGGCGCACCTGTTCTCGATCCACTATGATCCCAGTCTGTGGGAGGCGCCCCACAAATTCCGCCCCGAACGCTTCATCGTCGACGGGCAGCTGCGCGTCCCGGAGGCCTTCGTGGCCTTCAGCGCCGGGAAGCGGGCGTGCATCGGGGAGCGGGTGGCGCGCGCCAATCTCTTCCTGACCGTGGCTAATCTAATGCAGCGCGTCAGCGTCCACCCGCCCGCGGACGACGACCTCCCGTCCCTGGACATCCAGAGCAACGGCTTCGCCATCACCATGTCGCAGCGCCCGTTCCAGATGGAGGTGGAGGTGCGGTGCGATACGCTGGATGGAAGGTTCCTGCACCGCCGCAGCACGGTGTGGCCCAGCGAGTACATCCCGCCGCGCCGCCAAAGCTCCATGACGTCGACGGGCACCGGCGCTGGGGTCATGGTCAACGGCGGGAAGGGGAAGCGGATGTCGGATCTGGCGGGCGGGAAGGCCGCGCGGGTATCGTTCCAGGAGGAGGAGGAGCATATTCCTGGGGCGCCGCAGTGAAGGGCGCACTTCCGGCGGCAGAGGGGGCTGTTCGTTTATGCACCATGAACTTAGATTTTGTTCAGTCTCTTCCGGGCTGTCAAATTATTGTGGTCAGGGTTGAGCATTTGAACAGTATCGTTTATAAGAGCCCTGATAATAAAGATACTTTAATCGCACTTATTTATGCATCTATATGGCTATTGCTGTGACTGCTGTGGACCTTATACCGGCGTATTGTGTAGTTGATTTCATTAGTATGCTGAATAATAAAATTAATAAAAAGTCTTGTGAAAACGTAGCGTTCGTGTTAAAACGATGCATCTCAACTGGAATTGCTTACTCAGCGCTTCCAGCGAGCTGACGACTGTTCAGGTTGGAAAAGGATGCGAGGTCACGAAGCAGCTTTGATTACGATTACCAGAATCGAGAAACACCAGTTTACTGTGCGGTCAGACCACAGGGCTAATTTACCGTTAATAGATCCGACAATCAGCTTCGGTAAGCTATCGACCGCATTTTGCGTATAAAATCATACGAAGACCCCAACATACAACAAGCCACTTGTTGCCAATTTTCCTTCTTTTCACTTTCCAAAAACGGCAATACAGAGTACCAGGTTTTGGCATAATTGTATTCGCTGGGTGCATATTCCATAACTGCCCAGGTCTGCTGGCTGCTGTGATGTACGGGGCCCAAACAGTGGTGCTGCAACTGTTGATTGCGGGTCGGTTAAAGGTCGCCGGTTCAACCAGCCGCCACCGGCGCCCGGTTGGCGCGTGGGCGTCTTTTAGCTGGCCTACAGCTCGTCAAATTCCTACGGTCCGCGCCAAGTCCTGAAGGGCCCGGCTCCGGGCATCCTGACGGACGACAGCCTGTGCTGCGCGCGCATCGAGTGCCCCATCAGCATTGACAAGCTGGTTGTTTGCGACACCGCATGCAAGGACCGCAGCGCCACGCAGCCCAACGTACGCCATCCCGGCCAACACCGTCAACTAACCGCAACAACCGCTACTCGGTCACAGACCTTTACTAAGTATCATGATACGAGTACAAACTATGTACCAATTAAAACGAAACAGAAACACTTCCTCTATGCTATCTTGATCGGGGGGGATCGTACCCATTACACAAATCGCGTTTCCCCGTTGTATTTGCATACATATCGGTGAATTAAGCGTAACGCCACGCATCTAGAAACATTTGCTCACCTGTGTTTGTTGTACAGTGAATGGACGTGAATTGGTGACCTTTGTGTACAATGTCATAACCACAACATGTAATAATCATTCCCTTACCTTGTCAACGCAGTTGTTTTTCCAGTACATTAGTTATCGCTTGTCTGGTGTTAATTGTGGTTTATGCGGTGCATGGTACGGACGCGCCGTAATGACACGGGAATGTCGTTCAATATGTACAATACATGTCGCCGGTGGCTAAAATGCCGGCGTTGTGAAGTTTGGCTTCTACAATCGCCGCCAATGAGCAGAGTACAGATAACATTATCACACGTCGAACGCTGCTTCTTTTCTGCCAACGCACATCAATTTGATGTGCACAAGTTTCGTTACCATAATATTATTCTATTTTCGCCATACCATAATATTATTTCGTTGCCATAATATTATTGCTCAAAGGGAAAAATCGTGTACGTGCACCGGAACGTCGGCTTTCGCACACTCGCACATGTCAATATGGTTTTGCGTCGTCTAATTTATGACATTGACATGGCTGCGAAATGTTTTGTATACATTAGCGGGAAAAGCGTGTGTGAGCGCAACATGTATGATCTGGTTAAATCCGGATGCCACACTGCCACATGACGGTTTAAGCGCAAATTAAACAGGCACACGAAAAGTCCCACAAAAGGCCGCTCTTCTGCTGATTATGAGTTAGCATGTAAGCACGCCGGAAGCGCTCACTAAGGACAACACACGTACTCATATATGAGTATCTTCCTCGTGATATTCTTGCACTTTCGCTTCTACAGATATGTGGCCATGGAACTGCCTCGACGGTGTCCAAGTACAGACAGAGCAGCCGCACTTACTCGTGATACAGATCACATAATTATGCAAGTGAACCGACAACACCATAATTATTATTATTATTATTATTATCATTACGGCACGAGAGCAGACAAGTCCAAAGGGACTTCAATTCTGGTCGAATATAAACAGTTTTCTGCTAACAAAAACACTTAGGACAGATTAACAGATTTGAGTAGAAATCTGAAAGAAGCCAGTGCCACTATTATAGTGATACTCACAGTAGCATACGATGTCATAACCCCTCACTGTTCTCCTACATCACCGCTGCACTGTATAGCGTTGTTTTCAGGGGTGTAAAACAGCCCGGAGATGCCGGCATAAGAATATAATTCACGGCTGATGCCTTGCCGGCATCCGATTCCGTGGCACCGGTCAGTCAGCGTATGTAACACTGGCATGCGTTGTTCCGACGCGGCGCTGCCAAATGCAGATTGGAGTTGAGCCAACTCCCATCTGATAGCTTTATGGCTTTTCAAGGTCAACTCAGTTGACCATTGAAAAGCCGTAAGAGATATCAGAGAGGTATGTACAGCTGTCCGATAAGCCGTTATATGGCGTTCTTATCTAGGTAATAACCGTAGAAACAAACATCGTCCAGCCTCAGCCACCGCCGTCGATTATGCCACCATAAGAGAAGCGAAGTGCAGCTTTTCTTTTGGTAGCATAATCGACGGCGGTGACAAGTCTTGGAAATGGCAAGTCTTGTCATGTCTAAGATACATATATACTAACGCGCTGAGCACTTTCCTCGCGGGATTCCAACAGAGGCGTTAATATGCACTGCTCTGTTGGCCTGTTGAGACCGACACCGGCTCCCGGCCCGTTTTCATCGCGACGTCAACCAGCGGTGGAGGATAGCCTTAGATGTGTCCGTGTAATCAGCGTCGCCTGCTGCATGAGCAAAACAAGACAAGACAAGACAAGCCAATGTTTCATTAAATACGCACCCGGACATTTGGGAGAGTGACATTTCGCCGCAATTAAATTCGACGCACGACTTTTCGCCGCGAAGAAATTTCGCCGCGGGACATTTTGACGCTGGGACACTTCGGTTAGGGACAATTAGCATTGAGACATTTTGACGCGAGACGTCTGGTCGCGGACACTTCGCCGCAAAAGCATTCGACACGCTTAACTTTTGCAGGTTTTCCGGGTTTCTTGGGAGGTTTTCTTAAGTGTTTCTTAGGTTATTCTCAAGTTATTCTTAGGTTTCTTGGTTATTCTTAGGTTATTTTTAGGTTTCTTAGGTCATTCTCAGGTTTTTTAGGGTTGTCTTATGGTTCTTAGCCTTCGTATTTTAAATGTTTTCCTGCTAGAATGGACTTTTCGTCAAAACAGCCCTTTGGCGAAATGTCTCGGCGTCGAAACGGCCGGACGACGAAATGTCTCGCGGCGTAATGTCCTGCCGGTTAAATGTCCGGCGACGAAACGTCGCAAGGCGAGATGACCTTGCGGCGAAATGTCTGCGACCAAAAGTCCTGCGACGAGTTGTCGGCGGCGAAATGTCGCGGTGCCATTAAATAAGATGCACATCCTTTATGTTCACCGGTTATAATATATTAAACCAACAACGTCGTAGTACACAACAACGTCGACATAATAATTATGTCGACGTTGTTGTGTACGGTGGACGTCATTTGGATTAAAAAGGTGGTTTTATTGGGAAGCTGGCATTCGCAACAGCGGAAAGACTGGTTAAGGAAGAAATTAAGTCCTGGGGAAAGAAAATAGTAATTAATACTCATCTTCACCGTAATATTATACTGCAACCGTCCGACAAAATAGCAAGCTCACTATCGCCATTTGTTATACGTATAAAAGCCAGCAGATATCCCGCCAAAGAACATAGGAAACATTCGTTACAACGGTCGGCATTTCCAATTTCCATCACTTATCCATTTATCCACTCCTCCTCCTTTCCTTTCCTGTCCACGGCAGCCCTTACCAATACATTTCAATGCCGGCGATGGCTGCGCACATCGTGGCAGTAGTTGTTGTAGACAAATTATTTTTTCGGCGGAGAAAAAATCAGCAAATGGAGAAGGCGACACCACATATTTGGCTCGGATCCAGTCGATGAACATCCATGAAATGCCATCAGAAAGGTAACTTTTTTTCTGACGAGTACACTTTTTTTTGCATGTACAGAATTTTATACAAGTAATGTTTTTTTCTGTACGTACATGCACGGACTCGAATTACAATAAATGAAATTACGCAGCTACGCCGGCGTAATGTGTAATATAATGCGCCAATAAGTGACGGTTAATTAAATGCTACGTTACGGGTACACTTTCTGCTGTGAAGCTCACCTTTTTTCTCACCCATCCGGAGCGTTGCGACGCGGCAACCCTCGACTGGACCGTGAACACCGTTAATCCCGTTAATCCCGCCCATCGACTTCCGACCGCAATCCACAGCACCGCCACCGTTGTTCTCAAATACTCGCAAGTGCATGTAATGCACGGCAACGTATTGTAAATAATTGTAATTATAGTATAATTGCGCAGATCGGTAAAAGAGGTCGCAACGCAAAATGCTGTGTTGACGTGGCATGCGCAGTAATTTCTATGGCGCTCGCGTCGCCGGCAGCGCCGTCCGCAATTCGCCGATTACACGTCCTGAGCACGGATTGCACAATGTATGCCACACTGTGTTTTTGATTTCATAATGAACTGCATAATTACATTATAGCGTTAGTATTTACGCTATTTATTTACTCATCAAAGTGTTCTTAATAACTGTCGGCATGGATAAACAGCAAACAACATGAATTCAACGGGCATAATACTGTCATTCAGTCCGGCAAGGGAAAAACAACGGGTGTATTGAAGAATAAAAAAGATTTTTTTTACTAAAGAAATTATTTATGCGCCGGCATTTTTGCGCTCTTGTTCGGCCGGAAGGAATCGCACACGATTGATTCAGTAGGCGAGGACGGCCATAAACAGTGTCAGTCCCAGGGAAGTCAATCCAACGCCCGCGCCGGCGACGAACGAGGCAGCTGTGATATCATGGAATAATGCACTGATTTATTTTAATGAGAACTAAATAAATGGAAGTTGCTGGTGTTCAGTTGACAGCCGGCAACTGCGTACCCGAGCGGTAGGCGGAGATCCTTTCGTGATCGGAAGAGTCGATGATGAGTGGGACGAACGGAGCGGCCGCGGGCGGTGCCGGTGTCGTCACTTGGTTCAATGCATAATCCAACTATTAATAAGAAAATCATAAAAAAAATTCTGGCAAATAAAATTGTAAAAAAAATTAGTAAACGCAAAAATAAAATACCATAAATTTAGAAAATGTGAAATACGAAGAAAACATAAATAAAATAATATCAAATACCGGCGTATTTATTATCGTTATCGGAGAGTCGAATGGAAATGCGTTTAATGTGCCTGCGTGATAAAATTATTGCTGTTAACCCTAAAATTCTTGATGCCAGTTCTGTACCTGCCTTTAAGTTCGTACTCAAGTCTGTCGATCTGTCTTAACTCTTTACATAGCATTTATAAATGTTTCTGTTCGACCAGACTTGAAGTCCCTTGGGGGTTGTCTGCTCTTGGGCCGTAACAATAATAATAATAATTTAGCTACGGTACTTACCAATCGGGTGCCGACGGGTGCGGCGCACAAGTAGAAATGCCGGGCGAACACCAGCAGATTCGTCAGGTCGTTAAGACGGCACGTTGCCTTGGCCGGCAACTGCGCCGGAATTCCCTCGAGACAGCCAGCCACATCCGGGTTCAAATGCTTCCTGTAATACATTATGTTTTTTTTATGGCTGTCTTAGTTCTGCTTAAATAAAACTGTGACCTTTCGGTAAATCTTGCTACAGTCGCGAATATGCATTTACTGGCAGAGGTCCTCGTTGCCGAACATGGAGTCCTCGTTGGTGAGGGCGGAGATCTGGGTGGAGTCCACGGAGAAGTCCAGACAGGGGAAGAGTGATGCCGGGAAGTTGTGTACGCGCTCCGGTTCGACGTAACACGCTTTCACCGAACTGATCAAATCTGTAGACAACGAAGGATCTTGCACAGCCGCTGTTAATAATAATTACTAAGCGGAACAACGTACCGGTTAAAAGGTCAAGGCTGTCGCTTTTGTTGCTGTATTTCGCCAGCAGATTGTTGATACCTGTAAGAATTACCTAGTTAACGTAATCTTACCGTATATACATACGTAGCAGTCTAGTAGATACAAGCTACATAATTTTTATGTCTATACAGAAGCAAAAATTTTACAATTTCAATAAAATAATCACATACAGTACTCTGTACATTATTACGGATATACAGATACTGATTGTACGAGCGTATATACAATGCACATACGTATATGGAAAATAAATGTGCATATACGTTTGAACCGATTATCAATGTAGGTATAGAAATATACTCTGTAGATATAGTATAAGTGAGAATGCTAAGACACGCATATGTACATAATGTACATATAAAACATGTGCTTTATATAAATGATTTATAACTATCTAAAATAATAAAACAATTGTAAATATAAAAACAGGCGCATGTATAAATGTACATGTGTATAAAAAGAGTATATAGTATATGCCTACATGCACGTATATTATACAAATATGTATATGGGGGCGTATGCGCAAATACGTGCGTATAAATACGCCTTTTATGAGTGCTCACTTACTAAGAACAAACGGCTCCGTTTCCGCTTCCGGCGCGATTAAAGACGAACCGGTCCCGATGCAGTGGCTTGCCGACACCGATCGCACACCCTACAGATACAAAATAATTAATCTCAAGGATACACTTCCGGTTGGTAACACGAAGTGAAGCTTGTACGTACATTCTGGTGGTTTTGCGAATCACTACACACCGTCGTGCTGCTCTGATTAACCGCGTTGCCCGGTTTCTGCGCGTACCGCCCGCGGGCGTTGGGGGGACGGAAGCCGCATTCGCCGAGGTTGGCGTTGGCGTCCAGCTGGAACGTGTCCGCCGACACCGGTAGATCCCCGTACGACGCCAACGAGGAGTTCAACAGCTCGAGGAGGAAGCCGGATTTCTCGGTGACCGTCGCGCCGGACACGGTGTCGTTCAAGAGGAACTGCAGCGCCATGTTGGGCAGCTCGCTGAACGGGAGCTCCATGTTCCAGCGCGCCAGGGTGCACATGTTCTTCGTCCGCAGCGGCGGGGACGTGGACCCGGAAGGACTGAAGACCCAGGACCCGCTGGCGTTGCTGCTGATGACGACCGCCGCCGGGGGCGCGGTCGTCGAGGTATAATCATACGGCCGGTAGTTGTAGCGGTACGGGACGTAGGAGTTGTAGTAGTAGTAGTGGTGACTGCTGCCGGACATCATCCGCCCCAGGAGGTAGCCGTTGAAGAACCCGTTGTCGGATACAAAGTACCCGGGTGCCCGGTAGTTGATCACCGTCAACCCGGGGTTGGTTACCACCGCCACCGGGCGGAAGGGCGCCGAGCGGACCGCCACCGTCGGGCGGTTGACGGCGCTGCGGACCGCCGACCGCCCGGCGGCTGAATAATCGGGAACGCCGGCGCGGACGGAGCCGCTGGGATCGGAACTGCCCCACCGCGAGGATGAGGAAGAGTGGGAGGACCAACTGGACGGGGAGGACCACCGGGAGGAGGCGGGGCTGGACCAGGAGGAGCGGGAGCTGGAGCCGGACGGGCTGGAGCTGCCCCACCGGGAGGAATGGGAGCTGGAGGGGGAGGAGCTCCAGGAGGAGCGGGAACTGGACGGGGAGCTCCAGGACGAGCGGGAGCTGGAAGGGGAGCTCCAGGAAGAACGGGAGGAGGAGGAGGAACTGGACCAGGAGGAACGGGAAGACCCGGAGCGGCTGCTGCTGCCCCAGCTGGAGCGGGAAGAGGAGGAGCGGCCGCTACTGCGCCCGCTGCTGCTGCTGCGTCCGCCTCCGCCACGCCCACTGCTGCCGCGGCTGTCGACTTCTTCGGGATAAAAAAGGAGCAGAGTCGCCAATAATATACACACGGTTAATACCGCTAGTTGAGCCATTTTTTAATTATAAGTTATTGCAAGAAAAAAAGCACCCCATTAAACATAATTATCTGTAGATTATAATGTGCTTTATAAATCTCGTGCATCGCGTATCGCGCTTAATAACAGAAATGAGCGGGCTTTGCTGTGCGCCTGTACATTTATATATAACGCTTTTACTTATACGGCCGCTGGCTGGAATATTATACTTAACGTACGCTGTAAAACCGAGGCGGCGTCTCTCACTCATATTGCGGCTGACGTTATTTGCATTCTTTCCGTATGATTCTGATTAGTGTTAAGGAGAAAACGCTGCCGAACAGGTTGTCGGCGTATTGTGCCGGCCGCGGTGGCACCTTGCATGAGGCAGAGCGAAGCGCGTCAGTCCGCTGATTCAGCGGCCGGCTTGTCAGGTTTTACGCGAAGCAGCTAGCCGGTTGTTCGCAGGTGTTTTTTGTACCGGCAACACACCTTGCCGCAGTGCGTATAATTCTGTTGCTCTACCCACATTTTCTGCGTGTAGATTATTTTATAACACGAATAAACAAAACGATGGTGGCTACTCACAAGTTAGGTGATTACAGAATGTGTAACCGTTCTTCGAAGGCGCGATTTAAATGCCAGTTCTGCGTGAATTGGCTTCGTTCTCACTTTTACGTGTACGTTTAAAAAAAACCACTTATTGTATATTCATTAGTCATTACAGTATAAACCATTTTTCGTTTCTGCATAATATTGTATGTGTATTTAACGTAACGAATATTGCAGATTATTTTATTATTTAAATTAAAATATCGTCAACGTTTTCTCAGAGCACTCCTTAATTTTCCGACAAGTTATAGAAAGCACAGAAAATAATTTACGGTCAGTTTTGCAGATGCGAAAATAAAAGCAGGTCCACGACAGTTGTGCGCTATCACGTTGACAGCCGAAAAAAAAGAATGCTCGACACACCATCCACACAGTAGGAAAAAAGCACTGAAAGGTCACTTGCAGCCGCACCGAACCTGCGCATGAGTTAAAAATTAATCGGCAATAAAAATGATTGTCGAAGAAAAATTCTGCGGATGCGCGTAATCCAGCTACAGCGATAATTATAATGTGCATGAGGTACTTTTCTATTTTTTTAAATATAAGTATTAATAAAAAATTAAATTGTTCTTTTTTTGTTTACCATTTTTTAATCATTAATTACATTACAAATAAATTTATTAATGCGAAATTGTATGGCCCCGAAAGCCTTTAATTTAATAGCCACGTACAAAGCAACAGGTGGATACAAGGGAATCAACTGGGTGGTCACGGAAGACTACTCGTACGAATAACTGCGGTAATTTTACTGCGCTAAATACGGCGCAAGCCGCTGTCGGCCTGCTACTAGTATCATCGGAAAGACAGAGTAATGAGTGTGCGCACTGTACAACCTTTGCGAGACGGCAGTTGAATTACTCCACCCGTTCGTGTGACTGTGCGCACTGCAGTCACATGTCAGCAGCTGAATTTTTGCGAATGTTTTGCCTGAAAGCTGGAAAGCAGGTTCTGTTGTCGTGGAGACGAAGTCTCCTCCTTTCATTTCTCCCGACATTTGATCCAAACAGCGTGCGTGCCAGAGCATTGCATTTTCTTTGAGATGGTACCATCGTTTTGGCACTTGAATACAGCTGTATTGCATCGAATGAGCATAGCAGGCACATAGGGAGGAAAACTGTGTAACGGTGAATATTGATTAGTATTGGTGTAACCAATACTCTCACAACTATTTTGGCTACAAACATACGATTATGGCCAATAGCCAAGACTGTCCAATAATGGCCAATGTTGGCCTATACTAACCAATAATGACCAATATTAACCAATACTGCCCAATAACGACCAATATTAACCAATATTGCCCAATGACGACCAATATTAACCAATACTGCCCAATAACGACCAATATTAACCAATACTGCCCAATGATGACCAATATTAACCAATACTGCCCAATATTGGCCGATTCTAACCAATACTGCCCAATAACGACCAATATTAACCAATACTGCCCAATGATGACCAATATTAACCAATACTGCCCAATAACGACCAATGTTAACCAATACTGCCCAATGATGACCAATATTAACCAATACTGCCCAATAACGACCAATATTAACCAATACTGCCCAATGCTGACCAATATTAACCAATACTGCCCAATAACGACCAATATTAACCAATACTGCCCAATGCTGACCAATATTAACCAATACTGCCCAATAATAGCCTATACTAACCAATAATGACCAATATTAACCACTTCTGCCCAATATATGGCCTTTCTAACCAGTAGCCAGTACTTTAGATATTCTGGCGACCTTTTAACTTGAACAGGCTTTAGCTTTAAACCTTTATCTTAGATTAATAACATAGACAGATCCAAAAAAAGCAATCAAGCTAAAATTGTTGACCTTTTAATTCGTAACGAGGACAGATCCGCAACACAGCAGCAATTTTTAGAAATTGTTACATCTTCGTCTACCATTGAAATGCAGATGCTCTCTTCCTTGCGCTAAAGATTGTTCCACAATAGAATTATGAATTTTAACCATTCGATTCAGAAAAAACTCTTGACGTTGCTTTCCCATCATGAAAGCGCTTTGTTTGTATTTACCAAATTTAGACAAGACTTGTTCGCAAGTTTCAGTGTTAAACTGGCAATTCAGACCATGAACGTCAAGTAATTTTGACGGATTATACACACTTTGACACTGCTTTTTGTGATTTCCAATGTGGAAGCGATCAATAATTTTGACCACATTTCGCCATAAATTGATTCCGCTCCCAGAAAACGGCAAGTCGTTTCTTGCCTGCAGCAATCCATCAACGTGGCAAATGTCATCATATGCAACCACAAATTTTCGCCGTTCCTCTTCGGTCCACTTTTCGTCATCTCCAATTTCCAGGAGCAAATACTGTGCCATTGCGTAAAAAACTTGAGAGGAAGATTCTGATCTGCAGAGTAATTTGCGGTTTAATTTATACTAGCGGTGATCGTTAACTACAGCATTGCACGAGCGCGAGCGCCAATACCACTGAGTAATGGTACTGGGTATGTGGTTTGGAAAAGTAAGCCATGACACTTTTCGTGGTGTTAGACAAATTTATGCTCTTAGCAATCAGCAAATTGCAGCACTTCGCGCTTCGCGCTCTGTGCAAATTATCCATAACTACTTAATGTTACCCATAAAGCGGTCGAAACGTCCGGATGATTCCAGCAGAAGAAACAGCAAACAGCCAACCTCTAGATCTTGCAATTCTGTATTTACGCAAGCCCCGATTCTTGTTGCAGGACGAGAACGACAGAGCAGTAACTTCTGTGGAACTCGAATTGACTTTAGTTTTTGTCAATAGCTTGAGCTCTTTGCGTGTTAATGGAAGATTGTTTTCTGCGGCAACACCTGCATGTCGTCCACAAAATAAAAGCCCTGGCAGGGGCTCTTCAGGGCAGTCAGATGGAAAATTCAGATCCCCGAAAGCTGGGTTTTTGGTCTGTAAAATGCAACGGATACATCGTATTATTATTTTAAACAAATTACCATTGGAGTTTCAGCTACATGCAGAAATTGCCTGCTTACTATTATTTTAAACGAGCAGGTCAAATGTGTAAGTTTCCAAATTCCATCAAATGAAGTGCAAAATCGGCAACCCTTCGCGAGACATTCAGTGGTGTGGATGTGGGGGTACAGACTTTGCCGATTCCACTCATTAAGAGACGGTAGGAGCAAATCGTAGTTATGTTCGGAAAATGGAGTCTTCAAAAGTCTTCGCTCACGGATTTCTGCTTCAATGTGAAACCGAAAAAAGGCCTCGGCAGTTTGTTTTCGATTGTAATCTGTAAATCAAAGATAATCTTTCGATTGGCGAATCAACTAACACAGATATAGACAAAAATACCTTCCGAAATCGCATAACTCCAAGCCATAGATGCTGCGAAACCTTGAAAACTGGAATGTTTCCAGTAACTGCAAAAAGGTTCCTATAAAAATAGATAAATAATAAAAAAACATGATGCCTTACATGTCAGATGTCAAGAGTCTGCACAATCGCCTTGTCCAAAAAACTTCATTTGACACAGCTACATACGCTCTTTCAGTGTCATAGAAAAAATGCCGCTTGGAATGCGAAATATTTTCTGGGCCTTTCAAGGTCGGCTCTGAATAAGTAGCGTAGGAATAGCGGGAGCCGCAGCGTTTGCACAAAAGCGAGAATTTCCAGCATTTTTTCTGCGAACCGTCAATGTCGTTCAGTGTGCACTAAAATAAAAATGTTCGATTCTTATACTTCTGCAAAATTTTATTTGTAGAAATTTCCTTACACTTTCTGAAGAGTCGTGATCTGTATAAAGCCGTGACAACGAGCCTGGCTCCCCGCTTCTGCTCTTGATCTTCTGTTTGCAACCCCACAAACAAACATTCGTTGGAGGCAGTAAGATAATTGGGTCCGCTTGGATGTTTGTGTATTGTTGGACGAGGAATAAACACGTATTCCTGATTTCCTCCATGATCGCGAAAAGCCGTGCGGTGTCAAGCTCCAGATAGTCAGATAATTTCTAAAAAAGAATTTCTGCAGGCGTTGAAACGTTTAAGTGTTTGTTGCACAATACCTTTGTGATTAAGCCATAATGTTGCTCAAAATTCGGCCATATTTGAAGTCCACGAACAGCTTTCCGTACTGCAGTTGCACCAAACTTTTCAAATAAGCTATCTTCACGAGATGTTTCATGTTGAGACATTTTTCTAACAAATGTTTGAATTTTATCGCAAATATCGTAAATCTGATCGCTGAATAACGGCCACAAATTTAAGGCCATTATAACGGCCATTGTTGATAAATAACGGCCATAACTTTAATCAAACAAGTAACCGCCTTCAGCAGTAGTTAACACAGTGTGATTGCAGTATCTCCCTATTATAATTCGTTAGCGTTGTTATTGAGAGCAAGCATTTGAAAGACGTCAAAAACAGAACATGCAATATTTCTTTAAAACAAAAAAATCAGCAGTTAGCACAAGTATACGATCCTTTCATATTTCCTGTGGAATAAAGCTCGTAATCAGCGGAAGACAGTCCAGTGCAGATTTTGTGGATCCATTTCAGACATTTTCGGCACAGCAACATTGCTCCTGCTTTTCTAGCAGAACCAGGCTTCGTTCTCTCACAGACCCCGCAGACGGCCTTCCTCTGTTCTTTTTCTTTTGGTGTAACAATTTCGCTAGAAGATTGCATCGGTTTACGTAGAACGCGTCTTCCGTTCGGGATGACGCTCGTGCTGCAGGTAGTCGCTGCGTTGTCACCTAGAATTTAAACTCATGAGCTAAATAATTGACTGATAGCATTCTATGGTGATCACCTAGGCCAAAGATTTCCATTGTTTTTGCAATGTCATCTGCAACTACTAGCTCGCTTGCCGGCAGCTTTGGGGGACAAACCGTTTCTTGAGCCGAGAGACGCTGGGGACCACACAAAAACCAATTAAAAGAGCCAAAATATTAAGTTCGTATCAGAATATCAGATAACTGTTTATGTGTTTGTAAAAACATTGTTTGATTATGATATTTTTACCGAGACTGTAGAATTTCCGCTGCATTCCGCCACAAATGCATCACTTCCAGCGTTCAAATCCGGCTGTCGAGGAACAAGTGTATTCGTTGTTGTCGCAGTGCTGGAGGATTTCTAAAAATTAATAAAGTCTATATAAAGCGCAAAATTGTTGATATAATTATACAAAATTTGTAAGATAATACCAAGACAGCTCCATTCCCGTTGCATTGCGCCGCTGGTGTACCACTGTCATCATTCAAATCCGGCTGTCGAGGCGCAGGATCCGAGGCGCCCGATGTGTCCGATTCCTAAAAGGGAAATGTTTATAGCATTCGGTGCTCATAGAGACAAAAGTTATGACATGATACTTTTGGGGTTCCCGTTTTTTCGCTTTCTTCCGCGCCGGTTATTGGAAGTGCTCTGAAAGACGACCATTATAGAAACGACTGCAATAAAAAAAATGTATATGAACTTCGCAATACTTACTTGGAGTTTGCCCGCTTCTGAGCTTGTTTCGTAGAAAAGCACTTCAATTCTTTGGGAATATGGTTTTGACGGCTAGCCTCTGTTGGATAAACTATTTGTTTACCTTTTTCGATAGCAAATAAATTTTTTCATTTTTTATTTAACATTTTAAAGTTTTTACCGTTCTCCACGAGAATCCAGCTGCTAGAGAAGTACTCCAATGGGATTAAACGCCCATGATAAGGTATCCCATCACAGAACCCATTCACGGTGCTCGCTAGCGTCTTCTTTCTGCCGTTCACTGTCCCACTGCACCACAGTTCCATTGCTTCCTCGGGACATTTTTTCAGAAGTGGTGCAAGGACTTCATTGACCGCTTCTTTGATTTTCAAAAAAGCATAAACGTGGGTAAGCCTAACGCCGACGCATTCCTTTTCCAGGGAATTGTTTTTAACTGGCCATGTTAATGCTTTATGCCAATCCTGTAATACCATCTTATTTGCCGGCAAATGTTCACACGGAAGAAAACAGTAAAGATTTATTTCAAGACATTCAAAACAACCCACCTGTTTAATTTGCATGTAAGCAACCATAAGCTCAACGAAATGACTGGCTACGCCTCCGAAAGGACTATCCAGTGATGGCTCATTGCTCAGTTGGATTTGCAGAATAGTGCGGCATTGAAAATTTTGGAAGTACTTTGTGTACATGCTTTTGATGGTTTCAATGGACGTCGTGCCTCCGCTGCTAGCATCCAGAGTATGATATATCTAAAATAAAAATGTATTAAACTGTGCGTCTGCGTCTTCAGGTAAATAGTGATATACAGCAGTTCCTAAGGCTGCGTAAAGCGCATATGACTCCGCGAGCCTATAACGTTGCAATCCTAATCCACTTTCTGCCAAAATATCTGTGAAACGGCTTCGAAAATCTTCGAAATGGTGTTTCAAAATTCTTTTGATAGGGTTATTCGACGCTGGATTGGCCAACACAGTAAGGTTGTTCGAAAAATTCCGTCGGGCTTCGTTGAACTTTGTCTTGAGTTCTTGGGTGAAAACGATGCCGTCTCGCAACGGATTGGGTTGTTCGAAAAGTACAAGCCGCTCCCGTGTGGATTCTCTGAAAAACAACGCCATAAGAACTTAAACAAACTCACTAAAAAGTCAATATTACTCAATTCCGTTCAAAAAGGCATGCATCGGCTTTTTGTTGGAGCAAAATATTAACGGATTTCCGGCATCTTTGATCCCGTTGTTCGTAACGGAACTACCGCCATCGAATGACTGCTTGACCCTCAGCTCCATCTTCACCATAGTATCAGGGTCCAAGTCAAAACAGAACACGGCAAAATCATGGATTTGGTTGACGATCTATAGAGACACCAATTCAAATTATTCCAATTCAAAGTATTCTTTAGCGAGCGTACTTGAGCACAATAATTATTATTTAAAAGCTTAGTAAATAAAAAAACAAAAACTTACATTTATACCAGCCCATGTGGTCCGGTTAAAATTCATCTGACTGAATGCGCTGACCTTATCATTGAGGTAGCCCAAAATAGATGATGCCCATTCGCACATTTTCGATTTGAAACATCTAGTGTCGCCGAAAATACACAAAACCGGCACGGCAAGAGACAAGTCATTTCGTATCATCGAATCGTGAAGTGGTTCCAATACCGCCCCTGCAAAAAAACTTCAATGTTAAGGGAGCCTTTAAAATAGTTTGAGCGTTGCAGTTTTACATAAACCCAAAACCTACCCAGTAACGAGCAAAACTTCAAGGCAAAATCACTTGAAAAATTTTCCTTGATTAAAAGAAACATCTCGGAACCGTGACCACCAAATTTTGCAGCAAAATCCGGTAGGCCCACTGAATTGTCCCAATAAAACTGGCTGCCCGGAAAAGTTGATGGATGGTACTCCATGGATTCGTCGTCTCCGGTGTACGTACCAATCGAATTGGGGCCAAGAATAATTGTTCTGCCATCATGTTGCATGCCGAGTTTTTTGACAATGTTTTTGTCGAGGGACTGGCCGTGCTTCCTATGGAAAATGATAATAAATACCAGTATTATATTATCAGATATTAGCATTTAGATTTTCTAGCCGAATTGTAGCTCACTTACACATAGAACTCCTTTTGCTTCTGCATTATGTATTCTTTGTAATACTTCCGTTCACTAATAGCCACGCCGCGCGCTGCTAATTCAGCGTCGGTTCTAAGGTATCTCTCGAAAGCCTCGGCGTTTGCCAGGTTGCTGGAGGGAACAGCCAATACACTAAAAACAACGTTAAATGTTGCAGCAATTCCATAAAAAAATTAAACAACAAGCGAAGTTACATCTGCTTCCTGGCGGAGGAGCTGACAACCGTCACCCGCCATCCGCCCCGTGCTGGCTCCGACTGGCAGATCAGTAGGTAGTCTAGGTGGAGGACAAAATTAGCAAAAAGCTTCCGATTCTTTTTTTTGTTCTTCAAGATGACAAATGTTTCGAAATTCCCCGTTTCATCCTGCCTTTCAGAAAATTCGGGATGATCCTGAAACAGTTCGCCGATATTAAACCGTAGTTTAAACCAAAATTTAATTTCAAATAAACACTCTAAACTGCCAGTAAATCACGCAAGTTTTGCAATTTCTAAAAATTGTTACATATTTACCTCGGCTTGTTCTTCGGTCTCCGTCTTCCGTTTAGTGCGATTCAGCACTGAATCGGTCTCATCATCGTCGGAGTCTCGCGATCGCGTCATCTTGCTGGTTACAAGATCTCTGAAATTAAGAAGAGAAAAAGGAAGTCACAATTTCAGTGTTTAACAAATATGACATTTTTACTACCATTCCGTATTTTAGAAAAAACTTCAAGAACCCATACTAAAAGGCAGCCACCGCTTAACAACTGGCTTTTGGTATGCCGATTAAGATCCGGGTATTTTAGATTGTGAGCGCTTTTTTTGTTTGCCATATTTCCCATACTACTTCTACGAGTGCTCAGTGCTTTACGGTCAGCGTAAGTGGTCATTGGTTGTTTTCGGACAAAATGGACGGCAACGATGTTTAAAATTACATGTTCCTTTTGATTTGCTTTTTTATTTTTATTTTTCGAATTTGATTAACTAAAGTTCCTTTCGATTTACTTTTTTATCTTTTATTCTTCGAATTTGATTGCTAATGAATGTCATTCAAAGATTAGACTTTCACGTTTTCCGAGTCGTGGGAAACCCCGCTCAGTGTTACTGCGGAGTCTATCACGTACGATGGGCCCAGTGCCGGTGCATTTATGCAGATTTTCGAATGCCCTGTCTAAGGGGGGAGATTATCGGAGCGTCGGCTCGATGTTGTCACCGCCGTTATCCTGTTCGGAACAGTCCTCTGTTAATAGCTGGGAATTGCCCGCAGCATCGGGTAGGCAATGTTGCAGACATGCACCCCGGTCTGCCGCCTGTTCCGGTACCTCAAGAACGAATCGCTGTGGCCCGAGAAAATTTTCATTTAATGCGGATTATCGAGAACCCAGCAGCAGGTTGTTTTTGCGGAAACTATCATGTGTTCTGGGAATGCGGCTGTCTGTTTGTTGAAAGAAAAATCCCTTGTGGTCGGCGTACTAAAACACCAGGATCGCACGAACCCCGCTGCTGCAACGACACCTATGAAGTCATTGTTTCCCATGTGGAAATAATTGGCGCCCGCCCCGGGTGCCTAGGACACTAGCGGAAACCTGCGTTAGTGAACGGATTTTCTGGGTTGTAAAACAAAGTTTTATTCTTAAGTTATTATGCGGCTTGAGTTTTTGGTTACGAGAATTGCGAAGCCGTTTTTCCGTCAGCAAAAAATTTTTTGTGTGATAAAACAAAGTTATATTGAGTTTTATTGCAGAGCTTTATTTTATTCTAGCGACTCATCGTTCTTAGTTCTTACATTTAAGTTACTTTGGTAACAAATACCAATGCGCCATGAAAGTTAACTATGCTTTCTGTTCTGCTAAGATGCATATAACATGTAAGATTTTAGTTGATTTTCTAAGCCGATAGTGGGAACGAATAAAATCGGTAACCTAATCTAAAATCGGAATTGGTAACTAGTTCTGACTAGTTCGCTCGCTTGACTGTACCAAGAACGTGCATTATCCTAGTTTTCCGCTGTTTTGTAAATAACACCACATCTGACATGCTCAGCTACACGTAAAAGCACGACTTCATACAATAAATTAATATAATAACATTATTATGTAATGCTCATGGGAACGTGAAAGGCAAAATTATTTCATCTGCCATGGACAATAAGAGGTATGCAAACAAAAATTTAACGAGCGCCGTACATAGCACTGCAAGACTGTTACAGGCACACTTTGCTTTTACTCGCATTTCGACCGCTTACAGAATACACTTTCTCGTTCCGACCACTGGTCTGCATTAGTAAATCATAAATTTTTCGATTATAAGTAAGTGGCAATTCATGGAAATCTTTAGGTTATAGTGTCGGCGATTTGTCGTGCGCTTAAGCATACAATAAACGGCAAAGAGCTCCACGCAGAGATTCTATGGTCTGTCTACGAGCAAACGAGAAAATGACTACAACTTTTCTTATTCGCCATAAATTTCCACTTATCTAAAATCAAAAATCTTGTAAATTTTTTCTGCATCCTTTAGTACATTGGTTGAGTGATATCTTTCCGTAATACATGGGGAATGAGCGTTTGAAGTGAGCGAATGATGTAGATTTAACAGTAAGCGAAAGCTGTGCTACGTAGGAAATAAAATCGCGCGCAGGGGAGTTTACTAATGCAGACCGGTGGACGGAACGTGAAAGTGTATTCTGTAAGCGGTAGTATACTACGAGTACAAATCGTTTTACGAAAGAATATGTGATTTTTTTAAATTTACACCCGGAAAAAGTGCCTTCGTAAGCGAAAGGTTGAACATTACTGTTGACCTTACCTTGATTTCCTCAGGCGGAGTCGCTTGAGTCTGCAGTATCCGGTTAGAATTGAAATAAGCTTGTATGGAGTACCACAGTCCTCAGTTCAATAAAATCTGGATGTTGACAGTTGTGGTGCTAAATATTTTCAGGTATCTCCAATAATAAAAACGCTGAATAAATTTGTTTTTAGAGGTTCCAGTACACAAACTGAGTTCCTCGCATTGGTTGTTGTTTGAACTTTTTTTCCATGTTGCTGTGATACATTATCACATAGCAATATTGGTTAGTATAGACCTACATTGGCCATTATTGGTTAATATCGGTCATTATTGGCTAAGATTGACCTCTACTGGGCATTATTGATTAATATAGACCATTATTGGGAAATATTGGTTAATATCGGTCATTATTGGGCAGTATTGGCTAATATTGACCTTTATTGGGCATTATTGGTTAATATAGACCATTATTGGGCAATATTGGTTAATATCGGTAATTATTGGGCAGTATTGGCTAATATTGGTCATTATTTGGGCAGTATTGGCTAATATTGGCCTTTATTGGGCAATATTGCTTAATAGAGACCACTATTGGGCAGCATTGGTTAATATTGGCAAATATTGGGCTATACTGATCAGTATTGGCAGTAATTGGCTATAATTGAGCAGTGGTCACACTACACCTACACTGGGAATGTCATAGAAAAAGTTTTCCTCCGCGTGTGCCTGCCCTCCGAATGAGTGGCATTCTGCTGGGTAGTTGACTAGTGGGTCGCGACTGTAAGTTATAAGTAGGTTATTAAGTTGTCTGGTGTTCTCTGTGTTCTGTTATCCCTCTCCGTTGTCTTGGCAGCACCACGCAGCGCTTCTTTCGCGAGATGTGGTCGGGTGCGCGGGAAGCCCATTACGGGCTGTAAGGAGAGAAGCGGCTCACGTACAGCGATAAAGTCTTTCATATGATTTCAGCGTATTGCGCCGTGGGGCAGTGGTACTGCCTACCGCGGATCTAACGACGTAGCCGGGGTTCGATGCCCCCATCGGTGCATTTTTCAGCCGTTTCTCGGTTTTCCTCGGATTGCGCCCTGCTGACAGGGCCGTGTGTGGTGGTGCAAAAATGGTGGCTGGGATACGGGCAGGGTGTCTAATTACATTACTTTGACGTCCTGCACGTATCCCAGCCCCCATTGACGACCAAAGCCAGTTCAAAGGACAGGATTTCCTCGTGGACTTCCATGACAGCACCGTCCAGGCCCAGTGGTTGCCTTCCAGCGCTATTTGGCCGCATCATTCCTGCTACAGTCAACTCTGGGAGATTGAACATCTGCGAATATTGAACACCAGGGTAGGAAGTTAGGAACCGTAGTGTCTCGTAGACTGCGAATTCTACTACGAATATTGAACAGCTGCTTTACATTGAACAATTTCGTAGGAAACGTACTTAGGTGTTCAAATTACACATGATTTCAAATTACACAGGCTCTATCATGATTTGCAAGAGGCCCAGTGGCGAATCTAAACCCTTTTTTTGGCAGCGCACCGTAACGACTAACGCATTAAAATATTAGGGGCTTTGCGTTGCAACTTGTATGTCACATAAGTTTGCACCCGTCTATATAAGTAAGACTTCCGGCCGTCGAAATTGGTTTGTGCGTATGGCTTAAAACGAGCTGGTGTGCGGCGCGCGTGTAGATGTGACCAGCTCGCTCATAAACACATAAGTAGCCGACCTGACTGCCAGTCAATCCCCAAAACTTGCAGCACGCTTCTTTCGTTTGCCTCTCAACAGAACTTCCCAATCGATATATCAAAAGATAGAATTAATTTTCAAACTTTTTGGTATATAGTGGAAATCTATGGCAAATCAAGAAAGTTATGGCTGTTTTGGTTTCTCGTAAACAAAGCATAGGCCCGTGTGAGGAGGCGTTGCTTGCATCCTATGCTAAGTCTATGAGAAACTAAAACAGCCATAACTTTCTTCATTTGCCATAGATTTCCACTGTCAAAAGTTTGAAAATTAATACTCTATCTTTTGATATATCGATTTGGAAGTTCTGTTGAGAAATAAACGAAAGACGAGCGTTTGAAATTTCGAGATCCACTGGCAGTTCGATCAGTTTCGTGTATGTATGCATGCTAGGGGGTGGAGTTACATACATACGCGTAAGGCTCTTACGAGTATGCATTTTTGGCACCGCCCTCACCCAAGCACAGATCTAATTTGCGCGGCAGCGAATCGCCGCATTGTGGGTTCGGCCATGGCGTAACTTGTATTGATGGGTCCTTAGTTGTGTAGCATACAAGTAGCAACGCAAAGCCCGGATTATTTTCATATAGGTAAGTACACTAAAGTAAGTATATTCCTTATTTTGCTCTTCAAGATGTAATGAGCAGGGGGTCACTGGGTGGATATTTTTTCCGCGGGTTGCCTGGCTACCGATTACCGCAGCAAGCCTACGTCCACAAATCGTGAGTGTGGAGTTCAAATCATGGGTGCGCACAATTGCTAGGTGCGGACAGTGCATATCTGTGAGACTGCGGCTGTGGATTTTTTGTCATATTATTATGTTTCGTTCTTAAGGAAAGTGACCTACCAGATCATTGATCATGGTTTTTACACGGGACCACCGTTCTGATATTTTTTTAAATGAATTTATAATTGTTGAAATCCATGGTAAAATTTGAAAAACATGATTCGGTGTAAAAACGATTTTCATACTTACGTACATTTAAGTGCGAAATTTAAAGCAGATCGGTGCAAAATGAGACTTTTGGTACGCCGGAATGCGTTTGAACTTTTTGGAATTTCCTTACAGCCATAACTCCCGAACCGGTTGCTGCGTGCACAAACGGTTTTCACGCCAATGTATATCCAAAGAACCTGGCTAGAGAATGTCATAAAACAAAACAAACAAGTGTTTGGGGGTGCGAGAAAGCGAAGTTTTTGTGCATGTAGACGAATGTGATGCCATGTACCGGGATACGATACTTTCCTGAAAACCAGGAATGCTCACAAGACGTAGAAAAAATGTCCTTAAATGAACCGTCGGCGTGCATTCTGACTGGTGTCGATTTGTACAGTCAGCTGCGTTTCTCCAGGCAAGTTCGCACCCGCACTACTCTAATGGCATTCCCAATTAAATGTGTTATACAGATGCAACATGGAAGCTGTATCAGCAGCGTGAGCGACGATGTTGTAGTCACTTTCCCTGTTTTGTCAACCAGTCGCTGATGCTGCGTCGCACCCGGACAATGGGAAGTGTGACATTTCGCCGCACCCAGACTCGACGCGCGACTTTTCGCCATGAAGACATTTCGCCACCGGACATTCGCACGCTTGGACATTTCGGCTTCGGACATTATGCTTTGAGACATTTTACCTTTGCGACATTTCGACGCAAGACATCTGGTCGCGGCCATTTCGTTTCGGGACTTTTCGAACGATGCGAATACTCGCCGCAAAACTAATTCACCGCGCTTAATTCTCACTAGATTTTCAGTTTTTTTAGGCTTGTTCTTAGTTTTTTTAGGTTCCTTAGACTATCTTTAGGTCTTCTTATGGTTTCTTAATTTTCTTAGGCTTCTTAAGTTTTCTAGGTTTGTTAAGTTTTTTAGGTTTCTTTGGTTTCCTAGGTTTCTTAGGTTTTCTTTGGTTTTTTTCTTAGGTTTTTAGGTTTCGTTTGGTTTTGTTTTTTAGTTTTCCATTTTCTGACTGTTTTATTTAGCTCAGTAAATCATTTATCCGATAGGCGAAATGTCGCTTCGTCGAGATATCCTTGCGGCAAAATTTGCTTGCGTCGAAGCTGCCGTGCGACGGAAAGTCGCGCGACGAGATGGCCTTGCGGCGAAATGTCTGCGACTAAAAGTCCTGCGACGAGTTGTCGGCGGCGAAATGTCGCGGTGCCCGTATGTTCCGCGTGGAACCACTGGAACGGGATGTACATCCGCACCACCGAGGGTCTCTTACCGGACTTCCTGCTCACCAGCTCGGACAGGTATACCGCCGTCGATATGGGCGTGATCCTTCGGGCCGCCCCGGCCCAACTCAAAAGCAAGAGATAGAGAATACGTACCAACAAAATAACGATGGTTCATCTCACTGATTCTCACAGATTTCCCTGGAATTTCGTACGTTAATCGGCAGTTTTTATAGTGAAAACTTCTCTTCCGTGCGCCAGATTAATTGTGGTATTCCTGCTGCCTGGGTACGTTGCGCCAATGGCCTTAGAACTACACACGGTACGCATTACTGTACAATGCGGAGTTAAGCGCGTTGAGGGGAAGTTATCGTGAAACATGACTCTATAGCGGGAAGTGTTGTATATCGCGGTACATGTGATACTTCACGAGATTATTTATAAAGTAGCTGATGATATTGTTATAATGTATTCTGTATTGTACGTTACGGCACTGTTTTTTTTTACCTTTCCCGATTTAGCAAAGCCGCTTCTACTCTGGAGATCAGGGAAATTCGCTGGTTTCGATTCTGCAGTCCGTTTGTGGCAGGAATACAACCTCGGCCCGTAAACTGAAACTGCTAATATCCTTACGAAGTCCATGTACCCACAGCACAGTAATTAAAAAAACATTTCAATTCTTTTCCGCATTTTCTCATGAATAATTCCCACACCTACCGTACGTGTGATTTCCGTTGGCAGCATTTCATAGGAGCTTTCAGTGTAATTAAGCATTTGTATTATTGCGCACGAATATGGGCAGTTGCATTGTGCGATTAGTACAACAATGTGCATTCGGCGTGACGATGTATGCTCGATCAAATGTCGACGATAGCCCGCTTAATCAAAGAGTGAAAATCACAGTATAAAGTGCGACGTACAAAAACTTTGACAAACTGCCACCAGTTGCGTCTGCAGTAATGCCTGTCGCGAGGCAATTAGAAATAATTCACAATCGTAATTCGGTAAACGTGCCTTACAACTGCAAATACATAATCAAAAAAATCACTGTGCAGGCTTTTTTGGAACCTGTCATAGCCTGATGGTGCGCTATCCCACCGGCATCCGGAAGAGGAAAGGCATGCTGTACACGGATATCCAAAGGGACAGCAGTATACAGTTAAAGGTCACGGGCCATCGCACCGAGCCTATGCAAGCGCAAAGTAGAAAAAAGTAGAAATACGAGTAAGTACAACGGCAGTACAAGGTATCCGCCGGCTGTCGGCGGGCCATCAGGCAGCTTTCGTACCGGAGCGGTAAGGATAAATCCGGTTGGAATTGTCGCCCGCGGCGTCCACCACCTGCGGCACTAGCGGCACCGCGGCCGACCGCCATGTGGTGCTGTCCTCGGTGGGTACTGCGTCAGCGGCAGACAGGGCCGACGGACGGTTATTCGCGTAATCAAGCTACAGTACAACAATAATTACTATGTACGTGTATTAACTGATCTCATAATAATTTTGAATTATAAATAAGAATAAATATATATGTATTTTTTCTAATTAATTTGTTAATTACACGATTTATTGCTGTTTTGGTATTTTATTTGGTTGGTATAATATTTGCCTATGTGTACGTACAAGATTGCTACCGACGGGTTCGGCACACAGATAAAAATTGCGCGCCAGGACCTGCAGATTGGTCAGTTCGTTCAAACCGCAGCTGGTCGTCGTGGCGCCACGGAGGCACTGTGATATATCGGGATTCAGGTGTTTTCTATCCAACAGCAATAACCGGTTACATTTTCATTAACCCGGCCGGTTGAATGCCATAAATAACTACTGATAAATCTGGTATAGAATAATAAATATATTTGTGCAGTCGACCTTTACGACACCCGCCCAGTGATGGCTGTTACGCGAGTAATGCGGGTCGATAATGATACGTACCGGCATAGCTCTTCGTTGCCGAACATGGAGTCCTCGTTGTGCAACGCGGTCGTCTGCGCGGCGTCTACGGCAAAGTCCAGACACGGGTACAACGACGCCGGCCAGTTGTTCAGGCGCTGCGGGTCGCCCAGGCAGGCCTTGCTCGCGCTGACGACGTCTGCAGCAGAAATATGCCGGTTAAGCAACCGGCTATATACGAGGAAGATACCGGCTCGTATTAATGCGAAATAAGCGTTGTGCAATATACCGGAGAAAAGGTCCGAGGTGTCGCCCGCGGGGCTGGCGTATTTGGCCAGCAGATTATTAATACCTGTGGTTTAATTTATCTTTTAATAAACACGTTGCGGATACAAGACATTCTGCTGCTTACTGATAACAAATGGTTCGTCCACTTCCGGTGCATTACTCGCATTGGATCGATCACAGTCCACATCGAATGCCGACCGAACGCCCTGCAAAAAATAGAGTAGGGTAATACATCCATAAACGGACAAATTTATTCAGTTTGATCATTAACTCAATTTAAATTAAACGTGTGGTTATTACGTTCTGGTCTTTCTGGGAAAATCCACAGATGACGGCCTTCTTTTCCTGTATTGGTGCAGCGGCGCGCTGGGCACCGGCGTATCGGGCGCGCGGGTTGGGTGTGCGGAAGCCGCATTGGCTGACGCTCAAACTGCTGTCCAGTTGGAAGACATCCGCGGACACCGGCAGGTCGCCGTACGACTGCAGCGTCCCGTTCAAAAGTTCAAACATAAACCTACACAAATTATATAAAGGTCATCCTGAATATACGTATATATCAAGAGAATAAAAAATGCTCGTACGGTACGTACAACAAACACATGTGTACATGTGAAATAGGTATACGAAAATATATACAAAAGGTCATAAAAAATACATAGGTACATGGCATACGCATATAAAATATGCACATAAAAAGATAAATTATATTTACATACTGATAAAGGTGGACAAATATATGTAAAGATTATCACAAAATTACATAATTATAAAGTTTACCGAAAAATATAAACACAGGCCACCAAAACGTATATAAAAGCCCATTTCAAAAGGATATAATATAAACGTTTCGAAGGTATACGTATATAAAAGTCACCCTTAGCATATACATTTTTTAAAAGCGAAATTTCTGTTGTACGAACTACTTAGATTAATGCTGCGCCTACTTGGCTTTGTCGGTAGACGTTGCACCGGAAACGCTGTCGTTGGAAAGGAACTGCAGCGCCATATTGGGCAGCTCGCTAAACGGCAGCTCCATATTCCAGCGCGCCAGTGCGCAAAAACTCTTGGACTTTGCTACAGGTGCCGACGTGGTGGTCAACGGAACCGCCGTGCCGGGTGCATTGACAACCACCACCGGAGAGGGCGGCGGGTACGCGTCGTACGTATCGTACGGGCGGTAATTATAGCGATACGGAACATAGTAGTTATAATAATCATAATCGTAGTAGTAATGGCGTGACGAGCCGGACAGCATCCGCCCTAGGAGGTAGCCGTTATAGAAGCCGCCGTCGCTGGTGACCACGTAGCTGCTGGGTGTGCGGTAGTTGTTGATGACGGTGACGCCGGGGTTAGTGATGACCGGGACCACGCGGACCGGTGCGGCTTTGCCGGGGGAGACCAGCGGCCGATTGGAGGCGCTCTTGACGGCCGCTTTACCGGCGGCGGCGTAAGCGGACGCCGGGCGACTGCCGCTTGGGGCGCTGCTGCCCCATTTACTGGAGGATGGCGCCGGAGAGGGGACCCGGTACCAGCTGGATTTAGGCGACGCCGGAGGTGAAGATGGGGGAGAGGGCAGCCACCGGGAAGTCCAGGAGGACGACGGAGGGCTGGAGACGCGGGAAGGCGGTCCGGAAGGCTGGGACGTCCCCCATTTGGACGAGGACGACGGTGGGGATGGGTTGTACCGGGAGGGTGTCGGCGGACTGGACCACGGAACGCGGGAGGCGGAGGAGGTGGGTCCGGCCGGCCGGGAGGTGCCCCAATTGGACGGGGACGACGGTGGGCTGGACCAGGAAGACGGGGATGGGCTGGGACGGGAGGATGACGGCGGACTGGACCACGAGATCCGGGATGATGGGGAAGGTGGGCTGGACCAGCGGCTGGAGGCGCCAGAGGGGGCGGAGCTGCCCCAGCGGGAGGAGGACGACGGGCTGGACCAAGAAGATGGTGAGGGACTGGAGCGGGAGAAGGACGACGGGCTGGAGCTGCTCCAGGAGGAAGACGGCGAGCTGGAGCGGCTGCTGCTGCCCCAGCTAGAGGAAGACGGGGAGGATGGGGAACTGGACCAGCTGCTGCTCGCCCGCGCGCTGCTTACCGCGGGCGGGTGCCGGGTCAGCAGCAGGAGGAGCGCGGCTAAGGGAATTCTGGACATAATACCGGCGAACCGGTGTTTGTTTACTGCAACGTCTTTGCGCAGCAACGAAATAAAACGATCTCTACTGGCAACGGATGCGTGATGCGATGCGCAGACTGGACTCTATCCAAAGCGAGCGTATGAACGCTGAGTCATACCGCGATAGAGGAACGAGAGAGCAAGTGTGGCTCCAAAAAATTTCCGGGCACAAGTGGCATAAAAAAATCCTAGCGCCGATAAATAAATGACTGGGAAGGAAAAAATTCCGGCAGCCGTCATTTATTTCTGTTGCTGTTTTTTCAGCCGGCTGCATATGCAATGCGTGTGAAATTTTATGCAATAAACCGGTGAGCGTTTAAGCATTTGGTGCATTAATGTGTACGAGAATTGTCGTAAATGTCGGCATTTTGTAAGCAGAAAAACCACGCTGATCTCTCGGAACCGGTATTGTAAATGAGCGTGATGCAATGCGAGGTGTACGGCGCAGAAAAGACGACTGTGAGAAATGCCGGCTGAATTCCACGTGTAATTATACAACACACCCTTCAGTGCTAAACCAGCCAAATATGAATAATAATTTTGCATCTGTACGCGGGCACCGCTGCACGTGCCGGCTGCAGGTTGAACTTTAATTATTAACCATAATACTGTATTAATTTGTAGGACGAATTTTTATCAGCAGCTTGCAGACGCACCGGTATCAAAGCCGTCAGCCGCGTGTGCGCACTATTCAACATATGTACTGTAAGTATATAAATTATGAACATCAGATTATGCACATTAAATGAATAATTAATTAGCATATATATACATAAATAAATATATATTGTACATTACGTATAAAAATTAAATGTACATTAAATGTGATAATCAAGCGAGCGAGCGAAGCGAGCGAAGCGTTTTTAATTTAAAATGTGTGACGTGACGAACCGGAGAGCCGGGTTCCCGGGGTCCAGGGGCGAAGCAGCTGGCCGGGGTTTGGGGCGGAGCCCCAATAAGCAGGGGGTGCGGGGAGCGCAGCCCCCGCTGAAACAATTGAGAAGGTAGTCTAAAATTCAAAACCTAACCGGGTCATTTTTGACGAACCCGCCGTAGTAATGTACCGGGGATCCGGAAATTTGGACCCGGGGCGGATCTTTTAGCGACCCCCTGGTGGAGTGTTTTTGGGGAACCGTGACGTAAATTATAACCCGGCCATTATTGACAAACCCGCCGTAGTAATGTACGGTGGGTCCGGAAATTTGGACCCGGGGCGGATCTTTTAGCGACCCCCTGGTGGAGCGGTTTTGGGTAACCGTGACGTAAATTATAACCGGCCATTATTGACGAACCCGCCGTAATAATGTACGAGGGGTCCGGAAATTTGGACCCGGGCCAGATTTTTTTAGCGGCCCCCGGGTGGATCGTTTTTGGGGAACCGTGACGTAAATAATAACCCGGTCATTACTGACAAACTAGCAGTGATATTAGGGTGGTCGTAAAATTTGGACCCGTCAAGGGTTTTTTAACGACCCTTGGTGGGTGTCGTTTTAGGGAATTGACGTTTGGGGAAATACTTATACGTTTTTCAATCTTACATACTTATGCATTTTTATGCAGAGTCCGCCGTACAATTGTAGAAGTAGCTCGTTTTATGGACCCGGTCCGAAAATTTTACCCGGTGTTGGTGGTGGGGTGTTTTATTTTTACTGGTCCCGTAACAGGTAACTTTTACTATGAAAAGCTTTCCCAACCATTTCGAAATGCTATCAGTAAAATTACCGTAACCGCAATAAGTTACTTTAGACGAGGATTACTGTTATCATAACAGATTATTTTTTATGCAGCGGGTGATCAATACTAAATTTCTATAATGATTAATCCATAGGGTAACGGGTTACCCTTACCGCAACCAGTTTTGTAATGGATTACTATGGCGGGATAAGGTCATTGTAACCGTTACCGTAATGGATTACCGTGCATGTTTTTGTCACCGTTTCGGGTTGCTGCTACCCTTTTCATAAACAAATGCCTTAATAAAACGCTTTTACTTTAATGATTAACTGCTTTTATAAAGGAGCTGAGGGCGCCGCCGAGCTGCAGCGCGAGCAATCATTTGATTGTTGCTTAAATAAACTGAATGTAAAAATCCTGAAAAAAGATAACCTGAAATGGATTCAGAATGACTAACACCGGTATTCATCGAGGATGAAGTACAAAAATTTGCGCTCACGAAATTGCAAGTTACAAATTTGTTTGAAGGGGTACGCTTAAGAAGCGCACATTCGAGAAGATGTAAAATTCTAAACAAAATCAAAAGGGTAAAATTCTAAACAAAATCAAAAGGATTCTAAGGCTTCTGAGCAATTGTTCGAAATGGTTTTGAAGCGTTGCCATAGCGAAACATCTATTTAGGAAACCCAGCGAAGCCAGGAGTCATTACTACCGTTACTAACGTTAACACTGTCACCTGCATTGCCACTGTTGTTTTTCATAATTATTATGATGGTTCATCGTTGCGTGTTACCGCTACCACCGTTACTACTCAAACCAAGCGTTACCAGTAATAAATGTTACCTCTGCCTAACTGTAACAAGGTACCGTAACTGTGTCAGTTTTTGGTAGTGACGTGTGGGAGCTACACACATCCGTACGTACTTCTAATTACTGTAATTACTGTACGCCTTTCTCCTACGTCACTGCGGTTGTTCATTATCGCTATCTGTGATTCGTCTGTTCTCATCTTGATAGCGATGTATCTCGTGCTCCTAGAAGTCTATATAAGATCCTGCTTCCTGTGTTTAACGTATCAGTCTCGATCATTCTTGACTGGTAACTTGCTTTTAACTTTCCTGGTGTTGTGCATATGATTGTGTGTTAGCGAAGTAAAGCATCTTCTGTGATTATCGACGTTCGTAATTTGTATCGGATTATAGCGTGGTAAACACGGTATGCTCGTGCTTCGTCCGACCCGCATGTGTAACGACCGGAGGTTAGAAGTTATCTCAGCACAATTGCTTAGGGATTCCTGTAGGTTCGTGTTCCTGATTAGTTCCGTCCGTATTTACTGTAACAGTTGATTTAGGAGTTGTTCTACCCACTGAGCAAGGGAGGGATAGTGACTACGGCGATCCCGTTCGGAGAGCTATTAGTTAATCGCGTACTTCTTAGTACCGTTGGCAGTAATATAATACGACATGGCGCCCACCGATGGTTCGTGATTTTCTTGATGTTACAGTAAAATTGTGGATGGTATGTTACGTGTGAATGTGTGTGAATGGTCCGTAGAAAGGCGTTGAACCGTATGGTACGCCGAAGGAGGTCAGCGTTCCTGATCTGACCTAAGGTTTTTATTGGGTGAGCTTCCTCCCCGGGCTGAGCTTCCTCGCCCAATAATTAGCTGAGCTTAGTCGCCATATAAATTATAATTAAAATCGGACCGAAGTCAGCAGTAAATTCACAGTCGAAACCTTAAAGGTCGACTGTGTTGGCGGATAAACCGCGTAAACTGTGGGTAATTTCCGGGTTTGTCTGCGCAAAGCAGTGATCGCGGTGAATAAAGCAGATCTGCAGTGTCAGCGTGCCTGGCTGCAGTCGGATTGTAAACAGTGATAACGCAGTAGCCGAGCCATTGTCAGTGGCAAGGCTAGATAAAATCTTCACTAGCTGCACACAAAAGGCAAGCCGTAATCGGTAGCCTGATTGGCAGTCAGTGATAGCTGGCTAGTAAAACGTAAACAATCCAGGCAGTCGGTGACTGACCTGAGACAAGAGGAAACTAAATTTTAATTGTGGAATAACCGCAAAGGTTGTCCATAGTAATTAATTATAAGGATACTGCAGCAAATTGCGGTAGTGGTCAACGTCTGAAACCTTAAAGAAGAGACGTTGCTTTTGTGAACAGTAGCACAATAGCTGCTTGTTTGGGCACAATAGGCGTAGTGTACCGGAAGCTTTATTGCTGCTGTTTTCTTTCATCGAAACCTTAAAGGTCGATAAAAGAAAAATCGGACAATAATGTCGGATACAGTGAAAAAAAACACTACCCAGCTGGTCACAATTGACCCGAAGCGAGTGATATTAGGCCCCTGTGAGGCAATATCACAACAGAAAATATTCAAATTTAATGCGGAAGTAATTCCTTTGGGACTGATGTACGAGGTACTAGGAGTTGAACCTCCTAGCCAGCCGAAAGCATTTTGTGGAAAAACCTGGATTGAATACCAGGAAATCGGACAGTTTTCGAACCCGAAACCGAGAGCACCGTTCTACTACCGTGGTTGGGTAGAATCAGAACAGTGTATACCGGAAGCGTACCTGGAAATTTCAGACGAAGAGTTTCAGGAAGCGGTTAAACGGGCATATGAACAATTACCCGAGTATAAAAAGAAAACGGAAGAGCGAAAAGCAGCAGTATCTGCAAGCGAGCAGCCGCAGCCAATGGAATCGACTCGTCAAACACGAAGTACGCAGGATTTGTCTAGTGGAAATGCACTGACAGAGGCGGTTGAAAATAAGGCACAGGAAACTAACATTCCAGTTGATCAGCTCAACCTTTTGGATGATCAGCGGGAAGTGGTGTCAGATGGCGCAAAGCCTATAGATTTTTCAAAGATTTCGAGAAGAGAATCAGTAGTACAATCGCCGATATCCGGTGAAGAAAATTTCCTGTCAGCGCCCGGTTCACCGGAACATAGTCAGTTAAATCAGGCCGTAATCGGCCATACTGCTGAAGAGTCGGAAGTGATGGTAGTTCATCCTTCACAACAGTATTTGAGAAAAATTTTGGCGGAAACAGATTTCGCTCCTCCCGATAACGCATTTATGGAGAAGGTGGTGCAAGTCGACAAAGCACTTGAAGCGACAGAAACGGATAATGATGTTGCGCAAGTTGCACGGCAGTCAAGCGGCACGATGTTTAAGAGCATTCGCAAACTCATTGGCTCTTTCAACAGCAGTGTCCAGTCCATGGGTCAGATCCGGCAGTTGAACACTGACCTGGATCAAGAAAAGAAGGATAAAAATATTTTTCGCGCAAAGTATAATGAGACGCGAGTTAAGTTGAATGAAGCGAACGAAGAAATATTTCGTTGGAATGAGAAAGTCCGGTCAAGCGAGAAAAATCTGATAAATTACCGGGATAATATAAAAGATTTGAAAGCTGAACTGGATGAAATATACAAGGAAAGAGATTTATTAACAGATGTGAATCGCAGATTGGAAACTCACCTGGAAGATACCGGAGGAGAGTTGGATGAGTTTCGCAACTCCGAGCTGGCACAGTCTCAGGATGTCCAGTCTAGTGCCACTCTAAAAAATGAAGTATCGTCGTTAAAAGCTCAGCTCGATCAAGTCCAGGACGAACTGAAAACTGAAAAATATAATCACGCTAAAACAACGAGAAATTTTAATGATGTGGCGCAGCAGCGTAAGAAATTTTGGGATGAGCTGCAAGAATGGAAACAGAAATTCGTACCAGAGTCCGAACGGGTGTCCAAGTTGGAAGAAGAGTTAGCGATTTGTCGCTCTCAAAACGATTTCATGCACCAGTCGGCGCGTACAGTGTTGCCAGCAACCTGTAAAGATAATGAAGAAGCATTACAGGCACAAATAGCGCAATTTAAAATTGATTTCGCGAATGAAAAACAAGCGAAAGAAAAGGCGCAGAAAGACTGTCTGCTGCTAAGAATAAAAAATGCGCAGCGTGTGATTCGGCAGTTACAGCCAAGGAAAAAGCGCAAGCTGCTGCTTTTGAGAAACAGGAAGAAGTCACCCAGTTGCAGAGAGAAAAAATTCAGCTAACAACGGCTCTTCGTGAGGGTGAACAAACGGTTAAAAATATGCAAGCAGAATTTGCTGGTTTTCAGCAGGAACTAATGCATTACCGAAATTAGAACGTGCGCTATGGCGGTGGTCAAGCAGTTCATCAAGCAGAAATACCTGTTGGCACGGGTGGAGTCCGAGTACCCCCGCGTATGTCGCAATATGACGGACAAAACCTTGGTCCTTCTGAGCTGAATTTATCCCAGCCGTATCAGCAAGTCAGCCCGCAGCAGGGTTCGGTAATATTAAATAACAATTCAGCTGTACCGCTTGTCCCGGTGCATCTGCAGTCGCAGCCACAGGCTCCTGTGCGTCCGAGTTCCGTTTCACTAGATGCAGCACGTCTGGAGAGTCGGTGGAGCGTTCGTGATAACGCACATCCGGTCCAAAATGTTTCCCCCGAAAATGTTGGTGGTGTGGGTAATACTCATCCAGGTGTTGTTGATAATGATGTACTCTCACCTCGTGGTGGAAGTCCCGTTTTGTAAACTCGTTCCAGTGCTCCTCTGGAAATTACAGTCCAGTCGTTAGTAGAGCATCAGAGTAGAATGCTGGAATATTATCGCTCAAAATAAAAGTTCTTCGAAAAGAACTGAAAAGCTTATGAATCTGCAGCGCTACGAAAATACAAAAAAATCTGGCCCAATCGACCAGTGGCTGAACAATGTCGATACGTGTATTTTGTCGAATGACTGGGATAACGAGAGGACGTGCAGAGAAGTAGCTGCTGCTCTCAGAAATAATGCTGCGATTTGGTTTAAAAAATTGTTTGAAGATAATCCAAACGAGCAATGGATTACCTTCTTCCGTCCCAAATTGTTGAAACATTTTAATTCGGCTGTCACGCCTGCCGAATTACGTCGCGAGATGAATGCTCGTATTTTCCGCGCCGACGACACAGTTGCGTCGTACACAGACAGTTTTCTGCACTGGTTTGAGGTACTGCAGATGTCTGAAGGAGAGCGCGTTGGTATCCTTCTGGATGGCCTAAAACAAAATAAGGAAAATTGGTTTACACAATTGTATCCACAAAATGTCAAAACAATGGATGAAATGATTTTGCGGTTACAAAAGTTAGAGACAATGGAAGTGTCTTTAATTTCCGAGAAAAAGAGTGTTGCGCCTAGTGATGTACAGAGAAATGGTAATTCTGGATATCGCGGGAATTTTAATAATAACAGTAATAACGGTAATTACCAGCAGCGTCAATCAAATAGGAATTATGATAACGCGCCGCAGTTTGCTTACCAGAATAATCACGGTACGATGTATCAGTCAGCAGTGACGCAGAATGGTCAGTATCCGCAGTGGCCAATGCAGTACGGACAGGCGCCGCAGCTTTCGGTTAATGGTAATATGCCCGTTCCGCAGTTGCAGAGCCCAAGTGGTAACTTCCCATTGAATGAACCTGTAAACAATAATGCCGGTTACAACCAAGGTTATTATCCGCCGAATAATAATAATCGCAAAAACAATTTTTACCGTGGGGGAAACAGTGGTGGTTTTCGACAACCGTACCACGGAAACAATAATGTCAACCAAAATTCACAGAATCCCGGTGCACCTGTAAAAAATCAGTCCGTATTTGATGAACGTAAAATTTATAAAGATAAATGGTACACGAATTACGGAGCTGAAATTTGTTACCGCTGTCACGGTTTACATTCGGCACATAGCTGCCGCAATGAGCTTGTTCTTCCCCGGTTGTATGAACCTAATCCGCAGATATTGGCACGGTGTAATGTTGGTCCACAGTCGCAGCAACAGGCAACTCCGTCGCGGGCACAGTGCAATATAATGGAGATTATGAAGATGAAGGTTTTTCCCGCTTCTGATGTCGTAACATCACCTGTAAAAAAGAATTGTTCAGTCAGTACCAGTCAAGTTTGTGGGGGTGGTGTCCATCCACAAAAGAAACAGAATACTGTGCAGACAAGTTTGTGGGGGTGCGGTAAAACAACTGCGCCTGTGCGTGATGTAAAACCCGGTAGTCCAAATGTTAGTCGTACAGCTACGGGATCCAGTCAAGTTTGTGGGGGTAAAACTTCGGCGAGTCCGCCTAAACAAACAGTGAACAGTGTAGAAGCGCAGTGTATGTTGATTGGAAATAAAAGAATTAATGTTGTACCTGTATCGGCTGATCACAGAAACGTTGACAACGTACACGAGCGTCCGAAATCACCGCGGTGCGTTCGCAGTCCGAACTCGTTGTCCGGGATGAAACCTAAGGAAAGTTCAACAGATGAGAACAGATGTGCGACGACGCAGGAGTTTCTCAATCTTCAGTTTTGGAGGGATGTACAGAAGCAGTGTGCAGATAGTAAAAGCTGGTACAGAACTCTCAAAAATCAGAAAAGAATACATCCGTTCTTCCTATCGCAGGAACTGATCAGTTTGTTTTTACTGAGGGATTGGTATGCCGAAAACCAGACCACAATGGCAAATCTCCGAAAATCTATGTACCTTGTCAGTGGCGTAAAGAGTTGATTACACGCTTCCATGAGATAATTGTACACAACCAAGTGTATGGTCCCAGTGTTGAATTGTCTCAGTTTCTAATGCAGCGGTATTTTTGGCCGAATATGGGTGTTGACATTGAAGAGTTCGCAAAGAAATGTACGGAATGTCGACCAAATGTCAGTGTTGTGCGAAGAAGTAGTGCGGCCGTCGTGGCGGAAGACAATGAGCCCGTAAGTTGTCAGCAGCCAATCTACAAAAAGAGAAAAATTTAATATTGATGTCCTGGCTGAGTAATGTCAGTTTCTCGTAAAAATATTCGCAGATTAACTTCCGGATACGTAAAACGTTGGTTTTGGTTAACAACCTATTTGAAAGATGTTAAGGTTTTATTATTAATAATAATTTTGTAACGGCAGAACTGCGTAATGAATTACCTACACTGGCAAGCAATGACGTGAACGTGCAACTTCGCAAGTAGCAAAGTGAGAGAATTTGTCGTTGCCATTTTGGGTGGTTGCCATCCTCGGATTGCAATCCGCACTGCTGACTGTCTCCCCGTTAGCGGTAGCCTGCAATGTACGCAGCAATATCCTGAACATATCCCAGCAAGTTGTTGACGAAAATTTTTGAAGTAAAACGCTTACCTGTTGCTTAAATCAAATCCAAAAAACGTAAGGTTTCTGGTGAAGTCTCAAACAGTCGTGGAAAATAATGTTGGCCACGAGATGTACAGCAAGCGCGACACAGTAGCATATCCCAGTGTTCTCTGCAGAGTACAGTATACTGCAAAAAAGTTGAAAACCTTACCTGTGAATGGATGTTGGAAAATCAGTATGGCAGGATATCAGCAAAATGTTGTTACGATAAGCTAGCCGCAAAACGAGGTTCCTGGTAGTCCATACGAATAGCGGTTGCGAGGTACCCGATAGCGCAGCAAAAGAACGACGGCAGACAGCATCAGCAGTACTGTGCAGTGGGTTCCCGATACGCACTACACAGCAATCCCGAAGATGTCTTTCCTTCCCAGCAGATTCCAAACAGACCAAAGAATAGCTTCTAATTTGGACGTCCCAAATAGTACTGATAATAATTTTGTTGAAAAATGCGTTCAAAACTGCACTATTTTAAAGCTTAAAATAACACAGTCAAACTGTTTAAGAAAATGGAAAAGAGTGCTTTGAAAGCGTGCAGTTTTCGCTACCGGAAGTGCTGTGTTCCGTGTAACTGCAGTACTGTGCGGTTGCACCTTGCTTCTTGGACGTGTTGCACAGCGCGTTGCATTTTCGTTTTTCTGTTTGTTTTCGTTTTGCTTTCTTCCCTTTGGACTTCGGACGCCTCCTGGATCTCCCGCCATGTCAATCACCGTGGACCTCCGGATGCCAGCAAGCGCCAAAGATCCCACCAAGTCACATTTCACTCGGATTAGGCGTACAGTCATTATGGGCACCGGATGGACACGTGTGGATTGCGCGGAGATGGATCAGGATGGAGCGTCGCACAATCACAGGATGGAACGGATGGATTTGTTTGTGTTTGCGGGAGCAAAAAAACCGTTTGTGGCGGTGACGTATGGGAGCTACACACATCCGTACGTACTTATAATTACTGTAATAACTGTACGCCTTTCTCCTACGTCACTGCGGTTGTTCATTATCGCTATCTGTGATTCGTCTGTTCTCATCTTGATAGCGATGTATCTCGTGCTCCTAGAAGTCTATATAAGATCCTGCTTCCTGTGTTTAACGTATCAGTCTCGATCATTCTTGACTGGTAACCTGCTTTTAACTTTCCTGGTGTTGTGCATATGATTGTGTGTTAGCGAAGTAAAGCATCTTCTGTGATTATCGACGTTCGTAATTTGTATCGGATTATAGCGTGGTAAACACGGTTTGCTCGTGCTTCGTCCGACCCGCATGTGTAACGACCGGAGGTTAGAAGTTATCTCAGCACAATTGCTTAGAGATTCCTGTAGGTTCGTGTTCCTGATTAGTTCCGTCCGTATTTACTGTAACAGTTGATTTAGGAGTTGTTCTACCCACTGAGCAAGGGAGGGATAGTGACTACGGCGATCCCGTCCGGAGAGCTGTTAGTTAATCGCGTACTTCTTAGTACCGTTGGCAGTCACATAATACGACAGTAGTGTATCCTGTCTCTTTACTGTGGAAACTAAAGGCGTAGCCGAGGGCGACGCAAAACGTGGCGCTAGCGAGCGCAGTAAAACTTACAAGCGGAGCTGCAAGTAAAACAAAAGGGCTATTGTTCCATTAATCTGAAAAGATTCTTCTTGCAGTTCCACTTAAACTTTTTGTTACTGTAATGATACGGTTGCAGAAACCAAAGGCGAAACCAAAGACAACGCCGAGCTGCGGCGCGAGCAAGCCCAGCGCAGCGAGCGAAGCAGCAAGTAAAACGAGAGGATTTTATTGTTCTGCTATTCTGAAGAGATTTTTCTTACAGTTCAGTTTAACCTTTTTTTTACCGTGATGATACGGAAGTGGAAACCGAAGGCTACGCCGAGCTGCGGCGCGAGCAAGCCCAGCGCAGCGAGCGAAACAGCAAGTAAAACGAGACGATTTTACTGTCCCGCTATTTTGAAGAGATTTTTCTTACAGTTCAGCTTAAACGTTTTGTCACATGATGCTAAGGTAGCAAACTACCGTTTCCACGGAAACCGAAGGCAAAGCCGAGGGCGATGCCCAGCTGCGGCGCGAGCGAGCGCAGGAAAATGAGCGGAGCAGCAAATAAAGCGACAGGATGCTATTGTCCTTTCATTCAGAAGAGATTCTTCTTACAGTTCCGCTTGAACTTTTTGTTACCGTGATGATACGGAAGTGGAAACCGAAAGCGGAGGCGAAAGCTACGCCGAGCTGCGGCGCGAGCAAGCGCAGCGCAGCGAGCAGCAAGTAAAACAAAAGCATTCCATTATCCTTTTCATTAAAAAAGTTTTTATGGACGAAATTTCCGTTGCCATTTCGAAATTCGGTAGCGAACTATTGTTTCGAGGAAAACCGAAGGAAAATCCGAGCGGCGTCGCAATTGAAGCATCAAGTAGAACGGAAGATTTATTTTTTCTATTTCAAACTTTTGTTTCAATAAATGCAACAAAATTTATTAAAATCTGCATGAAACTGAGATGTCATTTTTGAAAATGAAAAACGATTTATTTGATTGCTTGGTCGAAGTTTCTTGCCTTGTGCGACAACACCCTATTTCAAACTTCAAAACAGTTTCATTCATAAAGGTTTGCATAAATCTGAATACTTAAGTACAAATAAAATAAACCTCAGCGATTACCGTTTTTCTTTCTTTTGCGGAGAAAAAGAAAGGGGATCTGCGTTAAAGGTTATTACTATTAAATACACCGGTGTTTACAGAGATTTAGTGACGTGGCCTTGCCCTCACGAACTTTGCGTATAATAGGTAACTTTCAACATGGTAAGTAGAGTGGTGAAATTCTCCCTTTTTGAAACGCCTCTTACCAGAATTCACAAATTTTTAAAACTTTCATAAATTGTTGTCGACATATTTTTTAGAAAATTACGCGATTCATGAACTTTATTGTAGACCGCAGATTCTGGCGAGATTAGTCAAATCAACATCCAAGCACCAAAACACTTTTTGCACCAGGTCGAGCTAAGTTAGCACGTCAAGACCAAAAGCGACCGTAAATTGCTAACCACTGTTTTATGCCTGAAACGGTCACTAGGTTTTCAACACCATGGTAAATTTGAGTTACTCGACCGTTTTGCTACAGAACAAAATCAACCGAATTAAACTGAAAGTCATAAAAAACATGGTACCCTTTACCTAAGAAAGTGATCCAGTTGGGAATCGTCACTGCGTTATCGTCACCTACGTTGTTACTGCCCCCAGACATCGAATATGGTGTTGAAACGATAAATCGTTTGCGCAACAAATCAAGCCAAACCAGGCTGTACGAAAAACATTGTGGTCTCAAAAACAGAAATCTGCGCTGGCGCTTCTCAGATCTTGTGTGGTTACATTGGCATACGCGGTTTGTGTAAATCAGTGGACCAATTTATCCGCAGCAAAGACAATCTTTCCGTGAATTTGAAAATACTGAGATTTAAATGGCTTCCATGCGCCTAACAACATGAAAGCAATGACCGGTATCCTAAAGTAAAGAATTTGGTGCGAAATTGACGGCAATGTGCGGTATGGTATTTATATTAGTAGTGCCGCGTCGCAGTTGCTTGCGTGGTCACATCTGATCGTGTAGCAGTCCATTTGTATCACTCGCGGGGTCGTTATTATCATTTATATCAGTATTATCATCTATATCACGGAAAGAGATGTCCAGAGGTGGCGGTATGCTCGTATCGCGTTGCGCCGCGTGAGGGAGTATGGAGAGACTACCGCTATCCACCAGTCTGCTAAAACTCATGCCAGTCAATCACGCCGACTGTCCACTTAGCATTCAGCTATTATAAGTAACCGCTTAAGCTGCTTATCGGCCGCAAAATCGGCTCTACAATATCGAGCGTAACCGCAAACAATATTTGGCCAACACATAGATCTGTAATTCCTTGAGCTTGGTTAGCTCAAGGGCCTCACGACATCGTTTATCTTTTTCACGCAATTTCCAGCCAACAATAAACCATTTCATCTTACAAAATTCTGAATATAGTTTCTTGGAACGCATGTACAGTGATGTACCAGTACGAAGCTCAAATAATATTATACTTCATTTAACGGAATCAAAAATAAAAACATTCAAAAATAATATATTGTATCGGCATAATTCCGAAAAATGGCATAAAACTAATGATACTAGGAAAGTGCACCGCTTCAGGCTAGCACTATAAGACCGAAGCGAAGCTAGGAATATAGCCCAAAAAGGTCACACGTTCAGGTCTGCTTGCAAAGACTACTCGTACTAAGACATAAGTTTAAGTAGTTGCTCACATTGGAACAGTACTTCTCGTACTAACTATTCTGTATAATGTAAGTAATATAACAAAGTCCTTGAGTACGATATTGGTTACAACTACAAGAATGTATTTCCGTAACATTCTACTGACGTTCGTGACTCACTATTAGTACAAGGTGCATGGAAAATTAACGCCGCTTACTGCTTAAGGGAAGTGGCCCGGTAAATGGTACCAATTTCGTGTACAGGCACGAAACTTACACTTTCGCGCACTCCCAAACACATTTTTGTTTCGATTTTATGACATTCTGTAGCCAGAAGATTTGTATACACTGGTGTGAAAACCGTTTGTGCGCGCAACATCCGGTTCAAAAGTTGTGGCTGTTAGGAAATTCCAGAAAGTTTAAATGCGTTCAGGTGTATAAAATGTATCATTATGGACCGATCTCCCTCAAATTTTGCACGTAAATACACGTAACCACGAAGAACGTTTTTACACCGATCCACTGTTCTAGCATGTTTTTCAAGTTTCAAAATGAATTTCAAAAATTTTAAAATTCATTTTAAAATCTGAAAAAAATCATGAAAGTCTGGATCGGTGTAAAAATGATCTTCAGGGACGAGCGCATTTGAAGGAGATCGGTCCATAATGGGACTTTTGGTACACCTGAACGCATTTAAACTTTCTGGAATTTCCTAACACTCATAACTTTCTAACCGGATGTTGCGCGCACCAACGGCTTTCACCAGTGTATACAAATCTTCTGGCTACAGAATGTCACAAAACCGAAACAAAAATGTGTTTGCGAGTGCGCGAAAGTGAAAGTTTTCGTGCATGTACACGAATTTTCACCATGTACCGGGCCACTTCCCTTAAGGCGCTAGTAAGCGACGCTTGTCTTTTTCAAGTTGCAACCGTACATACCGCTTCTCTTTAAACTGCAAGTGATACGAGAAGGCCTTTTGATCATAATATTGGTTAGCAAAGTACATTTCCTCACATTCCTATAACAACGTTTATTAATTAGTACAGGATGCATGAAATATTAGCACCACTAATTACTACTAAACCTATGAATAAGTAATTTTGTGTAGAAGCTGCGGGCAGCAGCCAATACAATAATTACATTCCTATTGCTTATATAAAATGTTATCCTGTTATATTTTGTGACGTTTATTGCGCGCGCAAACTCTTTATCGTAGATTGCAAAAGAAAATGCAAAACTTCGGAATCACTGCGTCACCAACCTGCTGCTGGTAGCGCCCGTTGCGCTTTTAAAAACCCGATAGCTTGAGCGCCCATGCGCCTGTTTTGAGCGCCATATAAAGCAAAGTTGTCCCCGATGGGAGCGTGGTCCCTACCTACAATCTTTAGTATGCCCTATTACGCGCTCACAACTCTGCAGTTTCTTAGTGTCTACACACCTACCAATCCATTGTTTCTTAGCAAAGAGACCTAAATCATGCTGAACGTAGGACTTTGCTGGGTTGCATTAGTTACTGTTCTCTTTTACTGTTCCGACTCCCAAGCTTCGGTTTGGTCTTATAGTGCAAGCCTAGAACGGTGGACTTCTAAACTCAGTGGTAAATATGCTACCGGAAAAAGATAAGGGTTTATTTTTTTGAATATAAAAGGTCTGCTATCGCTTTAGCTGATAAATTAGTAAGCTATGCGCTGTTACTTGGTAGTTAGTCTGAGGACATTGTATTACATAGTACAGGGCTTAGTAAAACGTGATCTTAGGACCGTATAAGCACATTAGTATGCCCGTTAGTGTTTTGCCTGAATGGTCGGTTAACGGTTTCCCTATGCTGTCGTGCGTAAGTGTTATTGAGCACCTAGATGTCCCCCTAAGTGCCCCTAAGCGTCGGTCACGCCCTAACTTCTTAGGGCGTGACCGACAACTTAGTGCGTGACCGACGTGCGTGACCGACGCACAAAAATTCCCGTTTTCTTGAACATAGAGGACCTTCGCTTCGCTTCGGTCGATCATATCGGCATCGTAGCGGTGGCAAAAACTGATATTTGAGCAGCTCTGCTGATAAGCCTTCCACAGGATATAAAACAGCTACAAAAAGCGAGTAGACTCTCAACTACTTCTGTTGCAGTCTTACCCAACCGCGTCTTTACAAGAAGAAGGTTTACACGCTCGCTCGCTTGCACTAAGGGCGGTTACGACCTTTATACTAGTTAAGTACACATATTTCGAAGTATAGTATACACGAGCATGTATGTATTGTAATTTTTATGTGGCCTACACCTTTGGTCGGAATGGAATACGGAATGTATACTCGGAACGGAATACTAATATTCGGAATGCAGTTTTCGGACTACGGAACGGTATAGCAGATTTTACTTGGAACGGAATAGTATTTCTCCAGCGGAATGGAATAATTTTTTGTCGGAACGGAATAAACAATAATTCAATTGATTTTGATAATAATCATTTAATTTAATTTCGCGCTTCAGCAGTGTAACTATGATACGACCACATTAATAAATCACAGAACGCATAATTTTATTGATATTAATGTAGCATGATTAGTCCTGTGACTGGCAGCGGCATTTACCGCATCCCGAAGTACAACTAGACGGCATCGAATACCGCACACAGATATATGTTTTGTCTACACAATCATTTATGCGTTGATAGATTAATGCGTAGTATTTTTTTAAAATTTGGTTTTCCAGCTGGCCACGATTGCGGCGTTCCACGTTGGTTAACAAATTGCACAGTGTGGAGCCGGAAGGTCGGAAGACGCAGACATAGAAACGCAGCGTGTATGTACATAGGGATGCGGTGATATACTCTGTGGGTGCGCAAAGGTCATGGTCAGTCGACTAACTGGACATACGCCTATCTATCTGCGCATACGCATCTGTACTGAGCCATAAGAAAGATGTGTCAGTAGACTCAGTACGGACGTAACTGAAGTACAATCTGATAACCATCAGCGCAGCAGTGCGTTTACGCGTTGATGCCATACGTTTTAAGCCAGGTTTCGAATGCCATGCAATGGTGCAGCAGCAACGCGTTTACCGAAAGAAATTCTAGCGAATTTTAGATTTTACAAAACAAGTTCCGCACAGTTCGACGTTCGGGTAGAAGTTGCGTTACGGGTTGATTTACGTTCGTTCGCGACGTAAGGCGCCGTAACCCACCGTCGTTGGCTGACGCGTAAAAAGTATCTGCCTTACGTGGATCTGTGCAACGGCTCAGCCATATGGCTGAGCGGCAAGCCGGCGTATGCTGCCTGTGGATCTTTTTTGTGTGCTCTAACCTCGTCCCAGAGAGCAGGTTGGTCACGCTTTCGGCACTCTCGATTCGATTTATTTTTCAGCTGTACGTCACTGCAAGTGTGCATCCGTACAAGCATTCTAAACGATTTTCAGTCTGCTGACGTATTGTTTATGTGACGCGGTAGTTTCTGGTGGACGGAGCCTAAACCATGTGAAATCTAAAATTCCCTTCTGTATCTACCATACGGACGAGTCCCCGTCCTTATCAGCGGCCAGTATAGCCGTTTTTCCTCGAGAAATATGTAAACAACATCTGACATCTCGCTGCATGAACAGCGGAGTACGGTTACGGCTATATCTCGCGCCACCACATACCACATCCGCCTAACCGGCATTGACTGCTTGTGGCCGGCACTTGCCGTCTTCGGCTTCAACGTACAACTGCAAACTGCATTCCATCGGCCGTTTTATCATCCCATCGGCTGAGTTCAGAGTGAGACTGTTTAGTAATTGCATCCTTCGGCTCGTTGCAGGCGGTTAGACAGTTTCAAGTTTTCTTCTACAAAAGCAGTCATTACTGCGGCTGTCACCAGTAGCATGGATGACACTGACAGAGGCGGATATGTGCTTCTCAGTCACTGCCGCCGTCGACGGAAGGAAGAAACCCCGGCCCCATCGACCATGTCTGCATCGAGAACTGACCGCCGTTGGCAAGGGCCATGCGATAGCGGACAATTCGCTGCGGGGCGTCGACGGGGTGTCATCATGTTCCTGCCAGCCCCCCTTCGATGCCTCGGAGAGCCGATGCAGTGGAATCGGAGATCGCGGCGAGTATTGAGCCTTCCCTGCCATCCCTGTTCCGTGTTGGCCACAACGTGGAACGTTCCGATGGATATTTATATTCCGATCGACAAGTACGACGGGCCCTGGCTGGTGGAGATAGGCTCCACGGATTTTGTTATAGACCGACTGAATGCTGATAACTGTCTACGAACTTTGGAAGAGGTACGTGCATTGTTTATAACTTATAGGTACGGAACTCGTGGAAAACATTAAGGAAAATGTCAAAAATTGGATACATACACTAAAACTTACATTTTTGTGATACTTTATGTCAGTACTCTGTATAAACTCTAAAGCTAAATAATTTTGTATACATTGTTCTGAAACCGTTTGCGCGCGCGTGTAAAACGTGTAAAAAGGCGAAAGTTTAAATGCATTGTGTACTAAAAGTCTCTAGTTATCACTCGATCTTCTTGAACTTTGCTGTAAGAGACACATGACCATAAAGCCGAAAGTGAACCAGTATGATTTCCGATAGCATAGCATTTTTTTCCCATTTTAAAATAAATTTTCAAAAATTTTAAAATTCATTCCATGTACCGGGCAGCTCTCCTTAACAAGGCGCGTTTCTCACTCTGTAGGCTGTCCGTTGGCGTGCCGATGCCGTTGTCGAGAAGTGCTGGGCCATGGTGGATGCGCAGGCCGACGCGGTTCTGCGGTCAGCGCAGTGGACGGCCATCTCGCTGGACACGCTGAAGAAGATCCTGCAGCGCAGCACGCTGGGCGTTGGCGAGCTGGACGTCTACAAGGCGGCGGACAGGTAATGGAACCGTGATTAATAAGAAATATACTGAGAGGTGACCACTCCGTACATATACCATTCGGCACTACCTTTATCTGCGTGCACCTCCTTTTATTTTTAATTTTCTTCACCATAAAATTATTCCCGCAAAGCCAACTTTTTGCGCAGCATAAACTGTGTTAACATTAGGAGTTCTTCATTCTTATTGAAAGGGAGGATTTGCTCGAACGCTGCTTAAAAAAACTTGCTCGAACCGCAAGTATAAATGTTTGGAGAACGTGCCCAAAACAGGGAGCTTCTCAGCAACCTTACGGTAACAAAATAATAAAACTCGTTTCAAATTTATTTTTGTCAGCGAAATGTAAACTTTTTTGGTGTCTAACGGTAAAGTGCGCTGAAGTGGCCATAATGTGCGTTTTTTTTTAATGCAAAGACTGCCGCATTCGCAATATCGAAAAGGCTAAAAACGGAGAAATTTATTGTCCTGTGAAAGAAAAAAGTTTACTTTAATCTCTCAGCTTTCAAAACATTTTGCTAACACCGCAATAACACTAACACTATTTGCAGTTAATACTTAAAAATTATCGTCGAAACAACTTTAGACAAAACTGGCATTTGTTTGTTTGTTTGTTTGTTTAATTAGCTTAACGTCTACAACAATCAGGTAAACGCCTGCACGAGGTTGCAGACAAACGTTCAAGATCAGCTGCCAAAAAAATGCCCCTTTCAAAATTCTTCCAGCTATCGTAATCACAATGCACAGTAAACAAAGTTATTTCAGTATGTAACATAAAACGAAGGATATCACAATAGTCAACAAGATCAATCAGTACACCCATTCTCGCACGAAAACGTTGAGGCCAAAGTTCAGGTCGTGGATTTATCAGCATCGTCTTTGAATATTCCAATCCGCGCAAACGTCGCAGTGCGCTTGTCTCCACGTGGGGGAACGAAAAACACTTACGAATCTGGTAGAAATTCCTTCGCTGTTCAGCTGATTGGCGATGAAATTGTTGTATGCTTTCACACTGGTGAAATTTGAATTTTCAAGGCGAGGAATACCTTTCACGCAAAAATCAGCATGTGGTTTTCGCTTACACTGCAGGGTCTTGCTCAATTCATTGCGAGGTTCCACGTCAGCACCGTTGTAGATCATTAAAAAAGTCTTCACAGAAACTTTCGGTTATCGTTTCCTTCGATGGCTTACATAATGATTTATGCAAGAAAAATTATACCAATTCTGTATTATTTAATTTATTTGTTTTATTTATTTTTTTAATTGGCACGAGGTAAAATAGAGATATTTACTTTTGTAATGTCCGTTGTAATTTATAATTGCTCTGCTGATCACTGCAGATGGGCAGCGGCGGAGTCATCGAATGTTCAAGTCTTCGGTAATGCGTCAGGTGCTGGGCGACGCGCTCTTCGCTCAAAGCCTTGGCGCAGTTTAATTTTACTCGAAGCACCTAATTGTACTATGTAGATTTCCGTTCTTTTTCTTTGTGCGCGTCCAAGCGCGGGTAATTTACCGCATCTGATGCAGCTTCACGGTAAATAAGTTAGTACTGGCAAACTATCATCACAGCACTTCCTCCGCAAAGCTAGAATTCGTAGCTTTTTGCATTTGTTCACTGCAACGCCCGTGCACAGTAACGAGAAAACCAACCAACGCTGCTAACCGAATAAAAAAATCCAGAAACAAATTACTGGCGAATATGTGGGTTGGTGAAAGAACGGCCGACAAGAAAAAACTTATCCAGCCGGCATCAGTCGTTTGTCTTACTTCTCGTAAAAACACCTAAGTGGGCCACTATGATAAGTTAATGAGCAAAATATACACTTCAGTATGCATTTTATTTATCGGGTAGTTTTATATCGGCTTTATAAAAGTACTGAATGTACAATACAACAGTACATCTGTATTTATGCAATATGCCGGTGATCGTGTAAGCGTGCTGTAATTCCAGCGTTAAATATGCTGTAATGTCCGGCGTTAAATAGTTTAATATTAGTCGGTTATTTTATGATATTATTTTGGTACACCGCCGCAGCGCTGGCCGTTAGGTCAGTATTATGGTAATAATGGAGGAAATTTAGCTACGATTTGTGCTTCGCACACAATTGCCATTGACTTGCGACTTAACTGTGCTCTGTACGCAGACTGGACTTGGAGCCGACATTTTTGCCGGAAATTCCTGAAAATTATTCTATAAACCTCCATGGAGGGTCATGCTTACTGTCCAAATTACAGCGGCGCGTTCTTCTGAGTCAGCGGCTGCCTGGCTGTTCCGGGTACTTCGAGTACGAGGATGCACGCAGTCAAACCGACAGTAAATTTTTTCAGCGAGACCAACCGACAACCGTGCATATAGTGCAGGCGACTGCCAACCATCCACGGATGGCTGTCACCTGTACCACGCCTACAGTGCAAACGATACCTCGCTTCCACGGGTGGCTGTTATGTGAAAAAATAAGTCTGCTTGTGTACGTGGTTGTCGGTTGGTCTCACTGAAAAAATTTACTGTCGGTTTGACTGCGCACATTCTCGTATAGTTAATGCAGTTCCGAATTTTATCTTTGACGAATCGAGTATAATGGGTACTAAGTCTAGTTTGTTTATTTGCTCACCATGCGAGAAAGCCGTGGTAATTTTTCCGACAAAATACCAAGAATCACTACCGCCACCGTTTTTCGTTTCGTCACCGGGATTACGACTTAAGTCAACCCTGAGCACAATGTAATCCAAGCGTTAGTGTGCGAAACACGATGGGGGTATAACGCCGTAAAAGATGTTGTTGATTGTCCGCATTAATGTGCTCAATCAACGCCCACAACACCTGCACTAAAACATCTAAGCAAGCTTTGACACGCGGCACTACTCGTGACAGTGAAGACGGTTTTAATGAGGAAGATAAAGGTTTTTTGGTTATAGGAATACCGGTATCGACAGTGCAGTCACTGCAATGCTATAATCATTCTAGTTCTTGCTAATGAATTGTTTGCAACGACTACGCTGAGTTCGCACAACCCTACCGGAAGAATTTCGCCCATTTTATATTGCGTGATAATTACCTGTGGAACGATATTGCCATTTTCTTTCAGTACCTCCTAATTGATCATTCACGGCATGAACGCAAATTGTTTCCAAAGGAAAATAAAACAGTTCTCTCGCCGAATTAACTACAGTGTTTGCAGAATCTGGTTAACTTCGTCGAATATTATAACAAAACCGTGGCTGTACATCGAATACTATAGCAAAAACCAAACTTTGGCTTTAATACCGTTACAAAGGTCATAACAAAATAAATCCCGCAACCACAAAAAATTGAAGATTGTCCCGGACACAAAAATTAAAGTAACGTCTGAACATGCGTTACATTATGTCGGAGCCGTAGCGGCAACGTTGGCATTCTGCCTGATTCCCGGTGGATTGGCTGCTAGCTGAGCCCGATCAGCAGAAATCCCGACTTGGTTGTTACACAGTCTACTGCACAGTCGCCGTGCATTTACCAGCACATTGCTGGCCGTGATAGCGAAGATCAACGGATCCAGGATCGACTGCAGATTATACAGGATGGACGTGCCTTGGAAGAAGGCGGGGCTCAGCGGGACCGCGGGGAAGAAGGTGGCGAACAGGTAGAAGATCATAATGGGCAGCCAGCACACCAGGGTGCTGCAGGTGTACAGCGTCAGCAGGATGAAGGGCCGGTTGGAGGATTCCAGCGGTGCACGTTGCGCCGCTGGATTGTCACTGCGATTTCTTCGCTTCGCTCGTCGTCGCGCCAGCATCTTCCACAGCAGAAACGGATAGATGATATAGACGCACGCGCACGGTACATCGTACATCCAGATGGACGTGAACTCCGTCAAAGTTACCTAACGGGCACACCGACAATTCGCTGACCGACAACTTGCTGATGACCTTTTGCTGACCGGCAAAATGTTTACCCGACGGTTTGTTGAAACGACAGTTTGCTGAACGGCTTCGTGTGAACACCGACAGTTTGCTGACGACATTTTGCTGACTTGAAAAGCTTAAGAAGCTCAAGAAAAACTAAGAAACCTAAGAACAACCTAAGAATGTTTACCCGACAATTTGTTGAAAACGACACATCGTTGAACGACTTTGTAAACGACACCGACAACCTGCTGACGACATTGTGCTGACGTGACAAACCTAAGAGACCTGAGAAACCTAAGAAAACTAAGAAACCAAAGAAACCTAAGAAACCCAAGAAAAAAAACAAGTCAAGGAAACTCAAAAACCAACATTTCAGACCGAAAAACAAATTGTCGGTCAGCGAAAATGTTTTGACAGAACTTCGGTCATCAACCCAGCGGAAAGCAAGTTGTCGGTCAACAATTTGTCGGTCAACGAGTTGTGTAAGTCAGCAATATGTCGGTCAACAAAATGTCGGTCAGCGAATTGTAGGTCGGCGAATGAACGTGCTACCGACCTGACGCGCAGCGTTGAGCCAGCAGCCATATTCCAGCGGGAGACGATAGTACAGGTGATCACGTAGCAGTTCCGGCAGCATCATCAAGTGCACGTATCCGACCATCGCGGCGCACAATAAACCAGCGACCGTGTGGTTGTGTCGTGCACGGTAGGACACAGGCCACAGGATGGCCCAGGCGCGGTTCAGCGTGATGAGGAAGTGTGTGTGGTAGACGATGGGCGCCAGGACGTAGACGCCGTACAAACGGAGGGTGCAGACGGAGCTGCCGAGCCCGACTAGTCCGTACGCGTCCATCAGGCCCAGCATGCTGCATTCCCAGGTCTCAAACGCTATATTGCTGCACATTAACGCGACGATGTACACGTTGAAGGGCGTCCGCAGCGATGCGCTGCTCAGCGCGAACAGCACTCCGAGGACGTTAAAGGTCACGGATAGCACTGTGGTGGTGATGATGCCCGGGGATAGCTGGTGCACGGCAGAGGCGTTGGCCGGCGAGGGAAAGGATGTGGTGTTGCTGTGCGACAACAGAACGTCCGTCAGGTTGGTAGCAGAGCCCATTTTGCGGATGGTTCTTATGTCAACATGCTAAGATGAAGAACTCACAATTTACAAAGGATGAGTGTTGAAAAACGCTTTATATAACGCTGTAAGTGCTTCGTCAGCGTGATGATATAATCTGCATGTGACGGAGAAACATCCGACTTACATTAAGATGACAATCAGGTTCTGTAAAGAATGCTCAATTAAAACAACCGGAAAAGTGGAAGGCAATGGATACCACATGTTGCGATAGTAGTTTCTTGTGGTGTGTAATCGGTAATTTTGTCGGTCAGTTTCCCGAAATAGCTGCACCAAGGAGGGCACGGATAACTGCAAAATGTTTCGGTAAGCGAATCTGTGGATGCATTAGGAGACTGGCCGATTGTGAACGCTCTTCAGTAATTATACACGTTATCATTGCGCGCCCGCCGCGTCCTTATTGTCAGCCTCATGCTCCACTGCTTTTTCACAGGGGCGAATCAATGCTACCGTGATTCTCTGGATCTTTCTTCCGTTTATCTAGATAAAGTGATAATCGCAGCACCGGATGGGAGCGTTCGTTAAGTTTTCTCGAATGGGTTGGAGATCCATACTTCCTGTCTCTATCACAGGCGATTCGAGCAGATGCGGTCAAGGTGGGCTGATGGCGAACGCTCCTATTCTGGTATTTTACCGCTGCTTGTGGGCTATATTGGACGATACCGCTCTTGCGGGTTTCTGAGATTTTTTATCTGGGCATTCGCGCCGAGCAGGATGACGTTGCTGGGAGCCTACAAAACAACAAGGAGCAATGCTGAGTTGATGTATTTATGCGATAGGTTGACCCGAATTTGTAATACGTGCATTTTATTGACTTCCGGCTGAATAACAACCACGCGAACCCATCAAACGCCCCAAGTAACGGTCAGGCAATAAGAGCCGTAAAGTTGGCCATTTCAGATTTTGCGGATGGAAATCGGCATAACTAGGTACGCGGAGACTTTACACACTCTGTTACTTAGGTCCATGAATAACAATGAAGCAGAGTGCACTGAGTAGGCTGATCGTTTTCCTGGAATAATCGCAAAACTGTTTGCGGGGCAAAAAGCAGGTATAAAGTTCCAACGAGCGATCAGATACTGAGTATCTAACTATTAGAAATCCTGATAATGGTGGCTATTGTGGAACCGTTGGCTGGGTCTCTGCGGTGAAACGTATTTTTGGGAGGGCATGAAAAGTTGGCGCGCCAGACCCTCGCATTTCGTACACAGTTGGTACATTGTCTGCAAGATGATTGTTGCTTGGAAAGTCCTTAACTGTAGACCCCGCAGCGGCATCCTCGGACAGTGCGTGGTTAGGCGATCACGTGCGGGATCGGTCGCCGCTTCATTGTTGCTGTGAATGGTATTCTGAAAATTTAATGTTATCATGCTGACGCTGCACCGTACACCACCGTCGTTTCCATGATCATCGCTGCCGAAATCTCCCAGGACATCTATTATACAAGACGGTATACTCATGTGCCTGTGATATTCCCGGCTGCTACTCAGGCTCTTATTCTGCCATTTTCCTATCGCTCTAGAGCCCCTCAGCGCCAATCCGAAGCAACTATAAGCAGAGCTCCATCCGTCGTTAACTGCGGTGCATCCGAAAAAGTTGCCGATGGGGGAAGCGAACCCCGGCTACGTCGTCAGATCCGCGTAGGCAGCACCACTGCACCACGGCGCATAATGTTGAAAATGCTTGAAAGACCTGGTCGCTGTACGTGAGCCGCTTCTCCGGTTACACGTTCACCGAAGGTCTGCTCTGTTCTGTATGTGATTCGCCAGTTTACGATTTGACGCTCGTAAGTTTCTGCCCTTTCGCGTGGGCAGTTGCCAGCCGCACTGTGTCATGAGAAGGGCGTTCGACAATATTACTGGAGCCGCGATAACTGCACCACAGAGTATTTTCGGAAACTGACGCACACGCTGCGACCCCGCTCGATGTTGTACGTCACGTGTACGATGCCCGGCAAAGAAGACAGCCAGCGGCCGGATCTGAAGGTGGTGCAGTTTCATCTAGTGGCTACAGTACAACCAGGCCACACATTGAGCAAGCAAATACAGCGGAATACAGGAATAACAAATTTACGGGTTAAACCTGACTGCATACTTTATTTACTACTTTGCGGCACGCCACGCTGCACTATTTAAGCACCTAACCTGCATTTGGCGTGCGGGCTTTCCTGGTGCACACCAGATATTTTCATAAGATTAACCGTAGTCGCCAACGGACGGACGGGGGCTGAATTACAGTCGATAGAGCACGGGACGCTGTGACGGAGCTCAACTTGTTATTGCGTTAATTATGTATATTGCGCGCGAATCATTTGTTGAACCATACCGGCACAACCAGTGATCGAAGATGTATGCTTACATATAGTAACGAATGATCAAATTTTCGGCCGACTAAGCAAGTTCTACTCGTGGCTTAAGCGTGTCGTCACTGTTTTTTTACCGACGCAATTGCAAGAAAACGATTCAAGTTTTTTAAATAATTTCAAGTACTATGTGAAGAGCACACCTAGCTCTATCGGGTAAAAAAGAAAACCAGAAGGAAATCGGTTTGTGGAATGAAATATTTCGGGTGTTTCACTTAAACGACCATCGCCCATTCACTTAACATAGTGTTTCACTTAAACGACCATACGAGTAGCTATTTGTGTTTTCTCAGTGCTTTAGCGCGTAAAGCGTAACGCCAGCCAGCTTGACCAGCTTCCGATCAAAACGTACGCTCGTTGATTAGCCCGGTTTAGAGGAAGGTGGCCAGAATCAGGCAGTTTCTTTATGGTCGACTGTTTTACACTACTACGTACGTTGTAAAAGTTGATTTACTCGCGTTCAACGAATTATAAGGTTTCAAAGTTTAAAAAATTTTACAAGGGTCGCTATGCCATTCTCCCTCGGGATGGCAGCCAGGGTGGAACACCTGCCTTACCTTTCAAGTTGTCAACCGTCTTTAAGCAGCGCAATGACAGTGACGGCGCGGACCAATGGTTTCTTTTACTGTCATCCGTATTCCGTGTCATGCTGAGAAGCTGCTGTCAAACGAAAAACAGAGCGAATCGTTAAACACTGTTGCAGAGCGCATTGAAAGCGGCCCGGCATATTAGCCGACACAACTTTTGTTAGTTGTCTCCTGTGCTGACCATACACCGAGGTTATCGCAATAGTTTTGTCATTGCGTGTTAGTCACAAGACATACAAATTGTCGCTGGCGAGGTGCGACGTTCTGGTCTGCATTATCGCAACTCAAATATACAGTATATACCGGCGTTTTCTGTCAATAAAAGCAGGCAGATGGACTTCTGTCACTGCAACTCGGAAACTACAGACTGTACATGTATTTCCATAACGGCGACAAACTTTGTTCATCTTTCTCTTTCTAACCATTCATTGGTCATGGAAGGACAACGGCTCTTTGTATTCCCGGAACTCAGTCGCCTAGTGTCTATTAGCTTTTTTCAGATTTTTCTGGGATTGCTGATGGTCTCATTCGTTCTTTGGAAATTACTAAGTGCAGTTTGTAGTCTGCCAAATCGAACTGGCCTTACTGTTTGGCACTCGCACAATAACTACAAGATTCCTTGTTGTTGCAGCCAACACCCTCCGAACTGTCGAATTCGACGTGAAACAGGCCGTCCGGCTTATGGCAAGGTTATGTAGGTATAATCGGCAGCGGCATCCTCGGACAGTGCCTTGTTCGGCGATAACGTGCGGGATCGGTAGCTGCTGCCTGGTTCCTGTGGACGGCCCTCTTGAATGTTGTCGTACTGACGCTGTGCACCGCGGACATTTCCATGACCCTCGCTAGAACTGCAACCATCTGCCATTACCAGTACAGCTGTTTTATCGGACCGTATTCGGATGTGTACCTGTGGGTGTACCGTAGCGTGTCCATCGTTACCGAGGCTCTTAATTCGTAGCGTGTACGTCGTTACCGAGGCGATTTACATATCGCGCTCTGAAGATCACCATACGCAGCTACGACGCCTGGTTAAAGTATGCATATCTTAACCGCTTCCGGTCAGCGGATGATGCACAGCAGCCGTGCGAACAGTCCAATGCGATGTTCACAGGTAGACAGATTCCACCGTCTCTTTTTGCAGTGCCCTTACGAATGCCGTGTTGTTGACGTTTTCCTGGCCTTCAGTCAGACCAGCAGCAAATCATATTATGTCACCTGTTAAGAATCTTAAACTAACGACTGTAGCAGAAAAACATATACAGATCTACAACTGCATCTCTTAAATTTTTTCCATATCTGCGCGGTTCAAAACTCAGCTCTGATATTTTTTTTCAAGCAGTGGCCCGGGAGGGAAAACGGACGGTCCTGCCGGAACTCCGGCAGCTGTTTTGGATCTCCATTGTTGAGATATTGACGGGGCTGCTGACGATCGCCTGGGTTATTTGGGAAATGATTGGTAAGGATTTTGCAGTGCGCTAGAACCGCCTCGGAGCTAACGGATCGGATCGCCCAAGTACTTTGTCTTGGCCGCTTTACTCCGCTTTTTGTAAAAACTGCTTTTGCTTTTGCGCAGTTGTTTTCCATTATAGTCGTTACTGACCTTTAAAGAACTGCTTTTGAAATTTTGCCGTTGAATAAATGTGGTAACGTAAACTTACCGTCAAGAAATTGCTGTTAATGGTTGTTTTCTTTGATATATTTCTCGCTGTGACTTGTGTTAAAGATAGGTAAATCTGATAACACTCTATAATTATTTACTGTTCATGAGCAAAAACGGAGACTAAATCCTTGCAAGTTAATTCCGGTCACATCCCGTCTCATATCGTTCTTTTTCCAGAGGACATCAATATTAAAACGATGCTCTTAAAGCATCTCAACGGGAGTTGCTTTAAGAGCGCTTCCAGGGAGCAATCGACTGTTCAGGTTGGAAAAGGATGTAAGGTCACGAGAAAGCTGTGATCACGATTACCGGAATCGAGAAACACCAATTCACTGTGCGGCCAGATCCCAGGCCTAACTTTATTAGTACGTCCCGTACGAACGGACGAAAGACCAAAACTAAAATCAGGTTTAGAAACAGAATGGGCAGCTTCCGATAAATGTGTCTAGTCATGCTATGCGCATGGTGAGCTGGTCAGAACAGGTAGCCACACATGGTGCACCGCTTAGACAACATTCATACGCTTTAATATACATGATGGCCGATTCACCGTGACATGGATTGTCGTGTTAGTTGAGAAGATGGCTGCACCGGCACCGGTATGTTGGGGCAGTGCGTGGTGCGGCGAGCCCGCGCGGGCCCTGCCCCGACCAGCAGGTTCCTGTGGACGGCCGTATTGAGCCTCAGCGTGCTGACGATATTCACCACCGATGTCGGCTACATTCCTGTCGTCCAGATTATGCGGTATACCGTCTTCCACGAAGAATTCTCTCATGAACATCTGTGGAGGCACATCGTATTTCCGGCCTGCACCGGCCTTCTGCTTATGGGTGCGCGTACCGTGCTGCGCGGCTTTCCATGCGCTGTCACGCCGTGGTGTACAAGGACGGAATTGTCAGTAGCTGTTATGTGGGCGAAAACCATGGCAGAGATGCCGAGCAGCAGCACGACCCGGTCAGCACGACAGCGGATCAGGTGGCCGCTGGAAAAGAAAACCAAGAGTCTCTTATATCCAGGTCGCCAGGGGAATAACGCCTTAGTTACTTACCTCCGCTTTAATCGCTTAATTAAGTTCTGTACAAAGAAATCAAAAAAGAGTCCTGTGCAGCTTTCAAAGTGTTTCAACTGCTGTAATTCGGTGGTACGCTGGTCTTGAAATGTTTGAAATACATATTCGAATAAGTAATATATTCGAATAATTAACATTCTACGGAAGTGCCGTCCTTAGCTGTTAAGCGCCGTTAAAAAACTGGAACAGTTGCCGGGACTGGAACACTCCCGGTGAGCGATCAGTTCCGACAATGCTCGGCTAGGTAACGTTTGATAAAGGCCTGCCAGAATTTACGATGAGGTAGTTGCCGTCTCACGTTCACGTGAACATATTGTGTCTGTTATCAATCCTTAAATATTAAGCTGAAGCTGCGCCTCACCAGCTACGACCAAGCGAGGTCAAGCATAAGGATTAATGAAGGATTAACCACCTGGATGACAGACTTTTCAAACAGATTCAGTGCTTCACTGCTTTACGCGCTGAATCGCCGAATTAGTCGCCGCATATTATATGCAACGTCTTTCCTTAGCCAAAACTCGATTAAATTAAGTACAATACGCAAATGTCAACAACACGCGGCCGCTGTTTTATTATGCTTTCCAGTCTCGACATTCTGCGATAACATACTCTACAGAATAACGGTTATTGCAGCTGTTGTGATTGGCATGTCACTATAACTATTAAAAAACAAATAAACACTGCATTTCCTCAAAGCCGCTGGTTTTACACTAATGCATTCTTGCACGCATGTAAACATGCTCAAAATAACGCACGATTGAAATGTAAATAGAAAAACGTTCGTAACATTTTGCCGAACGAATAGAATTAATTGTCTGCTCTTTGTGCTCTGTACCGGCACACGTTTGCTTCAGGTATAAAATTTTATTTTTTCCATTATGACGAGTTGACTGCCTCGAACTGGGCCTTAGTCAGACTGCGTGTGGACGGTAACCGATTAGACTTTAACTGATAATACACAACCCTTTATTCGATGAAACAGAGAATTATTTCACAATACTTCATTTAATAGTACTAAATTGATTAAACTTTATTTGGTAATATTTTTATTAATAATTTTGATAATTATTCATGTTGCACACATCCGGACCGGTTTCGAGTTTTCGACATAATTATAGATCCTATAGTAGCACAGACAGCTTACTGAAAGGCTGCAAATAATTTTTTGCGGACATCATATTTTTAATGATTAGTATTATATTTGCATTCGGTATAACTGTGAGGATCGCTGCAGTAATGAATTATGTTATGCCGCCGCTGCACCGGTGCAAGAGAAGAATTTAAGCAGCGGTTGCGTTTTCTGGAGATTCCCGTGTTTCTTCCCACCGGAAGTGACTACTGTAACCGGTAGTTACACAAGGAGTAATAATAACCGTTTAATTTTTTTTTTCTGCTCCTTATCTTCCGCGTTCTGTCCTTGCTACCAGACGCTCTTGACGAGCCAGATTCTTGTTGTATACGTATACGTAATTGTTAATGCTATCCGTACTCTGTACACTATATGAAACGCGGAGCAGAATTATTGCCGTACATGTACGCGCACTATCCGTACACAGAAGAAAGAAAATTGCAAAGCAGAAGCAAAATTGCAGAAGAAGCAAAATGCTGAGATCGACAATAAAAGCCTGCAAGGCTTATCGTTCAAAGTAGTCGGCTGCCATACAGATTCACGGAACACTAATTACAGAAACGGTTTGAAAAATTAGCGTCTAGAGAATAAAAAAGCCAACAACCTTTGTGCAGATTTTGCAAGCAACTGTTGAAAATCCAAGAAGCCAATCTGAGCAGAGGGAAAAATGTTACCAAGCGGGTTTTGTTGCTGAAAGCCCAGCTGGCGTTCATGTACAGCAGTCACAGTAAAAAATGAAACTGTCTGAAATGAAGTTTTAAAACTGTCTGCTCGCATCAGTCGCCTGAAGCCATTGCAAGAACCTCGGTATAGTGCATCAACTCTCTACCAAAACCATAGTAACATATATCTACAAAAATTAGTTGCCGCTGCTGCATCAGATTTTACCAGACTATATATATATATACAGGCCCGTCGTTAGACCCATATCCAGATTTCAAAACACTACTCCTCCTACAGTTTCCGTCCGATAATTTTTCTGAATACACCATTGAAATCAGCGTAAAATTCTGAACAGGATGATTGAGGCCGATATTTGAAATTCGAATTCCCCCTGGATCGACTACCACGGGCGGTTTCCCCATGCGACAGACATGTTTTTGGGGTTTTCCCCCCTGACCCCCCAAACATATTTTGACACTAAAAAACACGTTTTTGGCTTGTTTTTACTCGTTTTTCACGAACTTTAACTAATATTTAGTTATTTTAAATTCTTTTATGATTCAACATCATAAATATCATCATCATCGGCTGCAAGGGACAGTCTTTTAAATTGTCCCATATTTGCTTGCGCATAAGCGGCATGTCGCTAGGAGGATCCATGGCATCACTTACAGCGCAATGATCAAGCGTTAAAAGATTTAACAAATCCTTAATGCTATGCGATTTCCAGTCCGTTTTAATGTGATTGTAAACATCTGTTTTTGGTAAAATACGCCCTTTCTTTTCCGAGCAGATCGACATGTCGTTAAAAATTCGCAAAAGATCATCACGAATAAAGTCGGTAAAACAAGATTTGTCTGCTTCATACTGTATACTGAGCTGACGCCTGCTAAAAAAACGGGAAATATCCCTTCCAGCCGAAAATGATGACATTTATGATGCTGAATCATAAAAGAATGTAAATAACTAAATATTAGTTAAAGTTCGTGAAAAACGAGTAAAAACAAGCCAAAAACGTGTTTTAGTGTCAAAATATGTTTAGATTGGGGGAAAACCCCAAAACATGTCTGTCGCATAGGAAACCGCCCGTGGTAGTCGATCCAGGGAAATTGAATTTCAAAATCGGCCTCAATCATCTTGTTCAGAATTTTACGCTGATTTCAATGGTGTATTCAGGAAAATTATCGGATGGAAACTGTAGGAGGAGTAGTGTTTTGAAAACTGGATAGGGGTCTAACGACGGGCCTGTATATATATATAAACGCAGCCGTGTTTCTTAAGCAAACACTAGGTAATAGATATAATTAACCATGCAACGTCTCGTCATAGTCTGCATTCTGCTCCGTCTGGAACCGGCTGGGCACGTCGCTGCCCAGCATTTACTACTGCCAGCCGGAGAATTCAAGTTCCTTCGCAACAACCTACCGTTCTTCGTCCCGGCGCCGTCGCAGTCGGCCACGCCCTCTTCCCCCGTTGTTTCCCCCGAGCAGGTTCAGCCGGCCAACTCGCGATCCGCAACAGCCGACCTCTTCTCCGCCGAAACCGCGGAACTGGCCTTCGTCCGCAGGTGCGCCGGTCACGTGTCGAAGGCCGGTCTGCTGTGTCCCTGCGCCGCACCCGGGCACAGCTGTGCGCCGGCATATTCCGTCTGCAGCGATAGTAAACAGTGCGTCTGCGACCCGGCCTTATCCTATGTCAACGCTACAAAAACCGGCTGCACGCCGTATCCCACGACGACAGCAGGTACTGTTCTCAATTGATAAGTGGCCTTTATAACGTAGATTGGAAAGCGGAACTCTGACGAGTGACGAAGGTCATATAAATAATTTGTTCTTGCAGCGACCACAACGGCCTCCGCAGCAGTAACTTGCCCGACTTGCCAATGCCCGACATTAACGTGTCCGGCAGTAACGTGTCCGGCAGTAACGTGCCCGACGACTCCTCAAACAACATGTAAGTTACAACATCAACTTTCCCCATTGCTTTACGGTTCCTTGTACTAGTACATTAGGTCACTGCATTTAGAATTAGTTGTGGAGAACTCGCGCTTTGCAATGGAACAAATTATAACGTTATTTTTTAACAAGAATATTTATATCATTTAGTTGGAGAGAACAGGGCGGTTGCCGTGTCGCTGGGGTAAACGTAGGTTTACTGAGAATTTTGGCTTGAATGTGTGACACATCAAGTGATCAGCTGAGGCCTCGAGGCTCGAGGCACGCAACACCCTGGCACATGATAGGCCGACATTAGGAGAATCTTATGTATCAATAATATCAGACGTGTTACAATTTGTCGGCTTAATACATTGTCTAATTGCTAGTGTGTCTCGGAGTTGCACTTGATCGGTTTTGTGAACTTGAAATCCCAAATGAAGGATGGCAATACTGAGTGATGCCGTTACATAGTTTCTGGCGTTTTTAACATTCTAAAGTGATACTGGTTACTTTGGCAAACCTTTGATGGGACGGTGAAAATCTGTCGCAAAGCAAAAATGAATAAAAGAGGCATACCGGTATGGAAAAACCGGTATGGCTTTTCCGGCATTTTCGCGGTGGACGGAAACTGCAGGGAAAGAGCACAGTATGAATCTGTGCTGCACGCGTGACTACTGACTACTTGGAGTACTCTCAAGTCATAACGATTCACACTTGTTTCAGGTGCCACTTGTCCAGTCTGTTCAACTCCAACCACCACCACAACTACCACTAGTAAGTTCATATAAATGTAGAACTCTTAATTTAAGGAAAATGGCCCGCACTCAGAATGGTTTTTTTGAAATATTTTATGTCATTCTTACTCATTTTTGAAATTTATTTTAAAATCGGAGAAATGTAATGGAACTGATACTGGTTTTCACAATAACGTATAAAAATCATTCAGCTTTAGGACCACGTAAAGTATTACAAAAAAGCGCTTCCCAGTGCGCGAAAGCGAAAGTTTTAGTGTACGTGCCCCAATTTTGTCACCATGTAGCGGGCTATTTTCCTTAAGGAAAATGGCCCGCCACATAGCGCCACAAATGGGATACATTTAAACTTTCGCTTTCGCGCACTCCGAATCACATTTTTTGTAATATTTTATGTCATTCTAAAGCTAAATGATTTGTATACGTTGTTCTGAAAACGGTTTGCGCGGGCAACATCCGGTTGCCGAGATATGGCGTATTAAAATGGGTAATAAGTTTGAATGCATTATTGTTGCGTACCAAAAGTCTGGTTCTTACCCGATCTTCTTGAAACTTTGCTTGAAAAGGCACATGGCCATAAAGTCGAAAGCGAACTAATTTTAGGTTCATAGCATATCCCCATAATTTTAAAATAAGTTTTAAAATTTTTGAAATTTATTTTAGAATCGGAAAAAAATGCTATGGATCTGATCTTGGTTCACTTTTGACTTCATGGTCATATATCTTTTATAGCAAGGTTTCAAAAAGATCGGGTGATAACTAGATTTTTGGTACACAACAATGCATTTAAACTTTTCGCCCATTTTAGTACGCCATATCTCGGCAACCGGATGTTTTGCGCGCAACATCCGGTTTTCAGAACAGTGTATACCAATCATTACTTTTATAGTACATTACTTTTATAGTAGAAGTCCTTGAAAAAGTGAACTTCAGGCTATTGTTGTTTTCGACAGCACCGACCACAGCATGAACAACAACAACAACAACAACGACAACTACAGCTTCCTCAGCGCCGGCCGTATGTGACCCAGCCATTCCCAGTACACCACCGGTGAATATTCCGTTAACTACTGGTAGGCTCGTCCAGAATTTTTGTTAAGAACTGGTTAGATCTTGTCCAACAAGAAAAAGCATCCGACGGTCTTTCAGTTCACACGCAGAAATGCCCAGTAAAGGAAACTGATTTGCGACATTTTCAGGGTGTGGCGGTAGCGTTATCGTTCCAGCAACGGGTTCGGTTGTATTTAATTCCCCTGTGGGAGGACCTGGGGAGAGTGGTGCAACTGGTGATTACCCCAACAACGCTGTCTGCTTGTGGCTTTTTATAGCCCCGCCTGGGAAACAGTTGGAGGTATGTACCCCGGCATTAAAATAATGTACGAGTAACATCCTGCAACGAAATTAATTGATTATGAAATCCGCGCTACTCTACACAAATTCTGTCCTCTTCGTTACAGTTCACGGAAGATCCTTTGGTTCCGTTCAATGTAAGCTTAACCATCTTTCAATGGATTAGAAATCATGCGAGTGTGCGGAATACTTATTGTAAGAGCAGCTCTGTCTTTTGACCAGATAAGCGACTTTTGTTCATATGACGCACTGGTAATCGGTGGTCAGAGATACTGCCAAGGTAACGCATTCTCGGCGCAAACCGTGAACAGTCCTGCCGTAAGTGCCTTATCCGCCAACATTCGCGTGGTAGCAGTTGTTATACATTTCGGTCTGTACAGGTCGTCGCTTTTGTGTCGGATGGCAGTGACACAGCGAGCGGCTGGAAAATCAACGTGCGAGCCGTCTAGTTGGACCGTTCTGACTAGCTTTACGCTTAATCTGTTAGGGAATACGCAGAGTATACAGTAACTGTCGAGCCTTAAATAACGGCAAACGTGCTGCGGCAACGAAGATTATGCCACGGGAAAAGTCTTGTAGATTCACTGTGCGCCGGTATTTATAGATTATAGTGTATGTCCCTGTTTGCCTGTAGTTCCGTGAAGGTTTCTGTTCTGGGAATAAAGGGAATAAAGGGGGCGAGTCGTTAACGGTATTATCGTTCGGTAAAAAAAGCCAGATAAGCAACAAATAGCAACTACGATAAAAATCTGGAACAAGTAACCGGTACTGGTTTCTGCCAGAAGCATCTCTACCGACTCCGCGCATATAACTGACTATAAGTGCTGAATTATTTATTTCAGGATATGTACTGACAAACGTTTCGCACCCACTGTACTCGTAGAGTCGTAGAGATTGCACTATAGAACGTTCTTCTGTGGTGTGACCTTTGTAGTGTATGTTGACCTGTGTACATCTTGTAAAATTTCTACTTCCTGTAAATGCGTACATCTGTGCACGTCTTATACATGTAAATCTTACAAGTTTCATAACTTTCTAATGCAGATGTGTGTACATCTTATAAATTTATTGTCATCGTAATGACTGAGGAAATCCGCAACGATTGATCTTGAATCTGCGACGTTTGTCGATTTAAAGGGACACGCAAAGACATCTGTCAAACACTGTGGAAAAACTGTATGCCAGCATTTTATTTATATTGCCACAGCATTTTATTTATATTTATTTATTTTGCCACAGCCCGTCACATTCGCTAATTGAAACAAAGATTCTCCAAATACGGTTAATTATACGCAAATAAGCGACAATCGACAGGATCTTTAACCGACATATTGTGTCAAAGCACTCGCGCTTCCGTGGGGGCAGAACCGACACCCAAGCTGGATCCCCACCGGAGCCCTAGTGGGGCCGCTCAAGTCTAAGGGCACCAGGTATCACCCCGAAATGAGGATCAAGCACGGGACAGTGCTCCGGATTAAGGGATTTGCTTGCGTGGTGCTCCGATCACGGAATTCCTCTACTGCGCGATCGCTGGTAAGAAATAGAGTTTGGAACACGCTGCTTTTTAATGAGACCATCTTGCCGATGAAGCGGGATTTTCTGGCTAAGTCGCTCCAATGAGTTCACAGCAGTGGTCCAGCCTAGAAGATCATCCAAGTTCTGACAATATATATTCCACCGGGAAGTCAATAGCCAATCTGGGGAACTGGGATAAAGTTAGAGTAAACATTAAGACACGCTGGCAACATTCAGCATCACGTTGGGATTCTCTCTGGTTGTTCTGGCGGCGGCGGTTTCCCGGTCACCGGAAATGCTGACCAGCATGACTTGGTTGTTAGTCCTTCTTCTGCAGAGCCGGCGCCAATAACTGCGGATGTTGCCGAGGGTCAGGCCGAAAATCAGCGGATCCAGGACAGCTTGGATGGTGTACAGGTCGGATGCGGCTCGATAGAAGGCGAGGGGCAATTTGGTATTGGGATTGTAGGTAAGGATAGTGAAGTAGCATATGATCGGCCACCAACAAACCAAGGTACTGCCGGTGTACAACGTCAGCACTATAAAGGGACGCTGCGGACCTTCCTGCCTAGCTTCCGGTGCAGCTGGATTAGCACCCGGTCGTCGCGAGATTCGCGAGCACATCTTCCACAGTAAGAAGGGGAAGACGACCGGAATGCCCTACTTGGGTACGTCATAAATCAGGATAGACGTCAACTCCACGAGCGTCGGTTGGCCGGCGTTATTCAGCCGGCAGCCGCCCTCCAACGGCAGACGATAGAACATCCGATCGCGAATCAGCAACGGCAGCATGAAATTGTGCACGTACACCATCACGGCGCCGCAGAAAAGGACGGCGGTGGTCCGGTTGTGGCGGGCCCGGTAGGAGACGGGTGCGAAGAGGGCCCAGGCGCGGTTCAGCGTGATCAGCCAGGGGAAGTTGTATAAATGCGGGGAGATGATGTAGATGGAGTACAAGCGTAGGGTGCACAGGGAGTGACCCAGGTACACTGACCCGTACGCACGCTCGACGATGTCCAGTGCCCGGTCCAGACAGCCGAACGCCACGTTGCTGCACATTATGGCCACGATGTAGATGTTGAAGGGTGTCCACAGGGATGCATTGGTAAAGGTCACCAGCAGCGCCAAGGCGTTGAACGCGACGGCCAGGATTCCGGTGCTCACGGCGCCGGCGTCCAAGGAGACGCTGACCGACCGGGAATCCGAATGGTTGTTATGCGGCGTCCACAGTACCGACAGGTTATGAGTCATTGTCGCGTTTAAGCCCATTATGGTTAAGTCCATACTTTTGGGGTATCAACCAAGAATGCGGCACTTGCGCCAAGCAAGCACACTATGACGGGTGCGATTGGAAAATCTACGGGGAAAACCTTTGCTGAGGAAGCCTTTGATGCGTACAATATATTGATACAAAGGGGTTCCATGAACCTGCCCTACATACCACGGAATAACTTCCGGTTGAAGACAAACAAGCGAATCTATCCAGTGTTGCGATAAAGGTTACATGAGGCAGCCGAAGTAACTGTAGCCGTTTCCAGTTACATCTGTACAGATAATTACTGACGGTTATGTAACTGCACAACTTACTGCAGGTTTTTGTCTTCTGTCACCAGGGGCTATTCGAGACCCCCATCGACCATGTACTATTTTTTTAAGCCGAATCTGACTGCCAGCCCCCTTAGCCCCCCATAGTATCCTGGGCGGTAGCAATGGGATCAGGGGCAAAATTTTTATTTTCGTATGTTGTTCACTTTTTCTAGGTAAATCAATAACGCTGAATTCAAATTTGATGTTAAAAAATTAATATAAGCAGTGTGGAAGAACTTTTGCTGAGAAGGGTGTTGAAAATTGTTGTAACATCAACTGTGTGAATTTTTGTTCGTTTTACGTAAATCTTTTTATGCTTAGCTCAAATTATATTTTTAATGTCAAATCGAATTCAGCGTTGTTGATTTACCTAGAAAAAGTGAAAAAACGACGAAAATATAATTTTTGCCCCTGGTACCATTGCTACCGCTCAGGATACTGTGGGGGGCTTAGGGGGCTGGCAGTCAGAATTTTTTTGTTCCGAAAAAAATTTTAAAAAACACTTTCTAGATCAGAAAAATTCGCTGATCATTACTACATGGTCAGATTCGGCTTAAAAAAATAGTACATGGTCGATGGGGGTCTCGAATAGCCCCTGTCTGTCACGCAATTGCTTGATTAGTTGACACTGTGCAGTATATGCCAATATGTGTCAGCATTAGCCAGTAATTATAACGGAGTACATTGCCATACACATGTTTACTGTTTACTCGACGAAATCTGCTACATTTTATTTTTAACTTGCAATTTTCTTATGATGGGTTTCGTATTATTGCGATGTCGAGAAAAGATCATCAAGCACTACTCTGCAATCCTGATCAACTTTCCTGTGTACCGCGGAAAAGACATGCGACTTAAACACTGGACTGCAACTGCGTAAGGTGTCGGCGGTCTGAACTACTGTTTCAAATATACCGACTCTTATGGCTTGGAGCGGTTAACCTCCAGCGGCACACTTACCTAGTGAAAACTGTATTTATCCGAAACGTTTTATCAGAACTGACTACACGTAGAGATCCGAACCACCAAAGAGCTGGCATACGCCCTTCGTCTTGGAAATCCGTGCTTCTCCGGAATCGCATGCAAACAACAATGCACTGCTCACCACTGGACGATAACAAGAAGTGAATTTCTGAATTTTTACCGTATATTAGCACACAAAACACTGCGTATTTTGTTACTTAAGGCCTTAAGCAACGATGTACATTTGTATGCAGCTGTGTATTTATGCAATCGCGACTGCTCCATCATTCGGGCGGAAGAGACACCGGCACCAGTATCAGTACGATCGTGAAGTTTAAAAAACAGAACTAGTTCTACTTCCAAAGTTTGACGAAAGGAGCCAGCTTTGGACGAAGGTAACCTTGACGAAACTAACTTACGGAAAGGTGACGAGTGTGTGGTTTTTACTTCGCATATCAATTACGGACACTGTGGCGGAGATGTGACTCGCTGAAATAGCTCAGTTTCACGAGATGTGACGATCTCAAGCCCGAATAAAAATAGGCCTTTAGGAATTAGGTTAGTATAAAATTAGGTCAGTACACGGGAAAACACGTGTTGCGTACACGGGTGTTCGCACTCGCTTAGGCGTATGAAGTTCGGGAACGGGTGTTTTGCTGTGTACAGAGGTTTTGAATTTCTCTATTTTTAACCCTTACATTTGATTTAAATACATACTGCTAGTGTAATTCTTGTGCCTCGTACGCTTTTATGCACAGAATTATTAAATTGTCAATAAAAATTGTCAGTTGTGTTAACACCAATAATGTTACGCCACAGACAAAACGGTATCTACGATCCATACAAATTCAAACTCAATTCTTTCTATGACCAAACCTTCCATAAATTTTCTAGATTTTTTACAAATTGCAACACGAGAGGAAAACTCTGTGTCTATCTTCAAAATATGTTATCTAAACCATGTTGCTTGACTAATCTTCCAAACTTGCGCTAGATGATTTCGAATGCTTCATAGTATATAAAATGGAAGCGGATAAATATAAATTAGTAAAAGAAAATTGAACGCGGATTTTTTAAAAGCTGTCAGCACTTGGTGTGAACACCCTATGCAGGTCAAATGCAACAAATTACGTATAAAAAATCACTGAGCGTTGTTGTACGGCTTAAATGGTAGCACGTAGAAGTCAACCATGTCGTCATTTCTGTAAACCGTCGTTTTCTTTAGCAGATGTGTGCAGGTCCATGACAAAGCTCGCCGACTAAAGACGAGGAAGGAATCCAATAGGCGCTGGAAAAAATGTTTCCTGGCATTTTGGACAGCTTGCTACTACGAAATTGCCGGTATATTCATTGGCTGGGGATGACTGCAAACAGTTTGGGCAATGATATGGTAAGCGCTTGACTGAGTCGGGGAGCTGTCGCGCTAAACTGTGTGCTCTCTCGTACCCCGACAGCGTAAACTGCTCCTTTTCGCCTTTGGTCAATGCGCTTTTTTCCCAATAAACTTCATAATATTTGCAGTTTAAAACAGAACTATCAGCAACTCGGAACAGACCGTTGTCTGCAAATCTTTTCCCTCTCGAATTCAAAAAAACCAGGCACACGGGATCGCAGTGGATCAGTACAACAGCATGTCCTTCAGTCGGCTCAGTGCCGCATTCTCCCAAGTCGTCTTTCGTCAGTACGCCTTGTTTGTTGCTTTTGTAGAACTGATCGAAATTTTCTCTTTGTGACTTACTCAAGCAATATGTCGCAATCAGAGGACGCCCGGCATTTAACGCTTGCCTAGCTTCGCATAGAAAAATCCGGTGATCTTTGTCATCAGAAGTTTGCCTATCACCAGCATCGGGCTCCCATTTAGCATTAAGTTGACGATATTTAAGCCGATACTTGCTTGCAAATGTTTCGATGACCTTCACTGTATTCGTCGGTCTTGTTCCAAAATATTCAACAAATTCGTTATACAGAAGTCTGAATGCTGGCACGCCACCATGTCTGCCTGTAAAACAAAATTTTTCGAAACTGCTTTGCAATTTTGGCGAGACAATAAGCTACTATAATTCTGACATGCATGAGGCAGAGGAAACAGCAACAGATAGAGGCTACATAGTACTTACTGCCACGTTTTACTGTGTACCAGTATTATGTTTGAGCAAATATTTGGTAACTGATATGTTTATGAATTTTATTATGGCCTGCATCCCCGAGAAATATTGTTTGTTATTTAAAGACAAAGTCGGCAATATCGCTCATAAACTAACCTCGTATCCTCTTCATAACCAAATGAAAGACCGTTGCCGTTGCGTACGCATAGCATGTCGCATCATGTTGTTTGTGGGGAGAATTCGCGGCTGCCTGGATCTCGACATTAATATATTCGTCCAGTGCGACCCTGGCAATTAGATTTGCAGTTGCATCGCCACTGTCTGCTAATGATTGCACCATGGTAGTAAAGTCCTGAATAGCTTCTGGGTCGTTAACAGGAGCAAACAGTCTTATTTCTCCTTCATCCGGAATTTTCCATTTTTGTCGTCGGAGAAACTGAATCGTGGGATGTCGGCATGGTACAGTTGTGCAAAGTTTAAATAGCGTCCGCCTTTGGAAGGACCAGCTGCTGTCTTCTACGTAACGGAGCGTCTTGTACTGCTTCGGCTCGTAATCGCTGGTAATTAAACACGTGGCGACAGTTACTTTTATCCAGGAAGGCACCTGCGGTACGACACCATCGGTAGTATAGCCGGCAGTTATAAGTAGTAGCATTCTCCAGTCTGCAGTGCGGTTACTGCTATCGCCTAAGATGGAATAGGCGGATGACAAGGCTTTACACAGCGGTGTATTTTCTCCGTACATATACGGTTGGAGACTTTTGATAATCCGATCCAGTTGCTGCGTCGTTAATGTTTTGGTGAGCGTTTCTTTTTGGATGGTCTGGGCAGCTTCTTTTATTATATCAGCCGCTTCTTTTATCTGAATAGATTTCGGCTGGCTGTGTTTTTTCAAGATTTGGTCCGTACACTTTTCCACCTGCATTCTGGCATTCAGCCGCTCGTTTTCAGCAAAGTCGTGAGGTTCTCCTGTTAGAAAATTGATTGTCCTCTGCTCTAAGGGTGTTGAGACGGCTGAACTCAAATTACCTCCAGCAAAACTGGTTGTTTTAGAGCCTTCGTAAGTATTGTTATCTTGTTTTGCCTGCTGGTCAGCGCACGGGCGTTCCTCGATGAGCCTGTCAAGTTGAGTTACGTTGGGTTTCATCCCTGTTATAAAACCGGTCACGTTTTCCATACCAAAAAAATGATAACTTCAAATTACCGTCACTGAAACTGTTGAGTGTTGAATCTTCGTGCGCATACTTTGCTGTCGTTTCCCGGTAAACGCGCAAGTATATCGGTACTTCCATGACTTCTACGGGGCGTGCAGGGCCTGCGCTGAAAGTATGAATTTGAAGCTGATTCTGAATGCTAAAAGACTGATTCTAAATACTAAAAGTCTGATTTTGATTCCAGGAACTCTGAATCTGAATACCAAACTGTGACTCTGAATAGTAAGGCTCCAAATCTGGCTGGTGACGAGGACGACCCGAGTCTCTATTTAAAATTATATTGGAGTTGCATTTCGCCGTTTGCGCAAAGTACCACAAAAATAGGATGACAAGGCGCGTTAACAAAATCGCATTACTTCCAGATCGTTGCCAGTTACCAGAAACTCCAGGTTTTATCGCTTGCCATGCCATTGGCAATGCCGCTGGCATGTGCCAGTGCCATGTTTTACATCCTGACCATAACTTGTGATTGTACTCAGTGACACGCACCTACTATAATTCAAACTTGATGCGAATAAAGCTAATTTAAACGGCAAAATTACAAACATCAATCAGTATATTGTAAGAAAAATGCAGCTAGCAAATAACTAATACAAGTTGTTTCAAAAAGGAAGGCCTAATATGTAAGCTCAGAAAGTTACACCGTGCAACTACATTTGCAGCTAGATTAAGTCGGAAATAGAACTTGTAAGTAGTGCATATGTGACAGTTATTATGATTGTGTGCTCCACCTGCTGTAGCCACAGCACGAGTATGCAATATAGCAGCACATTAACAGGGGCGTGTTTTATGTTGGCACAGGCTCGTTCGGTAAATTCAGAGGGAATACCGGCTATCTCATCCTACACTGGACGCAGAACCACTTTTTTTTTACCACACAAAGGTATTTATAACGTCTCTGTCCCGCGCCCCGCATTGTTGTTTAGGAGCAGTTACCGCCGCCTAATACTAATCTGTAATTACTTGTATAGATAACTTTTATCGCCAGAGTTATTAATTATTGTTTTAACACAACTGCAATAATTATAATTTTAGTTAGAGACTCGAGTCGTGACCTGCCAGACTCAGAGTTTTATTATTCAGATTCAGAGTTTGGCACTCAGATTCAAGGTTCCAGGAATCAGAACCAGAGTTTTAGTATTCAGACTCAGACTTTTAGCATTCAGAATCATATACAGACTCAGACTTTCAGCGCAGGCCGGAGTGAAGCACTGCTGCTGTATTTCGCCGCTAAATAAAACCGATCACGTTTTCCATACAAAATTTGCTGACTTCGAATTACCTTTTAAAGTATTGGTCAATGGTCACTGCTGCTTTGATACCTGTTGCTACTTTTTTGAAACCTTTGTACGCATACTTCGCTATCGCCTGCCGGCAAGCGGACGGGAGTTCTTTAATAGCTTCTTCTAGGAGGGACTTCTCCGCATAATAAAAAGTGTACAAGAAAAAACACTCTTCTTGTGTTAGGAACTTTTGAACGTATTCGTCACAATAGGGGGCTCCGTTGTCTCGCAGCAACGTTGTCAGCAAATCATACCCAGAGCTGATCTATCAAAAATACAACACGCTCCAGGTTTTAGGTAAACAGATCATCGATTTTTGGCAGTTATTTGTAAAGCGCTGTCATATCAGGCTTAAACTAAGTACAGTAAAAAAAATGAAGGAAAAAAAGCATAATTTATGTAATTTAAAAAACGCAGGGCAGATGCAAGAGAAACCAACCCTCCGTCGACCATCTTGGTCCTCAAACCACTCAAAACGTCCTTCGCAAATTTTGTCCTCTAAGTTTGCTTAGTTCGATTTTTGGGTCAAGAGTAAGAGGGATGAGTACAGAAAGGATAAATTCGTGCGAGGAAGTTAAGAGTTGAATGAAAAATTTGCATCCAGACGTTTTGTCTTAGGCGGTGTATTCCATGAGAAATGATTTTTCTTATCTGAACCATAAAGTCGGTATACGATTTTTTCAGTGACCAATCAGTTCACAACCTACTACCTGTCTCTGGGTTCACAACTTCTGGCCTTCAGTTTGCACTGTTCACGTCCCAATCCTGACAACCATGCATTCACGCGGTTTATTTCGCTTTGATTTCTCGTTTTCTTCCTGTTCACATTCAAGCTTCATTTGGTTTGCCGCAGCCAGCAAATGTGCAGAAACATTATCATAAAATTTAGAAGCTGAACTTACGGGGATACTGGATACCGACCAGTTAACACTACGGGTCTTCAGGACGCACTCAACGCTTTGCGGTCATAGGAAAGTATGAAGTGGATCCAGTCTAACCATTTCTCTTACTGGACGATATTTACTTTGGATGATCACTAAGACGCTTCCAGTTAATAGCCCACAAAAGCTTTTTAGGCCACCGATTCGCATGATACTGCAACTGCATAAAATTTAACAGAAAATCTTGTGTAAAGCTTTTAATATTCTCTATAGCCTGCTGCTGTCAAAATGATTTTTTTATAGGATACCAAGTTTTTTTATAGGATCACCAGTGGTCACTGCGTCACATGCATACAAAATTTTAAATTGTGTCAGATTAAGCAATGTGCCAGCTACCTATTTTCATCCAAATAACAATTTTGGCATTTCGTGGATGGCCAGGGGGATGTTCGCGACCTCTTAGCTCCATGCGCGAAAAATTTACGAGCTTTAGTAACCAGTGGCGACTGTGCAGTGTTCTATTTTTGGTCAAAATAGCCTACTGCTATTTCGCCACAGTAATTGCGACCAGTTAATCGGGTTAGCCCGTCCCCCAGTGTGGGTTTTCGGCTAGTCAGCTATTTTGCGCGCGTCCAATATTTTCGGCCGCACAGATTCACTACGATCAACGCTTATTTCGGCAACTGGATATTGCGGTCAATGTGGTCTAATCACATTTCTTGATTTCATACGTTCTCTTATATTTTCTGAGACCTTCTTATGTTTGTAATGTTCTGTGTTTTCTCAAGCTTTCTTGTGTTTTCTCAGGTTTTCTTACATTGCTTTTGTTTTCTTATGTATGTAGCAAAATAGCTAACCAGTTAACTTATCATTCGCACCTATCGCACTGCGGCAAAATAGCTTGTGGCTAATGCACCTCTGATTGCGACAAAAAAGCCCACCAACTTCAGTGCCGCATTTTGTTCTCTGTGCGGCAAAAGAGCCTTAGCGATATACGGGGCAACACTTTTGCCGGTCACATACCTACTCTAGGTTGGTAAACAAATACCAACCTAGAGCAGTATGTGCCCGGCAAAAGTGTTCCCCCGGATATTTCTGTCGTGTTACCCTGCAGTCATCCCCAGAACGGTAACCCTTTGCCTAAACTGGTGAACTGGGTGACTGAAAACTGAACTTCCGGTCAATCGGTGACCTATAAAAACTGAGCGTTGCCAAAACCTTATTTATGCGTCAGCAAAATAATTATGCATGAGGGAGATTGCTGGACTGTGATAAAAAGTGTTGGTGAAGTGGGATATTATTGCCGGAATGAGATTATCAGTGCTGGGCATGGGGGACATGGCAATGGGCATGGCTCTGCTAAACTCATTCCGGTTAGGTGAGGATGCAGTATGAACACTGTACGTAAAGTTAGAATCCCGGCTGGATCAAGTGCATGTGAGATAACTTGCTGTCGCCATCGAAGGCGGTTATTCATACTGCATTCCAACTAGCGCATCAAAGTCAAAGTGTGGCCGGAATATAAAGTTCATCGAAGTGCACTTTAGTATGCACTTGTTGACCGTATGCCCGGAGGGTAGTTATGTGACTACGGAAACGGCAGATAGTCGATTGTACAGAGCGGAGTCTAGAACCTACTGCCGTACTACGGCGATCACTGGACTACAAGATCAAATTACGGTTACTAATTTAGACCTGGGAACCCTGCCAAATCGGCAGCATGTAAAAAGTGCTCCAAATCGAAATAGCGCAAATTATCCGTAAACTCAAATTACAGCGCAAATTATACAAACCTCAACTACGTATGTGACAGAGTCCTGCTTTTGCCACGCAGGCAAACCAGATCGCTGGATGTTCGGATAATGGTGGGAAAAGGCAGGAATTTACCATTTCCGAAATGATAAAATCTTAACCTTTTCCAGGGTAATTTCCTAAATCTTTTTTTGACATCATTATTTTCACTGAAAACTGACCTACAAGGTGTGCAGAAAATCTACAGTTCTATCTGTACACACTAAGTTGTTATTACGAAACACGTGGACATGTAAGTTTCGCTTCGAGCTTCGGGCTAGCGAAATCGATAAAATTGGAATATCGTTAAGGGATTTGGCCAGGTACATAGTACCAAATTCGGGTACATACACGAGCACTTTCGCTGTCGCGCACTCCTAAACACTTTTTTGCATTGCTTTATAACATCTTGTTGCCAAAGGATTCGTATACATAGGCGAAAAAACAGTTTGTGCGCGCAAACGTCCGGTTCGGGAGATATAGTGAAATAAAATTCCAAAAGTTTAAACGCGCGGAAGTGTACCAAAAGTCTCATTATGAACCGATGCTCTTCAAATTGTGCACGAAAACACACATTACTATGAAGATCGTTTTGGTACCGAACCAGCTTTCTACCATTTTTTTCAAATTTTAAATTAATTTTTAAAATTTTGAAATTCATTTTAAAATTTGAAAAAATGGTAGAGCTGGTTCGGTAAACGATCTTTTAATGCGTTTTCGTGCAAAATTTGAAGAGCATGGGGTCATAATGAGACTTTGTACACCTCCGCGTTTAAGCTTTTATTTCACAAATAACTCCCGAACCGGATGTTGCGCGCACAAACAGTTTTTTCGCCTACGTATACGAATCCTTTGGCTACAAAATATCATAAAGCAATGCAGGAAAGTGTTGGGGAGTGCGCGACAGCGAAAGTCCTCGTGTATGTGCCCGAATTTGGTACTATGTACCGGGCCAAATCCCTTAAGACTTGCGCGCTTATATCAAGATTTCTATGTATGTGATACACCTTCGATTCCAATTAATGCAGATGTAAGCAGGGCGCAATCCGAGGGAAACCGAGATATGACTGAAACAGGCGCCGATGGGGGAATCGAACCTTGGCTACGTCGTTAGATCCGCGTATGCAGTACCACTGCACCACGGCGCAAACGTTGAAATCATTTGAAAGACTTTATCGCTGTACGTGAGCCGCTTCTCGCCTCACACAGAGATTGGCGTGTACGTAGCATGAAGGCTGGCCTCACAACTCTTTTCTTGCAAACGAATAGCACTTCTAACGCAGTGGCTGTTTGGCCGCCGATTTTGTGCCCATCTAACCACAGTTGCAAATCTTTTGCAATCATTACGAGGACAGGGTTAATATTCGTGATCACCTAAAAAACGTGCGACAATTCGGGATCGCCTTGCCCGGGTCGTGCAGCACGGGCATTCCATTATGTTAGCAACTATTTCGTAAACAGAATCAAAATCACAAATCTTCTTTTTACCATCGCAGACTTAATCACCTAATTTAAAACTATGAAACTGATCGCTATCACATCACTTTTCCGTATTACGACAACAGTAAAATAACACTGGACACAAGTGCTCGAATACTGTATTGCTGCTTTTCCTTTCGAAACATTTCCGGCCTAGACTCCAACTCTGACTATGACTCTGATTCTGACCACTCAAACTCTGACTCTGACTACTCAAACTCTGACTCTGACTCTGAAGATTTCTAAGGTTTCTTAATAGGTTTCTTAGGTTTCCTAGGTTTCTTAGGTTTTTTTGGTTTCTTAGGTTTCTTAGGTTTCTTAAGTTTCTTAGGTTTCTTAGGTTTCTTAGGTTTCTTAGGTTCCTTAGGTTTCTTAGGTTTCTTAGGTTTCTTAGTTTTCTTAGGTTTCTTAGTTTTCTTAGGTTTCTTAGGTTATTCAGTCAGAGTCAGAGTTTGGACAGTCAGAGTCAGACTTTGCGTAGTCAGACTCAGAGCTGGAGCGGTCAGAGTCTGAGTCAGAATCAGAGCTTGAGCGCGGGCCTCGTAGTTACTATTAGCCCTTCTTACTGAAAATATTAGCAAGCTTACCGGCTTCAACTTCGAAACTGCGTCTCTCTCGATTTCTTCTCTCTTGATTTCTTCCCTCTTGATTTCCCAAGCAAACTGAAGTTCTACGAACCGCACCCCAAATAATTCCAAAACTTGAACCACGATTTGCTTCATTTGCTCCGCTGTCATTTCGTGTTCGATTTCCATCATGCTGTAAAACAATCTCTCTACCTGCTCGATCGTAATCGCCATAATCCGGGTACTAGCCAAGAACAGTTGTTTCTGTTGCTCTACGGTTAACGCTTTAGTGATATTTTCTTTTCCGCTTAGAATTTCCACCTGCTGCTGCGCTGTCAACCGAGGAGCAACACTGGAAACAGCGCGCAGTAAGTTATCCTGCTGCTCATCCTGTAGCGGGCTGAAAACCAGCTCGATTGCCACAGCCAGCCGTTCCGTTTCCATTTGAGTTAGAGGTGGGTGGACGTTAGCAGCCGCTTTACGAATGATGCGGTGGTAATTCACTTCGATGTAGACAGGGTCCATGGTGTGGACGTTGACCGGTTCTCCCCGCAAGGCTGATTCCGCCTTGTGGTCAACATGTCTAAGGTAAAGAAACCCGTATACGCCGGTGGGGTGCAGAATGGGAAATCTGTTGTGCGGCCACATGTGGCTGGTCGACTCGAACAAGTGCATAATAAAACGACGTAGTAGTCCACCGCGTCGATGCCACAATGCTAGTATCGACATCATGGAATCGAGAAAACTATCCTGCAAGAGATTGTTAATAAATCGTGAAAGGGTCTATCTGGCTCGTGAAAGGATCTAAAAAATGATTTGTATGTTTTTAAGCGGAAGAAACTGACGTTATTCACTGCAAATTTGTAAACCGTTATAAAAAATTTCATTGATTTCCAAAAAAATTAATTTTGACTTAGACGCAGCGTATGCACACTGGAATATGAAAAACTTTGTGAAGAGCTTTTTTTTAAAAAGTTTACAGTGCGGTTGAAATTTGCATTTTTGTACACCCGATGACACCTTTATTTCTCTGTACGAAGTTAGGAAACAGTAATCTACAAAAACGCTCCACAAAGTTTTAACAAATGTTTTTTTAACGTACGGAACAAAGTTGGGAATTTTCTTAGGTTTTGCAAATTAGTTATAGATTTTACGGATTAAACTTGTCAGATTGTTTAGTATTCAGCGAAGAACTTTCTTTGTTTTACACTTTCGGGGAATACTTCACTTTTGCGCCTGCAATGCCGCCACAGTTATATGAGCAGAGAATGACCACTGGCGCTCACAGAGCACTGTTAATGCCTATCCCTTTGTCTCGCGGGACTTGTTATCGCTTGGTGTCCTCACTGTGTATACATGCTTTTGGTCTGCTTCCTCTTACGCATGCCATTCGATTGTTATTCTAGACGCCTTTTTCCTGTTCTATTGCCAGTTATGGTCATTCATTCGACTGTGCGCTATTGACCACAGGTGGCAGCAGAGCAGAAAGATCGTCGGTCCGCCAAAACAATAGGAGCAACTATCACAAAAAAATTTATAACATTTTAAGTTGCAATTTGATTTAACTGAACTTTGGGCTGAAGGTGGACCAGACCATGCTGATTGCAGTCACAAAGTTTCGAAAATCAAAATTTTGGTAACCCGCCATTGTAGAACCTATTCTTAAATTCGCATCACTAATAACTTTGATTATGCAGATATAAACATACCTCGCTGCATGACTTTGCTTTTGCCGTTAGGGGGTGAGACCCTGGATAACACCTGTCGTCGCTGGGGGTGTACCCGTTTTCCCTCATGGTTTGGTGAACAGTATTTTGAAACTCCAGTAACGAAAAAATGTTGACAAGATGCTGGTCGTAGGATTTCGTTTTGACCCCAAATGCCATTGCAGATAATTCACAGTCTGTTTTTCCACTTTCTTCAGATGCAATTTGTACAACCGAATTAAATACGGATTGTATACGAGAGAATTTTGCGTCCTCGGTTTTTGGTTGTATGTCGGAGTACACCTGCTTCATCCTGGTGGAAACGTCTACTAGTATTACGAATGCTGTTCGAGACATCTCTGCGATTTTTACTACCGGAACAATACAGTCACAGGATGCAGCAATAATCATAAAATTCTCGTAACTTCCAAGCTGTTTAGAGTTTAGACTGATGTGCTGAGATATGGTTGCTAAATAAGTGACATGGCAAATGGTTGATCGCCTTTATGTATTCAGAATTTACACAACTTTCTGGCATTGCTTAATTGAAATCATCTCATATCGGTGTGCTGGATGGCCTTTGTGCGAAGGCTTCTGTGTTGCTTATCATTTGCCACAACAGGCCGATCCATTAAGTATTTGGGTCATGTGAAATAGTTGCAATAATAACGAACGCGATTATACACCGGTCTTCAGAAGACGTTTATTACAACAAATCAACTGATATGCATAACGCAGTACGGCTAATGGAGCACCTTTATGATGCCAAGTGTAACCGGCTTTTTGATTAGGGACCATCCATAAATTACGTAACGCAAGCAGGGGAAGGGGGGCCCCAGTCCTTGAAACGTTACCATTTATGACGAAGGGGAGGGGGGCCTTAAAAAATTTGTTACGTTCTGTTACAATTATGACGTCACAATGGTATAGCTTATGGACGGGTTTTGATTTTATTACGTGACGCTTAGGGTAGGGGATCTCAGTTTTGTTAGCATTCGTGACAGAGGGGGAGGGGAGTATTCAAAACCGTGAATTTTGGCGTTACGTAATTTATGGATGGCCCCTTACACTTGTCACGGCTATAACGCATTCCTGTAAAATGAGCCTTACTTTAGTCTTATGCACGCGGGCCTGCAGATTCCCTATTCATCAGTTGCGTGGCCAAAAGAGCAGTTATGCACGCGGGCCTGCAGATTCCCTATTCATCAGTTGCGTGGCCAAAAAATTTCAAAGTCAGAGCATTGCTCATTTTACCTACGTAGCGTTATGTAATAGTGTAAAGCTATTACGGCCGTATTACATTTTCCGGCAGGCGGTGGGGTTGCCACTGCGACAGAGGGTGTTTAGCACCCGAGACCATATGGCTCTGTTGTGTAGAATTTGTAAGGGTAGTCTTTTTTGTAGAAGCAGTAGTTTAGCCATATGTGTCCTGTCAAGGACGATTTTCGGGTTGGGTGCTTCGATATAAATGAGGCCGCTTTTAAAGTTCTCTGACGAAATGATTTTGGATTGGAAGTTATCGGATGGGGGAGGTAGGTATTTCCTGGTGATTGGTGGTTTTGTGAAGCATAGTGTGCTGTGGGTATATAAAAGGAAATCGGAGTGCGGTTGAAATTTAGTTGGTTAAGGGAAGTTGTGAGAAGTTTGTTGTGTGGATTGTGTTGTGAGGTCTTTTTTGATAGTTTGAATTGTAAAGGTTGTTGTAGTAAGGTGGAGAGTGATTTGGAGTGCCTGGGAAGAGGTGTTTGAAGGAATTTTGGCAAATTTGTGACAAGTAAGGAATATTTGTTTTTAGTGGATTTTTTTTAATTATTGTTAAATTTTTAATGTATTTGGTTTCTTAAGTAAAATAGATTAAAAGATATTAAGGAATAAATAGAGTATTTGTTGGCGTTTGACTTTATGGCAGTGCGGTTTAAAAGGATAGTTTTAAGGTGGTTAGTATTAAGAAGGTTAGTTTTTAAGGAGGTAAGTTAATTTTTTCTTGCAATTTTATACAGTATATCTGTATATTCGGATGTTTGGTGTGTAAATGCTGTTGAGAGTACGTTTGTAAAGTAGGAAAACTAGGTGTGCATTGGCAGACCGGAGCGTAGCAGCTTTTCGCATGTGTGAAAGATAAATAATTTTTAACGTTCTACCAGTAGCACTTTTAGTTATTAACAATATCAATAATTTAACCTAAGAATATAACGAGCCAGGAACATTTTCGTAATGACCTTCGGTAACAACCTTTCGAAACGAACACAGAAACATTTTTGCATTGGCGCTGAACTTAGAGGTCTTTCGCTACGATTTAAGAATGGAAATTGATTTGATTCTACGAGAGATTTGCTTTAAATGTTATATCATCATTTAGTTTTAGAATGTCAAAAAAGTTGGAAATGAGTGATTTGGATAGGCGGAAGTTAAAATGAAAATTATCTTAAGGTATAGTGAGTTGATTAATAAAGTGGTAGAAATAATATTTATGTTAATAAATGATGAAAGATATTATGTAAGAAAAGGAAAATATGGAATATATGAAGGAAAATAGAAAATATATTACGGAAAATGTGGAAAAGGATATTGTGGTAAAATATAGAAAGATTAAGTGGCATTATAGGAAATTTATTTGGCATTATGGAGTTATGTTGTGCAGATATTGTAATTGATAAAATCAAACTGAAGAAACAGGTGGATGTAGTGTTCCGTATGGTTTATTGTATAGTATATGGTGCGTATAATGTACTGTAAAGTTGACTGGTTTAATGGTTTGAATCTGGGTATATTATGGAGTAAATATAGTTATGGATGAATGATTATGTGTGTGGGAAAAAAATATTTTGAAGAAACAGGTGGGTGTAACGATCCGTATGATGTGAAGTCTGTTGTATTTAAGGATTTTTATTTTACTAAAGCTGGAAAATATTTTGAAGAAACAGGTGGGTGTAATGTTCCGTATCATTCAGTATTTTAGGGTATTTTGATTCGTTTTGAGATTTGCAAGTGAAGTTGGAGTTATGAGAGACAGGTGGGTGCAATGTTCCGTTTAGAGGTTTACAAATGTTTTTTATTAAAGATTAAATTCGGAAAAATTTGGAGAACATGATTTTTTGGTATTTAATAATGAATTTTTATTTTGATAGACGAAATTCCAGGAAGTGCTATGGATATTGTTGTCACTGACGACAATACAACCGTATTGCAGCCTGAATCCAGCAAACGATCTGCTGGTAAAAAATTAAATATAATTATTTATTTTAAATTTATATTTTCTAAATTTATTTATTTACCATTTATTTGTTTATACAGGAACTAAGAAGAATCGAAATAAATGAATGGAATAGCATGAACCGTTGGTTTTACTTTGAGATGGACCAATCGTTTTCATTTTTGTTGTTGTTATTTGAGTGATTCATCAATTTATTGGCGCCATTGTACCATTTTATCTAAGTGCATTATAGTTATCTGTGGTATTATTATCTGATAGTGGTGGTGCGGTATTATTATCTATGTGATGTAATTGTGTTGAATTACTCGCTTAATACTTGTGAAGTTCGTATCTTAGTATTTTTCTTATATTGAACTGCACTATTATTTTGTTATTTTGTATTGGTTTTGTAGTAATTAACTTTTAAAAATACCAATAAATAAAGGGCGAAATAAATAAGGCAATATCTTTGTTTTCAAGTTTGAGTAGATCATAATATGTTATAAATATGCGACCTACTGAGTCCAAGTAACAACTTACTGGTAGCTGAGAACCTTTAATAATTATCATGGTACGAGTACAAAATATCCATTAGAACAAAACGGCCTTAACGAAAATACAGTTGTATTATGCTATCCTGATCGGGAATCATACCGATCACACAAACCGAAGGTCAGGTGATGTGTGGTAACAATAAGTGAAAGTTGTATTTTAAAATATGCGCCCAACTGCGCCCAACCAACAGTTACTGCCAGCTCGTAGGACGTGGTATTTAGAGTCAGGTTTGTGACACTGCGTGTTATAGATATGCGCCCAACTGTGCCTAACCAACAACTTATTTCGAATGCTCAGAACTGCATTATAGCAAATAGTTTTGTTTACATTTAACTCTGGAAACGTACAAGTGCGCAGTAGAAATGCGGAAATCTGTAGAGAACTGTAGAGAAAGAACTGTTTATCTTTGAAAGTGAAGAAATTTCAGGGTCATAATTTATGATAATTATATATCTTTCCGGATGGACATAATAGGATATTAAAAATTTAACATAACAGGATAATATCACAGTCTGTCTATCTGTTTACAGAGTTCGCATTTGTTTGTTGTGTGGGGAGCATTTAGACGGCTTTGTTACCGACATTCCAAAAATTCCTAGGGTTTTCAAATTGACACATTTGTTGTTGATGACTGTCGATTGCGAATCGATGTTGACTATAAATCTTACCAAAAATCGTTAAGCGCTCCTTATCGGGGTAATAATAACGACGATCCATCCCTCGCTCTGTGCGTCCGCCTCCCTTGCCCGAATTGCCCAAAAAGGATTATGCTCAGGAAGAACTGAAAGTCCTTCCAGAGTGTTCGATGTTACCAGAGGCAAAAGTTTCTATGGCTCAGGTACTTTCCTGCGCTTAAAGTTCGCTGCGTTCTGTCCTTCTGCATTTTAATTATTTGTCGTGTATTCGAAGATTTCATGCTGTTTCAATAATCTGAAGGTGAATGAACATTAGAACTCGCTATTCTTCAACGGCGTTTATTTTTCGTAAGTGGTCCGTACGGGATTTTCGCGGGAAGAGATGCATCGAGAGGTTTAGGCACTTTTGCCCTGGATGATTCAGCGGTGCGGGACACGCACGACGACTTGTCGGATTTGACGCTGGATCAGATGAACACGGTTAAGGACTGGGATCAACAGTTTCAGGATAAAATTTTTATACCTCGAGTATTTTTAGGTGAATAATTTCAAGAATTGAAATATGCATTTTTACGCTGGAAGAGACACTCAGTTCGCCCTATAGAACTTTTTATGGTCTAGTTTTATTTTTTAAGACAAAATCTGATGCAGCGTTGTGCCATAATTATTTGTTGTTTTTAATAACCACCTTATTTGCAGATAAGTACCAACTGGTTGGTCGTCTGCTGCGACCAGCTGAGGAGCCCACGGATTATGCTCCGGAGGAAGAAGAGGAAGCCAGCCAGAAATCTGCGGCGGATAGTCTCGAAAACAAGACTAAATGAGCCAATTGCTTCAGTTGAAGCCTTGGTGACGGGCCATAATTGTCAGTTTATATGCAAGCACATGCCATGATGCCGATCTTTTTTGATTCCATTCTTAAGTTTAAGTAATTTTTGGTATTTTCGCGGGTTTTTTGGTATTGGGGTCTGGGGTAAATTATTTCGTTTGTAAGCAGGTTTCTTGTCATTCAGTCGTACTCGACGCATGGATCAGGTTGATTGTTTTTTGTTCAAGATTTAAGGTTTTGAAATGATTTGTTATCCGTTAAGGAAAATCACGTTTCGATATTTGTTTTGTCGAAAACGTCGAATAAAAACTGTGTCGCAAATTCAAACTTTTAAACCGCCTGCCACTTGGCCGCCTCCCCCGAGGTGGCCGCCCGTTAGGTGTTCTGGAGCTATTTCGCCTGTTCTCTTTGTTCCGAGATGTAAGAAAATCATTTCTCTGCAATTCGGTATCTAACATATTCGAAAAAATTAAAAGTGATGGTTTCATGGAGAAATTTACCGAAATTATACAAATCGCAACTTTCATATCACTCTGCGAAAACCCTCGTTTTAGCGGCATAGTGCAACAGAGCAGCACCAGACTATTAAAAAACGTTTTGACATTGTCCCATGAGGTTATACTTGACTCATTATAAATCGGAATGTAAGGCAAAATCTCTACATTGTGGTTTCCATCTTCTGACAGAGTCATAACCTTACGCAACGCGCTTTAGCGAGAGAACTTTGATTTTGTTCGTATAGCTCATGCTATCCATGACTTCGGAAGCATTTACTGCCACGCATGCACGAGGGTACCCCTTATAGAGTTGAAATCGTGTCCGCAGCTGCTGGCGCCTTCTGCTCATTGTTTCACTGACCTGAATTTTTGCAGGTTACCGACCTAATCTCTCTCCAATTATCGCTCCATTACCCAGTGTGTAAACATGTAGCTTTTTTGCTCGCTATGTAAGCACCACCTGAGCATGTGCCGGTTCTTATCTCGCTGTGTTATTCTTTATGTTTATGTAAATATATCGGACGCGAATTATTGCCCAGTAGTAACAACAGGAGTATGCTCCAGTAATAATGGGACCAGTTGCAGTAGATAGGTTTCAATATTGTAACTGATAAGCATGATAGCTTTTATTGTTATACAGAGCTGCGTCTTTAATTACAGCTTTACATAATGTTACTGTAAAGTACAGAGTAGGTTGCGCGTGAAGCGGCAGTGATTTTAAGTTTAAAACGGCATAACCCATTACTGAAGTGCTGGTGTACATACCTGCAACCGTTTCCCAGACGGTCCAAGAAAAAGCCACAAGCAGACAGTGTTGTTTGGGTAATTACCGGGATTATCACTCCAAAGTTCCCCCAACAAGGGAATTAAATGCAACCGATCCCGTCGCTGGAACGATAACGCAGCCGCCACACCCTGAAAGCGTCGTAAATCAGTCATGTACTGAAATTCAGTTTCTTTCACTCGGGCTGCGCATACTGCGCGGACTGAAAGACCGTCGGATGTTGTTGCTTGTTGTAAGAGAGTTTCTAACAATTACAGGACGAGCCTACCCGTAGTTCGCGGAATATTAGCCGGTGGTGTACCCATGTCACATCCGGTCAGTGGTGAGGGAGTTGTGATTGTTGTGGTTATGGTAGACGTTGTGGTAGACGTTGTGCCGGTTGTGGTCGGTACTGTAGAAGAAGTATAACCAGAAAAGTGCAATGTTTTCAGGTTTAACACTACTAAAAGAATGCGAAGCCAGGTAGATGGAGACATTAACGGTTGAACTGGTCGTATTCGCAATTATCATGAGGACGACCACCTGCACTACGGAATTGTTATAGAAGTACTGATATTTTCAGCAGAATGACTTGGTCTTAAATTAAAGTTTGACATTTGTATGAACTTACTAGCAGTAATAGTAGTGGTGGTCGGAGTTACACAGACTGCCTAGTTTTGTACTCCCAAGTTTTTGCGATGGCCTCAAGCGATTCTTAAAACCCTGCAGCACTACGTCTACCTCGTACAACGTACACCACAGGGAAAAAGCTTAACTTTTATTTCATGACAGCTGCACTCCCGACAACTGTGCCGTCTCCACACAGTTGCATCAACTTATATACCACATCAATATGCATGCTCGCACAACACGCTCATATCGCATACAGCCACAAAAGCTATAAAAACACACGCACCAATCTGACCACTGCACATCCGCTCCTGCAGGCCAGATTAGTCCTGCCTTCCTCTCGTTCACACTTGACGAGTTGAGTGTTTGTGACCATCGGTCACAAACACTCATGCATATAAATGCATAACACCATAAAGACATAAATGTCCCGCACAAATATGATCATAAATGATACAGCTCAGACTCGGCACAAACAAGACCATAAAGATACATACAGCCATGCAATCCACGCTATCCAGTGTCCATGGTCGTAAACCTCCACGATCGTAACATTACCCTCCGCTTAGATTCTTCGTCCCGAAGAATGGATTAGCTGATCTTAATGCACCATCAAGATCACTGCCATCCGGAGTACGATAATGCACCGAATCCATAATTAACTGCACGGAATACAATTCAATGGGCACATTAGCCAACCCGGCTACACTGTCCCAATTAATTGACCACTACTGTCTGTGCACGATCGCCACATCTTCCTCCACCTCTTTTAATCCATCCGTGGCCTACTGCTCGTGCAGTTGGCCATCAAATGTCCAACGTTACCACACTTGTAGCACGATTTCGCACTGCGTTGTGCCATCCTTCCCTTAAACGGTGACCCCCATGTAACATTGTCACTTCGGCCACTGCCACGCGGCTCATCCCGGTCGCCGGCATTATACACAGTGCTGCCCGCACCGCCACTGCGCACAACGCTATTGTCCTCAACAGCGTCGTCGCTATTGTCATCAGCACTATCGTCATGACCCACAGCACCAACCTGTCGCTCCCGCGCGTTTTCAGTACTGTCGTCATCTTCTTGACGATTTTCCCAGTGCCCACTTTCTTCCCATTCTTTCTCCTCGCACGCCACCGGCCCAGTGACGTACTTATTCTCTTTACGCTTACTGCGCTTCACAGCAGTCTGTGCAAGCACCAAATCAGCGTAAAACTCCGTAGGCGTGGTTGCTTGAGAAAGCACCACATAAACGTAGTATGATTCAAGTAATCCATCTTTTAAATGTTCGATGACATCCGCATCGTCCATTTTTGGATTAACAAGATAACACTTCGAAACTTTCTCGTTGAAATACGTACTTACGTCCTCATCCGGCAATTGTTTTCGGCGTCGCATCTCACGCTTGTAACGCTGAATCATATCCTTCGGACGAAATCGAGCAATTAATGGCTTCTTAAATGCCGCCCAGTCAGCCCATGGAATCCTCGCTCCATCACTGGTCTCCCTGTCATACCAGTTGGCTGCAAATTCACGCAGGTATATCGGCGCCTGCTTCAGCAAGACAGCATCCGTCCACTCTAGCGCATTTCCAATACGCTGAAACTGCCTGCACTATTCATCCACCACTTCTTTAGCTTCCCCACTAAACAACGGTGGCTTGGTGTCACTGGCCAATTTCAGATCCGTAAACTCCTTCGCTAATTGGCGAGAATTCACATTCACGGTATACTTCGCACCGGCTGCTCCCAACGCGGTGACCTTATCCTGGTTGACCGTACCAAAATGTATGTACCCGAATTCGCTACTATGTACCAGGCCAAATCCCTTAAGTCGTAAGTAAGTGGCTAGTTAGTATATTTTAATTGAATTTTTACAAGGGGGTGGTGGAACCATCCCTTTCGTATTCGGCTGGGGAGTTGACAATTTTGTTATGTGGTGGTACAAGTTTATAGTACATATACGAGTTAGCGTTGCCCAGTCATATTTCTGTACCGCATTATTCTTGAACAAGCTGGCTGATGTATTTCAAAGGTATGACAGTATCTGAACACTGTTAAAAAAATATGCGGGAACTGCTGCACCCAAATGCAGCTCCGTTTGGCTGTAAATTTCTCAAACCCGTGGCAGCCGCTCGTCTAGTTGGAATGTCTGTCCGCTAGCTGGTTAGTATTTTATTTTAGTAAACTTGATGCTACGTAACTGGATCAACAAATTCCAAAACTTTCCACATCCTCTCTTTTACAAACAGGAGGCTTTAACCCGTTCCACACCATGCGTGTTAGGCCGACATGGTGGAGGACTTCTTCTCTCAAATCCGTAATTATGGTCGTAGGTTGTTTTTAATTGTTTCATTTCAAAGGACAGACGTTAGACAACAACTTACAATGTATAACAGTTAGCTCCACCGTGACCGTAAGAGCCAGGGAGTGACCAAACATAGTCAAAAATGACCAAACGGAGTTCTTGGAGGTCCTTCTTACCTGTACAGCCACCTCCACATCAGATAATTACAAAAAAAAATACAGAAGAAGTATTCGATAAGCTCTATATAAGAACGAAACAAAGTTCGGAAAAAAAACGCTCACTGGTCAGTGCTGGTCAAATGAAAATACCATGTCGGTTTTGACACGGTTGGGCAGGGTACTAATTAATTATATTTCGACAGAAATTTATAACAATTGGCAGAAACATCGTACACGGTACAATGAACTATTAAAAGAAAGCCCATAAAAAGCTACATTAACTGACTTGTACGCAGTGGTCAGAAAAGTGACCACTGGTCAACACCAACCGGAAATCCGAAAAAAGTGAATTTCGACTAAACGCTAATGTAATTCATGTGAATAAAATGCAAAAACATTATATAATGACTGTTCTCGGTAGCTCTGAAACAGCTGTGATTCGTAATACCCACAATAAACTGCAAAAACGACTCCACGTCGGGCCGGAATATTTGCGTGAACGGCTGTTTCGGCTATATCGGCTGTACAGTACATTTGGTTGTGGGCGAAGCGTTATTATTTCTATGTCCTGCAACCTGGCTACTTCATAGTTTATCGAACAATTCGTATACCGGTATTCTTGGTACATTTTACCCTAGTTAA